GCCTATTTGCGTACACAATAGGATTCCTGGTCGGCCGACTGGCCCGTGCAAACTGTCGAACTGCTGAGTCCTGACCTACGATCTACTACAGGTCCCTGGCTTTCGGAATGGTTATCCTCTTACAGCCGTTTGCATAATTCCGTGAACACCGAAAATTCTTTTTTTGGGCGTGACGTGACTTACCTGCCCAAAAAAGACATTTTCCTGCGTTCTGATAACTGTGCCAACGGTTCAAAATGAAGTGAAGAGTTACATTCATGACACCTTCGCTACCTGAAGATCTGGAGCTACATACTTATGGTGACTTAGTGCATTGGAGAGGGGTTAAATAAAGACCTGGCCCACTGTTTTATCAGGCTTGTTTGAAAAATTCATGCACAAAGGCTGAGAACATGGCAAAATATAACTAATCCTTTGACAAAAGGACCAGTATGCCTTCCATAATTGAGGAGGGATATTTTTTATACATTTCCACCGGTCGAGACGCGAAAGAACGAGGCGCAGGACTGTCTGAACTTCTGAAAAGAGCAAGGGAAAGCTGTGCTTAGTCAGGTGACTAGTCACGTCACGCCCAGAAAAAGAATTTTCGGTGTTCACGGAATTATGCAAACGGCTGTATTCCACTTGGCCCTTCTTTCTCACCATGGCACTCTAGGCTACACCATCGATGATCGTCAGATTACGTTCTCTCCGAGAACTAGTCCAAAAGCTTGGAAGTTGGAAGATGATCCTCCTGACGGTTGGCCTACTTTCGAGCCGGCAATATATGTCTAACTCGACTCGTTCTCTAGCACTGGTGCGCTCAAGGTGCGCTGACAACGTGGCTACTCGCTTTCCGGGGGCGACCCTCTGGCCTTATATCAAGTAGATAACGGTTACTTCGCAGCAGATTATTGTATCTTCAGCTTCAATTTCAGGGGTGCGTCTACGCTCGTCCTCGACGAAAATCTGCTTGATGTTCTCATTTTTGTTCAATCAAGCTTCTGGAGTTCATCTCACCAAACTATCACCGGGATCGAAATTCCACTTGAAGCTCCCGCCATAATAAATGAGCTGAGACCAGGTATCTCCATCCCAGATGCCAATAGCCCCATCACTGACGTCTATGACATTCAAGGATCGTCCTACGGCTTTCATTGGCCTGCAGCCAAGGCTCCTGCACAATCTCGAACGGTAACATAAGGTCGGTATTCTTCAAAAAATTGGATTGAACACAAATCCTCTCATAGGGATAACCATTCGAGTATCGTAATAGCGGGTTGATCAGCGAAATCTTTTCCGTCCTCTGGTTTCTGCTGTTTCTTTTCTTCCTTTGGGAACGAAAGCGAAAACCTGCTCAGTGGTCAAGCCTACCAACTCTTTTTTGGGAAATCTGCGACTGCCTTCTGGGCCCTGGCCATATTATGGAATGTGATACAGATTGGCCCCAGTGTAGCACCACATGCGCCACGAGCGGAGGAGCTTCTCCCAGCGTATGATTTTCGTCAAAAGCCATCATAATGGCGATAGTCCTTTATCAAGCCCTGAAGCGCCGAGTTATTAACTTGACATGGCGCGCCTAGCCCATTCATTAGTTTGAACATAGACACATTGCTTTCTCATTAGAACAACCTGTCGGAGGGTCCTTGTGAGATACAAGTTGTATGTAAACCGTACCTGGTCCTCTTGATCTGCTCCACAAACCGAGACTCACCTTGGGAGAAAAATAGGTGATATGATTACTGTTGCTCTTTATAGGAATTAAGGGATATTAAGTTGACAAGGTAGTAATGAGCTAAATTTGATTAAAAGTCATTGGAAAAAATCCATCTCAACGAACAACCATTTGCTGAAACTACCATGAACACCACAAATCAATGTTGGATCGCGTAGCCAACGTTTGAGAAGTATTGGCTTCCAGTAGGTTCAACGTTATAGATGTTGAGGTTTGAACCCATACCTCCTTTCCCAATCGAATGACTTCATTAGTTTGTTCCTATTATCCCCTTTACTATTTTCTTCCCTCCTTTCTTTGCGCTTTCCTCAGCCGTTTACTCTTGTACAACGTCTGAGGTGCGTATCTTATTTTCTATTATTCATACTTCTTACTTACGGTCTCTGATAGTATACTTATCATATCCTAACAGGTAGAGACCGAATAGAGCCGTTTACTCTTGTACAACGTCTGAGTATACTTATCATATCCTAACAGGTTATCGGCCCCGTCCTACCTGACTGCGTTACTAAACCCACGGCTCACATACACGACGATGTCTACTTCACCGTCTAACTTATGCATGTTTATCCTACCCGAAAACGACAAACTCCGTGGCTACGAAAACTATGCCGCTTGGAAGATCCTTATGGGAATTAATGGAAGACCGAGAGGACTACACAAATATTGGGAGAATCAAGTTGTTGTCCCTGCGGGGATAGACAGTCCTATCCCAGCCAACGATCCCACAACAGAAACCGAAAAACCAATCGACGTTCCCGCTGCTATCACGCCGACTCAGACTCCCGAGAAGTCGACTCCCCTCCTATCCACCACTCCAACTCTACTCGAATACGAACTCCGCGAAAATGTGGCGCTATCATCGGTGTTAATTAACATCGCTGATCTCTCCGGTTCCGGCATTGATGCATTGGGCGCCACCAAAGCACATGTCGCGTGGAAATTCCTCGAGGACCAATATGGGAGGACAAGTGATCGGGCAAGGAACATGTGTGAAGAGAAGCTGTCGAGGTATAGAATGGCTGAGGGGGCGGTTGTTGCAGGTGCAGGAGGTCACATAGAGAAAATGCGTACCTTGCGGAAGCTTGCAAACGATACCGGCGCCAATATCGATAACCAGCGCTTCATAACCAAACTCCTCGACTCTTTCCCTGAATCATGGGACACTGTCATCAACAGCATGTACAGTGAAAAAGATCTCAACACCGTCATAATGAATCTAACAACCCACGCCGAACGACTCAGTATCCGCGAAGGAAAATCCAAAGAACCTGACTTGCCTACACCGCCGTCTATCGACACCGTCAAAGCGCTTGAAGCAACCATCCTTGCTTTACAAGCTGAGATGAAAACGTTCAGACCTTTTCAACACCAGTGTGGAACGACCAACCCCAGTAAAGCTCATTTGATATGTGCAAACTTACTATGTGGAAAGGTCGGCCACCTTATGGAGGATTGTTTTGGACCCGGAGGTGGGAAAGCTGGTCAATATCCCCCTTGGTACAAGGGAAAGCGGGCTACTGCGAGCGCAAACTTAACGATGCTGACGACATCATAGTGTTTGAAAGTCCGGTTCGGTCCGGTTTTTTGATGCCCAGGGGCGTTAACCGTAACCGTAACTGGTCTGCCTTTTCCCCAGAAGTCAAAAGACCAGACCGGACCGCAAAAAGACCGCAGACCGCGGTTTTTTGCGGTCTATAGACCGGTTTCGGTCTGCATCAGTTTTAACCGGTTTATGACCGGTCTTTAGGCCAATATTTTAAAATTATGAATCGGTAAATTTATTAACATCTCTAATAGCTTCAAAACGAGCCCAAGAACGTTAAATTCCGTTAGGAATTGGTGCTTCTATAAAATAAGTCTGGTACATCTATTATTCCCAAAAGTAATTTACATTTTAATTCATATCTCTCTCGTTTTTTTACCAAATCGTACGTTCTTGGGTGCGTTTTAAAGGGTATTTAAGGGGCTACAAAAGACCGGTCCAAACCGGTCAAGACCGGTTCACGTTAACCGGTTTTTTTGCGGTCTTTACATTTCAAAAATAAAAGACCGTAACCACAGGTCCAGTCTTTTGCGGTCTTGGTCCGGTCTGGTTACGGTCTTTTTCCAGTCACGAGACCGGACTTCCAAACACTACGACATCATCTACATCATCTGGGTCCACAACCCCAGGTACTCATTGGGCGTTATCCGCGACGTTTAACTACCAAGAAATTGATACCATCATTGCTCAAACCGACCAGAGTGCCTCAATCGGAAACCGTTTCATATTACCAGGCGCAGTAACCAGTAATATTGACAAGCTTATCGATGAAAGTGCCACTGCTGAACGTAAAGTTGCCCTCGCCGCTGCTGCAAATCCTGAGGCAATTGGGATCGGCTCTGCATGTGTTGCTGACTCTGGATGTACAACGTATTTCTTCAAATCTCGAAACGTCTTCTCTGTTTACAAATCCCTCGACAAAGCAATTGGTCAATCGTCGATGGTAGGGGCAAACTTCAGAGTCTTAGGAATGGGAACAGTCGAGATAAAGGTTGTACATGATAACGTCGAACACACCTTGGTATTCACCAATGCTCTTCATGCCCCCGATGTCACGGCCAACCTTATCTCCATTGGTAGAATGGATCTTGCTGGTTGGGAGGTCATTTTTGGGAAACAAAAGGCACGGTTCTTCATGGGTAAAAGAGAGATTTTTGGAGGAGTGTTAAAGGATGGATTATACCTTGTCGGAGGATCACTTGTCTCAAACATTCCAACCATCCTCACTGCTCGATCCCTAAAAAGCCCAGCTGACCTTGCTCTCTGGCATCGCCGATTCGCCCACTTTGGAACTACGCGTATATCAGAAGCTAGCAAGCTAGTTGATGGTCTGGTAATCACCAACGAAGAGACGTTGGGAAAATGTGAAGATTGCATTATTGGAAATCAGAAGCGACGAGCATACGATGAAAAAGTTGAAGCTGAAACAGAAGTCTTACGACTTACCAACATCAACCTATGGGGACCAGCTCACGTTACCTCAGCGGGAGGCGCCCTGTATGGAATGAAGTTCCATGATAACGGATCCTCACGCAAACGGACATTCTTCATCCCAAATCGAACTGCCGAAACGACGTTGACCATCCTAAAAACCTATAAAGCCGAATCGGAGAAGGTCACTGGGAAGCTCATGGTCTTTGTACAAACAGACAATGCACCAGAGTTTAAAAGCGAGCTCTGGGTAGCTTACTTCGCCGAGAATGGTCTGATCATGGTGCCAACGGCCCCATACTCATCTGGATCCAACGGAACGGCGGAACGCTCGATCGGAATCACTACTGGATCTGTCCGAGTAATGCTCAATGATGCACGACTAGCTGCTAAATGGTGGGCTGAAGCATGGGCGTTCTCAGAGACCGTCGAGAATGTCTTACCATCTGCTCGACACCCAGGAATCATCCCAGAGGAGAAGTTCACAGGCGAAAGGCAGGATGTGGGACACATCAGGGTCTGGGGATGTGTTGCGTACGTGCATATCCCATATGAGAAGGGCAGCGGCAAACTAGCAGATCGGGGACAAAAGGGGCGATTGACACCCTTGGCATGACGTTTGGACGTCACGTGAAACCTCTAAGGTCCATTCTTTGTCAATTGAGAATTGGCCTCCGAGGTCATAAGCACTCCTGACACTCCCTGCTAAATCCTAAATGAGAAGGGCATCGGGTGGCAGATCTTAGTGCTAATACCAGTGGAAGTGTCTGCCAGTGGAAGTGCCTGTCAGTGCAAGTGCCTAGCACTTGCACTTATGATAGCTTATGCCAGTGATCACTCGCACTATTTCCGCGCGCCTGAATGTTACGATATGTTTTATCCCGTATTTTAGATGTTTCTTACTGTCCATATGTCAAATGTACCAATTCTATTCGATGTATGTAGGAGTGGCAAAATATCCCACTCGATCTGAAAAGGCCTCGACTCCGTATTCGTAGGGCTCAGTCGGGCAGGGTTCAAAAACGTCCTGGGGCTGCTCCTTTGATGACCGATAGCGTCAAACTGGAGGGAACAACGTGAATCCAAGTGAGGGACTAGAGGGATGTGTCGAGTGGCACCACGTGTGGATGTTGGTTGTTGTGGGCGTGGTGGTGGTGCGGCGGGAGGCTGGTTGCGCTGGCTTGCACGCCACCAGTTGCTAGCCTCTTCACGATACCCTTCGTTTCTCAACATGGACAGCGCGCGACGTTGGCGCCAGAGCTGGGGTCGGGGAAGGGTGGGTACACTTGCTGCATCCTTGCGTAAGACGGGCTGGTGATGTGGGTGACGCAATCTCGGATGCTTGAGGCCGTTAACTTGTACATTTGTCGGGGCGAGGATTGTGATGAATGCTACGAAGAGATAAGTAAAAAGAAAAACAAATGAATATCGCAACAGTACCTTTGTAAGCTCAACAAAGTCCCTCGCAGCGTCGTACCCCCACACAAACGTATCAGCGCCCCCGTAGGTTCTCAGCATTGTCATCCTCTGAAGAATGAGGCATGGGATGACGTTGTCAGATGCGTGGAAGGGCTAATGAGGCATCAGGCAGAATTTGAAGGCACTGGGTAGAACATTGCGGGGGTGGATGGCTCTGTATGATGTGAGACGAAGCTTGGGGTGGCTGATGCAGCATGGACTTGGTGACCCCTGGACCTTGCAATATTGCCAAGGGGCCCGGCGGCTAGGCAAAGCACAACCGTGCTATCGTGAGGTTGGCAAGGGGTGGAGTGGTACCTGCAGTATGTGAGCTTCGTTGAGCATGAAGAGGGACAACGTTGAACGTTGACTTGTTCAACATTGGGTCACATGTCCATAAAATCGCATGAGGGAGTGTCCGGGCCGGTCCGCTTGGGGGAATAAAAAACATATAAATTGTGTAGCGCACTCAATTCCGGGTAGAATATTCCATCTTTCAACAAAAATGTACAGTGAACTTTCCGAAACATTTTGAGATAGGTAGTTCTTTAAAATGGAGGAAAAAAATAAAAGTCTGACTGTACCCAAGGGGTGAAGACGATTTCGTTTATAAACTAAGGATACCATTGACAAGTTATCGTCCGACTACCCTGCAAAGTACCGATCTCAATTTATGCAACGAATAATTTGATTCTTCCGACTAATTTACTAAATCTTCAAGTGTTTAGGTGGAGAAACGAGTGCCGTAGATTGGTATCTACATCAAATCTACATTACAAAACATGGACTTTCAAAACCTGTCTCAACGTCTGTGCATCCATGCCTGGTGCAACGCTAACGTCAAGACCAAGGGGGCATGATTGAAATTTATGGCGGAGAGCGCGTCCAGTGGGATCGGCTACATTCCCAGACCCACACGACCCAACGCAAAAGAAGAGGAGACAAACGGACTCGGTATTGAACATGGTACCTTGTCACCCAGTCTTTGACTTTCGGTCTTGGCATCACCACTAAAAGATCATCAGCCGAGTCAACCAATACTGACAGTAAGGCATACGGTAATGGAGAGAACCACATGATACATCATGCCACCTACTCCACTCCGTAAGCGCACGAAAAGGCTTCCCCTGGTACATAGGGCGTCAAGATCCTATCCAACCAAGCACATAATGTCAGTCCGTTTACGTTGAACACCAAGAACAAACTCACGATGCTCCCCTCCCTACTGAACACCGACCCCACGTACCTCTCCAACTCCACCTTCTTCTGTGCAGCCTGAACGAGAGGCTCAACTGCCTCGCCAGCGGACCGTATAATCTCAACGACCTTCTGAAGGTCTGCCACAGACCTGGACAGTCATCTGAATCAGAATCTCACACCGCCTTTGTCTCTCTCTCCAATCCATGTGTTTCCTGCTCCAACCGTCTAAACGCATTCCCCACCTTGATAAGCTGCTCAGTCGGCCAGCTCAAGAAACATACAAAGCCTCAAGAAGTCTCGTTCAGTCATACTGCATCATCTGGTGAGTTCAATGAAGAGAGGCGATTAGGGAACCAACCTCGATGAACGCCCTAAACCTGGGGGTCACATCCGACATTCATGCTCGATCTTCCATTTCGCATATTTCGCATGGGTGTAAGTGGGGATGTACCCCATGCATGCTTCCCTAAACTCCCCGAAGAGTTAGAGATAAGGAGCGGAGATGGAGGAGATATTGAGGAGGGGCTGTTCCTTCTTCCGGGCTTCAGAGAGCCGAGAGAGGATGCTGGAGTGGTAGCCGAGAACTTGCTCATAATTCCCAAATGTGTTTTTGATGAATTGGTCGAGACGTGGTGGGGGAATGATTAGGGGGTTCGCGGTGCGCAGGGGTGTGATGTACATACAGCTGGTATGTAGTGGTAAGCACCTAGGAAAGAAACACGAAAAAAAACGCACGCCTTCAACGTTTCCAGGGCTTTGACCGAATTATTCACCCTCGCAGCCCTTTGAAACCTCTTCAACGGGCCTGCGCACAGTCTGAGTCTCACTGTCTCGTCCGCATTCGTTCTTCGTCCCCCCCTCCTTTTCGCCCCCCTCCCTCCGCTCTTCCTTCCGTCCCTAACTTGGCCTTTTCATCAGCTTCGATGATTGTCAGAGATTCCTCACGGAGCCCAAGGCGTTGGGATGGTAGGATGATGATGTAGCGGAAACCATCGGTGTGGGAATATAGCACAGGGCGCCAAGTGGGCGCTAAGTCGGACTTATGTCGGTTGTTAGCATGTGCGCCAAGTGGGCGCTAAGAACTTAGAGAAATATCTCGGTTGTTAGTAATAGGAGTGGCAGCCAGCGCGCTGACGCTTTTCAGTGACCGGCAAAAGGGAGCCCTCGCAGTGCCAAAGGATCTGAGATGGATGTCATCTATTTATAGTAGCGAGGACGCCGAGGAGTGCGTGGGCACTAGGCCTTGGGAGGCCAATTACTCATTGCCAAAGAATGGACCTTAGAAGGGGTCCTGTCACTAATCAGTGTCATGCCTTAGGTGGCGATTGATGGGATTAGAGGGTCGAGGAATCTACAGAGTTTTGATCCCTGAGACTGGTCAGATCATCAGATCTAGGAACGTGGTATTTGAAGAAGGTCTTGGTCACCGGACGCTCACGGATGAGGGGGAGTATTTCGTTGAGGATGATGGAGACATTGACTATGAATTCTTAGATGATTCTACACGTCATACCACCAACGACACTCCATCCGAGACCATCGACATTCCCACTCCTATCATTGAAAAACCCAAAGTCTCTCGCCAACGTATTATCTACCCTCCTGCTTCTCGGAAATCATCCCGACTCGCTGCTGCCGCCGAAACAACAAATCCTGTAATAGCTGCAGATACCGACGACCTCACAATTCCTGTAATCGAACCAGACGATGAAGAGGACGATTCCCCTACAGCCTTAAACACAAACTCGACTCCCGATCCCCTCAATAAATTCATACCAGAAACATTCCAAGAAGCATACGATCTATCGCGACGCTATCTATGGATGCCCGCTATGGAGAGAGAAATCGAACGATGGGATGCTCGTGGGGTTGTTACCGCTGTCCCTCGCCCAAAGGGCGTTAAAACCATCAAGGGAAAATGGATATACGACTTGAAAGTTGATGGTATAGGGAACCTGCTCCGAAGAAGAGCTCGTGGGGTGGTTAAGGGATTCTCTCAGAAGTATGGAGAACACTGGTGGGACTCGTTCGCCGCTGTGGTAAGATATGAATCCATTAGAATGCTATTCGCATTGAGCGCGTCGCTCGGACTTCGTCTATGGCTACTCGACTTCGTTGGCGCATACCTCAACTCTGTACCTCAAGGCGAAAACTACCTAGAAATTCCTGAAGGCTTCGAGAAGCATTATGGGATTCTAGGTGTCGACACTGTCCTCCTTATGAACCTCACCATCTATGGTACAATGGATGGCGCTAACAACTGGTTTCGTGAGCTCAATGCGACGTTCACTAAACTCGGCCATCGCCAATCTCGCGCAGACCCTTGTATTCGAATTCAATGGACAGACAAAGGGTACACGATAACTGGAACATATACCGATGACGTTACAGGAGGATCTTCGTCCTCCGAAAACGAGATTGAAGCGAAAACCGAACTTGGAAATGCCTATGAAATTACGGACCTTGGCCACCCAGATAAGGTTCTTGGCATGACGATCAAACACCATGACTCCGGCGACATCTCTATTCACCAACGCCCTTTAATTCTGAAGACTGTCACTACCTTTGGAATGCAAAACGCGAACCCAAAATATACGCCTCTTCCCCCAAACGTCAACCTCACGGACTCACAACCAATTCCGATCCCACAAACTGACATCGAGTTCATGAAAGATAAGGATTACCGAAAGGCTCTAGGGATGCTCAACCACATCGCAAACGGAACACGTCCGGACATCTCTTTCACCGTGAACACGTTAATGCGCTACGCATCTGACCCTCGCCCTTTCCATTGGCGCCTTGTCCAGCATTGCATCACCTACCTCAAAACCACCGCAAACCTTGCTATCACGTACCGAAAGGGCGAGAGCATCAAACCAATCGGATACTCCGATTCTTCATACGGCGATGAACCAGATTCGCGCAAATCCTCAGCAGGATTCATATTCAAATCAGCTGGCGGACCTGTTTGTTGGAAATCCAAGACACAGAAAAGGGTTAGCACGTCTACCGGCGAAGCAGAGTTTGTGGGGGTATTCGAAGGTGGAAAGCAGGCGAAGTGGATGTATTTTTGGTATACCGAGGTCGACCAACATTTCGACCTTCCGATAACCGTCTATTGCGACAACGACTCCGCCGTTGCACTTACTCAAAACACTGGCGGCCATAGCAAAATAAAACACGTCGACATCAAAACTCATTGAATTCGCGAGGCAGTCACCCTCGGCGAGATACTCGTCGAACCTATCTCAGGCTCCGAGGAGAACGTCGCGGACTTATTCACCAAGTCACTTTCTCGTCCGAAACTCGAAGTCCTTATCAAGAAAATGGGAATGGAATACCTCGATATTTAATCGACCAAGCTACGGGTTCAGGGGGAGTGTTGAGGTTTGAACCCATACCTCCTTTCCCAATCGAATGACTTCATTAGTTTGTTCCTATTATCCCCTTTACTATTTTCTTCCCTCCTTTCTTTGCGCTTTCCTCAGCCGTTTACTCTTGTACAACGTCTGAGGTGCGTATCTTATTTTCTATTATTCATACTTCTTACTTACGGTCTCTGATAGTATACTTATCATATCCTAACAGGTAGAGACCGAATAGAGCCGTTTACTCTTGTACAACGTCTGAGTATACTTATCATATCCTAACAATAGATCTCCGGAACGGCATGAACATGTTAAATAATAAGCGGTCAAGATTAACCAACCCTGCTTACGAACTTAGTGATGGAGTTCTGACCGAAGGAACGTGGCAAGGACATGTTCCATAGGAAAGGCACCTGAGGAGCATATTATTTCAGCGCAGCGTTACGCGAATTGTCTGAAGAGCACATCAGACTCCCCGCCAGCTGGTTTGGGACTCGAAAGGTGTGTGTTCCTCGTTGGCACCAAGACCACGGTTCTAGCTTGCCCAGGTCGAGTAGGGTCATAATCATTCAACTTGAGTTTTCCAGCTGGATACTTTGCATCGGGATTCCATGGATCCATTGCGTTGGCCGCTCCACCTTCTTTGAAGATGCCCGTCGTGTCAAGCAGGAACGCTGCTGTCATAGGATGCGAAATCCACGGGTGGTGGAAACGGCTCTGAAAGTAAACGAAGGCGATACCGCCAAGTAGAACCGCGAGGTGCAACCCAGCCCAAAAATAGACCCTCCATAAAACGAGACTAGGGTGAGAGGCGGGGACGGCGATCAAGACACTTGTCTGGTTATGCTGAGCAACATCACCAAGTACGTATGCGAGCGCTGACCATGCAGACTGATATGATCGCGAAACAAACTCAATGGCAAGGTCTTGAATGGTAGAAGAGTCGTCGGGAACAGGATCGGCATAGGCGTTGTAAAGTATGTGTGTCGTGACTGAGGGTGTTATCGCTAAGGCCTCAATGGTGAGAGAATCTGCAATGGGATGCACAGAGCCCATATGGCCCTGAACAACGGTAGGAGAAACGATCTTGCAGTCTCGGCAAACCGCGGCACTTGCTGTATAGGTCATATTTGCGAATATGAAGCATGAATATAGGGGGAAATTGATAATAGAGGTGAGATAGGGAGTGACATTCTGTGGCACCATGGATTTGGGAAGAGGACTACAACTTGGGGTGAAAGGGTTCTCGACTTGAATGCCAAGAATTCGGGATTCTGTAACATTCACGGGAGACGGTAAGTTGGTACTAGAACCCGGGCCCCAGCTACCGTCGGGAAAAAGCGCGGCGAATCCCCCACCCAGAAGGTAAGGATTGAAAGGGCTGGAATCGTTGAGCAAGGACCACTGTTGCGACGAAAGAGTCGATTCGGGATCTGTGATGTATTCAAAGTTTTCCACTGTGAAGTAAGGAAGTAGAATCGTCTCTAGTGTAAGGTTGGGCGGAAGGTGCAAGTTTACTGCTTGCATGATAGCGCGTCGGGTGAGGTTGGATGGCAGTGGGAGATTTGATGAATTCGTATTGGTGACCCCCCACGAAACCACAGCCAAAGTAGCCGCAAGTTCGATGACTTGTAAAGCTAACAGTTGATTTCGATAAAACGATATATCCGACCCAGGAACCCCCTCTGGGAGATTCGTAAGTGGCACGACCCCATCTACCAAAGTAAACGCAGGTTGCCACGTAATGGATCCCGTCAGAATGGCAGAGAAATAATCCATCACGAAACAGATGAAAATGATGGCGTATACGAGCAACCAGTTCCTTCGGCTCGAAACATGACTGGGTGATAGCATCGCCGTTATTCCACCTGAGATGACTTTGGAAAAACCAGCCAAGGTTATTTCACTTTTCTCCATAAACATGAAGGCACAGCGCCAGAGAAGTTTGCCAGCCCACCACGCAGCTGCTGCGCGCGTTGCGTTTGCTAGGAGTGCGATCACGGTTGTTATGTCGGATTGGAGGAGTTGGATGTTCCGATTGCTGGCTACCCTCGTCACACCATGGAGGTCGATAAAATGTGGTCGACGATGGTTGAGGTTGTAAACCAGATCTGCATCCGCCGGGTTGATAAGGAATAGAACCGCAATAACGGAAAAGATAGTCAGGAAGAGGTGAAGAGCAAATGGAAGAACGTCCTTGACGGATGAAAACAGCCTACACAACGTACTGTGAGTCTCAAAGTGTAGAAGGGATACACACTTACCTCAGTCTGGGCATTCTCCTCGTGAAAGAAGTAACAACTTGGGGTGAGGGACCATCGTCGGCGAGAATCGTCTATATAAGTGTTTTTGAAAGACATGCTTGTTTTCGGGAACCCGGAACATATGGGGGCTATGCAGCTTCTAACAGGAGGCAGCGTTGCAGTGGTGCTTTTTACGTGTATTTTCTCTGGGACAGCGCTTAAGAGGCGAAAATAACCATACCTTGTCCCTGATCAGAGTTTGGACACCGGAACTTGAGATAGGCAACTCACAACCACCTTTCCTTCGGTGCTTCTAGTTCAAACAGGATATTCCGCATCACAGGTCTGTTGAGCCATGGGTGTCCTTTTGGCGACATCCTCTCGGGCCACTGAAGTTTGCTGCTGTAACGGATCTAGCGCTTGTTCTTGAATCTTCAAGCGCCGTCTGCGTAGGTTGATCGACCTCACCTGCGGTCATTAACATCATGTGCGCCAGGCCTGATGCATGCGAAAGGTTACCGTTGTGTTGTAAAAAATAAATGGCCTACACGAATGTAAGCGCGGGTAGGAGAAATGGGCGATACACGTGCAATACTTGAGTTTGAATGATTGGTGATTGATGTCTGTTTTTCATATCAGGCATAACTGTGCACACACTCGTAGTGCATCAGCTTGAAGTTTACTTGAAGTGTTGAAAGCAGCCACAGCATCCCGGCCACAACCCGGCCACAAAAATCAAACAAAAATACGGCCGTATTTTGATTTTGATGCGCGTCCGTATTATTCCCACATTCTGTGAACGAGGAGGAAGATGGCACTAGCCGTCGAATTTCTGGTAGGCGTCATCATGATACCGAGGCTGGTCCGCTCGTAACCCTGGCCATAGGAAGGGTTTGATTTGGGTTCGAGGGATCCATCAACTGCTTACCCCCAGCGTCCGACACATTTTCAGCAGACGTATAGAACTATACAATTGTGTTGGCATATACTTGGACGGAGCGTATATGAACAGGTCCAGCCATACGAGATAACGTGCCTCATGTGCATGCAATGGTTGTGATCGAAACGACATGGCCGTTCATAAATTTGAGGGAACTTCGGGCGGACACGAGAACTGTGAATATTTCTTCGGGATTGCGTGCCTCTTCTGGCGATTGGTCAGGATTATCTTCCTGGGCTGGTCTTTTAGTCAATGCCAGGTGAAAAAGCTACCAAAAGTAACGAACTGTTGGGGTTCACCCAATCCTTCGACTCCATCCCCACTTTCACTCCCTCGGTATGGATCGAGAGTTGCAGGCACTTGTTATTGTTTGCTCACGACCAAGAGGTCCAACATGGGCTGCAGCCGCTCCACGATCGTTCTGAGTTTCTGCAGCCGCGGCAAGAGTAGCTGGGAGGAAAGTCAATTTATCTGACTCGCCGTGATCTATGGCTGAAAAACTCACATCAGGTTCAGGACACAGCGGCTTTGCATCGGCTCCGATAGCTTTTCGAGGTCCGCAGGCTACTTCAATCTTGACATCATTTGCGGCCTACGCCAGATTTTTCAAAGCTCAGTAAGGCTTGCTCATCTTCCTTGGCCAATTTCATGACGACCTCTTATATTTCGAAGGATAAGGTCGAAGGGGATGATGAGGCTGATTTTAATGCAGCAAGTAAGGCTTTGATAGGGAGAACCGTCGTGATTTCGTTGTTCGCATTGTATTGGATGCAGTAGCTTGTGGATATAGAATTTAGTTCTATGATTTGCCAGGTACTAGGGTCAGGGGAGGCGTATGGGAAGCAGAATGAAACGCACAACCATATTTGACTACCACCCTCGTTCGCATCAGATAATGTGCACATTCGCCTCCGTAAACATGATCAAGAATCGTTTTTAGAGTTTTTGAACGATTCCGCTTTGAATGAAATAATAGTAAGCAGAAGAATGTGCTCACGAAAGAAGGCCACGGTCAGGACATACTCCATCGTTGCGCGAAAACCCATATTCGTTGAATTTTATGTTGCGGGTACCCTCAATGTCAAGAGAAAGATCTGTGTACGGGAAGTGATTCCGATACAAGGTTTGCAACTTCAAGATGTCCAAGACACCGTCTGAGTCAATGGAAGATCTTGAGCCCTGGAAAGCCCTGTCAGCATATACCTCGAGGACTCACTCTCATAGACTTACAAAATCTGGAAACGAAACGACGAATTTTGTCGTGATCGTCGCGCCGTAGACGTTTGCACGTCGTGGACAACAGCAAAGAGACGAATTCAAAATTTCTCACGACAATGTCAACGACTCTTCCTCTCAACCCCCATGTCCAAAGACATCCTACCTCACGCGCTGACTGTTCCCGCGATTAAGAAGTCGCCGGAAAGCGCATTGTGCTCGCTTCCGACAGCCCTCGAAGACGCAAAACTCTCCGCACTTTCGTTCGTGTCCACACGTTCCGAGTCGGAAGCAACTCTCAACTCAGCTTTGGCCGGACCGTATCTTCGTCTTCTTCAACTCCTCTTAGGGTCTTGAATCTGACATCGTGCCATCGACATACATGAACTCCCTGTTGCGACTGCACAAGGCAGTGGAGGTGGACGACAGGCTTATGTCACTTTTTGCACGCCCGTGTGCACGCACCAATGGATATGTAGGAATAGGATCCTGATCACGCTCTAGACCTCGTTATTGCAGGTGAGTTGCTGGATGCCGTTCTGGCAAGGTGTTTCAGCTGACACCTTCTACCGGCGGATACAGTGGACCTCAAGTTGGCATGCGCAGCCCATAACGTCAGATACAGTGTAGAGTCGGTGCCTCCACAAGCGAATCAGGAACTACTTGAAAAGTCGCAATCGAAAACGGGCAACGTGCGAATGCTCTTGGATCTGAGCGGTGGCGTATGTCAGGCTGTTACTTACGGGCCTGGTCGTCAGTGAACTCTTGTCGTCTACAAAAAGGTTTCTAGTCAAAGCGGGTCCTGCAGCTTTTTTCTCGTCCTTACTTCCACTGACTGTATTATCAGATAAATACATCTGTATAGGTTGCCTTATTGCGGAACGTCGATTTCATTCTGGCCTTATCTCAATAGATGAGCGTGCTCGTGTACTTTGCCGCAACCCTACACATCATCAACGCTTGATCAACGCGTACGTGGATAGTGAAGAGGGCATTGACAGGGCCGGGGGTTTTCTATTCAAGTACTCCTGACCTCTGTCATCTTTGCCACTCATGTTAACGGACATATTCTAGGGATTGGGCGGCATCTTTATACGAAAAATTGAAGGCAATTATAACAATGTCGTCGGGTTCCCTGTGGCGTCATTCTACAAGCTTCGCGATCTTTTGACCGAACAAGACCCGGGTTTTCCTGACATATGATTTCTCAAACTTTCTTGTCCAACTGTACTATGTACCATATCGCAGTCATCCAGGTTTATCAGACGAAGCAGCTGCTCAGCATCTTACTATACGTCCCCTCCCTATGTTCCCGCCAACCCACTAACCAAGCAAACAGGTGGTATCTTTCCTATCGACGGGACAACCGAGTCTCCGTCCCGCGAACTCTCGCACACCAACTAAGACATTAGACATCTATCTCGTCTAGCGAATCGAACGTTGAAAATTCTGATCTATTCTCAAAACGTTAACATACACACCCAAAAAAAGCAAGAGAATAGGGAGATTACATACCAATTGCAACACTGCCAGCACGGCTGGCCGTCGCAGGACGATTGGTTTGCCGGGGCCCCATTGGGACAAGGGATCTGTTCGGGATGGCAGTCACCGCACTGTCGGTTGCAATCCCGAGAGGCGTGTCTGCCGGCAGAGACTGTGAGTGGGGCAAGTGGGGCGAGGAGGAGGAGCATGACGGTTAAGCTGAACTTCATGTTTTTGTCTGTGATTTGACCTTTGAGACTGAAGTCAGTGAGTCTGAAGTGAAGCGATGTTGTTTTCAAACTTGAATTTTCCATTCCATTTTATACAGAATTTGCTCCGGAGACATTGGCAAGCCATACCGCGATACTTCGTCCCTTGGAAACGAAGGAAAAGTTGCTCAGAGGCATTTTTGCCCCAGAGCCGTTAGAAGTCTTCTGAGTGCCTGACTTCTTCGTTTCATCAATACTGCGCCATGCTGAGCTTTGAGGGCCGCCCTGCCTAAATTGAGTTTACCTGGGAGTCGGGACAATGTCGGGATACTTTTTTAGTGTGCGTGTCTCACGAACTCAACTGCGGTCGATACCTTTCGTAATTTATCATCAGGTTACGACCGCGACGACTCGTATTTCCGGCCTCCATTCGCCTAAGTTCAGATTCTAGAGCTCCTCATACTGGTCACAGATTCGGATTCCTAAGGGCCTTGAATTTCCGCGGGACAACGCGTAAGTAATGATTGCCGTACGTCGAGCTGTAAGGTCTGACATAGGGCTCTGCCCGAATGGACTTGGAAAAAAAAAAAAGGTTGACGTTAAGTACACCCCCAAACTCATGGCTCACCGGCGCAGTAAGTTAATTTTCCAGTCGCATTTCAAGAACATACCCGTTTTGACAACCGTTCGAAAATTATGCACCTAAGGAAAATAAATAAAATCTTGAGTCAGAATCAAGCCAGAATACCTGTACAAATCGAGTTCTCAAAAAATTATAGAGAAACCCACCATGAGCGCGACTAGAAATTCAATCATCAACTTTGTAAGTTGTAGCAGGCGTTGTGGTTACTAGCCGCAGGCCAAAAAGCTGAAGAATCACGTGATATAACATATCTAAAAGGCTCCGTGTCAACTCCGCGTGCGGTTTCGAGGAAGTGTACCGACCTTTTCCTCTTACAATGCACGCAACCAGCGTCCTAAGGCCTCACCAACAACTGGTCCGAAAGAGCTTGGAGGATGATTCTACTGCGTTTAACGCAAGTTGGCAACAACGTGAGCCTACTACTTTCATTTTGGCGGTGTGTGTATAACCTAACTCGTTCTCTAGGAGCGATTCGCTGGCAACGTGGCCACTTGCTTTCCGAGATTGAAGATAACGATTACTTCACACCGGATAATCGTATCTTCAGCTTCCATTTCACGGGTGCGTCTACTTATGCTCGTCCTTGATGAAAATCTGATCAATCAATCAAAGGCCTGGATCACTCTCACCAGATTCATCATCACTGGCACTTTGAATCTGAAGTTCTGTCGTAATAAATGGGGCTGCCATCTCCATCCCGGATGGTACCCATCCCTAACGCCTATGACATCCAAGGATTGTCCTACGGCCTTCATTCCATGCGGGTCGCCCTCCTGACTTACAGTGGCGGAGTTGAAAGTCATTCTCGTATCTTGTACCATGTCAGCGTCAACCAGACAGTGACATCTAGCACCAAGATAACATCAGCCGGACCATCCACGTCTGCATCCGCGAACACGTCTGCTGCCGCTCCCAGCTGTTCGGTCGCTCCTGTACAAATTTAAACGATAAGGTGAGTTCGGTATTCTTCGAGAAATCGGATCGAACACAAATATCCTCACAGGTATAACCATTCGAGTGCCATAATAGCGGGGTCGATGGGCGGAATTGTCTGTGTTCTCTGGGCTCCTGCTGTTGCTTTTATTCCTTCGGGGACGAAAGCGAAAACCTGCTGAGGTGGTTAAGACCAAATCTGAGGGGAATACATGCACCGAGTGTGTGATCCAACAGCAGCCTGATTTCTGACCTCTTCCAGTTCCAACCACTCTGTCACTGGAGGACTTCCAGGCAAAACAGCCTGGTACCGCTTTACAGTCCTCGATTCTGTTCTCGCCTTTGATGAATGCCCAGGCTCAACGTTCAATATCCGTGCAACCCTCCGACATTGACAGATCACCGTCCGCTTCAGAGTCTGCGAACAACTGGTCTCTCCGTCCTAGGAGCACCTGTCATTGCGGCACCGCTTGTCAGTGAAAGCCTACCGCACTCCGGAGAACGTCAGCGTCGATACCAATAGAATTTGTAGCGGGGCTCTACCGCCAGCAGCTGCCCGCCTCCGAGGTTGCTTGTGTCGTAGAGAATATGATACAAAGTGGCCCTGTAACACCACATGTGCCACCAGTTGAGGAGCTTCCCTCAGCGAACGATTTTCGTCCAAAGCCATAATGGCAAATGATTTGTTGACACACACCCTGCCTTATCATCTACGGAAGCGCCGAGTTGTTAACTTGAGATGGCGCGCCTAGCCCATTCTTTTTTGTACATGGACAGATTGTTTTTTAAGTGTCGGAGGGTCCTGATGAGATTTAAGTTGAGGTGTAAATCGCACCTGGTCTTGATCTGACCCACAATCCGAGACTCGCCTTGAAGGAAAATACGTGATATGATTACCGATGTTCTTTAGGAAGAAATGGATGTGAAGTTGACAAGGTAGCTTAGAGCCCGACGCTAATGAGCTAAATTTTATAAAAAGCCATGGGAAGAAATCCATCTCAACGAACAGCCATCTACCAAAACTACCATGAACACCACATATCAATTTTCGATCGCGTAGCTAACGTGTGAGGAGCATTGACTTCAAGTCGAGTAGGTTGAACGTCATAGATCTCGGCAAAGGCATGAATAAGTACGTTAAATGATAAGCGGTCAACGTTAATCAACCCTGCTTACGGACTTATTGACGGAGTTGCTGACCAAAAGAAAGCGACGTGTTCCAGTCATAGCAAAGGCACCTGAGGAACGCGTCATTTCAGCGCAGCGTTACGCGAATTGTGTGAGGAGCACATCAGACTCCGAGTCCCCGCCAGTTAGTTTGGGACTCGAAGGGGGTGTGTTTGCCGTTGGCACCAATACCACAGTTCTAGCTTGCCCAGGTCGAGTAGGGTCATAATCATTCAACTTGAGTTTTCCAGGCGGATACTTCGCATCCGGGTTCCATGGATCCATCGCGTTGGCCGCTCCACCTTCCTTAAAAATTCCCGTCGTGTCAAGCAGGAAAGCTGCCGTCATAGGATGCGAAATCCATGGGTGGTGGAAACGGCTCTGAAAATAAACGAAGGCGATACCGCCAAGTAGAACCGCGAGGTGCAAACCAGCCCAGAAATACACCCTCCATCGAAGGACACTAGGGCGAGAAGCGGAGACGGCGATCAAGACACTTGTCTGGTTATGCTGAGCAACATCACCAAGTACGGTTGCAAGTGATGACCATGCAGATTGATATGATCGCGAAACAAACTCAATGGCAATGTCTTGGTAGGTAGAAGAGTCGCCGGGAACAGGATCGGCATAGATGCTGAAAAGTATGCGTGTCCCGACTGAGGGTGTTATCGCCAAGGCCTCAATGGTTAGAGGATCCGAAATGGGATCAACACGACCCACATGACCCTGAACAACGGTAGGAGAAACGATCTCGCAGTCTCGGCAGAGCGCGGCGCTTGCTGTATAGGTCATATTTGCGAATATGAAGCATGAGTAAGAGGGGGCATTGATGATGGAAGTGAGATAGGGAGTGATATTCTGTGGCACCATGGAATTGGCAAGAGGAGTACAACCTGGGACGAAAGGGGTCTCGACTTGGATGCCAAGAAGTCGGGATTCTGTAATATTTACGGGAGACGGTAAGGTGGTACTAGAACCTGGGCCCCAGCTACCGTCGGGAAAAAGCGCGGCGAATCCCTCCCCCAGAAGGTAAGGATTGTAAGGGCTAGAATCATTGAGCAAGGACCACTGTTGCGACGAAAGAGTCGATGCGGGATCTGTGATGTATTCAAAGTTTTCCACCGTGAAGTAAGGAAGTAGAATCGTCTCTAGTGTAGAGTTGGGCGGAAGGTGCAAGTTTGCTGCTTGTACGATAGCGCGTCGGGTGAGGTTGGATGGCAGTGGGAGATTTGATGAATTCGTATTGGTGACCCCCCACGAAACCACGGCCAAAGAAGCCGCAAGTTCGATGACTTGTAAAGCTAACAGTTGTTGATTCCGATAAAACGAAATATCCAACCCAGGAATCCCCTCTGTGAGATTCGTAAGTGGCACGACCCCGTCTACCAAAGTAAACGCAGGTTTCCACGTAATGGATCCCGTCAAGATGGCAGAGAAATAATCCATCACAAAACAGATAAAAATGATGGCGTATACGAGCAACCAGTTCCTTCGGCTCGAAACATGACTGGGTGATAGCATCGCCGTTATTCCACCTGAGATGACCTTTGAAAAACCAGCCAAGGTGATTTCACTTTTCTCCATAAACATGAAAGCACAGCGCCAGAGAAGTTTGCCAGCCCACCACGCAGCTGCTGCGCGCGTTGCGCTTGCTAGGAGTGAGATCACGGTTGTTATGTCGGATTGGAGGAGTTTGATGTTCCGATTGCTGACTACCCTCGTCATACCATGAAGGTCGATAAAACGAGGTCGACGATGGTTGAGGTTGTAAACCCGATTTGCACCCACCGGGTCGATAAGGAATAGAACCGCAATAAAGGAAAAGATAATCAGGAAGAGGTGGAGAGCGAATGGAAGAACGCCCTTGACAGATAAAAGCAGCCTGCACACTGTGCTGTGAGTCTTAAAGTGTAGAAGGGCGGGCGCACTTACCGAGGTATGGGCATTTTCCTGGAGAAGGAAGAAGAACTTGCGGTGAGGGATTATCGTCAGCGAATCGTCTATAAAGTTGATAAGGGTGGCTGTGCAGCTTCTAACAGAAGGCGTGGTGCTTTCTAATGTATTGTTGCCGGGACTTATAAGAGATAGAAATAACATACCTTGTGCTTGATCAGAGTCACGGTTTGGACTCTGGAGCTTGTACCCAACCACCTTTCCTTTGATGCTTCAAACTTGAAGTTCCGCATTTACATTAAGTTTGTTGAGCCACTCTCAGGCCTCCGTGAACTTGTCTTTGTAGAACAGACTAGCGCCGGTCCGACCCAAGCTTTAAGCGCCGTCTGCGTAAGTTGATGATCGCAAGATGATCGACCTCACCTGCGGTAATAATCAACGTTGACAACAGCGTGTGCGCCAGGTCTGATGCATGAGTCAGATTACCCGTGGTTACGAGTCCGAGGTACGATGATTCGTTTCTTCTACTTATGATCGTCTTTTTCGTCCATGACAGTTGCATGCAAGTTGCATGACAGTCGTCCACCGGATGTTCATTGTTTGTGCGTTTGTTGTGTGTTATTTGTGCTTTGCCATCACATATTCACAACTCTTTCAAAGAAAGTTCCCGAGCGAGAACCCTCGCTCCTCTCTTTTGCGGACTCGCATTTAACACATGCAGTGGTCGCCACGAACAAGTGTTAAAATATAAATAGCCTGCGGGTATCCGGGAAGAGAAATGGGTGGTACATGTGCCATACTTGCAACTCCGCCCCAATAAACTTAAATTTGACCCAAAAAAATATGTCTATCTCGTCTAGCGAATTGAACGTTGAAAATCCGGATCTATTAAACAAGACGTTAGCGTGTGCACCCAAAAAAGCAAGAGAAAAGGGGGAACATTCCATACCAACTCAATCATTCTTGCAACACTGCCAGCACGGCTGGTTGTTCGGGAACGATAGACTTGAGCTCCATCCAGGGGGACACTGTGGCGTTGTGGTAGTGCAATCGCTGCACTGTTCGCTAGTGGCGTCTCCGTCGGCAGAGACTGTGAGTGGGGCAAGTGGGGCGAGGAGGAGGAGCACGACGGTTAAAATGAACTTCATGTTTTTTGTCTGTGATTTGACTTTTAAGACTGAGGTCAGCGAGTCTGAAGTGAAGCGATATGTTGTTTTCAATTTATACAGAATTCGCTCCGGAGGCATTGGCAAGCCATACCGCGCCGATCCCTTGGAAACGAAGGAAAAGTTACTCAGAGGCATATTTTCCCCGGACCCGTTAGAAGTCTTCGGAGTGCCTGCCCAGACTTCACTTCTTCAGCTTCTAACGTTTCATCGGTACTGCGCCTGCATAAATATTGCTTACCTGGGAGTCGGCGGGACAATGTCGGGATACTTGTTTAGTGTGCATGTTGGTTGAACCTCTCACGAACGTCGAACTCAAATGCGGTCGCTACCTTTCGTAATTTATTATCGGCTGCGACGAGTTGTAGTGCCGGCCTTACACACCTAAGTTCGGATTCTGAAGCTCCTCGTAGTGGTCACAGATTCGGAAAAGATTTAACATCTTCTTACGGGCCCCGAATTTCCGCGGTAAGTAATGGTTGCCGTTAAGTACACCCAAAACTCACGGCTCACTGGCGCGATTTAACCTTCCAGTCACATACCAAGAACATACCCGTTTTGATGACCGTTTGAAAATTATGCACCTAAGGAAAACAAATAACGAGGACATAAAATCTTCAGAGAGAATACCCGTTCAAATCGAGTTCTCAAAGAATTATAGAGAAACCCACCAGGAGCGCGACTTGAGCATGACTAGAAATTCAATCATCAACTTTATTCAGTTGTATAGTAGCAGACGTTGTGGCCAAAAAGGATGCTGAAAAGATGGGAAGAATCACGTGACATAACGTCGTCATCTTCTCGACGTGGTTGAACCAAGCTGCCAGGAGTCCACAAGAACCTCATCTTAATCCTCACCGGCCACCGTCCATGTCGTCAAAAGACTCCACATGTAGTTCCAAGGAAGTGTACTGACCTTTTCCTCTTACAATCCACGCATACCCCAGACAGATCAATGAAACAGCCAGGAACCAGCGCCGACAGCTCCAATAGCAAGTCGTCTTCTCCCTTACCAAACAGCGATGATGATTCTGATCACACACCACGCACAGCGAGATTGCACAAATCATCAGCGGTAAATCCCAACACGTGCCGGTGACCAGTGAATATTTGAATATGCGCCTGATTGGAGACCATACATACGTCCATCGATCTTCCTCTTCCTTTACGTTTCACGTCCTTACGACCGCCCGCAGATCCAAACGCCCCTTCTACCAGAAGAAGCCCCACATCCGCCTGCCATCCCAGAATATCAGAAGCGAAACCTGGTGGTTGGCCGGGAAGGCTTTCGGAATGGCTATCTTACTTCACTTGGCCCTTCTACTTCCTCTTTGCCGTGGTGTTCTGTAGGCTACGCCATCGATGATCGCCAGATTACGTTCTCCCCAACAATTTTCCGAAAGAGCTTGGAGACTGGAGGATGATCCTACTGCGTTGAACGGAACAACATGAGCCTACTGCTTTCATGTTGGCGATGTGTGTATAACCTGACTCGTTCTCTAGCTGCGGTTCGCTGACAATGTGGCCACTTGCTCCCCGGGATTGACCCTCTGGCGTATATTGCTTCACATCCATCCCGGATGGTACCCATTACTGACGCCTATGACATCCAAGGATTGTCCTACGGCCTTCATTTCATGCGGGTCGCTCTTCTGACGTACAGTGGCGGAGTTGAAAGTCATTTCCCCATGTCACCGTCAACCAGACAGCGACAATAGCCGGACCATCCACGTCAGCATCCGCGAACTTGAATATGGCTCCTGCTGCTCCCAGCTCTTCGGCCAGTTCTGCATAATTTCAAAAGATAACGTGAGTTCGGTATTCTTCAACAAATCGGATTGAACACAAACATCCTCACAGGCATAACCAACCGAGTGCCATAATAGCGGAATCGTCGGCGTTCTCTGGTTACTGCTGTTATTTATATTCTTACATAAACGAAAGCGAAAACCTGCTGAGATGATTAAGACCAAATTTGGGGGGAATTACGCGACTGCCTTCTGACCACCAAGACCTTCTGTCGTCAAGGTTGACAGTGCCATTTTGAAATGGTACGAATACAGGTACCGAGTGTGTGATCCAACAGCAGCCTGATTTCTGACCTCTTCCAGTTCCAACCACTCTGTCAGACAGACTGGAGGACTCATGGCAAAAAAGCCCGGTATCGCTTTACAGCCTCGATTCTGTTCTTGCCTTTAATGAATGCCCAGGCTCAACGTTCATATCCGTGCAACCCTCCGACATTGCCGGATCACCGTCCGCTTCAGAGTGTGCGAACAACTGGTCTTTCCCTCCGGACAACCTCAGCGTCGGTACTAGTAGAATTTGTAGCGGGGCTCTACCGCCTGCAGCTGCCGGCCTCCGAGGTTGCACATGTCGTAGAAAATATGATTCAAGTCGAGGAGCTTCCCCCAGCGAATAACTTTCGTCCAAAGCCATAATAGCGATCGCGCGTCGATGATTTGTTGACACACGTCGTCCCTTATCAAGCCCGGAAGCGCCGAGTTGTTAACTTGACATGGCGCGCTTAGCCCATTCTTTTTTTGTAGATGGACACGTTGCTTTTTAATAGAATAACATGTCGGAGGCTGATGAGATTCAAGTTGAGATGTAAACCGCACCTGGTCTTGATCTGATCCACGAGACTCGCCTTAGAAGGAAAATACGTGATATGATTCAAGTTACCCTTGCTCATTAGGAAGGGGGGGATACGAAATTGACAAGGTAGCCTGCTAAATAGAACAACCATCTGTCGAAACTACCATGAACACCACAAATCAATTTTGAGGAGTATTGGCTTCAAGTCCACTAGGTTGAACGTTCTAGTCTCCGGAACGGCATGAACACGTTAAATAATAAGCGGTCACTGAGGTTGACCAGCCCTTCTTACGGAGTTGTTGACCGAAGAAGCATGGATAGCGACATGTTTCAGTCATAGCAAAGGTACCTGAGGAACGCATCATTTCAGCGCAGTGTTATGCAAATTGTGTGAGGAGTATATCAGACTCCCCGTCAGTTGGTTTCGGATCCGAAGGGGGTGTGTCTTTTGTTGGGATCAATATGACACTTCTAGGTTGCCCTGGTCGAGTAGGGTCATAATCGTTCAACTCAAGTTTTCCAGCTGGATACTTTGCATCTAGATCCCATGGATCCATTGCTTTGGCCGCTTCACCTTCCTTGAAGATCCCTGTCGTATCAAGCATGAACGCTGCTATCATAGGATGCGAAACCCATGGATGGTGGAAACGGCTCTGGAAATAAACGAATGTGATGCCGCCCAGTAGAGCCGCGAGGTGCAACCCAGCCCAAAAGTACACCCTCCATCGAAGGACACTAGGGCGAGAAGCGGAGACAGCGACCAAGACACTTGTCTGGTTATGATGAGCAACACTACCAAGTACGGTTGCGAGCGATGACCATGCGGATTGATACGATCGTGAAACAAACTCAACGGCAAGGTCTTGAAAGGTAGAAGAGTCGTCAGGAACGGGATCGGCATAGGCGCTGAACGCTATGTGTGTCCCGACTGAGGGTGTTATTGCCAAGGCCTCAATGGTGAGAGGATCTGCAATGGGATGTACACGGTCCATATGACCCTGGACAACGGTAGGAGAAACGATCTCGCAGTCTCGGCAGATCGCAGCACTTGCTGTATAGGTCATATTTGCGAATATGAAGCATGAATATAGAGGGGCGTTGATGATATAAGTGAGGTAGGGAGTAACATTCTGCGGAACCGTGAAATTGCCAAGAGGAGCACAACTTGGGACAGAAGGGGTCTCGACTTGAATACCAAGAATCCGGGATTCTGAAACACTGACAGGAGACGGTAAGGTGGTATTAGAGCCTGGGCCCCAACTACTGTCGGGAAAAAGCGCGGCGAATCCCTCACCCAGAAGGTAAGGATTGAAAGGGCTGGAATCGTTGAGCAAGGACCACTGTTGCGACGAAAGAGTCGATTCGGGATCTGTGATGTATTCAAACTTTTCCACTTCAAAGTAAGGAAGTCGGATCGTCTCTAGTGTAGAATTGGGCGGAAGGTACTGGATCCCTTGCCAGCTCGATGCCTGAATGATAGCGCGTCGGGTGAGGTTGGATGGCAGTGGTAGAGTCGAGGAGTTTGTATTGATGACCCCCCACGAAACCAGGGCCAAAGAAGCCGCAAGTTCGATGACTTGTGAGGCTAACAGCTGTTGACTTCGATAAAACGAAATATCGAACCCAGGAACCCCCTCTGTGAGATCGGTAAGTGTCACAACCCCATCTACCCAAGTAAACGCAGGTTGCCATGTAATGGATCCCGTCAGGATGGCAGAGAAATAATCCATCACGAAACAGATGAAGATGACGGCGTATACGAGCAACCAATTCCTTCGGCTCGAAACATGCTGGCGCGATAGGATCGTCGTTATTCCACCCTCGACGACCTTGGCGAAACCAGCCAAGGTGATTTCGCTTTTCTCCATAAACATGAAGGCACAGCGCCAGAGAAGCGTGCCAGCCCACCACGCTGCAGCTGCGCGTGTTGCGCTTGCTAGGAGTGAGAGCATGGTTGTTATGTCGGATTGGAGAAGTTTGGTGTCCCGAATGTTGGCTACCCTTGTAAAGCCATCAAGGTCAATAAAATGGGGTCGACGCTGGTTGAGGTTGTAAACCCGATTTGAACCCGCCGGATCGATGAGGTATAGGGCCACAAAAACGGAAAAGATAGTCAGGAAGAAGTGAAGAGCGAATGGAAGGACGCCCTTGACAGATGAAAGCAGCCTACACACTGTGCTGTGAGTCTCAAAGTGTAGAAGGGTGGGCGCACTTACCTCGGTATGGGCATTCTTCTGGTGAAGGAAGTAAGAACTTGCGGTGAGGGACCATCGTCGGCAAGTCGTCTATATAATGTCGTGGCTACGCACCTTCTAACAGAAAGCGTGGTGCTTTCTAATGATGGATAGATAGATAGCTAGATAGTTGCCGGGAGAGCGCTTAAGAGACAGAAATAAACATACCTCGTGCTTGACCAGAGTTTGGACTCTCAGGCTGGAGCTTGTACCCAACCATCTTTTCTTTGTTGCTTCGAATTTCAAGTTCGGCATTTAAATATTTGTGTTAGGTCCGTTGAGCCATTCTGAGGCCTCTGCTTGTGAACTCGTGTTTGCAACGTGTTTGTGAAACAGACCTCGAAGTCTAGCGCTCGTTCTTCAAGTTTCAAGCGCCGTCCTTGCGTTGTCTGAGTAAGTTGATGCTGCGGTAATTTAAATCATAGCGTGTGTGCCAGGTATGATTCAGGTTACCCCTTGTTTCGAGTCCGAGGTACTTTTTCGACCATGTGAGTTGGAGTTGGCGTTTGTTGTGCGTTATTTGTGCTGTGCCATCTCTCCTCGTAGAAAGTTCCCGACTCGCACCTCTCTTTTGCAGACTCGCACTTAATACATGTGGCAGTGGCAGTGGCCCACACCATCAAGTGTTAAAAACTGATGTGCGGGGAAGAGAGATAGGTGCCAGAAACGTGCCATGCTTGTGTTCTTCATCAGGCTATCAAATGCTTGATGGGTGGCCACCTGTTTTCAATTCATTCCAGGTATAACTGCTGTATTATAAGTCCCGTAGTACGTCAATTTAAAGTGTCCGATACTCGCTTTTGGAGAGGAGGTTTTCATTCTCACAAGCCGAGTGGGGGCAAGACGGCTTACACACGTGGCTACCTATCCTGGACTAAGTTGTGCTGATCACTCGACGGGGCAGAACCTTGGCAGTGGTTTGTCGGCAGATGTCGTTGTCAAAAGTTGAACATGAGCACTGGGGAGCAGACGCTTTCCGAGTCCGCAACTTGTATACTGTTGAAGATGACAAATTGGAAGTGTCAATCTGTTCAACGAATTATGTTGGCTCAGTATCGATACCGTTCAAGGGTAATTAGTAGGAAGAAGGCGACGACATACCTCGTCCAGATAAAAAAATGGGTGACAAGCCTGAGACCTGGTGCGTTGACGCCGCTATGGTATCCGTAGGACACGAAGGTAGCCAATCCTACAATGAGAAGAAGTTGACTTTCCGGCGACAACGAATACTGAAATATTCAAGGCTGTTCAAGTGGGAAAACGATCATAAAGATGATGTCATATTGCCAGATGTAGACAAGCCCACCTTGCCGAGGTGCTCTTTCTTACTTCTTAAAGCTGGCCACTCGAATTTTGGGCCGATGAGTCGGATACACAACTGTAGAAACCGGCGTTGACCACAGTTTCGTCCACACATTTTTTCGAGCTTTGATTACCCACATGCACCACGTTAGATTTTTTGGGCGAGTACTTACCTCTTTTTTATTCCTGATCCTTTTACTTTCCACACAAAACCCCCGTCGCAGCGTTCCCATTCAGGTTTCGGTCCGCAATTAATTTTTGGAGCTCTAAATGGATCTCATCGACTCTCAATCCCTTGAAATAGATAGGATTTTGAAAATCCAACTTTTTTTGTGTTCGTCGAAAAACAGATGATTGGCGTCTCAAAAAATCCGGACAGCCTTCAAGTTGCATTCAGACAGTCGATTCCCGTATTTGTCGGATCTAAACGAGGTCCCCTTCTGTCGTGGGCGACGCGGTGACGGGCATGCTTCTCGGCTGTGGCAGCCATGGGTCAAAGTAGTTGAAAGCATGGTCAAAGTTGTGGAACCCTGTCAACAACTCTATGACTCCCGAGCGCCTGCTAGTGGTGGACTCAAATAGATTGGGCGCTCGTTGACCATTGATAAGCTCGTCGATCATCCGAGCGACGATCCATTCTCACCAGCACAATGAAACAATTCCTCGCCGACGCAGAGAAGCAGAGAAGGGCCCGCGCCCCCAAGCAAGAATCGACCACTATGGTCCTGCAACCCCCACCACCAGCTGCCGTCACCCCATGTTCGTTCTTTTGAACCTGTTTCCCGTCGTTTAGCTCACCAAGCGCATCTCTACAGACACCACAACCTTCCCTCCTGCTCCCCCGACGAAAGGTCGAAAGATTAAAGCTTCCATGATGGCAGGAGCGCATGGACTGCATTTCACCGGAGGCTCCTTCATGAACGTGGGGGGCGACTTGGTTCGCAACGGAGCAAAGGTGGACGGCGTCCGTTTTCATGACGGCATAAAAGGGTCGGCAGGAGACGAGATAGAAGTGGACTACCTCGAAAATTCGAGCAAGCTGACGATGGAAGGGAACGCTGAACATGTAAATGTTGGCGGGGCTGTCAGGTATATTCCTGTTGGTCAGGATGGTGTTGCTACGAAGTCGTCTCGGGTCCAGAAGGCAGACATTCATGCGCACATGTTTACGAAGCTGAAAGACTCCAAGTTCAACGGCGGACAATATACGAATGTTGCGGGAAATATAGACTACGTCGGAGCTTTCGAATCTGCTCCGCCGCCGTCCAAAGGTGATTTAATTTTGAAGGGATGCTTTTCATCTGTATTCATCTGCGTATTCTTCAGGCAAGAAAGACAGCGCCAGAAACGAGAGACGCCGAACTTGAAAGGGGTGATATGCCTGGCGGTTGGTAGTAAGACTAGAATAAAAAAAGAAAGGGAGGAAGTCACCGCGTTTGTAAAATAGGAATTAATTATCATTGGGGGTTTGACGATAATGCCGAAATAGAAAATTACATGAGCGTACTACCATCGCAATCCAGCCTGGCAACAATAAGCAGTACAAAAGTCTTCCGCGAAACTGCCTCGAATACTTGCCGTAACACTAACGTTGAGCGAGTCGCGACCTATATGATACCTGTAGTGCCCAAATCATGTTGCAACTAAATTCAAAACAGGCATAATTCCAGCCATAGGAAGAGCATGATCAGACTTCACCTTTCGGGATGTTGTGCGGTGAGCTTCAAGATGCTCCAGCTCGCGCTCATTCAACAAATGGGTGAGGGAGCGGCACCACCAAGTGAGACAACCTATGTCGAACCCCATTATGTTTGAATGTATTTCTCAAGGATTGACCAACGGACGCAGACAAGACGCAGACGTACCAGCAGTACCAACGTCCCAAAAGCAATCGCAACATGTATGTTGCGGTACATCGCTTCTGTTGACTGAGGAGATTTCGGTAATAACCCTCTTGTATTTTCAGGACCGAGTATATCCAGGCCATGGTATCGCTCCAGACGCGATTCGAGAATGTCACCTTAAAGGCAGAAGCGTTGGAAGCGAAAAGTTGGGACAAAGTGACGGAGATGAACCGCGTGATCGATTTTCGTTAGTAGCCGTCTCGGCAAATAAAGTCATTTTCTGCCATTCCAACATCGCCACCGTTGTTTGGCCACTGTGGCGAGGCATCGTTCTCCTTGTCGCCGTCGTAAGTGGGCGTCGTCGAGGGTATTATGCGTGGTTAACGACCTTGTTCAGGACTGTCACAGCGTCGTATCTCAGAGCGAGAAGATCGGGTAACGTTACCTTCTTTAGGTGATTTTATAGTTCTCTTCAAGGCTTTCGAAATCTGGAGACAACGACGAGCCTGTTATCGGGCGTTGACGACGTTATAAAAGGAGCTGTGGACGCAGGTAAGTGTGCTGGTATCTCCGCCCTTCTCTACGCACTGACCTCAACATCGGTGTAACAGGCTCGATGGAGCAACGGCAGCAGCAATCGGATATCAATTTAGAATCATTACAAGCTGTAAAGGACCTTAAATCAAGGTTCGAACAACTCGCCCAGTATGCATCATCCAATCGAGTGGGGAACGGCGTTAACCAGGACGACTTCTTGCTCGCCCCAGCAACAAGCCCCAGACCGCGCGTCTCATCCAATACCTACCTTAATCTGAATAATACAGAATTGAACCATCAACTCAGACCTTCATCATCGTCTTCTGATCTCACAGTCCCTCTGAAGCGACCTCCTCCGCCTCCACCACCTCCACGGGGCTCAAAGATTATTCGATCACCTTCTCCTTCAGTATCTCCACCATCTCCCTTGACTCGCCCAGTCCCCATTCCCCAGTCTTTGTTGGCGAGCTCCTTTTTGTTGAACACTCAGCAATCAGATACAGGGCTGACACAACGCAGTGTCTCAGCCTTCAAGGGCAGATTGTAAGTTGCACGATATTTTGTCTCCTTTCAATATCTTACATCCTAAACAGTGGTAGTCCGCCTTCATCTTTAAGATTGCATACCCCTCGTCAAAGCGTATCGGAGTCTTATCCCGAGCGTCCTTCCTTCATTGCTCCCAAACCCGCCATACCACCTCGACCCTCAGCTCTTCTGGCACCGTCACGAACGGTGTCGCAAGACTCAACTACAGAAAAAGCCCGGCGCAGCCCGTTTTCGGATGATGAGGAGCATGATACGGGATCCGATGGATCTCAAGGCTCCACCAATGTACCCCCAACCATTCCCCCAAGGAAATTCCATCACGAGCGGCCTCCTTCTCATCCAGGCAGATCCGTGCGAGAGTCGAGTGACTCTTCAAATGAGAATGACGTACGGCCTAGTACACGCCCTTCAAGCATGATGATCCCCCCTCGTCGTCCTTTGTCATCAATATCCCCATCCAGCGACCTCATATCATTATCTCCAGCTCCTCAACCAGTGCCCGCTCCTTCTGTAGCATCTCCACCGCCCCTTCCTGTGCGCCGCAGCACACTTGCGCCCCAGCCCCAACCTCCGCCCGCAGAAATAACTCAGCAGCCACGGCCACCACCTCCACGCCGTCTCCCAAGTCGCACGCAGCAACCCGCAGTAATTATAGGCAACAATAATAACGGCGTCGTGTACGACTCCCCAGCTCCTTCCCCCGTGGCTGAGCGCAGGCCAGTTGGTACCAGCAAGCTTCAGCCACCACCCACACGCACGATTGGGCTTGGCGAGAGGCTGCCTGCTATACGCCCTCCCACCTCCCCCTCATCGGATGATGATTCCGGGGACGACGAAGATCCAAAGGTACACACCATGGATTCTTTGCCAGATAGCAGCTCCTCCTCTCGTCGTCCACCTACACTTTCCTTCCGTGATGGCTCCTTTGCAGAGCCTCGGATACAGGTCCACGCTCATACGGGATGTGTTCTAGCCTCTGGGTCGCACATCGTTGTTGCGCATGGACATCATATGCGGATATACGATCTGTCACTGTCAGATGTTCCCCTGATCTGCCTCGACACGAAAGATATGGCTAAAGACGCCAAGATTACGTGTATGGAGCTCAGGCCATGCGATAGCAATTCAGATCGCGGATTTCTTCTGTGGGTGGGGACGAAGGAAGGCCATATCTTCGAGCTGGATATCAGGACTGGGGCCGTACTCGGGATCAAGCACGCAGCACACATACATCCCATTACGCACATGTTCAGGTACGCTCGGTCCATGGTCACCCTTGACGAGTCGGGTAAAGCTCTGGTGTTCGCTCCGGACAATTTCGAGATTTCTCTGGCAAACACCCAGCCTCGTGTGGTGCGAACGACGGAGAAGCAAGATTTCGTGAGGCTTTTTGGTGGAAAATTGTGGACTGCGGCTCGTTCGGAGCATCATGGCATTGCATTGACGCAGAAGATGCCTATTATCCGGGTGTACGACCTTTTTAACCCTGCGAGTGCCGGACGGTCGTTGTTGCCTAATGAGCACGTTGGAGCCGTTACCTCAGCTACCATCTTGCCTTCGCATCCGGACATGGTATACGTCGGACACGAGGAGGGGTTCATCACCATATGGGCGTTGGAGACGGACGATGGGTGGCCCAAGTGCGTGGAGGCGGTGAAGGTGTCGACGTCGGGCGTGCTGAGCTTGGAGGGGGTGAATGATCGGTTGTGGGCTGGAAGTCGGAATGGGATGATCTCGGCGTATGATGTGTTGTATAAGCCGTGGGTGATGACGAATTGCTGGAATGCGCATCCGGGGTTGCCTGTGATGAAGATTATGGTCAACCATCATGCTATTGAGCGGACTGGGAGGCTGTGTGTCGTCAGCATAGGACGAGACGAACAACTGAGGCTTTGGGATGGGCTGTTGGGTTTGGATTGGGTTGGTGAGTTCGCTTCGCTTCTTCTAGCTACATGACTCTGTTCTGACGCTGAAGCTTGCCTTTCAGACAAGGAATTATCAAAGAGAGAAACATCGTTCAGCTCATTCCGGGAAATCACAGCTCTGGTCGTATCATGGAACTGTGATTCAGCTCGTCCGGACTCGCTCAACGACGACCCCATCAATCGTGAATTCTTTAACGAAGTTCTGAACAGCGTCCACCCTCCGCCCGATATCATCGCCTTTGGCTTCCAGGAGGTCATCGACCTAGAAAGCAGGAGGATGGTCGCCAAGAACGTCTTGCTCGGTGGAAAGAAAAAGCCGGACGATGCATTGTCGGACAAGGTCACTGGTGCCTATAAGAGATGGTATGACCGGCTTGTTATCGCTGTGAGGTCGGCCATGCCAAGAGATGTGGAATACTCTGTGATCCATACGGAAAGCCTTGTTGGGTTGTTTTCTTGCGTCTTCGTCAAGAACACGGAGTGGTCGCAGTTCACTGATGTATCGGTAACGACGATCAAACGTGGGATGGGAGGCAGGTATGGCAACAAGGCATGTCTCCTTTGTTGATCCATGTCATGTACATGTTTGACCGACTTTTATAGGGAGGGATTGTCGCTAGATGCGTGATAGGTGATTCCTCATTGTGTTTGATCAATTGCCATCTTGCTGCTGGTCAAAAGGCGGTTCGAAGAAGGAACGCGGACGTAGCTGGAATGCTTGAAGACAGGGCTGTGTTTTCACCTTCTGACCATCAATTGGCGTATGTAGGGGGAGGTGATGGGTCCATGGTCTTGGATCATGAGTTCGTTCTTGTGAGTCCCCATTTACATTCTATCGCTTTTGACTCATTCTCATGGTCGATCTCTCCAGTTCAACGGTGACATGAACTACCGCATCGATCATCGGAGAGACGCCATCATTGCAGCTATCCGGACAGGGGATCTATCGAGTCTCCTTACTCATGATCAGCTTCTCCGAGAGATCAAGTTCAACCGCGGATTTCGTCTACGCGGCTTCTCTGAAGGACCACTCCTATTTGCCCCAACTTACAAATACGATCCACGTTCCAACGAGTATGACACCTCCGAAAAACGTCGCTCACCCGCATGGTGCGACCGCATCCTATTCCGGTCTCATGTTGCGAGTCGGATTCGTCAGCTTCATTATCGTCGGTATGAAGCAAACGTCTCGGATCACAGACCGATCTCTGCTGCGTTTGCCCTCACGGTCAAGAGTCTTCAGCCTGAATCCAGAGAGAAACAAAAGGCGGTCGTGGAGGCCGCTTGGATCAAGGAGCAGACGAGGCTCCTGGTTGCTGCCAAAGAGTTTTATGTGAGGCAGGCGCTCATGTAATCAAGTGACAAGGACGCCACTCTTTATCGCGGGTTTTATGGGATTTTTTGCACTCAGGTCTATCCGTTCATCTGTAACATATCCTTTTTCAACGGACCTTTTTTCCCCCTTTACCCTATCATACATGTAGCACTTTACTTTTTGTTACTTTACCGGAGTAGTCTCCTTGGACACGGAATTAATCGATATCCCTGCAAGCGTTTGCGATAGCGGGACACAACTATAAGTTGATCTCGACTTGATCACAACCAAATCGCGGCGATTCTTTTTCAGAGGTATGCTATTTTATCAAGGCCAGCGTCAAATTGACAAAATAATGCCATAATCTTCAGTAAATACAATATAAAGGCCCAATTGCAAGGACAACGACCCCCACATCCCATCACCCATGATCACCGACAGCATGTTCCTCTCTCTCCACTGCTTACCCAGTCCATCATCCCTAATTTATGAACCGAAGAACCTCAGATTACGTGGAGCACAGAGCTCTTCAAGATCAGACAATCCGCAGAGAAATTTTCGCGCCTACTCGGAGGCAGAACTGGAATCAATCCCCACGCAGTGGAACTTGAAGCGACACCTGGACCATGACGACCAACCTAGGCCTTATATTCCCGGTACAACTTCTGCTCAACGCCACGTCACAGATAAGACGCCCAAGAAGAGGAAAACCGCGTCCTCCTTGCCATCCTATGTCAAGCTAAATGTGATTCGGGACGCTGTGATTGTTCACAGGGCGCCAACAGAGGATGGTCGACCCAAGTGCCTCATCTCCAGTGTCAGCGACAAAATGACAGTCCTCGAGTTCTTCCATGTCATGAGTGTCTCAACGCCTTCGAAAGAGGTGATTGAGATCTTTTTTCTGGGGCCGACGTAATCTTACTTGATGGACAACAGATGGATTGTTTGGAATGGTCTTGGAAGAGGAAGCATTACAGTCTGAATGTTGACACGAGGAAGAACCTCCAAACTAGTGGGTGACCGTGTTACTACTGTTTCGACTTACTCATGTTCTGTTCAGTACGTATCACTCTCCACCGCTGGTTCGACATGATGAAAGCGTCCAAGCCAGTCGGCTGGTTTTGGCTCCCGGTTGACCTCAATATCCTCGTCAATATGCATGATACCTACGTCGGCGATGACATTATCCTCCTTGAGGCAGGAAAAACAACGAATGTGCGGAAGGACCCACAGTCTGTGTGTGCATTTCCACCCTGGCTAGCCTGAGAACAAATGTGACCGCCGTTAGTTCTACTGGAAAATCTGGCAAGTTCAACTATCAACTTATCCCTCTTCCTGATATGAAGGCCTCGTGGTCACTCAAACATTATGCCGCCAGCGATCTCAGCCCATTCGATCCCAAACTCGTCAAGCACAGCGTGTACCCCTTCAACGACCTCCCGCACTTTGAGCTCCATGTCCCCTTCCACTTTGTTATTGTCAACACCGGCAAGAAACTCCTCCAACTATATGGCATGGATGCAATCAACTTTGAAATTGATTTTCCATTCCTGATGGCTGCCACCAAAAACATGATGAGAGCTGTGCGCAATATCTACGTGGCTTGGATGATGGCGACACCCGACCCGAAATGGCTTAATGGAGAGGACTATGATGATGAACGACAGGCTGCTGCCGAGTCCCTCGCACCTTGGGACTCGGCTTCTTACCTCAACGCTTTCGAACCTGTCGATGAACTCGAAGTGAACGAGGAGGATGAGAACAAGTCATTTGTGGATGACGAGGACGACGAGTATGAGGATGAGGAGTTCTTTGAGGGCTTGAAGCAGTGGGCGAGCGATGTATGGACCGCGACACATTCTGATAGTGCGTCTGATTCAGAGGTGAACCTGGTTGGAGGGACCGCGGCACCTGTTCTCTGCAAAGGTGTAGACGTGGCAACTTCGGAAACACCACCGCTTCTTTCCGTCCAGTGACTGGTGACAGTTCGGTTATCGAGCTACTTTCTTGGTATTCTGTTATCCGACTCCTGTAAGCCACCTTGTCATGTGTTTGTCCATCAACTTAGACCTTCATCATCGTCTTCTGATCTCACAGTCCCTCTGAAGCGACCTCCTCCACCGCCACCACCTCCACAGGGCTCAAAGATTATTCGATCACCTTCTCCTTCAGTATCTCCACCATCACCCTTGACTCGCCCAGTCCCCATTCCCCAGTCTTTGTTGGCGAGCTTCTTTTTGTTGAACGCTCAGCAATCAGATACAGGGCCGACACAACGCAGTGTCTCAGCCTTCAAGGGCAGATTGTAAGTTGCACGATATTTTGTCTCCTTTCAATATCTTACATCCTAAACAGTGGTAGTCCGCCTTCATCTTTAAGATTGCATACCCCTCGTCAAAGCGTATCGGAGTCTTATCCCGAGCCTCCTTCCTTCATTGCTCCCAAACCCGCCATACCACCTCGACCCTCAGCTCTTCTGGCACCTTCACGAACGGTGCCGCAAGACTCGACTACAGAAAAAGCCCGGCGCGGGCCGTTTTCGGACGATGAGGAGCATGATACGGGATCCGATGCATCTCTAACCATTCCCCCAAGGAGATTCCATCACGAGCGGCCTCTTTCTCATCCAGGCAGATCCATGCGAGAGTCGAGTGACTCTTCAAATGGGGATGACGTACGACCTAGTACACGCCCTTCAAGCATGATGATCCCCCCTCGTCGTCCTTTGTCATCAATATCCCCATCCAGCGACCTCATATCATTGTCTCCAGCTCCTCAAGCAGTGCCCGCTCCTTCTGTAGCATCTCCACCGCCCCTTCCTGTGCGCCGCAGCACACTTGCGCCCCAGCCCCAACCTCCGCCCGCAGAAATAACTCAGCAGCCACGGCCACCACCTCCACGCCGTCTCCCAAGTCGCACGCAGCAACCCGCAGTAATTATAGGCAACAATAATAACGGTGTCGCGTACGACTCCCCAGCTCCTTCTCCTGTGGCTGAGCGCAGGCCGGTTGGTACCAGCAAGCTTCAGCCACCACCCACACGCACGATTGGGCTTGGCGAGAGGCTGCCTGCTATACGCCCTCCCACCTCCCCCTCATCGGATGATGATTCCGGGGACGACGAAGATCCAAAGGTACACACCATGGATTCTTCGCCAGATAGCAGCTCCTCCTCTCGTCGTCCACCTACACTGTCCTTCCGTGATGGCTCTTTTGCAGAGCCTCGGATACAGGTCCACGCTCATACGGGATGTGTTCTAGCTTCTGGGTCCCACATCGTTGTTGCGCATGGCCATCACATGAGGATGTACGATCTGTCACTGTCAGACGTTCCCCTGCTCTGCCTCGACACGAAAGATATGGCCAAAGACGCCAAGAATACGTGTATGGAGCTCAGGCCTTTCGATAGCAATTTAGATCGCGGATTTCGCCTGTGGGTGGGGACGAAGGAAGGCCATATCTTCGAACTGGACATCAGGACTGGGGCCGTACTCGGAATCAAACACGCAGCACACATACAAGCAAAAGACGGTTGTGGAAGCCGCTTGGATCAAGGAGCAGACGAAGCTCCTGATCACTGCCAAAGAGTTTTATGTGAGGCAGGCGCTCATGTAATCAAGTGACAAGGACGCCAGCCACTCTTTATTGCGGGTTTTATGGGATTTTCCACACTCAGGCCTACCCGTTCATCTGTAACATATCCTTTTCATCGGACCTTTTTCCCCCTTGATCCTATCATACATGCACCACTTTACTTTTTGTTACTTCACCGGAGTAGTCTCCTTGGACACGGAATTAATCGATATCTCTACAACCGTTTGCGATCAATGGACACAACTTGAACCTGACTTGATCACAACCAAAACCAGCTATTTTTTGAAGGCCAGCGAACATCCAAATTCCTTGTAAATTCACAATAGTTAATATCTTATAATTTGGAAGGACTTGTAACGACAGAATAAAGTTGAATGGAACGAGTGGATGGGTCTGAAGGAGTGCGACAGTGGATATGGCAAGTACATAGCCAGCAATTGGAATCCTAGAGAAGTTTTAGACCAGATTGTGGAACCACGTTGAAAAAGACCGCCGAGGAACAAGAACCAGAAAAAATGATATTCGCATCTATTCCCAACATACAACAAGCACCTGGGCTAAGTAAGGCGTTTGCAATAATCTGGATTTCCCGTGGGATTCTATTCGAAGCGGTTGAGGAAGAGGTATTTAGCTATATGGAAAGACTAACCAAAGTCCACGTCGGAAAGGGTACAACTTTCCCGCTACCCCCACCAACGGCGAAAGTGTACACAAAAATCATTACCTGTGAAAATAATTCGACATAAAGAACATGATATAGAACTAGAGGCGAACCGCAGTTCCTCCATCAAGCGCGGCACTCAAAAGAAAGCTGTGTATGCCTTTAGTTAATAAGTGATTTAAAGCAATGACCACGCGTACTTGTATTTACGGAACCATGTCGCGTGATATCTGAAGATAAGATTTGCACAGTGAGTGGTCGCCGGGTAAAGATCGTTGAGACATACTTTCTAATGTAATATTGCGAATATATCGTGAGCAAAAACATCGTGAAGAGACTCGAGTTGATCCCAGCACTGAACACACCCAGCTCGGCTGACGAGGACGACGTGAATGGGAATCAAAAATGATACAGTGACTCTCTTTACCAACAAGAACTGGAGTGAACACGAAATTCAAGCCGAATTTGGGGTACTTGCGATGAAGAAGCCAAAAGGGAATGGGAAATCCGAGACCCGCAATCAACATATATGGAACGAACTGCAATTTTTTTTATAGCTAATCGTCATGAGGGGTCAAGCACTTACGCCATAGCGTGTTCCGGTAGCGTACAGAGGCTTAGCCAGAGCACCCCAAGCAATGGCTGCGCTATTATACGACTGGACCTTGCATTGGCGTCAAAAACGGAAACAACTTCGCAGAAGATTATCATTATCTAACCTGTTGGCCGGACCAAACATTTGTTCCTTGCACTTCGCGCAAGACTTCTCTTTGAGAGTTGAGGACTGTCTAAAGATACGTGGGTAAGAATTGTGACATAGTGAACACCAATGAGCAATGGACTTTTACCTTCATAATAACGAAGTTCAGAAGAGCGCCCTGTAAAAAAAGTTCATTATGGCTGTCCGTTCAGTTTTCGAGAACTAGTGCCTTACTATAATCGTTCCAATGGTTTGTACGCAAAACGTGACCTTGGGAGGTAGCTTGGTATACTGGCCCTAGAACCGAAGGAGATATATGTAGAAAGCCAAGACGAAGAAGAAACAAACCGACCAGCTTGAGATCGCGCAGTAAGCTCAGGGACTGAACGATGGGATTATACCCGTACAACGTGAAATACATATTGGCGACTGGCTTTCCAGGAATAAGCGCTCCGCCAAGCATCTGATGACGTCGATTCAACCTCAAGACTTCAAATTATAGGGAAATTCCGACATACCTGAACCAAAATTTCAATGTTTGGTGCGTATCCCACTGTCGCGTACAGCTACAATCACAAAAGCGTCTTCAATGATTGAGGGCAAAAAAAATAGAATGAAAAGTACATGGCCGATGATTGGAATAAAGATCCACGCAAAAACGAGTGCGACAAACAGACCCCACCAGGGGAGGCCAGATCCGGATGTGTAAATGGTCGCCATTGCCATGGCTGTGGTACCGACAAAAATTGCGAGATACCACCAATTAGAAACGTCTTTGTAAACCTGCGATTTGGATCAAATCGGTGGGCGTCGGGTGAGAGAATGAAGACTCACCTTCATCTTCTGGTAGTGCGGATCATTACACTTGCCGTTCTGATAGGTGTCAGCAACCTTTAGTGATGAAAAAGATTGTTACGCTACGTACTCGGAAGTCCAAAACGATGTTTAAAATTGTTTTGTAGTTCCAGAGGAAAAAGTGCATGACAGCAGCTGTTTTCAGGTAAAAGCGGTCAATTTTGGGATGTTGGGGGCAGGGTTGACGTACCTCCTATGTACATGGTACGACTGACCTTGAACAATAACTGAGATGCAGCGTACCACGGAAGACCCTGTCAACATGAGGTCGACATTTGTTCTACCATCAATAGGAGGATTTCTTACCTGTATCGCCAGCTTTCCTTCATTTAGCGTAAAATCGGGGTTCAGTATAGAAAGTTGATCATATTCCGTTCCTGTTTATTCCTGTCGGATGGGCTAGAAAGAATACGATAGAAAAACTTACCATTCTCGAAGTATAGTAATTGCGACAAGAATGGAAAGTTCTGTGCCTTCCAAGTATTCATTGCATAACAGGCGCAGAATGCGATCCTGTTATGTTATAAGAAGAGGATCTGATGCGGAAAAGAATGAAAATGTTCTTACATGCAGACTGCACTGCCGGCGTACAGAGACAACTGCGTAGACAAGGGCGTGAACAAGGCTCCGATTGGTCCTCCACCTGATCCGACATACGCCCAGTCAAGACAAATTGAAAATGCACCCAGACCTTCATTTCCAGCCGCACCACCTAATGAAATTGTGTCAGCTTTGCAACAACATGGGATCTTAAATACAGCGCACCAAAGACTCGAGTAAACCATGCGCTCCTTTGATTCGCTAGACAGAAAATACTAATACCAGTGAGCGTGCTATCAAGTCGTCTCAAAAAAGAGTATATTCCAGATCAAGATCGAAACAAACGGAGCAATATACTCCTGAGAGTGTATTTTAGCGTCAGAGCCTTGTGGATACAAGGAGGCTTACAGGGAACCATTCCCAGACAAAGATTGCAACAAATATTAGCCAGAAGAACTTTAACCTCTTCTTCTGCATAACTGTCTCTTTGCCTCTGTGAAGCACGTCGAAAAGTTGTGTCATCGGCATAAGCTGAGGGTAAACTGCAAAAGTTGGATATACGAGGAAGGATCTCATGATGCCTGTGGGAGAATGTGGAGAATGTCATGCAGTCGAAGGCGCAACGTGATTCAGAGCAGAAACTCACCAGCGGCACTGTAACCAATTAGTTGAGAGCCGATCAAACTTCAAGAAAGGTATTACATTGACGTCTTCGGAGCGTGACAATATAAACTAACCTGAAGATACCAACCGCTACGTTAGGCCGGACGTCGTAGTAAAGGTCTTGCGCCGCAAAGATGCTAATAGCAAGAGCGGACGACGATGCCGTCGAAGCCATGATGGTAATTGCGACATGCTCTTTGATGTCTTGAGATTCGGGTCAGGAAGGGAATGCGGTCTAGTGGTAGGGATCTCACTGAAATGGCCTGGATTCATGAATCTAAATGGAGAGGTGTCACCCACTGATTCGGATAAGAGTCTAGTTTTCCTACCTCCAAAAGCGAGTATCAGATGTCTTGAATAGGGCATTCTTCCCAGGTCCAGGAATAATCTCTTCCAATGCCTGAAAAGACTTTGGTATCGTCCGAGCCTCCGAATATGAATCCATACCTTGCCCATAACATACGAAACGATCTCAAACGAATGAAATATATGTATTGACTCCTCAGACAAAAAAGCCTACCTGGAGGAAGGGCTGACTGACTGAAACTGGCTGCGGGCGAAAATACTGTCGAAAAACATGAATATTCATCCAAGTCCAGCATGCAGGAATGGCTCACAAAGATCTGGCCCAGTACAGCGCCGAAACAAGAGAGGCCGATAGACAAGAACCACATCCTAAAGGTCCAGATAGGTAGGTTGGGTCGTCAGACAGAAATGAGCCGGGTTGCATAGTCAATGTCAGTATCTACCATTAAAAATCGGTTAGAAGTTTTGAGAGTGAGGGAAGTGAGTGCACACCAATGGGTCTCTCTTTTCCGTCCGCCCCAAAATCGATCGTTCGTGGTCCATCCGCGAAGACTTCCGCAACGTCGGAGACACTAGCAATTTCGTCGAAATTGTGTCCGACCTTCTCCTCGCATGAGGACAGACGACGGATTATGGATGCTGGACGTTTGACATCCATATCCTGCGGCATTTGCTTGGGCGTATTTTCCATCCTGGGTGGTGTCGATGGTGACAGCCTCCATCTGGCTGGCTTAAAGAGGCTCAAATATCAGGGATGTAAGCTGGGAGAAAGAAGCTCTGCCAAGCGAGGGGCAATTGGAACCGGAATTGGTGCAGACCAATGGGAGCAACACTGGAAAATCAGGTGGGGTCCGTATACAATTATACTGCCGTCGTCGGCCCCGCGAGCGGCGACCCCAACTGACACTGTCCCACATTCCCTAGGGGCGGGCAGCCCAACAGAAATATGGTGCATCATTTTTCCTGAAAGTTTAGTACCAGTTAGTGGAGTACCGCCTAAGACCCGCGGGTGCCGTCGTTTCAGCTTACGCCGAGAAAAAAGTGCTTGAAATTTGACCGACTCGGAGACCCGGAGTTGAAAAGGTCTCCTTTTTTTGTGGAACACAGCAGCAAATTTCCGGTGGTTCTTGCGAGAAGAGAGCGTTCAGGCATAAAAAAACGCCCTGGTGGACTGGAATCAGCTGGAGTCCAGTTGGAGTCCAGTAGGAGTCCAGTTGGAATCGGACGTCCGAATGCCTTGAGTGGCTGTGTTTGTACATGTAAACCTCCACTCAAGACCTAACCTTAGATTAGGAGTTTCCCTATCACCTAACCATCTTGCACAACGCACATTATCTTCCACATCTTCAGAACCAATGCCACCGCGCCTCAACAAGCGCCAACAGAGGGAACTAGGGGAGCTAGAAGGCCTTGTATCATCTTCAAAGACTACAGAGGTGTCAAGCGGCGAGGATGATACGCCGAGACAAGGCCGCGGTGGGTTTTCGACGGTAAATTTCTGGACACTCACACCTTCGTAATGTATGATCTGAGTTGAAATAGCTTCTTACTCAAGATGACAATGACGACAGTGAGATGGAGGGAGAACAGAGGGTCAAGTCTCGGAAGGTGTGGGCGGATCTCATTTGCTGATTCGGGGTAACTTCTGACGGTATGTCAAGTAGTCCAAGAAGAAGAAGAAAAAGCCCGTCGAAATTTCTTCCAAAGAGCCAGAAAAGGTGGCGCCTGTCAAGCCATCTCGCCCGAGCACCACCGCCCCGCCAGTTAAGAATGAAAAGAAAGCGCTGAAGAAAGCCAAGGCGAAGGAGAAGAAGGCTGCGAACGATGAGCTGGATCAAGCCCTTGCAGAACTTTCGATCAAGTGAGCGACTATCCCTGAGTAGTTTGCCCCGCGATGACCATCAGCACAGATATCCCGCTTCACAAAAGATTTCTCATGCTTCTGCCGGGCGCCGGTCTCTGGCTGACCTGCTCGTTGTATCGCTTCAACATCTCGACAGCGAAGCGGAGTTGAAGAAAATTTTCGGAGCCCGTGTTGTTCAGGCGAATAAGAGCAGCTCAGGATCTACAGGACCTTCTCGAAGGCAAGGTGCTGCTGTGCGATCGCACCTCACGCGTCCTCAGCCCACTTGGTGGGCCGCTAAACAACGAGAGGGGTTATCCATACGGATTCTTTCAGAGGAGGAGGTCGCGGCTAAGGTAAAACGTAATGGATGGGCACCAATTGAAGAGACTTGGTGGGCGGTAGAATATAGCAAAAAGTATAAAAGTATGACCAAGGCATTCATGCAAACGGTTCTCTCTGGAGGTAATCACTTATTCAACTCACAAGTTCCCTACCTGACGTTATCATTAGACCCGCAAGGATTTTGGGATCTACTGGGAAAATCGCCCTGGCATGCCGACACTCTACTTCAGGTGTCAGAAGTATATCGTCACCGAGATGGTTGGAGCTCGTTTTCGTCGCTCTCTGTACCCCGCTAACATCGGCTTTTTAGAGCACGCCCAAGCGTTCGATTTTGTAGACCGGGCTCTTTTCACCTACGAGCGATCATTCATTGGCGCTTTCAATTTCACCACTGGTCTCAACCGGCTAGACTTTGATCACGTTGAAAATCGTCCATTTTTCTTGGCGGTTCATAGACAAATCGCGTACGCTGTCTTATATTCGTGTTTATGCACGTCCTTCATCACAAAACTAGGGATCTTCAACGCAGAGGCTGTGTACGGACCTCATTCGAATTTGCGCGGCTTTTATTTTCGCTGGATCCATGGACTGATCCCCATGGATCTCTGTTGCATCTTGACTTTCTTGCCATCAAATCTGGGATGTATCAATGGCTCATCGACGTCTTCGACGTATTTGCTGATAGGCGGAAAGAGCGTTCGGGCGAGATTGGTGGTCGCATGGATCCAAGCCTCTTGCCTGGATGGTCATACGCAAGGGCTTTAGCATTGCGGTCTGAAGAGGTTGCGAAGAAGTCTAAGGTACGCGTAATCCTTTCTAACCTGAGGTTCGAATACATTTTGAATTCATTTCGCACACAGGATCACCAACCCAGCACTGATGCCTTGAAAGAAGCAATCAAGGACTTCCCCTCAATCGTTCCGCTCCTTGCTGATAAAATTGATGGTTCACTTTCTGCCTCGATCAGAGCGCACCCTGATTCCAGAATACAGACTGACTCCAAGTGCGTATCTTTATATCTTCCTGTGTCCGTGCTCATCTCCATATGTAAGTTCGCTCTCAGACCCTGTGGCTATACTACACCTTCTTTCTCACCTCTACGTTCAACGCTCCGGCGCAGCCTGGAAGGAGCACACCGCCTGGTTCATAGAAACCGTTTCTGACAGCTTCTCTGCTCTTCCGTCATCTTTGCCTGTCACAGAAAGGCGGAAAGACTTTTTATCCCTCTATCAAAACGAAAATCTTCGCTTCTCCGTGTATCGACACATTGTAGTCCTCGAACCTACTAACCGGCGTCTGTTTGCTTTCATCCCGCGACAGGTCCAAGAAGTTAAATCTTTGTCGTGCGATCCCCTACCGCCACCAACTGCGACAACTCGGTACGACGAACGGTTCTTCGACGGAGTTGATGATCTGTTTTCGTTGAGGATGAGAACGCGTAGGGAGCGTGCTCTTGATGAGCGGAGGCTTGCGCAGATGATCCCCGACGCGGCTGCCAGACAACAACTTGAGGTACGTTGAAATCCATGGCCTCTGAAATTTTACTTGATTCCGACGACAACGGAAAGGCTTTATTCAATGCGAATCCAAATTTTGCAGAGCGCTTTCCTGGCGGTATACTTCAATTTGTTCAAGCGATAGGGCAACTCCCGGAAGACGTTGTAGAGGATATGATGATGATGGAGATGATGGGTGGCGGGGATGCCCAGAATGCGGGTGTTATGCCGGGTGGTTTGGATATTCTCGACCTGAACGAAGTCCCCGGCATGGTCCCTGTGCGTGTTGGGGGCGCTGCTGGTCTTCCTCAAGAGGAGGACGAAGTGTTTGAGAGTGAAGAGGAAGAAGTGGTGGAGGAAGAAGAAGAGGAGGAGGAGGAGGAGGAGGAGGACATCTCGGTGCGTTTCTTTCATTATGATTGGTCCATGAACTGGAATTAAACGTTACCGACTTGTTCAAGCCGATACCAAGGGTTATCATGAATCTACTTGGCCGGTTTTGGGGCAGACCTGCGGCGCCAGCAGAATCATCTTCTGACGAAGAACCCAGGGATAATACTGGCGTTGATTAAAGGATGGTCAAACAACAGAAAGGTGCAAGATTAGAGGAGGCGAGTATCGAGAGAAACAGTTGAGCGACTCGCATGTATCTTCCAACCTCTGGTCACCTCGCTTGAGGATGATTTTTGTGTGAATCGACCATGCAAACAAAGACAAACATCACCGTCCTCCAACTCACTTAGAGAAATGCAAACGCATCCCCAATATTAATCAATGATGACGCAGACGGCTGACTCGACAGCACACATACTGATTGGGAACGAAGCGGAATAGGTGATCATCAATGGGCAACTCTGACTTATACTGTGCAGTGTGCGGTACGCTCTGACATCGCGTGGATCTGTCTTTCATCCAGCCTTCTCATTACAGTGTGTTGCGGAGGATTACAGCCATCCTGATGGGTTCATCGGACTGACAGTTGCACCAAAATGCATAAAGGACAGGTCTTGATAGGTCCTGATATGTTTTGAATGCAGGTCAGGGTCGCAAAGATTTCGACACGATGATAAGGTTGACCAGATCTAGACTCGGGGCTTGGCTTTTCAAAACGCCCAGAAAGAACCCCTGCGGCCAAGTTTTACACAACAAGTCTGCGACAGATGTCAAACCAGCGTTCAACCGCAACCAGAATTGTGTCGCGATCGGCAAGGGGCTTCAGGCTTCAGGCTTCAAGAAAATCCTCCCCACTGAACAAGCGGTGCCGTATGTGCTCACTGCGCAAATCTCAACCTCAAACCTCAAATCAAGAAGCGCTTTCAGTATAATGGTTAGACTGCAATTTTGAACATTTACGATAACATGTCTACACGGCTTCCAGGTACACCTGTTGTCATTGTGACGTGGGCCTGAGCTGGAATGCATTCGATTTGCCCTCACCCCTTCACGTATAAAAGTCACGGGTGAGCCTTTTCTCTCATCCCCAACCCTCCCCTTGTTTCTTTCACACTGATGTTTTCTAACTCTACTTTGAGGAGCTACCTCCTGCGATATGTGCTCGTGTGCTCAATCATATCCATACCAGCAATCTCTGTAGCGTGCCTGAATGGTCTTCCAAACATCACGTTCGTCTGGTTACTTGTTGCTTGCGAAATCACGATCCATCACATGACAACGTGAGCACGCTATCTCTTTTCTTGAATCATCCGCCTCAATGTCATACAGGGTCATTGCTTGGAGATATTTTCCAGAGTTGTTTGACCTGATTCTGGTCTCACTTGAAATATCTGGTAACTGTCCATAAACTTCATTTTTATTGTGTCGCTCACAAAACAATGCCTAGCATGGTTTTATCTTGGTCTTTCAAAGCTTGTTGTGGGTCGGTCGTCGACTGACACTGCCGTAATTTTGGCAGTCACTTTATACGCTCTCATGGCGGGACTGTGTCTGACATTGGTGTTTCGAGTTGCATGCATACTCCGCTCTGGGGGAAGGAAACTCCTGGAGCCATTTAATCTATTTTCCGGCTGCGAATCTCCACCAAGCGAGTCGTCACGTCATCAAGTTTTGTTTGGAAGAAATATCTGGAAGTCTGCCTTTAGGTGAGGACTTGATCTACTGTACAGACCAATTAACATCATTGTGGTTAAGGGGAGAAGCAAAATTTGTCAGAGTCCTGCGGGGCGTTCTCGCCATTTCTTTCCTATTCACGGTTCTTGCATTTTCAGCATTCTTGATAATTATAGATCCCATCCACGAAACCGGACTGGTGCCAACCAAGGATTATCGCGCCCCAGACATATTGTATGACTTCAATATGGAACTTCCTGTTTGGAGTATCGTGGCGGTGAGTAGTGGTATAAAGATCCAGCTAAACGCGACGTAACTTAGGCTATTAGTTCATTGACATGCGCTTACCCATTGCTAGCCGACCCGATGTCTTCAAGAGTGCTATCAGTGTTATCCCTCTCTGGGACAATTCGAGTACGCCCACTGAATATATAATAGTGCCTGATCCGTAATATCCACTAGGCGACTACAAGCCTGACTGCGTTCCCCTGCCAGGCAACTTAACGGTCGGGGGTAAATCGCAGAATGTACAGTCCGATCCGTACATCCAAGCCATCACCATATTTTGTCCGAGCCGCCGGGTGGGATTGAATGGTAATTTACCTGGCCATATTCCTGAAGCTATCTCACGAGGTGTGTAGCTCAGGAAATAATGTCAGCCCCCTCGCCGGACGTATCCCCTGATTTACTCGTCACCATAAACTTCACAACTCTAGGCATGTTCGACGACTCATTGGTCGACGCCAGAATGCGCACCGTATCGATTCTGGTGGGTTTGACAAATAACACAAATGACGTTGTCGCCAACACAATACCAACCCCCATGTTCCCCGGTCTTAACCTTGCTGGGAATATCTCTCGTGAATTTAAAAGGCGTTTTGTCAAGCCACCGTTAGCGTCTTGGGGGATCTTCAGTGTGAGTAAAACTTCAATGACTCTTCCTTGGTGAATTATAACTAATGCTTGCTACAGTCTTCGACATCATTCCTTGTCACGGGCCTTTCCCCACTTTTTTACGATCCTTCCTCCCTTATACCCCGAAGCCCAGACACGGGCACATTGAGAATCTTCGGTCAAAACGATCATTCGGATTGGGAACTACACCAAGATTATAGAGACAAATCCGTCTGGAGCGGCTTAGCATCTGTAGGCGGATTCTGGACCTTCTTAAATGGGGCATTTGGGATCATCTTCGGGACTCGCTTAGTACTGATTTTATTCGGTGGGTGTTGAATCTCTGTTTGTAGCGAGCAAAGTTTCATTAGGAGCAGGTATCAAGCCGGGCTCGATATTCGGCATCGCTCATTTGTTTCAACGTCAGCGCCCTGCCGATGAGCATCAGGAAAATGATATCCATCAAGAGCGGCTACCTTTGCAAATTACTAGAACTTCAAGAAGTACTAGTCCTAGGCCTAGGAATTGAGTGGACAGGGTTGGGAAAAATAGAGTGATAACCTAGCCGGTCTTAGTACGACATGAAAGCCAGCCAAAGGCACCATTGAGTTTGGACCCGTTGCAAGATAGTCGTTCGTCGCCACCTGCGCGACTTGTACCGGCGTTTCTAGTGGGATGTGGTCTTGCTGAGCTGTATTTAAAGCGCATAGATAGCACTCATCAGCATAGTCTCTTAGTCAGTATTTTTTTACATGACCACCGCAGTAGCTCCAAAGTTGAGAGATGGCGTTGATGCCGTTCAGAAAATAAGCGAGGACGGGTTCTATATAAGTCATCGCAACATGCATAGCAAATACAGGCGCTCAATCGCTGTTACGGAGCGTGTCAAAAGTAATATAAGTAGAAAGGTAAAATACAAACATCGATAAAATGTAATCATCGATGCGTCAGGGCGGCCTCCAGAATAATACGAATTGCAACTCGCAGAAATCAATCCTCTAGGTCCCCAGTTAATTTGGGGCGTTTGATCCGTCGATGCTGACCACGGCGAGACTCAGCTGCATATTGACACGTCTTCCCCCGAGTCTTACATTGTCTGGCAGAATCAATACAGTCAATATGATTTCATTTGAGAGGAGAATATATACTTACTTGCACGTCTTATCATCACCATCCTCAGAAACTGGCCCCCCACACGAAATCTTACGGTCCCTGCAAAAGAAGCAAGCCATCTGTTGCTTTTTTTGAGGCTCACTTTTTCCTTTCGGAGCGCGCTTTACACCGGTAGGAAACGCCTGCTTGTGTTTTAGCCGTGGTAGAGAAATCTTTGGTGTTCCGGGAGATGCGGAACGTGAACTACTTTGTTGAGGTTCCGTTGGGCGTGATGGAGTAGGGATTCTGTCTTTTTCAAGACCATTTAGAAACGCGACGTTCGCGGATAGTTCTGAGTATGAAGAGCGCTGGTGAGGGGGAACAGTTTCGTGTTGAGGAGAGCAGGTGCGTGATATGGGGAGGTAGACGGGAAAGAGTCGGTTGAAGATGTCGGGGGAAGAGAACTGATAATCCGTTCGTCAGCTAAGCAAATCTGGTAGATAGAAACCTGAGAAATTACATTGATATCCTCGTATTTCTGATGTAGGAAGTGTTGCGATTGCATGGTGAGGTCGCCGAGTGAATCAAAATCCTGAAATGTCGTCCTAATGTCTGGGAGGCTCTCCATCTTGTAAGAGAGTTGACGAAGATCCTCGATGGGGCCTTTAATCTAAACAACGGAACGGAGAACTAAATTCGACCCCATAAGCGGTATGGAGATGCAATTCACTCACTCTATCAAAACAGGTTACTCCAGGGTCCCGGAGGGGCTCGTTATCCTCCTCCATGCTCTGCACATTGTGGCGCCGACCCAATGATGTAAGAGTGTAGCTAAGATCGAATACTGTCTCGCTACATGATGGTGGTGCGAATTCGTGCACAGTTTGACGGAGTTGCGCCATGATATCAATGATAGTCACGGAAGAAAGGTCCGGGGGTGTGGGTTGACGTTGTTGCTCAGGTACTTAACCTTTAAGTATTCATCGTTTGTGTATACCAACTAGCGTCTCGCCGAGTAAGCATGAAACCGATATGGAGATCAAAATATGGACCCACAAGTTACAACTTACCGCTTTCAGGAACAAAAGGAATTTGGTGCAAGATTGTTCAAGTACAAGACACAGCGTTGCTAAGGGCATACCTGTTCAGTCCCATCTTCCCAATATATGCAACAGTCGTGGTGCGTCGCGACATCGGTGCGCCGTTTTGCGTATATGAGGTGGCTGCCGACCTTCGAATGTATCAATCGGTGGACTCGGCTGTACTTCTCGGTGGGTCCAGATGCAGAGTCAGGCGCCGACTTAGTCACGATATCGCCTACACAATGAAGGCAACATCTTGTTCTTCTCGGAGAACAAGAAGACGGAAGTTTCCGCGAAGAAACAAAGATACCGACATCATTGGCATCCCAGGTTTGTATCCGTCAATTGACTATGTTGATCGGATGCAAGCGTTGAGAACAATAAGTTCATCGGGGGTTAGATAGCTTGGTGCAATGAGTCTGGCTGACTGCCCCAAAACGATCAGTTGTGACCCAGGATCACGGGACGGTAGTTGGTGGGTGCACCGTTCATCTGCAAGTGAGGTCTCTAAGGATCTTGTGGAATGCCAGCATCTTCTTCGCGGAGCCGTGAAGCCCTGAACTTGGAGTCCGATTTTGCGGATCCACTCATCGGGGGGAAAGCTCGGAAATGGGACGGGACACTGAAGATCAAACGACTGACGAATGATACGGTAAGGTGTCCCTTCCTCCACACTACATAGCATGACATTACTAAAATGAAAATCAAAAATGCTGGTTGAAATAATGAACTGCGTACGTTGTCCGTGATACTAATTACACTTCACGTTATACCAAAGGTATCCAAAAGTCAGATCTGAAAATAGAAATATACGTTATATCTCCTCGATTTCATGTGGATTCTCATTTTCTGAGGGAGCTTGTGCCGTTAGATCATATTTCGATGAGGACTATTGTTGTTGACGTACGAGCAAAATATCGTTGATTGTTGTTCTGTGAGGACGAGTCTGATGATGTTTTCGCCCTTATATCGATGACACGGGATGACACCTTATTGTGGATGTTACGTTCAGCCCAAAGCAGAAATTAAAAGAGCCACACCTACCCTACATCTTGGCCGGTGACCTCTAGTGGCTCCAGTTTCGGTCTTGAAGTTGAAAGAGGATCCATGGACCATCCTCCTGCGCAAATGTTGGCGCTCATTGAGTCTATCGTCAAATTAAGTTGAAAAGGAAGGTTTCCATCAACTGTTGAGACGACGGACGCTGATAGGAGACTGTTTGAATATACTGAGTCGAGAAATATTAGTAAGGACCTGTGAGGAAAATGGAAGGATTCGACGGACATTTCGCAAGAAAAGTATACAACGCAAGCCAAATGACTAGAACCATTAGGCGCAAGACGTGCAAAGTAAAAATCTGTCTTTGAGAGTGTTCGGCAATCACATACGGTTGGACGACATGACTTGGAACTACGAGGAAACAAATGTCAGGAGAAGGCTTTGGGCAGTGAGAAAGACGTTTACTCACACAAATTGCCACGCCAAGCGCTATGATGCTATGAGTAACGTCAGGCTGGTGGAGACGAGCTGATGGTGTGGTCGCTACCTCGTGAGGACCCCTGTCCCTATTATCGATGACTTTCAATGTATGAAATAAGTTTATCACGAGAAACAATCCTACTGATAGTATACGCCACAAGCTGATCGAGCAGCCGTGCCACTCTAGTAAAGTCAACCTGGATTACGGTTCAAGAAGGGTGATACAGAAGCTTACCTCTTCAGTGCATTCTTTCTTTGGTTAATGAGATAATACAACATAGAGACAGTAATGATGAGGTCGACCACCACGGAGGCAACGAGCAAGCAGGTCACGAGCCAGTACCACTTGAATGCCCCCATTGTTGGCGCTATTAAAAGCCTGGCTGAGAGGACAATGCTGCCCACCCAGTGAGCGACGGCTATGGCCATGCAGAAAACGCCAATGTAACTGTAGGGGTTCGGAAGTGCTCGCCAGACGCGCAAAGAGAAGAAACACTGATCAGAGTCAGGTCAAAGGGGGACGAGAAAGAAGTGTTGACACGTACCTGCGTGATGAGTGTGATCAATCCTCCAACAAGTGTAATGCCACCAAGGATCGGAAATCTAAACAACCTTTGGGGTTGGCCGAAGAGCGTGATCGTTGAGTGGTAAAGTTCGTAGCAGATTCCTATTGTATGTAGAAGCTCCAGGATCCTTGGTGGCGAAGCGTTTAAATTTTGCATTGACAATGGCAACAAAAGAAAACACACCATACAACCCCAACCTGCAGCATATGGCCTACTTATGAGACTGAGGAATTCTGACACGGATCAAACCCACCAAAGCCTTCAACATCCATGGATCTGAAGCCGAAAACCGTCTAAAGTAGAGATAAGTTTGTAGGGTAATGATTCCGAACAGAAAGATGGCAAAAATAACGCCTATTTGAAGAGCACCGATGGTGTTGTCTAGTGTCCAGGTCGTGGTGGTGGTCATCATGCATGAATAGCGGCGGATGAGGCGTAGAAAGCCAGTTTCAAGCCAGGGGGTAAAATTATGTCAAGGGGGGATAAGAAGATTCGACCTCCATTGGGGGTGCATAATGATAATAACGGTCGCAAGAAAACTTGTCAGGTGACCATCGGAGATGCACCTGAAAATGATCGGCAGCGTGTGACAGACCATGCGAATCACATTCCCTTTTTTGGAGTTGCAAGATCTGGACAAAACATGGTAAAGCTTGGTTAAAGCTGTTACAAGCTGTTAACTGCTGCAGATCAGGCCTCAGGATTCAGGAGCGCACCCAAACAGAGTGAATGCATCTCCAGGGTGGCCTTGGACCTGGAGAGATCATCAGAAGATGGTGGGAGAAGACCGGGAGTCATCTCCTCAGCCGCACTTTCATCCAATGTTCAATATTACAATGACCATCGATCAAGTCACAAATGTTCTTCAATCGTTATTTTTTGATACAGGTAAGCAGACTCACTTGCCAGGTTGATCACTGATAATTTATGAAAATGGGTAACTCAAGAGTACTCGACATGGCGAAACATTTACGCGCACGTCACGGTGGTATTTAATTCTGTGGGTTCGCGTTCCACCAAGAAACACATCAAGTACGTCCTTGATGAGGTTGGGACCTGAGTAAAAGCTGTGTTAAAGGACCCGTTAAGATCGAGCGCAAATCCAGCGTTTGAGTTCAACAATTACACTTCCGTCTTATAAAAAAAATTCCAGCCCTCAAAAAAGACAGACATAATGGCCACCAATTTGGCACCAATATAAGCATCATTGCTTTTTATAATTAAGAGTGGAGCCAGAAGTAACGCGCTATGTAACGTTCCGAGCTCACGGAACCTGTATCAGAGACTACTAACCCTAGCATTCTTGGAAGAATTGTCACGGTGTATAGACACGGGTGCCCTTCCCTGCCGTGAATCTAGACCTGATGATGTCCTTCAAAGCCAGCTCGACGAAGATAATGACAATCATGGCAGTCGAAGAGGCCAGCCTGAGAGAGGCGACTTTACGACTTCCTGGATATAAAAAAACTCGAGGGGGGTGCTGGAAATCATCCAGCTTTGGAGAAAAAATTCGCCTCTGCTGCACGGATTGAGACGCTCATTAAAAAGTGAATTAACCCACTATCACACCGAGGTAAACGGAAAACTCGTAGAAGTGCCCAACGCCCAACGTCAACGATGTTCCGAAGCAAGCGGACTGAGTGCGTCCAGCAGCACAATAACTTGCCCAGACGTCACTGATTGTTTGCCTTCCAGTCAAGCGGCGGAGATATTGTAACGGAGAAGATAAGATTTTCTCAAAGTTTACATAACTTTCGTGAGCGTCTATCTTTTTCCCACTAGCCTGGACTCTACTCTCTAGTGTTGCCAATGGCTAAAGCGATCAATTTCGATAAAAATAAGACAGAGCTTCGCAGTGGTTTGACTGGATATCTCTCAGAGATATCCAGTCAAACCTGAGAGATCCAGTCAAACCTCGAAGTTGATATGATCAGCCCGGAGCAGAGCCTCACACAAAGATTCGATCATGATCGGCTGCAACACTCTGCGGTCTTAGCTCAGATTAGCTCAGATTCTAACCTACATATTTTAACCCAAAAAGAAGAAGACCAAAATGGCTCGCAGCGAAGGACTCAATTGACAATCAATTTCCGGTCAATTACATAAATTCTTACGAGCTTATCTGAATAAGTACCCCCATAGATACGCACTACTACACAGCGTGCAGCCATCAGGAAGCCTCTGACATGCGACTCGGACATGCATGGTTGGGGCCCCTATGTGGGGGCTGCGAAGGTATGAATAAATCAGACGGGATGAAAGGGGAAAAAGTCTCCCGCCGTAAGCAGTATTTTTTTCATCGAAAAAAAAAGCCAAACGATGTAGACGGAGAGGAAGGGAGTTCACACCTAGTAGACTGACCCCGCTTACGGTAAAGATAAGTACTACACCATGCAGCTTGACGAAACTTCACAAAATTTTTATCCACCGCTGCATCATTACCTTGCAATGAAAACGCGGAACGACGCCAGCAGCCAGAGTGCAGGTATAATGTATAAAAAACAATTGAATGAATAATGAAACATGAATGGAGCTATAAAAGAGAGAGAAAAAAAAAATACTACCAAGTCCGCGCCTCCCCAAACGTACATACCGTATGCATACAACATGTCAACGCAAATCGTAGTACAACAACAGCAATATTGCCCCTCACGCCTCCTCCTCCTCACCCTGCTCTTCCTCCTCCTCCCAATCCAAGCGATATGGCTCCAAATAGCTCTCAGGGACAAGCGCATGCTTCCGCTGTTCCTCACCCTCTCCAAGCTCCGCGGACGAGGACGAATGCAGAACATCAACAACAGCCCAGCCAACCCCTCCCCCTCTCCCAACAACACGAACAATCTGGTCTTCCTCCAACCGCATCTCTGCTGTCCCCTCCGGCTCAAAAGCGTACAGCGCGCGGTATAGGCCTGCATAAAGCGGTTCCTCTTCCTCTTCCTCCTCCTCCTCCTCCTCCTCTTCTTCAACGAGTTGGTCTTCAGCAGCGTCATGGAACACGTCGTCTTCTTCCTCCTCCTCCTCTTCCTCCGCAGCACCCCCAAAATTCTGATCCAAATCCATACGACTAGGATACTCCCCAGCATCCTGCAACTTCGCCCTCCCAAACCCAAACATCCCCGTACCCGTACCCGCTTCAGCACCACCCCAACTAAACCTCCCAAGACCCATCTTAAACCCACCCCACCCCCCACCACCACTCCACCCCTCATCATCATCCTCTTCCACCTCCTCCCCATCACCACCATCACTACTCGACACACTCCCAACACTCTTCGTACGCCCCCCAAGCCTCCTAACAAGCCTCGACACCTTATTCGCCCTCGGCACATCAACACCCAACCCATAATGCCTTTCATCGCCCACTGGGAAGGCATAATCACGCACGCGAACAACAACTTTCTCCTTTGGATCCGCCGCTGCGGGTGGTGGTGCCTTGGATGTTGTTGGCGTAGAAGTAGACGCCATCATCACCGTACCGCCCGAATCAAACGAAAACCCAGGACTCAAAGGACTAGGCAACAGCCCAAAACTCAACCCCATATTCAAGCTTGCCCGATGGGGGTTCACCATCGGCGAGGTCCTCGTCGAGCTGGTGGTGGGGCCTGTACTTTTTCTCAACGAGCTGGCCCTCGACAAAGACTTGGAGAACCGCTGAGAGGCAGATGAAGATGCAGGCGAGGCGGGTGCAGGTCTGTTGGGTGTGATCTCTACGCTGGGCGTGGATGGGATGGTGGTTGCCTGGGGGAGGTTGGACGGTGGATCGGGTATGATGATTTTTGCGGGGGACGCGTAAGGCTTGGGATGTGATGATGATGATGTGGATTTTGAGGGAGTTTGTAAGGGAGTGGAGGTTGATGGGTTGGTGGATACGTGTGATGAGGGCGTGGTGAATTGTTGTTGTTGTTGTTGGAAGGTCGAGGGTGTGGGTGTGACGGGTGATGCGATGGATGAGGAGTCTGAGAGGTCGTGTTGGTGGCCATGCCCGTTGGTTGTAGGGGTAGGGAGGGCTGCGTGATCATCCGTATCAGGGTGATCATGACTCTCGAGCAACAAAGCAGAGCTGTTGTCTAAGGAGGTTGAGCGTCCATTGGACTCATGCTTGACAGTGCCTTTTGATTCCCTCCTAGCATTTCCGGTCGTTGCACTTCCATTCGACTCGCGCTTGCCAACAACAGCCTCTCCACCCGCGTCCCCATTTACCTCCCTCCTCTTATTCCCACTCGAATCCCTCCTGACATCCCCATTCGATTCTCTCTTAACATCATTCCCATTCATCTCCGTCCTCGCATCATTCGAATTCCTCCTCGCATCACCCGAATTTGAATCCCTCCTAACATCCCCCCTCGACTCCCTCCTCCCACTCCCTCCCACACTCCCCTGAACACTCCCCTTCCGCCCGCCCCGCCCCGCAGGAGGAGGCTTAACCGCAAACTCATGAGCGCCCGGCGTAGGCGGTGGTAAAAAGGACGAAGAAGGGGACGGGAAGGGCGATGCGGAGGCTGGGACGTCCATGCATAGTTGGTGTTGCGAGGGTGGCGATTGGTGTTGTGTTTCTGATGATGATATTGGTGTTGGGTCTGTTGAAAAGAAAGAGCGTTTAGTTAGCTATGTTGTGAAGAAGGAAGAATGACGGAGGAAGGAATGGGGGAAGAACAGAGAGTAGCTCGGGGAGCTACTTAACCGGAGTGGTGTCTTCTATGAATAATGACATCTCGACATGATTTTCGGATCCATTTTAGTGGTGTGCGGAATGTCGCCCAAAGCATGAGGAGGGGTAGAAGAAGGGGGAAAGAAGGGGAAAGAGGAAAGAAATGATAACCATCAACGTCACTTATAAGAAACCCATCGCATAACCAAGTCGTAGTCAGATAGACCATGGCACACGTCAAGTCAAATCAAAGTTCAAGTCAACAACACCCATCGGATGCATCCTCCGCATCGCATCACATATCTCCCGTCAAAACCCAACCGTTCACGCGATCTATACCAGAATCGACACCAGCCAGGACCGCACAACTCCACTCAGCATGTGGGAAGATAGAAAGACAAAAAGACTCCGGCCCAAAAAGGAAAGGGAACAAAAACGCCCCCCCCAAACAAAACAAACAAAAAAAGAACAAAAAGCAAGAGAAACAAAAAGCCCTTCTCACCTGATGCACGCTCCAACTCCAGGGTAGGATTAGGATTAGGATCAGCGCTGTTATTGCTATTCCCGTTTACGAGAGTTGATGGTACTAAAAGGGGAGGAAGAAGGTGAGTTTGTCAGCTTTTGTTCGATGATCAGAACAGGGACAGGGGAAGGAAGGGACAGGGGAGGGGATGTATATGATTAGAACGGGGGAAGGCCACCCCCGCCCAAAGTGACGACGATACCCCGCTCAGACCCAGACCCAGAGAGGGAGACAGGACTTTTGAGCAAGGTGAGCGCTTCCGAGACCATCTGAGCGGAGATAGTTGGGGTGAAGTGGATCACGGAAGCGGGGAGTTCTGGCAGAAACCAACACCGCAACATTTGCAACATTGGTAACGAGTGTGCTTTGGGCGGGACCGAACCGACACCACGCCCATACGATGATCAAAGCTGCTCAGGCGCACGAACTGCAAGAGGGAGGGGCAAGCCCGACCAACATTGGCGTTCCAATACCTTGGGCAACGCGAGCGCGTGCCCTATGGGCCAATAGAGCTTCCGCGATGAAAACCCCCCCCCCAAAACATAACAAAAAAGAACAAAAAGCAAGAGAAACAAAAAGCCCTTCTCACCTGACGCACGCTCCACCTCCAAGGTAGGATTAGGATTCGGATTAGGATCAGCGCTGTTGCTGTTATTGGTGTCGTTCCCGTTTGCGGTTGGGGATGTAACTAAAAGGGGAGGAAGAAGGGTGAGTTTGTCAGCTTTTTGTTCGATGATCAGAAGAGCAGAACAGGGGAAGGAAGGGAGATGATGAGATGATTAGAACGGGGCGAGGGAACGGGAAGATATGTCTATATGAGGAGACAGGTTTCGTCATCCTGAAACCAAACCCCGCCCCCGCGCAAAGTGGTAGTTATACCCCGCTCAGACACAGAGGGACAAGACTTTTGAGCAAGGTGAGCGCTTCCGAGACTATCTGGGCGGAGATAGTTGGGGTGAAGTGGATCACGGAAGCGGGGAGATCGGGCAGAGACCAACATCGCAACATTGCAACATTGGTAACGGGGTGCTTTTGGCGGGCCGAACCGACATCATGCCAATACGCTGCAGGCGCACGAAGTGCAAGAGGAGACGTGCCAGGGAGTGGCAAGCCCGAGCGACCTTAGCGTGGCAAGGCCTTGGGCAACGCGAGCGCGTAACCCATGGGTCGGCGGAGCTTCCGCGATGTCCACAGAGCGGAGCCATAGTTTCAGGCGCACGAACTGGAGGAGGAGAGGGAGATGGACAAGTCCACTTGGGCGAACTCAAACATTCGACGGACATACAGAACAGAACCAACGCTCACCTTCAGCCTCTGAATAAAAGATCGAGTTCCTACTCGTAGGGTTGGCCACTGCGAAGAAGACATGAAACCAGAACGTCAGTACATCGTTTACGAACTTCAGAATAAAGGGGTGGAGAGAAGGAAAGGGTAAAGGCATCAAAAAGGGAACCCTGTACCCGTGAGGATTAGGGTTTATAAGTACATAGTAGACTTTAGAGCTGGAGGAACACGAGGAAAGCACGACCTCCTTTCTTTTCCTTTTCATGCAAGCGAACAAAGGTACGCAGCAGCACTCACCAACGGCAGACGTCATTTCTTCAAATTCTCTTCTTCTTCAACAAACTTATTCCCTCCTCTACGACTGAGTATAATCTTCCCTCCACTTTAACGAAACGATTTTGACAATGAAAGAAGGCAGGATGTTGAGTGAAAGAGATGATGGGTGGGCCAAGATCCTGGCTGGGCCTTGTCGTTAGGCGTACCGTTGCTAGGGAGGAGTTTGGTTTTGTTTGTATTGGTGGCGAGCTTCTTCCCTCATGCTCGAGCGCAAGAGACCAAACCGTGCATGAATGGTTGCAACTAACTACGCATACCCACTGCGCACGGTATTCTTATGTGTAAGAATTATTGACTCACCACACAGTCTCCTGTCGGAGGAAGCTCGGCTGCGATGGACGACCAGGTGCCTTTGTAACCCTGACCTCGATACTTCAGCTTGCAAATATCATAACAGTGAGTATGCGCTTAAAGCGTTTAAACTCTACGCTGATCAGCTTCTACTTTTTGCATCAGAATCAGTCTCTCGGATGCATTTCCCATTGACATTCACGAACCTATCGAAAGTGCGCCGCATCACCGCTATTCAACTTTTTCGAGTGGGTCCCTTGGGCCAGTCGCTTTGACTGACGACTACCTATATCTTACCAGGCAATCCCAAATGGGTACCCGCCGAATCGTGCGATTCGCGAACACCAATACCCATCATCAGTAATTATGCTGCGTTGGTGCTGCGGTACGCTCGAAAGCCCCCGATGCCGACCATCTTGGTCCTGGATGGACCATACATCTTTGTCAAACTATGCCCCAACTTTTTCCATCTCTTGCTCTTGCTCGCCTTGAATTTCTTTTACTTACCTCCTCCCGAACTACCTCTTTCATCTCTGGACTCGTCTACCGCTCGTCCCCCAAATCGCTCGACACAATCTCATTCTTTTCAATCACTGTCTTTACTCCCCTCCTCCCTCAAAAAAAAATGTCCTGCAACCAACCCCCACCCTCATACCGTGACCACTCCTGGACATCCTCATCCTTCCCCCCCTCATCAACACCCCCACCAAAATCAACCCTCCAACTAGCGCTCCAGAACCACCACCCCTCGGCTCCGCGGTAAAGTGCACATTCGCGTAAGACTTTGTCTAGGGTCCGTCTCCCCTCTTCCCAAAAAATGGATAAAGAGGATGGACGAATTGAATTTCTAGGACGACTCACTATACTCCTACACATCTACCCAATCTCCAACTAGAACACCTCCTTCAAGTTCAAGTTTCCTCTCAGAAAAGGCACTCCCTTTCCCCTTCCTTCCCTTCCCCTTCCCCCTCCCTTCCTCTTCCTTCTAACTCTCCAATCCCTTCCGTTCCTTCCTTCCTTCCTAACTGACCCTCCTCAAACTCGAACAGTTCACCCTCCCCCCCGATCCTCAAACACGGGGCACGAACCTCTACCCACACATCCGCGAACCAGACGACTACCTCCACACACCCGATCTTCATACACATAAAGAATTAAAGCAGGCCACGGATTTTTTGATGGTTAGGGGGGTGGTGAATGTGGGTGGGATGGTGGTTACGTGTGTTGCGTTGTTGGCGTTGTTGTACGTCCAATTCTCTCTCTTTTTTTTCCTTTTCTTCCCTTGTCCTTTTCTCCCCACTTCACTACTTTTCATTTACACTTGTCCCTTCGTCGAGCGAACGCAATGCAGATGCTAAATTTTCGAGTACCGCATAGTCTCCTCTACCCCATCTCAAGGCATTTTACCTTCCACCAACAAGGGAAGTTCGGCTGAGGGTTCAATTTAGGTGGGATTAATGCGTCTGGACAGGTCTGTCCCCCCCCTCTCCTCTCCTCTCTCATCTCAGCCTCACTTAAGCAACAAATGAATAACCCGCAAAAGGTCCCAAGCATGCCGGGAAACTGGGGCCTAATCGACCTAGACACGCCTCAAAACCTATACACCAAACCCTCATACTACAACCCCTCCCAAACACTCCAGCTGGTGTTCAGCAACGAATTTAATACAGACGGGAGGTCTTTTTATCCGGGTGATGATCTGTATTGAGGCGGTGGACTTACATTATTGGCAGGTGCTTACTTACCCCGTCTCATTCCTCACTCATCCTTTCCTCGTAATAAATTCGAATTGATCACACCCCAAAGACAAACAACCTAGAATGGTACGACCCCGCCGCAATAACAACACTCAACGGCTCCCTCCTCATCACGCTCTCCTCTCAACAAACCCACGGACTCAACTTCCAAGGCGGCTTCAACATGGAACAAGTTCTGTTTTACTGCCAGTGGGTTGTTGGAAACATCTGTTCAGCTGCCCGGCGCGAATAATGTGGTGGGGCTGTGGCCTGCTGTATGGGCTTTGGGTAATCTAGGTCCGCATTTCTTTTGGGGTTCATAGGGGTTGACATTAATTATTGATTTAGGACGAGCGGGGTATGGCGCCACTTTGGAAGGCCTCGTATATCCCCCCCCTTCCCTCCTTCCCTCCCTCTTTCTTCTATCTTCCATTAACCCACCTGCAGTGGCCATACAGCTACGACGCCTGCGACGTCGGCACAGCCCCGAACCAAACACTCAACGGGCTCCCCCTCGCAGCCCTCACAAGCGGCAACCAGAAATACTACAACGGGTCTCTACCGTACCTGCCCGGCCAGAAGCTCTCGCGGTGCACCTGCGCAGGGGAGTCGCACCCCGGCCCGACGCACGGTGATCGCCTGAAATTGACGTTTTTGAAGCTACGGTGGGTTGTGGTTTTTTTTTTTTGGTTCGTGGGGGGCTGAGGATTTGTAGGTCGTGGGTACGCCGTTGGTGGGGAAAGTATCTCAGTCGAGTCAATGGGCTGTAAGCTCCTCCTTTATTCCTACGACTACCAGTATATCATCAGGAGTGATATTTGTCGACAGCCGTTTAATGATGGGTACGCTTGGGCGAACACTTCTCAGAACATGATCATCCCAAACACGACTGGTACTGAACTGAAAACCTATGTTGGAGGGGTGACGCAGCAGAGTACGTCTGGGCTTACGACGATTCTGCGGTTCGCATCTCCCTTCATAAATCATTCATTCGATAATAACTTCGCTTCTGGACTGAATAGTACATAACCTGGATATCCAACTCAACCGTATCATGGACTATAATGGCACCGTAGAGATATCCGCGCGTCCGGTATCTCAAGAACCCATGGTGCGCACTGCCATCTCATCTCATCTCATCTTATATCCCACCTCACCTCACCTCACTTTGATTTCCTCTGCAGTACCTGATAGCAAATCTAGGGTTATCAGATAGTTTCGGCACAGTTGACTTGGAGCATCTCACGTTCCCGACTACGATGCGGATTGATTGGATACGGGTGTATCAACCCACCAACGCCATCAATGTTGGATGTGATCCAGTGAATTTCCCTACGGAGGTGTATATCAACCAGTGTGTTCTCTTTTTTTGGTTCTTTTCTTCGAGTTTGCTACAACCTTCTTGGAATTTTTGGGTCTGCTTCGACTTTCTGCGAGTCTGCTTTAAGAGACTTTGTTTTTTTGAGTCTACTTCGACGTTCTTCGAGGCTGCTTATACTCTCTCAGTCTGCTTCGAATTCAGAATTACCGTCCTTCTCAACTCCCCCCCCTCACCAATTCTCGCTGTCTCTAGATTGATTCTAACGGTTTGGTTTGATAGGTACATCGAAGCATACACAAATCCGAACCTTACAACGTGGGTAGATGATTATAAGCAACCGTGGCCGAAGAATAGTTTCGTCGAGACGTGTTGAGGGAGGGCTTTAGCTTGTATTGTTATTAGGATGAGAGGATTTCAATCCAATGTAAAGCACTCTGGTTGTTCATGTCTCTTACATCTTTTATTGAATGCCCGCAAAAAGAGGGCGCACTGAAGCAACCTTTTTCTTTTTCTTTTGAAGTCAACGTGGGCGCCGGATAGATTTAACAGTTGTGGCATTGTGGCATTTATCTAAAGGTAGATGTGTTTGATTTGGAGATACATAATGCGAAATCCACGTTTCTTAGGTCGTCTAAGTCGAACTCACATCCTTCCCCTCCCCAGTGAAATACTCCGGAAGGACATAGGCAAGCTTCGCCCTGTCAGCTGGGTTTTGCTTCTCCGACCTGGGCATTATACTGAACTGCATGGACCCAATCTCTTCCAAGAAGACATGTGCGTCCTCGCCAGTCAACGCACTCTGTAGGTCGTCCAGAATCGTGGCAGCGACGAGACGCGATGTCTCAGCATTGCCTTTGAGTGTTTTGAACACATCTGCAGCAGTGACTGACTCGGATTGGTCCCGCCATGAGTCGTAGTCCGTCGCAGTTGCAATGAGTGCGTAACTAAATGAAAAACAAAATCAGCATGAGAGCGCGAAAAAGGGAAAGGAAGAATTACCTCAACTCCGCCTCCCTCGCCAACTTCGCCTCAGGCAACACGCTCATATTGATCAAATCCCCTCCCCACTGCCTGTACATCAAACTCTCCGCCCTAGTCGAGAATTGCGGGCCCTCCATACACACAATACACTTTCCCGTGAACAACTTCGCCCCCTTCCCCTCAGCATCCAACGCCTTCCTCACCCGTTCCTCCAACCACTTGACCAATTTCCCACTAAACGGGTCTCCAAACATCGCATGTGCAACGATGCTAGTACCCTCAAAGAAGGAAGCGGGCCGTATGCCCTTGGTACGGTCGATGATCTGGGTAGGTAGGACGAAAGACCCTGGGGAGATCTCTTCGCGGAGAGAGCCTACGGCGGAGAAGGCGATGATGGCGCGGACGCCGAGGGATTTTAGGGCAGCGATGTTGGCGCGCCCTGGGACGGAGGAGGGGGGGATGACGTGTCCTTGGCCGTGTCGGGCTAGGAAGGCGACCCGCGTGCCGGAGGGGAGGGCAGCGATTGTTATGGAAGAGCTGGGGAAGCCCCAAGGCTAATAATATCATGGAACAAAAAAAAAATGAAAATGTTGGTAAGAGAAGAGGAGAAAAGAAAGCGTACAGTTTCTGGATTTACGGTCGTGCTAAGTTTTGGTGGATTTGTTAGATTGAAGTCCAGGGTGGGTACTTCAGTCGACTCACATTTGAGTCAAGTTGTCGAGGTGGTACAACCCACTTCCACCGATAATGCCGATAAGAACTGATAAAGAGTGCATTTTGAGTTGATATCGAGCTAGAAATAAGGATGCTCACCATTATTGTCGTTGGCCATCGCAGTGCTCGTGGTCTAGGAGAAGAGAGATGGTATTTACGGTGATGATCGATGGGAGAAGCTGAGCAGTGATCGATGGCGTCACCCGCGCACATATGGCAACGCGACATATGCTTGTTGATGGACTTCGACGATTCAAAGGTAAACGCTGATAAACGCTACTTAGCTAGAACCAACTTCAACCCACGCGTGCGATCTGCCCGTACCAGCCACAACAGATGTGACTGTATGAATGTGTTGAATGGCGGGACTTGCGAGTCAGATTCTTGAAAGCGGTAACCACGCCTGAGCCCGGAGTTAGAAATTTGATGTTTACAGCAGCCTGGCGGAATGTTCTCGTACTTAAAAGGCAGTGGCGGAAAAATCCATCAAATGTTCCATAGAAATCTGGTTTCGTCACTTTCGTGAATCAATCGAGTCTCGACTCTCGAGACTCCTTCAACTTATCTGTGTCCCGATTGTTCAGCCAAGACTACGAACAAGCCTTTTCTTCATCCTCAACTTCGATCTCGCGTTCACAGCAGCACACGCCGCGAGCGAAAAGCGGCGATAAAGGATCAACAAAGTACACGCCGCGCCGACCAATTGTCCAGGATTAGTACCGGTTTTCGCTTGGTGTGAAGATTTCCACTTGCGACTGACAACAATCCGCACACCCGTTATCTTCTATCTATCTTCTATCTTCTATACATGAAAACACAAAGGATTGATGGCTGACAAATTCAGCTTTATGTTACTAAGCAGTTCACACCCTCTTCTGAGCTGCGTGAGCGGCGTTGGAAACTAGGATTCAACATGCGTACCAGGGGGTCCAGGGGGCTTGCCCCCGGCAAGCTGTGACCAGTGTCGAAGCAACGGTTGAGCGCAGCGAGCGCCGTGGCGTAGACACGGGTCTAAAGCTTGTCATTTATGAGTATACTATGTTTGTTCAGGAGTTTGAAACCCATCAGGAGTTTGAAACTGCAGATTATCTCGCCATCCACTTACTTTGAAATTCCCAATCTTCGAGGGCTAGTGTATTCATGTATTATTTCTGTACTTTCCAAATTTCAGAGAGGGATTCGAAGAATTGTGTTCTGAAGACGTGGATTCATGGTTTTCATTACACCAAACAAGCCCATGTATGTGAATGTCTGGTCAGATCCCTCTAGATCGGATGGGGTCTTTTTTCTGAAAATTCACCAGCGTATTAATACATTGTCCTTAAGTTCAAATTCAAATTTTTAGAAAGCAGGATAAAGTGCTGTTGAAAAGAGAGACAAAATACAGAACTCAAGCTCCAAACGGTGACAGAAGAGTGACATTTTAAAGCTCCGTTTGAAAGGCAAATTAAGCAGGCCAGCAATGACATGTTGGGGCAAATATTACAGCAATGAGGTCCACGATCTACCGAAAACAGGCAAAGCTCAACTACAATGACCCAGCTGTTAAACTGCGCATCAAGGAGGCTTGCGAGGCAGTGAGAACTGGTCAAATTCGCAACCTCTCCCTCGCCGCGCACAAGTTCGAGATTCCATACACCACCCTACGAAACCGTTACCGTGGCATTAGACGACCTACAAAGGAGGCGCATGAGCACGAGAGGCTACTTGACCCTGCGCAGGAGCAGGTGATGGTGGACTGGATGCGGTTCCTTGGTTTCATTGGTCGGCCAATCTGCAGGGCGACCGTGCGGCCGAAGTTCGTCGATCTGTGTGGACGACTCCCAGGGAAGACCTGGGTCTGGCGTTTCGTGAACCGGCACCCCGAGCTTAAGCTTCGGAAGGGGAGCGGCCTCGACCCTAAACGAGCACAAGCCTTCAACTTTCCAGTTGTCAACGACCACTTCAATAAGCTACGGAAGGTACTCACGGATAACGAGATACCATGGGAGAATGTGTATAACATGGATGAAAAAGGCATCCAGTTAGGTGGCGGAAGGAAAGGGACAGGATGCAAGTACTTCTATGCACGCGAGGACCGGGCCCAGTATAACCTTCGAAGTGGTGACAGTGATCGAGAGTTGCTGTGCAGACGGAACGGCATTCAAGCCCGCCTTCGTGTTTTCGGGGAAGTCAGTTGATGAGGAGAACGTCGAGGCTGATGATGACATCTGGTGAGCAAAAAAGAGTATGGGCGATGCTTCATACTCACCGTTGATGAACAGTGTTGCGACATCTGAAAATGGGTGGACGAGTGATTCACTTTGTGAACAGTGGTTTGAGAAAAGTTTTATACCTCAGGCCAAAGCGAGGAACACGTCGGGAAAACCAATCTTGCTTATCTTTGATGGTCATGGATCACACATCACTAACAACATGATAGAGCTCGCGGTCAAACACAAAATCGAGCTGTTTTGCTTACCACCACATACCACCCACAAGCTTCAACCCCTGGATGTCGGTGTCTTCGGGCCCCTGCAGAGGGAGTGGGCAAAGCAATGCGACCTGTATCTGTCAACAACGGGTGTCTCCATGCAGAAGAAACATGTGATACGGGAATACATGAAGGCTAGGGATCGGTCATTCAGCAAAGACACGATCCTTCACGCTTGGAAAAAGTCGGGAATCCGGCCTCTTGACGGCGTGAAGGTCTTCACCGATGCTGATTTCATGCCAAGCATCAACACATCAACGGATGCTAACACACAAGTACCAGGCTCTTACCCTCGCGAGCTCCCTTCAGACTTCGAAATCCCAGATGACGCTGAAATGGATGACGGGGACGCAGAGGATGAAGGACAGATGGATGAAGATGGCGAGGAGGAGGAGGAGCTTGATTATGAGACATTCTCCAGGGACTGGACTAGTGGAGACGAGGAAGAAGAAGAAATTGACGATGACGAGGGAAATGGCTGGGAGGAAGGCTTGGAGCAGGATCCAGAGCCGCTGGACATGGGGGATGATGATGGGAGTCAACAAGGCAACACACAATCAGATGTTGATCAGAACGTGCCATCTCCAAGTCACATGCCCTTCGTACTTCACCCCGCTCCAACGCCATCAGCATCAACACACATGCCATCCACAGGTTCCAGTGCTGCGGCTTCAGGCGCTCCACGACTCTCGCATTCTCGGCGATCCTCTGAGGACACAAAACGCCTCGACGATTTGATCAAACCGACCTCCCTCACGTTATCGAAGGAAGCTCTGCAAGACGAGAACTTGGCTCTGAAAGCGGAACTCAAGCGTATAAGGGCTCAGCGCAATCAAGCCGAGGCACACAGCATCCTCGCTCACCGAGAACTCGCAACGCTCAAGTTGCAGAACAGTACAAAGGCCTCCGGGAAGAAGCGACGGACTGGGATCAGAATCAACGCCGAGCTTTTGACCAGCGCAGAAGCGCGGTCACGGCGAGAAGCTGACCAGGCCATAAGGGATGCAGCGGATAAGAAGAAGGAAGAGGCAAAGCGGAGGAAGGCTGAGAGAGCCCTAGCAGAACAGGCACGTCGATTGCAGATGGATGCAGGCCATGAGTTCTCTGGGCCGCTGGGGTCGAAGAAGAGAGGCGAGCTTGAGGACATCGTTAAGGCTTTGGGTCTCTTGACAACCGGCACGAAGGCTGTCTTGCAGGAGGCAATCCAGCAACATTTCGAAGCGCATCCAGATTTGAAATCCGATCGTCGTTTTGTTGGATTGTTCAACTCACGCCGCCGTCCTCCCGCGCCTGCCAACCAGAACGAGCCACCTCAGCAACTACCTCACCCTACCCACCCACCTCCAGCCCAAGCAGTTGCCGGCCCATCACGCTCTCACCTTCAAACAGCGGCACAACGTTACACCCCGTATCCGCAGCCGCACTATCCTCATGTTTTGCCTCCTCGGACTGAGCCGTTGTCTGACATGCCTCAAAATCATTACCAGTACCAATTCCCTATTAGCTATCAAATGTATCCTCCCCCGTAGTGTATTTAACGTTGAAACTCATCGCCTTCCTTGCACTCAAACGCCTTCTACTAAGTTCTTGTCGGAGTCTTAAATTCACTGTGACTTGACCGTGACACGAGTTTCAATCTCCTGATATTTCTGAACCCTGAGCACCGGAACGCCTCCGACGGCGAACACAACACATTTATACCAAAAAAAAATAGATCTTCATATAGAAGAGAAAAAAGATTATTGGCTTGTAAAAAAATTCAAAGAATTTGATGAAGTGGTGAGTCGGAAATCGCGCAGCGGTGAAAAAGTTTCAAACTCCTGAACAAACATAGTACAACCCTGAAGCGATTTATTACTCAAGTGACTTGGTGCCGCCAAGCTGGTCCGTTTGTCACTCAGGCGGCCAAGCCACCCCTCCAATCCCACCAGTCCTACTCAGTGCTCTCTCGCATCTTTAGAACGTCGTTTCATTTGACATCGCGAGCGAAAGTGAACTTGCGGTCCATGGGGTTTCATTCTGAAAGTCATCTCTTTCCGATCACCGTGATAATTTTTCATACGTAAGTGCACACAGGTGCACACTCGTATTTTCAATTTTGACATTTCCGTTGTTGAACGTTGAACTTATTGCCGACGACTATTGGATAAACCAACATCAACCCTGCAAGGAGTAATTTGAAAACGCACGTAGATAATCTGAATCCAATGACTACTCCGAGACTTCTGCCTCCCTCTTCCAGTCTGAATGGGTCTTCACCCAGCACAAAGCCTCCTCACAGCGGTCGTTCATAGCACTTACGGAAGTGCGTCTTGAGTCCACGATGTTGCACGTTGCCGTTCGTTGCTACGGTTAGTTTCGCACACTGCCGATCGTCGTCGATGATCACCAAACTATATTTAGACGTTGCCCTTGGCGTGGCCTCCATCCCTCGTTTTCCCGAACGCTTCAAATCTCCTTGCGTGCAAATCTGCGTGCTCAACACGGCACTTCAGGAGGTCAAAAGTGCGGGTGGTGCAACGTTGACTTTCTGGCGTCCAGGTGACGCCTTGACAACTCACTGGCAGGCGCTCAACTGTCAAATGTGTCGACCCTGGACCGACTCCACCCGCTGAGAACCACTTGGGGAAACACTTTTTTGAACTTTTGACGGGATCTTTCTCGGGGGGGCGGCCTTATCTGCCTTGGCGAATCAAATTCAGGAACCTCTCTTGTACCCGTTCGTCTATATAAATTTTGCTTTCTCGCACACACCGTGTTCTTTACCCTTTGTTCCTCCCCAGGTTGTCCCTCCGCTTAGGTATCCCTCCCTCTCAGCCATCCTCATAACTATGCACGGTCTTTACTTCGCCCTCAGCGCCCTCCTCGCTTTCGCGACCGTCCAGGCCAAACCCCAGGGTGGCACCCCATCCAACACGCCTACCGGTTACCACTGCCCTTCACAGGATATGGCTACCTTCCCAGTAGGCACAACCACCAACGACGGAACAACGATGTTCTGCAGCTACCCCGCTTTCGCTGGAGAGGATCCTAACGACTTTTATTGCAAATACTCTGCTGTATGTTTTCAGTGTTATACCCTCATCTCTTCTTGGCTGAGTTGACGCCGTTTCACAGACTACCGGTCAACGCACCCAAGACAACGACGCTGGTTTCTGTCCTAACACAGCTGTCGGCACTGGTGGTGCCCGCCGTCGTAGCGCTGTGCCAGCTGCTCCCGTAGTTGCTCGTGCACCCACTCCCGAAGACATCAAGGCGAGGTCGAGCTTGAAGAGGCGCATGCCAGCTGAAGAGGCTTAAGGCTCCCTTCTACCGTCACGCTGTTTCATTCGTCGCTACGAGCCATAATTATTGGAGTCCTTCGTCATCCTACCACCTCTTGAACACTATTGTTGCAGATTTTGGACATACTACTAGTCACCCACCTGCCATTATCCACCTTCATTTTTTACTAGATCTTTCTTTTGACCAACTATCTACTGTCTTTACATGTCCATCGTCCCCGTATGACTATATGATATACCTGTTCCTCTGCAACTAAAAAATGGATCTGGATTACCCCTCTTTATCTTGAACCTCTAAGCATGATGATTGGTCAAAGTTGAAACCGAGTAGGCTTGGACGGGTCGTAGCGATTCCACTATCGTAAACCTGGAGTTCAAAGATGACGGAAACTTGAAACAAGGATCAAGCTGCGCAGTAATTTGCTCATTTAAAGAAAGGACTGACAGATCCAACAGATCAGTCAAGCAACATCAAGTGATCTCCGACTGTGGAACAGAGATGGGAACGATACATGGGGACCCCCGCCAACCACGAACTTCGGCACGTGGTTCCGAGTTTGGAACATTGCGCCAGCTGCGAGGACTCCCTCAGGAGCGGACCGCGCAAGCGGTTCGGCGACCTCTCCAGCAACTGACGCGGTTTTTCATTTATTCTATTAATAGTTTAGTTATTTCCTACAGTTCCATACATCAGAAACACCACAAGGAAAATTCTGCTGAAAGTTAAGGAACGCAACCCCTATGCCGGAATGCAGGAAAAAAGAAACGTACGGCGCGTTTCTGTAAGGATGATTATCTTTCAACACATTCTGATTGCACTTTGGGATAACGAATATCGGATTACGTCCCTCATAGGCTTTGCATGGTACGGGTCCCATGCATTGCCATTCCAGATCCTGCAACTGCAAAGCCATACTTAGGAAGGAAGACATTCAAGCCAGCCTTCTCCATACCAACTTACGATAGTTCAAATTTCATCTCTCAATACATAATCTCAACGTTCAGGCAAAACATAGAAAGAATAATTGCATAAGATTTCTAATACACATCCAGTCATGAGGAACAAATGAAATGGTTCTAAAGGAAGCGACGGCAACACACACATGCACATGAATGTGCATAAATTTGTACTCAGTTGAGTTGTATTGAGAAGTTGGCAGGGAATGCGATTCCAACTGTTGGCTACGACAGCATCAATCACCTTTCCAGAATTGGGGTCGTACTGTTCACAAACCGTTTGCTCTAAAAAAACAGAAGTCCCCCTAAAAATATGTAGCATTTCGTCTCGGCACGTGGACAGTGACTTGAGATGGACTGTTTTGGATAGGCGACAAAAAAAAGGAAACTGAAAGTGGTATTTTCAGAGCTCTGGTGGTGGTAATGGGAGACAGGGCAATAATGTACACCGCCAATTTGATGGGATGTCATAATAAGGTCAGGGTTACCAGACTCTTGGGCGATGTCATCCAGCCAGATGCCATCATGATAAACAAAACCTGACCCCGAAATAATCCAGGTATTGGTATGGTCTTACCATGGCATCCTAATGACATTGGGGGTTCCAGGCCAGTTTATGCGCACTCGGCAGTATTCTCGGGGCTCGTTGCACTCTCATTTTGCTGGCATTTATCCAATATAGCACAATACACATAGAATAAGAAACAAAACTTGTTATTCTGAGTACGAAAATACAAGACAAAGGTATTACATATGGTACGTTTTACAGCCTTCCGAGAACAAAGCGGGCCATCCACTGCCCAGCCCAGCATCCATGACAGATATTCCCAAATGTTTTCTGATGTTGCAAGTTTCTGAACGCAACCGAAAACAGGCATGAGTAAGAATTTGAGATTGCACGAAAAATGAGGTTTGGACACACTGAGGATATTCTATCCCAATCACCCCCAGCCATACCTTGCCATCTTCCAAAAGTACATTCTCTTGCAGCCTGTAAGTCATAAAAATAGAATTATCATCGATAAGAGCATCTGGATCGCAAGCCAGAGACAAAGAATGTGAGCAAAGCAGCAAGCCTCGAAATTACAGATTCCCCAAGCACCATAGATGTCCGAGATAGCCCCAGGTGTATAGCAGCCCATCCTGAAGGTCACAGAGGCTGAGAAAGGTATCTTGCCCACTGACTGAGTCAGCGGCTGGGCAAAGACATGAGCAGAAAGGAGGAGGAGTGATTTGTGGTTGTTTGTCCCAAGTTGAACTTTCTTGTGATGCATCAGTCAGCAGAGTCCGAAATGACTTGAGAGTTTTTCGAGGATGAATGTTTGAACACTGACAGTGTTGACCTCAAATCCAACTGTATCACTTACTTAGTGCTTTTAGATATGGTCCCCACCACAACATACTTAATATTGAGAATTTTTCATGATATTTATGGACACACTACAACGATACCCTTCTGAGGCCAAATGCTGGATAGCCCCACAAGCTCGTGCCAAGGTCATCGTGATGGCAGAACGGCATCAGGGGACATCCGGAAAGTGGAGGTTTAAAAGGTGCTATTTTGACACCTGGAAGGTAAGGTAGAGGACATCCACTTGCTTCCAACATCATGTGCCAAGTGTGACTGTTCCAAGAAAGGTACTTTTTTACAAAATTCTTCGCCATTGGCAACAGAAACACTTTTTGCCAAATGTAATTCCATAGAGTTACTCTAAATGTAATTCCATAGAGTTACTCTAAATGTAGTACTATTAAGACGTAAAGAGAAAGAATGGGAGAAATTTTGATATTTGCAGTTCCTAACCCAAAATAATGTCGAATACATCATTGATACATCAATTATACGTTGCATCACACTTAAATCCCTACCTAGGCTAGAAACCAATGTGTCTGGAATGGGAAAATGAAGCAGACAAAGTACCTATGTCCAGTCGAGGCTTTCTGATTTCTAGATGCCAGTCTAACATTTTTCAGGTTTCAAGTTTGCCAATAGGGCCCAGTGCTTTATGGATGCATACGAAAAGGGGCTAAATGGCAGTCAAGTTGCCTGGGCAGCACGAAAATATCGTGGACATTGTATTCTTCTGCAAACACTCATGGATGACATGGAAAAGGCCAAAATAAACTGACCTTTTCCCTTCTCGACCTACTTCACTTTCATTATAAGTAGTAGATACTTTTATATTTTCTGTCGCTTGGACCCATAACTCACGATTAATGCTTGTAAACCTGTACATACATTCCTAACTTACATTTAAACAATTCTATGGAATTGTATTTTGTTAAAACTTCAATGAGAATATCATACACTCTTTTCTTTCATTTTTATGAGCAAACTTTCCTAATTTGAAAGGGATGTCACAGAAATGTAACAACACATGATGTTAGAAGTAAGTGGATGTCCTCTACCTTACCTGGGTTGTCATTCCAGTGGTATCCGGCCATCAATGTTATGCCAATACTTGATCAAGTTGGCGGTGTACTCCAGACTCTGTCCTCAAGGTCGGAGATGTGATCGTCCTTACAGCTGATTCTGAAAGGTTGTCACTACACAATTTTTTGCAACGCATCAGCAATATAATATATGAGTGATATATTAGCTGAGTATAGGGACTGTCATGGATATACCTGGGTATTAACCGTACCCGATCCACGGATTTTCCCACCCACAGATCAGATAAGGCACAGTACAGATATATCCGTGGGTAAACAGCCTGGGTGACCAAGCAGCTATATAAATGAGTGTATCTCGTTCATTTCCTGTCCGTTCTTTATGAAAAAAATTGTGTTAGAAAGCGAAAATTCAGGAGAATTCATATTAAAACAAATGTCATTCATATATTATCTAAATTGAGTATATTGAAACTAAAGTTATTTATATATCATCATCTGAGGTCTTTCAGAAATCCTTGTATAATGCTGCTGTAACTGAGCCTTGATCACAGAGAGTGTTGGGGGTGTGTATTAGCATGCCTTGGCCATCTTGAGAGTATTTATTTTCAGTTCCAGAGAAATGCTTTTGAGAACAATTGATATTTAGGTTGGGTAGCAACAGAAACAATGAAGGAAATGGGAGGTTATATGATGTACAGGCACAATGCATCACATTCCCAACTGCAACTTTCATGAATGGGTTCTGATTTCTGCTCAGCCCCAGGTAAGCAGCATTATTCACATTTATTTTCCTTTACTTTCAATGATTGATGCAGCTACTTCTGTGGATGCAGAGTGGGCATTCTCCACTGGTCACAATCAGATCAATTTCACCCAGCACAATATCAACTTTCAAACATTCAGAGCAGAAATGGCTCTTAGATTCTGGATTAAATTCCCCTTCTACCCAGCTTCAATAAAGTTACACAAATGATTGAAAAAAGATGGACAATGATTTCTTTTCCTCTTAAATAGGTTTTTGTAACACATTGTGTCACCAAAATTGTTCTTTCAATACCTTTGGGTTCATCAAGGTAAATTTGAATGTTCTCCTGTTTTTTTATTGGGGCATATTGTGATTGCTTTCACTAAAAATTGAATTCATTAACAGGATTTCAAAGATTTCTGGTGACAAGCTTGAGTGACAGCTGGGAACAAAGCCCAGGTCACAATTTGGACCCCTTCCACAAGCAGCAGGGGCCAGGAAGTTGTTGTGATAGCATTCTGTCGTGGTGGAAGGGAGTTGGGGGTACAAATAACACTCTTATCTATTCCGGGCACGTATGCTCAAAATATCTCAAGAAGGTCTAAAAATATCTAATTTACCCACGGATACCTGCGGATAGTCTGGGTACTTACCCGAATCTGTCCAAATATGGGTGGATTTCGGGTTCACCTGGGCTTTAGCTATCCGTGACAGTCCCTAGCTGAGTAATCAGGCCCGGTGAAAATCAACTCCGATCAGGCCGAGTCACAGTGACTATGGTCGATTTGCGTGGCATGTGTGAGCATCAATCGAGTTAGATATATTTCAGGTGATTTGCAAGGCTGACCCACACTAAAAACCGCACTGCGTACATGGCTTACATCATGTAATATCGAATTGGATCAAACTCAAATCTATTTGTATAGAATTCTGTCGATAAAACGACACCTTACATCGCTTCAATTCTAGGCAATCAGATCTACCTCGGAATAACCCGAGTCATTTTTGACTGGGAATCAGGGAAAGGGCTAAATCGGTGATTTCAGATTTCACGATCGACGACTACATAATCTAATGAGAGATGTGATTGACTGGCTTCTTGACTGGCTCATCCATACGGATGACTATGTAACTACCAGAAACATATTTTTGGGAGAGCCTTGAACGTTTGAACTTCTTCATCATTGAAATGTAGGCTAAACGGGAACACAACGATAAGAACATAGAGTTAGTGGGCTTGATCCAGTGCCACTCCACGCTGTCGACGAAAAGAAAAGCCAGTTCTTCCTCGAGAATTTCAGCAATAACCTCCAGAAAAGCCTCCCACTCCATCCCAACATCAGTCATCCTAGGGCCGAGACCATGGGGGTCCACCTTGTCCGCAGACTTCTTAGCACGACCAGTGCCAGCAGGCTTTCAAGTTGGATTTACTGGCAAAAAACCCATAATCTCACGCTGGGCAGGCGAGGTTTCGGTGGTGTTGGCCTCGACTGGAGCAAGAGGTTGAGAAGGGAGAGGAGGGCGAGGAGTTGATGTTCACGTTGTTGGCGCCGCAATGGAACGTGTTACTGTAGTTCGAGCCTGCTTTGGTTGAGGTGTTGGTCGGGGGGAAGGCCAATTGGTGCTGTTTGGATTGGTATACGTTTCCGAGAGGAAAGAACGATGGGTATCTGAGTGTGTGCGTGTGACCGAACGATGGGTGTGTCAAAAGTAGTCGGCGCTTCGGAACAGGCAAAAGTAGTCGGCGCTTCGGATAATGGGGAGGGACGGTGTCGAAGGAACGGTGTCTTTTCCAAAAGTAGTGGGCTGCAATTGAGTGGTTTGGGAATCTTTGAGCGCTATAACGGGTGGGGAGAAGAATGCAACGCACCAAAACCTTGGACTTCCAGATCACTTAAGCTCCACAAACCCCACATCGTCACCTTGAGTTGGCGAACAACAAAAAGGTGGTGGTGGTGAAGCATGGTTATTCGCAGGAGAAGGACTCCGGGGAGGAATGCAAGGAAATCTAGGATAAAAACGGTCGAGGAAAGGGGACAGATACTATCAGTGACCAGGAGTTTGAAACGATTTGACCTTTGGCTGAATTATGCCACAACCACTACACTCCGGGCCTCCAAATTTTGTGTGGTGGTGAATGTGTATCTCATGAACATGAATATATTTTTAGTTTTTTTATTGAACAGTGGTGGAAGCTGACGGAGGCTTACCGGTCATCGAAGTCGATTGTTTCAGGAGATTGAAATGGCTGTCACGTCCAAGTCACATCCAACTGTCAGAATTTTGATAGGTGATGCGACTGTCAGGGTTCAAAACCACGCAGCCCAAAATCACGTCTGTCACGCTCAGCAGACAAAGAATCGAAATTCATTGGATTATAAGCATAGTTCTTCACCTTTCTGCTCAATTTTTTGTATTTGAAGTCGCGTCGTTTACTAGTACATGCTTGTAAATTTTTAGATACCCTAATGCAAAGGATCGGATTAGATCTTGAAAATCATTTGCATACATCACAGTTTTGATGCACCAAAAACCACCTTTTAAAATCTTGAGCTCGTCAGACTCGGTTGTTGCACAAAAAAGGTTGATATTCATATTTGTAAGAGTCATAATTAGTCCAGAAAAAAATACCAGAAAGCCTGTGTCAAAATTAAGAGAGGAAATCAGGGATTTCAAACTCCTGAAGCATATCAAACTCCTGGTCACTGATAGTAACGGACAGTAATCAATACAGATAAACGCCTGGGATACTGACAGATCGGGCTAACCCTGGCATGGACCTGATTACTCAGCTAATATATCACTCATATATTATATTGCTGATGCGTTGCAAAAATTTGCGTAGTGACAACCTTTTCGGAATCAGCTGTAATGTATCGCTGAACGCCTTCGACCAACCTTCAATGTGACCACATATTCTGTTATAAACATACTGCACCAAGCAGCCCACGCGCAACAGGGTGATAATAAGTTTGGAATCAGTAGGTCAAAGTGGGCAAGATGATGAGGATCGCCTGTTGCTGGGTGGCATCATGACCGATATCGGCATAGCATGAGACTGGAAAAGATGTCAAATTATAGAATAAACCATTGAGATAAATATAAAAATTGGGAAAGACTCACATCCGAAAGCCAGGTCCTGATAAAAGGCTGAATGAGGCTATACTGATCGAATCCTGAAAACTACTGCCACGTTATTTTGAGAACGATCTATCATTTAGGGCGTGGTTGATTAGTGCGGACGTCTGTATTAGAAAGTCGGACCACATACAATATGCTCCCATACGTGATAAAAATCACTCACTGACCAACTTCAGGATCCACGGCATATCTCAAACTCACAGCTGATCGATCTGTTCGAAGTGGCCTCAAAGTCGACAGGCGACGGTCAGAGTCTGTCAGACCACATACAATATGCTCGCATACGTGATAAAAATCGCTCATTGGCGAAGGAAATCCACGGCATGTTATAACTTCACAGCCGATCGATCCGTTTGAAGTAGCCTCACAGTTGATGGGCTGCAGACAAGCGAGGCACGCCATGTCTAGCACGGATCAGAGCTTTTAGACAGTGGAACCTTTCATGAACTAACATGGCGTTTTAAAGCAATTAGCCTTGATGAATCAAGCAACGTGCAGAGCTAAATAAATGAAAACCAGAACATCAGACTCTGCAGGACACCGCACATATGCGTGTGAGGAAAGACTTACAGGAACTTTGCGCCCTTTCTGACCAACCTAACCAACAAGCTCATGTCCTCAATCACGACGATTCTAATGAGCAGAGAAAACATAGTCAGGAGCTAGGAGCCAACTAGGAGCGCCTGTCGTGCGGGGTTGATTGAGGAGCGCATTGAGTGACGAGTGAGAACTTCTCCACAACTTCCGCAGGAGATGGCTTGAGGGACATCGACTATAGTCTATACCCATGGGCCATGGAGCCAACATGGAGCACTGATCAAAGTTGGATTGAGGATCAGGTACATATTTACATCTGTTTAATGCAAAACTATTTTTAGAACAAGGCCCATCATAACTCGCCTCCCACTGCCTCCAGCTGCTTCAAACGCTTTTTCCCGCGCGGCTGCTACGCACAATGCTCAACGGTATGCTCAAGCATGAGTCTTTATGTTTTGGAGATTCATACAACAACTGTCAAAGTCCTTATTCATTACGGTCACGTAACCGAGCTCCCTCGTCAAAATCTCGTGGTCTTCAACCCTGACGATGACCTGTCAACCTTTTATCTCATAGCCGAATATCGAGGCGACTTGCAAAAACCAATTCTCGATATCTACTCCGGGAATACCAGTCTAAACGCGCATAAACGATTCGTTTCGATTCTTATTTTCAGAGACAGTTGACCTTTGGTTCACCAGAGGAGCTTCGAAGAGATGTCAAAAGCTTGTCTCGACGGTTTCCTTGGTTTTCTTGGCATATCAAATTAAGGAACCCGGGATTAATAACAAGTACAGACGGTCCTTAAATAAAATGTGGTCAGCCGCAACCGTTGTCTTCAGTGTTTGTTTTCTTCCTTCCCAAAGTCAACATCCCCCAAAGATGCACTCCCTTCTCTTCACTCTTAGCGCCCTCCTCGCGCTCGCAGCAGTGCACGCCGCGCCTGGGAGTCAGCCATCCAACGTGCCCACCTGCACTTTTAGCTGTCCCCCCGTCGATCAACTCGGCTTCGCCGTGGGTGCTCACAGCAACGACGGAACAAACTTGTTCTGCAGCTACCCCGCCGTTGCGGGTGAAGATGCTAACGACTTTTTCTGCAAATACTCCGAGGTCAGTAGCTTCTAACCACATCGCGTAATACATGTACTTGATGGACTAATCAATTCATTACTTGACAGACTACTGGCGCACTCACGCAGGACCACGACGCTGGTCTCTGTGCCGCTACAGCTACCTCCTCCTGCATTACCCGTCGTAGCGCAGTCCCTCGGGCTCCAGCCCCTCCAATGGCAGCTCCCGTTGCACGCGCACCTACTCCTGAGGAAGTCAAGAGGAGGGCAAGCTTGAAGAGGCGTAAACCAGTTCCCGTCGAGGCTTAAGGGTCTCTGGCACGCGCAGCCGATGACGACGTTTAATGTGTCGTCAGAAGCTATCCACAGGAGCCCTTATCACGCTGCTTCTCACATTGACCATCTTGGAACATTTATCCTACTTCTACCCGTCACCCTCACCCTCTGTATTTTCACCCTCTTTTTTACTAAACCCTCATTTCATCCAGCTCTACCCCCTCTTTACAAGTTTGCCGTCGATTCTAGTGGACGTTTTACGTTTGAATTTTTAGAGTCTTTAATTCATAACTTCATTCGTTTACATCCCCAGAATTGGTCAAGAACGGTGTGCTCTTTCCAAAAAGTTATGGCAAGCCTCGAAATGAAAAAAAACAATGAAACAATTAAAATTTTACAAAACCAAAGTAACAGGTGCCCACGCCGAAGAGATCTGCACATCGCCCCGCTCCTTACCCGCCTCTGACCAACTAACATCACCATCAATCTTATTGCCCTTAATTGCGCGGATACTATCAATATGTCGCTTCCTTCCCTGTCCCGACGGGTCCTCCACCTCCCTTACAACGACATCCGGGCGTGAAAGGGACGTCTCCAAAAAGAACCGACCCTCATACGCGCTGTGGAGTTGAACGTCTACAGAGGATAAGGTTGAATTGGCCTTAAGAAGAAGACGGCTGTTGACGGGGGAGTCTGTGAAATTCACGTTGACTTTGCCTAGAGCGGTGGCTGCGAGGATTGTATACTCTTTTGCTGGGCCATCCCTGGGGCGGAATATAATTAGTCAAAGCGATACTCAGTATTGAGATACGCACCTGGCGTCGCCACCTTCCAAATCCCCTACGAGTTCTATGCTGACCTTGATGGGGGCGAGCGAAGTCACGAGTGAAAGGGAGGAAGAGGTGGTGAAGTGGCCTTCAATTGCACCAACTGATGATTTGACCACGCCCTTTTCTGCGAATACAGACTAAGCAGTCAAGAGGTGAGTTTTTTTTTCGCGAAAAAGATTTTGAATATTCACCAGGACATTAATCGGTAATAGTGCGTTCTTGAGGGACAGCGACTTGAAATTCACGTTTGCGAGGTCGCCGAGAGAGAGAGAGAAAAGGGGCAACTCAGTTTCGAGCGACTCGATGAGGAGTGGTGAAGATGATGCTGGAAGGCGAACAGTCACATCGAAACGAACGTGTTCCTTGTGTTTTCTTGGTTTTTCCAGCCATGCATGCGACTTTGAAAATTTACATCACTAAAAAGGAATGCGCAGGCTATACCAATTCAAAATGGACGTACAAAGAATCCAACACCGACCCCACCCTCGTCTTTCGAAATTTCGCAGAGGTCGACGTGTTGTAGGAGCGCGTAGTCAGAGAACCTAGTGACCACATCCACTGTGACCGTATCATCATCACCGTCCGCCGATTGTTCAATAATGAGAGACCCAGGGATGACCACGGCACGCTTTTTTGACTCGTATTGCGCGAGGAAGGTGAACGTGCTGGGGTTGAGTGGAAATTTGAACGTGTTGTAAATGGAGTACTTGTGCTCGTCACCGGGAGGGTGTAAATTCGCCTCCGACGGCCAGGTTGCGCAATGCCCGATGTGCAGGCCCGTCTGGGAGGGTTGGTCTTGCAATATTTTGTCCTGCACAAATCGCGGGTAAGTAAAGATGGAGACGCAAGATGTAGAGAGAGGACAAACCAGATCAGCATCCAATGACGACCCGTAGCTGTGACGATCCCAACGCTCGTGGCCTCGACCCATAAAGAACCACCGAAGGAGGAGACCAGTGCACAACAAGAACAACAAACTTCGGAAGAGCCGTCGTTTTCGCGAGGCAGCCCGGGAATTACGATTCCGCAGATCCGCAAGCTGGTTCTGCAAATCCGTAAACTCAGAGGAATGAATCAGGAGAGGGACCTTCTGATCAGAGTGATAGGCGTCCATGTTTCTTTGAGAAAAGGGTGGGGGGAAAGGGCTGAGGTCGAGAAAAACGGTTTGAATTTAAGGGGCGGTCTGTAGATGACGTCGTCGTAGCCGCGACGGCAAATTCCTGATGCATGGTCCCCGGAGATGTGATTGGGATGGAGGGCACCATGTGGATGATTGCGCAGTGCGCAGCGGGTGCGCAGGAGTCAAAAAAGGGATGGTCTAGAGTTATGTTGTTCAGATAAGTAGGCGCAGCAGCGTTCCTATCTAGAATGAGAGTCCGCCAAGAGTGGGTTGACTTTTGTAGCGACTTGACGCTTGAAATTTGAAATTTGAAGGACAAAACTGCAAATGCCAAGGATATCATCATCAGTTCGATCTGCTAACAGACGATGATTATCACTGCCATTGTAGAAAGTTCATCTAGTTGTGAAAATAGAGGCGGAAGGACTGGGGGTAGCTGGATGGTCCGAGGGTTGAAAATTGCACTGCCACTGGCACTGGTTGGGCTGAATAATTTTTTTCAAGAGCTCCTTATGAAAATTAAATTCCAAAATTCCCCAATGAACGAAACCAATCATACAAATAGACCCATAAGCCCAAAAATTAAATGATACACAAGGAACCGTGCATCCTGAACAAAACCATAAACCCTCAAACCGGAATCAAAAACGCCAAACACGACTGGACGCAGGAGAACGCGTCGCCGTCGAACCGGGGCGCGTAGGGGACTTGGAGGTGAGACGAGTAGTAGGTGTAGGGCAGGAGGAGTGGCGCATGAGCCCGTTGTTAGTGGATCGTGAGGAGGATGTGCTCGGGGATCGCAGGAGGGGCGAGCGCAGGGGTTTCGTTCCAGGAGAGCGCAGAGTATGGGTGGGAGAGCGCAGGGGTTTCATATTAGTGGGGGAGCGCAATACCTTCGTACTTGGGGATCGCGGGCGATTCTGACCAGAAGGGGAGTGCTGACGCTTCGTGCTAGCAGCGCGCGGGAGCTTCATATTGGAGGGGGAGCGCAATATCATCGAACTAGAAGGGGAGAACGACACGGAAGATGCGGGTGCAGAACCAGACCGCTTAAGCTCACTAGAGATAGTAGGGGCGGACCAGTTCCTCGAGAGCCCTACCGCAGATTTACGTCGAGCCCTCTCTAATGTCCCTGTCGACGAACGGTCCCCAGAACCAGAGCTTGGGCTTGGAGTCACAGTAGGCGTTCCCCAGAGGGATACGGAAGGTCGAGAAGGTGGGAGGTCGTTGATCTCAAAGTACGAGTCACACTCTGGTATAGAGGCTAGAGTATATCCGTGGAATGGGTCATCCGTGAAAGTGAGCAGAGTTTCTTGGAGAAACGTGTTTGAGAGGCTGTCCGAGTCTGAGCTTGGGATGGGGTCAGTGAGATCGCAACGCGGAGAGTATGTCTCCTCATGGGGGACTTGGAAAGCGGTCAGAGGGCCTCCAGCAGATCTTGTCTCTTCTTGATCGGACGGTCGCCAAGGAGAGAACCGAGAAGAAACGACGCCTAAGCCCGTGAAGGCGCTGCCGTCTTTTTTTGAGAGCCCTGAGATACCCAAGCCGAGAGGGGTGGGCGAGGAAGCGCTGATACATACTCGGGCAGGGGTGATTGGGGTGCTAGAGAAGAAAGAGGAATCTAGTGCAAGGGATGTGTCTGGGTCGGTGTCCTCAGAAGTATCGCTGACGAGAGAGATGTCAAATGAGCCGCTTAAAGAGTGTTCATCTACGTCGAACTCGGTCGACAGGTCACCAAAAGGTTCCGCTTGGGGAAAGGCAGGGAAGGGGGAATGAGGTGCAGCGTCAGGGAAGGTCGCGGTTGATGGGAGAGTGAGGGTGTTAAATGGTACCTGAGTTGGGTTAGCGTCTACGTCGATATCCGAGTTTACTTGGGCGTAGACGCTGAACGCCTTCGGAGAAAGGGGACGTGAAGTTGGAAACTGGTTGGCTGACGACTGAAAAGGAAGATCATGTCGATGAAGGTCGGCACGCAAAAACCTGGAAATTCCTACCTGATCACCAGTGGTTTGTCGATTGTTCAATACGAGTCTTTCGAATTTGCCCTCCCAGCTCCAATAAGCGTGATAAGAGGGTCTAGTCGTGTGGTCCATTGTTTGGTTCGTTGAGCTGAGGCCTGAGTTGGATTTCTTTGTGGTAGAATAGAGGGAGTTCGACGAGGATGGAGAGGTAGGGAAATTTTCCAAAAGAGAGTTAGCGGTTGAAATGGAAAGAAAAGCGTGGCTGACTTGAATCGAATCAATTATGTAACGTGACCATCGTCAAGCCTCACGTGCAACTTCAAGTCGCCAAATCATACTTAATCACCAACTTACAGCGCTACTATGTGCTCAACTTGAAACGGAGCAACGGAAGCGCCAGATACGCTGCAGGTATATGAGCAAGGAAAGTTTGGGCCGAAGGCAACTCCTCCTCAGTACCAGGTTTACTAGTTTCGGGACGAAAACCAGCAAAGGGAGAAAAATGCAGAGGTGTCGCAAGCGAAGGTATTTTACGAAGCCAGGGGACGAGTGCGGCCAGGAGCGAGAGGATCTGATTGGTATCTTTCATTCAGATGGCGTGGATGAGCGACAGAGCTCGCTCGCACCATCTAGAGCGGTGCCTAGGTGGTTGTACTAGTAAGTCGTGGATTCTTTCGCACAATTTCGTGACTGACTTTAAACCCTAGTTTGTCCTTCCTCTCCAGAGAGGCTTGAACCCGCCATTTACGACGAAATCCATTTTTCTGGACGAGAACACCACCGAGGTCTCCGCAGTGCAATCGGCAAACGTGGGTCCAAGTATATCCTCCTGGTTTCTGGTGAGTGTCATCGGTAGCCCCCAATCTTCCGTGGGTCAAAACCATACTCGTCGGGCGCTGCACAGGCTTGGTGGGCGTGGACACTGGAAGGTATAGGTCGGGTTTGCCGTTCTTTTGACAGCAAGTTGAAGATCTCGGCACGGCACATGGGCCGTTCCAGACCGCGTCGATCCTTTACATATTCGAGTCCTGCAAGGCACATCGGGCAAATACCACAGGTCCTTACGACGTCGTCATCACGGGGAGAGAAGCTACTGTTCTTTATCGATTGAACCATCACCCACGCGCGAACACGTCTCCGACCAGTGACCATTACAATCACCAGCCCCTCTTTCTCACCACTCACCACTACTGACACGTACACAACACGCCGCGTGTCACGAACGCGATACGAGTTATGTTCAGTCTTTGCCATCAACCACCTCCGGGGTATTTTAGCGACACGCTTAGCCTGAGCGCAATATCCTGATCAGCAGCCAAGCTCACATTGCTACTCACATCTTCGCTAACATCGGTCCACAAACCCAATCTATACCTCTCCGATTTCATCCTCATCCGGCAAGCCACTTGCTCGATCTTGCAATACTTTGTCCTTGGGCGTACTTTGGCATTTCCGAAGACGCTTTCTGATAATCTCCACACTCCAATTATGAGGGCGTTGTCATCAAACAATCTGTCCTTGACATCCACAGCTTCCAGGTTCTCACTTTCCTTTACTACGAATTAATCTTTCGCGACACACTTCTAGAACAGGGAGACGAGCTGGTGACGTATCCGGTCTCTAGCTATCTGTTGCCCACAACCGCTCAACTCTCAACCATCCTGCAAGGATTACCCTCATTGAAGATCAAATTACTGATGCCGTCAGGTACTTTTCATGAGGCGGAGGTTGTCGGTGCAGCATTATTATGCCCTCTTCTCGAGACTCGGCATTTTTGGGTATCACTCATCGAAAGGCCAAGGCGCGAAGAAAGAACCAGGGAAAACAGACGGCCTGACGGTTGCGCTATTGGCGGAAAGGCGAGCACAACAACGTCGACCGCTTCGCAAGGTCCAAATTGAACTTTGTCGATCAGAGCATGGAAGTCAAATTGCGCTGCAGATTAACGAGGTAGAGGTTTCGGATCGCCATCCCGGTGAAGATCATCTCGATGGTGTTTGGCCTACCAAGATTCGTAAGAACTTAGAAAACATGGGCCCTGACTGTCTACCACTTCCCGACACAAGATGGATGGGTGCATTTTCACTTGTCCTCTACATAATATTTTCTTTGGATCTCATTATGTCAGAAGACCATTTAAAGGCCGAGCAGGCTTGAAGCCATGTTACCGCCTCAAGCATGTTAATATCGCGGCTCTATACACTTCTCCGACAACTACATACCGTAATCAGCTGACCGCTGCTCGTCGCCGCGAACCGCATCTCATTCACACGTCAAGGAGATCGGTTCGACGGCCGGGAGTTTCCTGGAAGCTCAGTGTCAGTGTCCTGGTTTCATCAGGTAGAATAGCACACGCGGTCTGGGGTGGGTACGAAATCTCCATTCTTTCCCGAACACCCTATTGATCAACTTTAGCATGTCAGGCTTATGGAGGAGTCTCACATCAGTATCAAAACCCAGATATTCTCATGTTGGCTTCTTGTGGGTGCGCGCGGGACATGTCATGACCTGCTCCTCGTCACCTGAGCTGGGTACCTCCACAATCAGCCCAAGGTCTTCGTGAGAACCAGATGTATGCATCGCATTCTGTCGGTGAGTGTCCTTCTTTCGTGTCCTGACGTCAATTGAGCTAGAGTGCCCTTGTTAAATGTGCTCATCACACGACACCTGCGCATCTCTTTCGGGAGGTTGATCGGTAGGGACTTATCTCGGAATGTCGGGCCCACAGCAGTTGGCTATATTGCGAAGCTTGGCGTTGCTTATCGTCGTCTTCTCCCTGCTGGCTTCAATCCTGATCAATATTCATTCTTTCCCGTTCTTTTTGTGTCTTCTTATCTTTTCAGTTGAAGATGCGCCCACAGTTAAAGATGCACCCACATATGCGGTCATTGACATCCCGAGGATCGTGATTACGATTGCGTTGCTTTTCAGGTCCTGACTCCTAATACACATTAGGAAAAGGAACTCCGCTGTCATTCTCATATTCTCGACAGACGCCGTTGCTATTCTATCATTTTTCCTTTCCTTATCGCGCTTTCACTGATGATCTTGGCTATCATTAGGCCTTTGGATAAAAGAGTTTACGAAGCAAAAGTTACGGAGCTTAGGCCTACGGAATCCGAGATTCCTTTCTGGCTACGGGAAGTCGGCATCGCACGTGGGATTTGGTCTAAGAGCTGTGAACAGGTCCCTAGAGAAGCATCAGGTCCTTCGGAGATGAGGAAGATCGTCGTTGGTGACGTATCAAGTACAGGCGCTGGCGTGGTGAAGGTGGGCTTTTCATTTTCTTCATGTCGGCCGCGCTAAACAAACCGTCTTTTCTGTCGGACGATCGGACACATCCACTGCTTCGAGGTTTCATAATTACAGTTGAAAACTTGGGCGCACTTTTCGAAAGATACATCAAGGTAAGGAGCGTCTCCCACATATAGCCGTCGGAGATTTGGAACTGCGAAGGCGTTCCTGATGGCGGCTAGTATGCTGGAAAGCATGAAGAGTTCCAGATTGAACTAGCTGATAGGCTAAGACAAGAAGTTAACAAGCTAGTCAAAGCGTTCCTCGATCGGCTCGCGGAAGTTGTGCTCTATTGGTGGGCATTCTAGATTAACTGGGAACCTCGCTGACCACTGTTCAGGCTTACATGTTTGCCGTTGGTGAACCAGCCGGGCTGCTGGCGTAATTTTAGCAACTAACCCAGGGGTTTCTCTCATCCGCATGACCAGCTTGCCGTTAGACATCAATGGGTATAACCGACAACTTTCGGGATATAGTTGTAATTCCGAGCAAAAAGCAATACGCTGGAAGGGGAAAGAGCTCGCTTCGGTAGGGTAATGTCAAGTCTCGGAGTCTCGGATGGTGTGAAGGTTAACTTCATGCGTTCGTTTTCTCGAATCAGGAATCTCTCCCACCTCGCTGCACCTTTTCTTCGCTTTCTGGTCGGAACAAGATCGAGGGTGGATATCTCAAGAACTAGTAAGTGATGTTCGGTTCAAAATTTGTTCCGACTGACGAATGCGATTCACAAAGATAATACCCCGTATCCCCTCTCGTCATTTATTTTGTATATCCCTTTACATGATGAAGACCGATGTTATCTGACTCATAGACCGCATCGTACATCAATCTAAAGTGCCTCCTTAAGGTTTAGCTCGCCGTCTGAAAAACGCCTATCGGGAGGGGGTCATCGGCAGGCAAGTGGACGGATATATTCCTCCCTTTCAACATGATATGCAACGGCGGAACTTGGGCGGAACTTGTCGGTCTCCTTGGATTTTGACGCCTTCTCATTGGTCGACTGTCCTTGGTTAGCGCTGTTCGGTAACCTATATATATTTCAAGAACGCGATAGTCGTGCACATAATCTTCGTCATATTCCGTTCTCATAGCCGAATACTAACGTCATCAGGTGATGGAGTACATACGCCACAACTTGAAACGTTCGATTCGCCCTCAACTTCGAAATCGTCACAAGGTGCCATGTCTACTTTCTTTTACATTTAGAGCTGGATATTTACTGCGATAGGTACGCCGGGTTTTTCCCTTCATTAAATATCTCGATCGATTTAAGTAAGTCAGATGTGGCGATGTTAAGAATTTCCTCCCGCGAGCATTCTCAGGACGTTGGACCTGTAAATACTTGGTAAATACTTCCGCAACAAGGCCGCGCCGTGTAACAGGAATTTGGATGACCGCGATGGTTCTCGACCATCTTTCAAGCTGTCTGATCGAGGTCTCCCCTTTCTCCAATCCGGCGGGGTGGCGGGACCAGACAAGAAAGCTTATCTGAAGTCAAGAAATAATGATCAAGCAATAGGTTTGTCTGTTTTTAATCATGTCATTTGCCCTGTCACGCTGACAACCCTGCCCGTAGTTGTCGTTCTGCATTCTTCTGTTTCTATTCAGTTCAGCGCCCCAACGTGTCGCACGCACACGTATCTATGCCGCCACATCAGTACACCTTCCAAATTCGGGGTGATTCTCTGTCTTTGTGGGGCGGTCGAAAGAGAAATTTTCTTCTGGAGTAGAGAATTTGGACATGTTAGGTTAGGTTTGGCTCACCTGACCACGCTTGTGTTGGCTGATGTTGTACTTGACTTTGATGGGCTTTTGATGACGCGCTGGGCTTCGAATTCTCAAGGAAGCATCTTGCCAGATCGGTACCTCATTGTGAGGCGTTTTCGGTCATTGTCTGTCATGGACTTGGATTTGCCTGGCACAATTTCTCAGGTTTCTCAGGTCCTCTCAAGTCATACCAGCGCTTGGCTTGTTCTGACTCTGCTAGGGTGTCACTGTTATCTGATCAGGCTCTCAGACCCTGCCAGTGCCCTTGAAGATTGCCAGTAAAGGAAGCTACACACGTCAGTCATTCGGTCGATCACGACTTACTGTAAATCCATCTCATCGGCGGTGCCGCTAGTTAGGACTTCCCTGACCCGAAAGGTTAACCCCATTGTGATTTCCAGCCCGACCGAAAAAAATTTGGCAATGTCTATAAAGAGCGCTCGTCCCTAAGGAGGATGCTTTCGAAGTCTTCTGGACTACTACTGCGCCACCCTTTATCCGGGTCTGGGTCTTATAAAGCTCCAACATCTGGCCTCGCTACCCATACACGCAACCTGACGCCATTCAACTACAAAGTCCCAAAAATCTTATAGTCACCATGCATCGCATGCCCCCCATCACCTTGGAGGACCGGACAGGCATCAATACAAACACAGACTTCGACGACATGTATGATCGAATATTCTTCCACGTCGCACGAACACCCGGCCAGACGACGACAAAAATCTACGAAATGACAATTCGTGCCTCTCGTCACCGGAGTACTTTGCCCCTGGACAAGGAACCTATCATACTCCTCGACTTCGCGCCCGACGAATCACTTGGTACCATTTCCTTCTTGAAAGCTCCTTCTCAACCGTCCATATCTATGGGCCGTTACCTACGAAAAACAAGTATCTTCGGATCGTGAGTTTCTGTGTGATTCTGTATTAAATATATTCTGACCACATGGGTGCTACTAGATCACTGTCTAGAAAATTCTTTGGGTCGGATGGGCGGGAATACAGGTGGAATCATAGGAGTGTCGCTGGGCAGGAGTGGACTGTAAGTCGGCCTTCCCTTTCACGATAGGCTTCTGTTGAAAGACTATCAGTGCACAACAGCAGAAAATTACCTTGTAGCCCACTACGATCTTAAGCCGCTCGACGTTAAAGCGTATGATGTATCCGGTAACAACTTCATAATATACGATTCGTTCAAGCATCTTATCCCTGGTGAGGTTGCGTCCTTCTGACCTACTCCTGTATTTGCTAATTTATACGTCACCTGGGCGACCTAAGAACTCGTCGCCAGTCTAATCATCATGCGTCATATCTCACAGTATAATCTCTGATAATATTTGCTATATGAACGTAGCATCCCCAGTCGCGCATTACTCAATTTGCATAGGTAGATTGTACATACATAGTACCAATAATTGACTGAGACCCCATATTAGGGTTAGGAATTAGCGTCTCCAGGGCAACCACGGACAAAAACATCGTCCTCGACGCCCATGTCAACTCAGCCCTTCGTGCAGCCTGGCGAGCCATTGAACGACTTTTTGCGCTCATTCTGGCAGCGACAGGTGGACAATGCTGAACAGGAAACACCCGATTACAGGCATCCACCATTGCCCTTGGCCAGGATCAAAAAAGTTATGAAGAGTGACCCAGACGTCAAGGTGAGGAATCGGAATGGTCTACATTGTGCATTTGGGCTGACGATGTTCTCGTGCAGATGATTGCAGCAGACGGTGCGGATTTCGACGCATTCCCAACAAAGGTCGGTGTCTTACCATGACCTATGGATGCAGCTCCGATTCTCTTCTGCAAGGCTTGTGAAAGTGCGTTTCACGCGTCATTGGCTCCCATATACAACATAATGAAGCTCATTTTTTAGTCTTTATCGCAGAAATTACTGCGAGGGCCTATATCATCGCCGATTCTAACAAGCGCCGAACTCTTTCACGTTCAGATATTGCCAAAGCTCTTAGCAAATCCGACCAATTCGACTTTCTCATTGACATTGTTCCACGCGACGACCTTTCTTTTCCAGGTGCTGGAATGAATGGAGCTGGGGGGAAGAAGGCTGCAGGGTCGTCGAATCTCAAGGGACACGATCAAGTATGTGTCTATCATACCCACACCATGTCTGTTCCAAAATGTCACTGAAATTGATGTAGGGCTCTACTCCAGGCGGAGCCGATGGTCATTCAACCTCTTTAGATTTGGAAAACGGAGACGGTGCAAGGAGCGGAAGCGAAGTTATGGACCAGGCAAGTCGTAGCCCATTCTCCCGAATCCTTCATATTAGACTGATTACCGCTCGCGCTAGCTGGAATCGTTGATGGGAAATCCCAGTACGGCAGATCATGGACCGCCCTCATGACATTTTCGGGCCGTATGCGATGCGAATTACTCCGACGAAACGTTCTTCCTGTGTCTTTTTGGCGGGGATCACACGTTCCTCGTTCGGAACTTGTTCGGAGTGGGCTGCGTAGAACTTTGGGTTGACTCAGCTTCCCAGAGGTTGGATCCGAGAATTTAAGTGGTGGATAGAAGCAGTAGAAGCTCCTTTGACGAGAGAACATGTTTCTTTATAATTGTTGAGCTTCTGACTCTACTTTTTCATCTGACTGTCTCATACGAGTATGTGTCGACATCTAGAGAATATATAGGCAAATTGAATTCAACCGCTTTCTCTGGAACAATTCGTTGGCCTCATCACCCATTTTCATTCCGTTATAAACGGTTGGTATTTATAACGTCTCTTTCTTTTCGCATGAATTTCCCTTTCCCATGCATATGGTCCCCCGCTTGCATAGACTTACGCACCTTTAGATCTTTAGATGAGCGCTATCATCGAGCGGCTCCGCTAACAATGGGTTTAATCTCTGTGCAGCTGTCAACGCAAAGGGGTGCGTTTAGAAACAATGCCTAATCACTTGGCGTCTTCCTATCAGAGCTAACAATGAATTAATGACGGCTTGCAAACTCCTCAGAGCCTTTGATGTCACAAGCGTAGTCGGCAACATCCGTATTGATAAGGGAATGATCACCCTACCAAGAGACAGTCTGTTCTGGAATTTGGACAGATATTAGTGTCACAAGGTGCATCTTAGCTCCTGATCTCATACTTGGTTTCTACCTATCGCAATAGGCACGCAAGTTCTGCAATCCGGAACCGTAGATAACGCAATGCTTGCAAGATGAACGCGGGGACAAGATGGGAAGGTGCGTCCAAGGTGCGTCAGGTGTGTCTCCTGGCAGATGTTCATATCGAATGTCCAATGAAGGAGCAGATCGCATGACGCACTTCCGACCGGAAAGTCGCATCGATGTGCGAGAAGCGCCTGTTAGAATTGTCACATCCAAAAGCAATTGTATTTCGCAAACTAAGCACAAACGAAAGTTGCTCTGCAGCAATACTGTAACATGATCATTCCAGATCTTCCCCGACTGTCTCGGCAATTTCGGGCGAAAGAGGGCGCAAAGAGAATAGTATGTCATATCGACACAACGACAGAAGAATTACAAAGGTGGGACTTAGTAGTCCTTTCCTCAACAATGCCCTGCTCTCGCATAAACGACTCATCTCCCCGCGACAGACCAGTCGCCCTCGGACAGCCTTCAATAGCGAATAGGGAGGCGGCCGATCTGAACGGGGCGAAGGTGGAAGGAGAAGGAGCAAGACAGGACGTCGCATTTGTGGAATGCGTGTGTTGAGGTTGCAAGTCAAGCTTTAAACGCCGCTGCTGGAGACGAAGATGCCTGGTACTGACTGCACGCAATCGCTTCGAGGTGGGAACCGCCCAGGAGTCGCATTACGGATGCTGCTCAGTAGCGTGAGGGCTAAGATATCTGGTGGGATCGATATCCTCGAACTGGGGGCCAGGTCTGCACGGAGGCTGGGGTTTACCGTGGAGTTAACAAAGGGGAGGAGGAGGATGGCGTAAGGGAAGTGAAGGAGGAATAGGTGAGGAAGGCATAAAGTTGGTGACGTGGCACCTATCCCTCAGGCCAGCTCGGATTTGATGTCCAGCGATGTCCGGTCTCGAGAGGTGAAAGAGAGAAGCGTGAACCTTGTTACCGTGGACGAAAAGGCTTGACGTGCAGAGGGAATTCGTTGGAGACCCATATGATGCATGTGGATTGTAGGGCTTGAGGGTTGTGCAAAGCAGGTTTCCGGGTTTGGGGCTGAGACTTCAGATTGTGGTCCAAGAGGAGGAACGCACGTCATTCCGTGCCTTTGTAGACGTGGTAGGTGAAGGCTAGATGAAAGACGTCTACAATGCGAGCGATAACGGGCAAGGGAAACCTGTCGAAAGGGTAGTGCTGGGCGGGGACTGGATGATTTTCTCGCTCAGCAGGCTCATGGGGTAGCAGAGAGAAGAAAATAAGCATCAAGCTCGATTTCTTTGCGGAGATCGAAGGTGTAACCCACCGACCTGTACGTGAATACGTTGCCGGGGAGTTGAGTTTTTACCCCACCGAAACTTGTGGGTGGCTCCAAGTCGCGCATAGCCAATGCCTGGGACAATGGTAGTTCAGAAACAACGGTGTATGCGGCGTTGGCTTTCAGTGGAGCAGGAGCTATGTCGAATGAAGTGGGCGGCCTCCCCGCGGAACGAGAGCAACGTTGTCTCGTCAGCACCATCGGTTACCGGATACGCTACGTGGATGAAAGTAGGATGGAGCCGCGAGAACGAGCGACCATTGGCGAAGGGGAGTTGTGGAGACGTTTTGAGGCAGAGTGAATGTTCAGGAGTGGGAGAACTCGATTCTTTCCCTCAGATAATGTGCGAAGTGTGCGAACCTAGGTCCCTGTATGTCGAGGGGGGTAACTTCAATCTGAGGAGAGGAGGTGAAAGTGGTGGAGGGACTGCCATAGAAAACGCTGTAACTTTCGAGAGGAAGTCAAGGAAAGTGAGCTGCGTGTGAAAATTAGCTACCGTCATGACGGAAAAGGAGACAAACTTACTTGAAGGTCTCCGTAAAGCCTCCCTTAAATAGATTCTCCACCCTCGAATGAGTCGACCTCTCTAAGTTCCGCGTCTCTCGATTGTGAGCACTCCCTCAAAACATCTGCGTTAACGATGTCTTGAGGGAGCAAATCTACCGTGTCGGACTCTGCCTCCAAGTAACCCTGTCTCCGGAACGAAGGTTGTGGGTTTGGAAACGGGCGTTGGGACAATTACAGAAGGCAAAATGGGCGCTTTCAGACACCGTAGTTTGTTCGACGATGAACCTGCCCCTCTGGGCGTTGACTGAGAGAAATGATGACGCGGGAAGGGTTGTAAAGACGAAAACGAAAAGGGTTAGGTCACTTATGGATTTTGTCGACTGAGGGAATGGGATCTGACGCGCAACTAAAACTGCGATGACTGCGACCCGAAAGATTGTCAGCCGAGGCTTCTGCATCCAGCGAGTACACTCCGTACCGTCGTTTCCAAGTAACTCTTGAGCTTCCTGCTTTTCGAATTCATGAAGACGCGGCGACCATTCAAAGCACCGCCCATCATGCATCATCATCCAATAGGCGCCTTCAACGGTCTGAGCGGACTTCATTGAGTCATTCTTTTGGCGTCGTACGTGCCAGAGAGATCTAGCACGCAAGAAAGTTGAGCACACCCACGAAAGAGGCTAATCACAAGGAATAAGAAGAATCTGTAGCCCGGGAAGAACGAGGAATGAGAAGAAGATAGACGCCGTGTATGTGGGGTAAGGAAGGAGAAAAAGTAGCTCCGGCCTTGGTCAAGAACAAGGGTACAACGTTGCGAAGAATATCTGATAGCCGTTGCGTTGTATTCGCGCGTTGAAGGTCTGAGTACCGAGGTTTGGTTTACGTTGTGAGAGACATGATGGCTATACGCACCTCGAAAAGGTTGCTGGGCCACCTCTTTCGATTCTCAACGCCTTTGAACCTATTAGCCGTACATCTCCAAAGCAAGGTGCCGCCAATCTTCAAAGCCTGATGCAGTAGCAGCCCCGGAATCCACAGTGCTAAGATGGTGTTCATCGTAAGTTAGACCTGATTACTGAATCAAAGAACAAGATACTTACTTCATGACCTTGCTCACTTGACGAGCTGATGCGACGCGTCGATAGTGCAGGTCCTTGAGTACATCGTTGACGGTGGTGGAAAGAGACGGGAGGAAAACAAACGTTGGCCAACACGAATTTGACCAAAGTCAACGTTCTTGTCCTCGACCACCACCATCACCCCGCCAACTTTTACCGTTCACCCGCTTGGGATTCACACTCAATTTTCTCTTTTTATTTGGGGCTCAAGCTGTCCAGCTCTCCTGCTTGAAACTCGCTCAGGTGAGAGCTCAATCTGTCATTGGCAATTGCTCCTTGATTGTCAAGCTAACAGAAGTATTAGAGATCACGCTTACGCACAAGCTTTTACAGCCATGTGCGGAACATAGGGCGCGGGCCGTGTTTTTTTTTTTTTTGGGTCCAAACAAAGAAGTTGTTAGAGCCATGTAGTATTCTCAACGTAGCACACTCAAATGTAGTCCGTTTAGCTTGAAAATAGATCCATTCGATGCCGATTTTTATTCTGCATCTGTAGGTACAAAGTATATACATAAATCTATCGAATTTGTGCAAGAACGAGTCAAGTTTCCTGTTGCAACGACCTTCCGCCTCGTCACAACGTCCTTCAGCGTCGCTTACACATCGCTGCTCGCCTCCACTCTACCCAAGACTATGGCACGCGGCACTGGACGGAAACGTGGTCGTGGTCGTGGCCGTGGCACTTTTCGCGGATCATCCACGCCCACGGACACCTCAAGCACCGGCTTGAAGATCACCATTCCACTCTTCTCCGCTCTTCGCAGTGGGCTCCCAGCTAATCCTGCTCCTCTTGACAACGGTGGGGCTTCAGTGTCTGTCAGAAATGTCTCAGCCCCTGCATACAACCCTCCATCTACCCCTCACCAAGTTGAAACACACTCACAGGATGAGCCACTTCTCCCAAACGAGCCTCTCCCATTGACCCCTACACAAGAGGGAGAAGAAGAAATTGTCATAACACCTCCTCCTCCCCCTTCAAAAGAAGCTGTCAGGAGGGCAAGAGAGGAAGTTCTTGGTGGTGGTAGATTTGACGAGGATGAGGATGAGGAAATCAGCATCGAGGACCTGCATGCTCTCAACAACTCTCGCAAGCGTGGCTGGGGCGAAGCTCCTGATAGAGTGCTTGCTGAGGATGGGGAGGACGAGGATGCTGAGGATGAGGATGCTGAGGATGAGGTTGAAATTGTTGAGAAACCACGTCCATCGAAGAAGGCGCGGAAGCGAGGAGGTGACGATGCTCCTGCTTCGGTTGAAACAAGCATTGAGCCTAGTAAAAGTGAGTATCCTTCTCAGCGCTGCAAGAAAGGAACTCACCCAATGATTTCATAGAGGTGGTGCTTCTTATCCCCAATGTTTCCAGTGAAGGGGCTCGTCGCAAGACATTGAGCTTCGATACGGATTACGATGACGCCCTTTCAGTCATCTATGCTACCATTGGATGTGCGAACGTTCAGAAGAAGCCTCGCCTTGGCTACAAATTCTCGTCGGCTGCCCAAAAGACACAGCCAATTGATCTCAGCAGTGAAGACGATTGGACAGGCATGCTTGAGGACCTTCGCGCGTTGCAGAAGAAGAAGAAAATGGGCATATCAGTCAACTTGTCCGTTGGTCCCGAGGCTGTGAGTTCATTTCCCTTCATTCATCTCACGCTGTCATTCTCAGCTCCAAATATAGTACATGGCATCCCTTCGGAATCATTTGAAGAATGGGAAGGCCACGCAGCGTTCTGAGGGTGGATGGGGAGGAGGGGGCACTGGTCGGAAAAAAGGTAAGGTGCTGATGATGGATCTTGGGGATAATGATGACGATGAAGATGATGGCAATGGGATGATGGAAAAAGAGAACAAGGCCTACGGACAACTCGAGAAAGTCCTGACAAAGTGCCAGCTTTGTGGACCAACGAAATTCTGCAAGATCAACAAGGTGGGCGAACATGTATGCCTCTCCTTTCAGCAACGTCGGGGTTGGGCTGTCGCATTGGTAGTGTAATCTATTTTCTCTACCTTGCATCGCTAACGTAAGATGTTCAGGCAAGTGGGGCTCATGGTGTTACCTTGCAAAATCCACCAAAAAGCGAGCTTTTCCGTGATTTTAGCAGTCACCCCTTGCTTTCGAGCAAATCTGCTGTTAGTTCCCCAGCAGTTGCCCCACCAGGGTTCATGACCCCTCAAGCGATGGGTCAACCGTACATGTTTCCGTGGTACATGCCCCCAGCTCCTGGCTACCCAGGTGGTTATCCACCAACCCCAACCCCAATGTATCCACCTCCTCACCAACAACCCCAACCTCCTCCTGCCCATGGTATTCCTTCGAGTGACGGCTTTGACGATACATATGCAAATCCTTACCCCGAGATCAATGCATTCATCACAAAGCTATCGGAAAAGCAGCCAAGACGCCAGCTCACCAAGCATATTGCTGATTTCGATGTGAAAGATTACTACAACATTGACCAACTTGCCAAAATTACTACCGATCGTCTCTCTGGGCCGGAATTTGGTATGACTTCAGGTAATGCTGAGTTTTTATTAGATGCTGTTCGTGCTGAGATCAAGAAGATTGATCGTGTTCACGGTAAGAAACGTGCTTGATACTGTCTTTCTATTTTATACCCATCCTACTCAAATCTCACTTTCATTTCAACTACCCCCCTTGGCTGATACCCTTTGTTTTCATCCCTATTTTTTCATCATTATCCCTTACGTACTTGCAACATATAATCCCTACTTCCTCTACCTATATAACTAACCTGTTACACACTTTATGATCAGTTTTATACCCAACATATATCAATTCATTAAAATATATGTTTACATTATTATATATATCCAGAATGATGAAACCATCCCCTACAATCTGATTCTTTGACTTGGTCAAGAGCATGATAAAGAAACATATATGGTTCCACTTCATCTCCCATCTCAACAATGTCCCGGAACTGATTCCCATATCGGCGGATATAGTGCTTGAAAAATGAAAAGCATTCTTCAATCGGGTTCAAGTCGGGAGAATATGGTGGTAGATAGATAAGGCGCACTCCCCTAGATGTGAGATGAGTTGGATATAATCCATGATTGTAGATTGACGTACCGTTCAGCACACATTTCTGCAACACCTGGGACATGGTGAATTCGACAGTTGTCAAGGATGAGCACGCTATGAGGGCCTGGGTAGGGATTCATGATTTGAAGCAATCCCTCCAGCCAAATGAGGAATTGATCCCCATTATATGCACCAATCTTGATGTGGCTATAGAGAACACCAGCAAGAGATATTGCAGGGAGGACTGAATATCTTCTAAGGCATGAATATGGTGGAACAAGTATACAAAATAAACTAGCATACCGGGTACCACGTACGAAACAACACTTTTTGCGTGCTCGAAGACCCTGAAGTGACCACCCATTAGTCCGATACGTGGTCAGGACATTTACGGCAGCTTCATCAGCAGTGACAAGATATTCAGGCGGGATATCACCCATCTCAATAGCAAAATCATGACGTGCTTCTTCACAGCGCTCTGCCGCAGCCTTTGACAACTGGAAAACAAGTGTAGCAACTGGACTCAGAAATGTTATCCCAAAAACTCACCTTTTTTGAGCTCATACCGAGCCGCTTGAGTGTGCGAGAGATTGTCCACAGGGAAACCTCAAGGTTGTGCTGTTCGGCAAGCTGCTCTTGTATCTCGTCGAGGTACAAGTCTGGAGAATGGTCCAGTAATGCCAATAGAAACTGAATTGAATGAGCAGGCAATGTTGTACTGAAGTTCCTGAGCTTACCTTTGTCTGAAGTGGAGACAACAACGGGTGACGTCCCTTGTAAGTTCTATCCCTGCAAACTTCACCGATTTCAAACCAAGTGCGCTTGACACGTTGCACAACTCGCACTGGCATGTCGAGATCAACTGCAATCGCTGTCGAGGATTTTCCGAGTGTGAACGCCTGGTAAATGACGCGCTTCTTGAGATCCTGTGAGTAGTGACATCGCAAAGGTGTCGAGCGCTTTTTACGCGGCATAATGGTGTTGGAGAAGCGATGTTGAAGGACGTTGTGACGTGGCTAATAGTAACACATCATGATAGCCACAGCCTACTTGTACCTACTTGTACTAATTCAAATCTGCACCGTTCTGCACGAAAATAGTTTTGCTGGCAAGCTGAAGGTCGAAATTATTGAGCAAAAGAAGATTGAAGAAAACGGTAAGGGTTAAGGGAGAAGGATAATCACCTTCTTCCGGGGCAATGGCAGAAGGTTGTTGCAACTCGCCCTTTCACAAATTCAATAGATTTATGTATATACTTGGTACCTACAGATGCAGAATAAAAATCGGCATCGAATGGACCTATTTTCAAGCTAAACGGACTACATTTGAGTGTGCTACATTGATAATACTACGCGGCTCTAACAACTTCTTTGTTTGGACCCAAAAAAAAAAAAACACGGCCCGCGCCCTATGTTCCGCACATGGCTGTAAGCTGGTAAAGGCTTGGAAAGAGGGATATACGGTACGGGATGGGTTTGAGGCAGCAGCGAGGATCTATCTCTATTCATCCAGCTGGTCGGTGTTGATATCACTCAAGGCCAGACCGCCACCCTGGGAAGTGGTGATGATGAATCCGGCCAATTCGTCGACTTTGATGCGATGGACACGACGGTTGGGTGAAGTATGGTGTCGGACTATGCACTTTTTCGCTGACAACCTTGTCTCTCTCCGTCAGTGAGGCCACCTGGGTGGCTCACTCACCCGTACCAACTCATTTTGCGGCGATCGGCTGCTCTGTGTTCCGTGGCGACGCTATCCTTTCAACCCACTTAGATCTCAGCACTCCGCAGCTCCACCTACGGCTCACCCTAGCGACAACAACCCAGCAGTCATGCGATTATCCGTATGCTGTCACGCCCCTGTCGAATATCGGACCAACGCAAAAGCTGGACAATTTGCAATCAATGGTGGTACGAGTAGGATCGGATTCCTACTCCGGGTCGTGGCAGGAGCGAACGTTAATTCGAGAGCCTCTCTTGCTCTTGGTACGACATAACTGCTCCCTCTTGACGATGAGCTAATGGATTGGTCTTTTGCAGGATCCGTGACGTGGCGAGGCTCTCGCGGCGAGAAACCAAGATCACCCATGCGACCCCATCGTTCGTCGCCTGCGCAATGGCCATTCAGCTGAGGCGCTCTTCAATGTCATCGGTATCGTCCTGCAGTGCATGAAGGGTCGTGCGATTCAGTGACAACGATACTTTCGCATGGATGCTGATCAAAGAATCAACGGTAGTGGTCACAAACACCTAGTTTAGGATGCTGGGTTAGGTTCGTCCGCTCGTCTTTTGCATTTCTATATACTTAATATTCTAGTATTGTCTGGATTTGATATTTTTTTGAGTATGTGAAATAGAATTGCACACTCTCTTCTCTTCGTCCCGTTCTGTGCTTTGGATCATAGTGCCCGCCCTATCTTTCTCGTTGACCGCGCTATCTCTGGCGTCTCCTTGCTGTGTTGGTGCCCAACCACGTTACTGCGCATGGACAGGCGTGGACTTCGGAGCGCTGTTCTTCAAGGCCTGGACCCACAACTTTTGAGGGTTCTTAATTAGGAACATCAGCTGACCGCCTGAAGCAGTCCGTTACCCATTCTGAAAATTGACGCCGCCCAGCATTGACTCTCTCTTCTGAACCACGATGTCTGATCTTGACCGCCCCCGCGAAAATCGTTTGCAAGGAAAGTTCCAAAGATTGCTCGGTCGTTTCATGGGCGAAGATTACTCCCATGATGAACGCCCAAGCGGTTCGAGGTTCGCGTTGCTGAACCACGCCCACAGATAGCATCCTGACAAAATATAGGTCAATGTTTATAAGGGCGCCTGAAGTCACGGGAGAGCGTAGTACCTCTTTGGTGTGTTTACAATGCAAACAAATTCATCGGCTCATTTTGTCTTCGGCAATTCCAGAATGTCATGCAAGGAGCTCGCAACATTGTTATGAGGGATTCCACATTCTATGTGGCTCACAATGTGTGTCTGGTGATCCCAGCATTGATCGTTTGAAATATTGATTGGACTTTTTGTGAAGATTGAGGTTCATGAACATGCCAGCAGGGGTCAAGATGATACACTCCTTGTTCCCCAAAGGCCAAATTCAAGTGCTCTATTTACAGGTCACGAGTATATTCTTCAGAGGCTGAAGGATCATTTCACACCTCAAGATGAAGGGGATAGAGGCAGAAAGTCATTCTTGTTATATGGCATGGGAGGGATTGGAAAGACACAGATTTGCTTGAAGTTTGTTGAGGAGACGGCTGGAAGGTAAGTTGCTTCAATTCAATATCTCTGATTTTCTGACAAGTGCATGCAGATTCTCTCATGTCTTCTGGATTGATGCATCTTCTGAAGATACTATTGCTCTTGGTTTAAAGAGTCTTTGTTCTCATCCTGAGGCTAAAGCTGCAAATATCTCTGTGTCCTCCATGTCTGCTCTTATCTGGATTGCATCTCTGCAGTGTAAATGGCTGCTGGTTTTTGACAATGCTGATGGTGCACCTGAAGTTGTAGAGAAATTTATTCCACCTGGTTCTCAGGGCAATATTCTGGTTACTAGCAGAAATCCATCTCTTGGGTGTGTCACATCTTATGGAAACTCTCTGGAAGTTGATCAGATGGCTGAAAAGGAAGCCATATCACTCTTAGTGAAAGCCAGCCATCTAACTGAGCTGCCAGAAAATGTTTACAGCATAGCTCAGCAGATTGTAAATGAGCTCTGCTGTTTGCCTCTGGCTGTTGATCAAGCAGGAGCTTCCATTCGATCTGGTCTCTGTAGTATTGACAATTATCTGGAGCATCTCTCTCGACATAGGAATAAGCTTATGAACCACCCTTCACTTAGGGGGGCATCTCAGTACAATCATACAGTTTATGCAACATGGGATTTGTCATTGAATGAAATTGAGTCAAGGGCAAACAAGAAATCTGATGGGCATGGGAGAGCAGCTGCTCAGGCTGCTATTCTTATTCTTGAAACTGCTGCATTTCTACATCATGAGAATATCATTGAGGCTGCATTTAGAAAGGCTGCTATGAAATTCTCTAAAGGACATTACAGTGAACTAGCAAAAAATGTCAAAACCTGCATTGCCCAGTTGCTTCAGCTGGAAGATCAGAATTGGAATGAATTCTTCTTTTATGAAGGAATTAGAGTTCTTATGTCCTTTTCTTTGATCAAACAGAGCTCAACCTCTTCAGGAATCTATTCCATTCATCCATTGATGCATCAATGGAGTAGAGATAGGATGTCATTGTCTCAGAAAAGGTGCATGATGCAGGTGTCAAGATTTATCCTTGTCAACTGCATTACAGAAGAGATGACAGCTGAGAACATTGCATTCAACAGGGTTCTTGTCCCACACATTAAAGCCAACTCCCATTCAGAGAGGGAAAGTGGCTTCAAAAGAATGTTTGATGATACTGAATACTCTAACTTCAGTTATGTATTCCAGCAAAATGGTATGTGGAAAGATGCAGAGGATCTTGAGTATCAAATAGTAGAAATGAGGATGAAGAAGCAGGGGATGAGGCATCCATCAACACTGAGTAGCATGGGAAAGCTTGCAGACATATACACACAGCAAGGAAAATATAAAGAGGTTGGGGAGCTGGGGCTAAAGGTTCTGGATCTGTGTAAAAATGTGCTGGGGCCAAACCATCCAGAAACCTTGACCAGTATGAATAATCTTGCAGTTACATATTCAGACCAACAGAAATATGAGGAGGCTGCAGAGCTAAAGCTGAAAGTCCTGGATCTGCAAAAAAGGGTGCTGGGGCCAGAACATCCACAAACCTTGACCAGTATGAATAATCTTGCACTTACATATTCAGACCAAGGAAAATATGAGGAGGCTGCAGAGCTAAAGCTGAAAGTCCTGGATCTGCAAAAAAGGGTGCTGGGGCCAGAACATCCACAAACCTTGACCAGTATGAATAATCTTGCACTTACATATTCAGACCAAGGAAAATATGAGGAGGCTGCAGAGCTAGAGCTGAAAGTCCTGGATCTGCAAAAAAGGGTGCTGGGGCCAGAACATCCACAAACCTTGACCAGTATGCAAATCTTGCACTTACATATTCAGACCAAGGAAAATATGAGGAGGCTGCAGAGTTGGAGCTGAAAGTCCTGGATCTGCAAAAAAGGGTGTTGGGGCCAGAACATCCACAAACCTTGACCAGTATGAATAATCTTGCACTTACATATTCAGACCAAGGAAAATATGAGGAGGCTGCAGAGCTAAAGCTGAAAGTCCTGGATCTGCAAAAAAGGGTGCTGGGGCCAGAACATCCACAAACCTTGACCAGTATGAATAATCTTGCACTTACATATTCAGACCAAGGAAAATATGAGGAGGCTGCAGAGCTAGGGCTGAAAGTCCTGGATCTGCAAAAAAGGGTGCTGGGGCCAGAACATCCACAAACCTTGACCAGCATAGCAAATCTTGCACTTACATATTCAGACCAAGGAAAATATGAGGAGGCTGCAGAGCTAAAGCTGAAAGTCCTGGATCTGCAAAAAAGGGTGCTGGGGCCAGAACATCCACAAACCTTGACCAGTATAGCAAATCTTGCAGTCACATATTCAGACCAAGGAAAATATGAGGAGGCTGCAGAGTTGCAGCTGACAGGTCCTGAATCTGCAAAAAAGTGTTGGGGCCAGAACATCCACAAACCTTGACCAGCATAGCAAATCTTGCACTTACATATTCAGACCAAGGAAAATTTGACAAGGCAGAGCAGCTGGACATACAAGTTCTGGATACAATGAACAGAATTCTTGGAGTGGAACATCGACACACAATCAATGTCATGGCAAATCTAGCAGCAACATATGATGACCTGGAGAAATACACAGATGCTGAAAAGTTAAAGGCTCAAATTCTGGATAACAGAATAAAAATTCTAGGACCAGAACACCCAGATACAATTATAGCTATGGCAAATCTAGCAGCAACATATGATCACCTGGGAAAATATGTAGATGCAGAGAAGCTACAAATCCAGGAGCTAGACGTAAGAAGTAGGATTCTAGGAAAGGAACACCCAAGTACAGTCAGGTCTATGGGTAATCTAGCAGTGACATACAGCAACCTTGGAAAGTATATGGAGGCAGAAAAATTGGAGGTTCAAGTGCTGGACACAAGAAAAATGATCCTGGGAGTAGAACACCCAGATACAATTGATACCATGGCAAATCTAGCTGCAACATACTCTAGCCTGGGAAGATACACAGATGCAGAGAAGCTGAACATCCAAGTTCTGCATGCAAAGAACAGAATTCTTGGGATGAAACACCCAAACACAATTATGGCTATGGAAAATCTAGCAAAAACATATGATCACCTGGGAAAATATAAAGATGCAGAAAAATTGAAGGCTCAAATTCTGGATAGTAGAATAAAAATTCCTGGACCAAAAGGCTCAGATGCTATAGTGGCAGAGAAATTGCAGGTTCAAGTTCTGGATTCTGGCAAAAAAGTGGTTGAAACAGAACATCCACACATTATTGGAGCACTGCCAAACCCTGCACCAGCCAGAAAACAACTTATACTTGTAGCTAAGACTGCATTGCACCATCTTCAATGTTGTGAAGCTGAAATCAAAGCTGCTCTGTCACACTCAGGGATTTCTGAAATGGACTACCTACTTCTTTCTGGGTTTAATGAATCTGTTATCCACTTGGGTATTGGATATGTGGAAGAAATCCATGTACACTTGAAAAGTCAAGTTGTCCCTAACAGTGACCTCTTGTCTTCTCTTGGCAGAATTTTCTCACCATTTCCTGGAATGATCTTCACTACTTTCTCACCTTACTTCTTCAAGACACCAGTATTCAATAATGAAGGAAAGACCCAGGAATGGGATCAAGTTGTCTTTACACAGGCTCACACATATACAACTCTTCGAATGGGAAATAAAATGAAGGAAATGGAACTGATGTCAGACAATATTTACCTCAATGAAGGAGAAGTCCCATCTGGCTCTGGAGGTGGTGGTGGTGGTGATAGAAATGAAAAGAAGCATGGTGATAGAAATGAAAAGAAGCAAGGGGAAAATCCACCCCAAGACAGGAGGACTGATAATGATCCTGAGAAGGGTGGTGAAAAAGATTCTGGGGGAGATGATGATGACTCTGGAGGGAATGACCCAGAAAATCCAGACTTGAAAGGCAGCTCTGGTGCTGACTTATTCAAAATCTCCTTCAACATTCAAACTGAGATCTATCCCAATGCCCCACCAGTGCTTTCTTCAGAGCCTTCTTTATCCAGACCTTCCAAGTTTTTCCAAGTACTACAGCTTGAAGGAAGCATTACTGTTCAAGTAGGTCACCCCTCTATACTTATTCACAACAAACAATTAATCTTGTTTTAGACAAAACCTCCACAGTTAAAACCAAGGGAGCTAGCAAGCTCCTGTATTGAGTTCAAAGAATTCAAACTCCAAAGCATTGCTGATATTGAATCTGCTTATTATCACCTTGCTCACTTCAGAACAGAGATAAACACAAGGGAGAAAAACACCAAATTCAAAAACATCAAACCAGCTTCTACACGTGCAGTTGCTTCTGAGAGCAAAGTTGCTGAAGGGAATAAACAAACACTTGCTGCTACTCTTGGGTCCACATTTGGAATCAGTAGTCTCAAGCCCACTGTCCTATTTTCCATTTCTGGAACCAAAGGAAAGGAGTCATCAACAACAAAGGAACTTATAGTCTTCAACTCAAGAATTATACAGAAAGATTACAATGGGGCTACCTGGTGGGAATTTACTGTTGATGACCCTAATCAACAACAGCAGGGATTAGACCTGCAAGAGTTGCGCACCCTTCCATGTGTATCTTGCACATTTATAGGGAGCTCAGATCATACACCACCTCCCCCAGCACCTGATTTATTTGGTGTTGAGGTCATGTCCTGCTGGTCATTGATTTCATTGGGAAGCAACCCCAACTCTTTTTTGGCATCTTGGCTAGCCCTTGGAAGTTCAGAGGTGAAACCACCCACTCCCTATTCAAATCTTTGCCAGATTTTGTTGCTGGATTTACCCTCACAATTGTCAGAAGATTCTTACTATAAAGCTGTTGCAAAGGCTACACCCTCCAGCTCGACAGTATTTGATGTGGAGCGCCCCTCTCCATACAAGTTTACTCCCCTTATAAACTTCTCCCGCTCAGAAGGAGGTGGTTCTTATTAGCATCACAGCTCTTCCATTGACTTTGATTCATTCAATTCATTAAAACAAGTTTGGGTCTGTAGGTACTGATGTTTTTGGTGTCAAATCATTGATATTGCATGAAATTATGTTAAGTTGGTTCTTGATTCTTTCTTCTGATATCTTCCAAAAAAATAGTATTTGATTGTTTGGACTTTGCTACTGATCACAGCAGAAATTTTGTTCTGAAATATATTTTCTTTGATAACTTTGACTTTGAAATGGCACAAAAAGTTATGCTATGTAAGATACTGACTGGAAACCAAGTGTTGTTGATTTTGACCACAATGTGTTAAGGGAAAAAATCCCTACTCAATTCCTTGTCCACTTGCTTGTCCATTTTGACTCTCTTCTGATCAGTTATGGGTCCAAAAAGTCAATTGAATTGAAACCAAGTGGAGCAAAAAGACTTGCTCCTGAATTTTCTTTTCTTCACCTAGGCTTGACACCAGCTGTTACTTCAAACTCTGATCGTCATTGAAGTAATGGCTGGTCTAACCTGTTGTCACTTTGGCAGGTCACACATTTGTGACAAAGGACTTCTTACTGAGAATAGATGGTTCAAGGTCACGCGGAAAGAGCTGTCCCCCACCAAGTAAGGGTAGGGACCGTTGCTCAGTTCCCAGGACTGTGTTCCCTCTTTTCGGTACCCTGTCACAGCCGTTGCTGCTGTTTTCCTGTCCCCTGCGTCGCTCCTCGCTGCTTTATCTCTGATTTCTATTGCACAGATTGATCTGCGAGCCCACCGTCAGCCTCTTCACCTTGAAACAGATTGGTGCCTGCCTAGCATGGCTTGTCTCGGAAGCGACACACCCTTGCTGGCTCGCCGTCATCTTTGGTTTACTCACCGCTGCCCTTCTCGTCTTCTGTACCGGCATGGTCTCACCACAAGTCAAAGCAATGGACGTGGATCAAGACGTCGACTCCATGGATGTCAATGACCCACCACTCAACTCCAACTCCAATGACGAGGGCAATGCCTTCCGTTTCCAGGCGAGATCGTCAATGGGAAGTGGCAGGTCCATTACATGCGAATGTGAGCTACCCTCACCGTTTCCTCGACTTCAACACACTAACTTTGTGACAACAGTCATGGCAAAGGCATCTCCAGATCTATGTTGCAAGAATGGTGCAAAAGTTTTGCCATCCTGCATTCTGGAAACATGAAAACAATGCGAGAGAGGCTCGCTAAGTTCAGTGGGGATTCTGATGCTTGGGATAGGTGAGTGAATCCATGTCACCCCCATCCTCCAAGACATTTATCACTGTGACCACAGGACAATTCCCAGGGCATGAAGAGCCCATCTCAACACAAGGTATGGAGCTGTCTCGAAGCCAATCAAGACAAAAAATAGATCAACCAAAAGTGCTGAGGAGATGTTCAGCAGGTCAGCGATGGCTGCACCCATCACTCACCTTCTCCCAACAGAGACTGAAAGTGGCGAAAGCAAGCAAACAGCATGCGAATGAGAGCAGCTGCTCAGCTGGGTACCTCTTTGCTGTCTTTTCTTTTTGCTTTTTGAATCAAGCTCTTCACAGGCAAAAAAAATTGTGGAGTCCCATCCCTACGTTCCATTGGCAGCCCAAAAATTAGCAGCAGAGAAAGCTCTTGCAAAAAGAATGGTGTGTGATTCATATTCTCAACTAACATTTATCTCTAATCTGCCGCAGGCTGGTGGCAACCTGGCACTACAGGAAAACCTCAAGCTCACAAATGCACACATTGAAGAACTCAATCACTGCCTCTCTCACATGAGCACTGGCATGGCCAGTGACTGCATTAGCATTTCCCTGACAGCCACCCCTCCATCCGCCCCTCCCTTGCCATCTGAGCACGTCACAGCCCCAAACGAACAACCCCATCCAGCCACCTCAGCTGCACAAATCTCCACTTCAGTTGCAACCCCCAGCTCTGCTCTGACACGCACAATCATACTAGGTGACAGGACTGAGCTCACATTCACGGAGGCGGATGTTGGCTCTCCATCACTAACTGGCTTTGCTGATGACATTGCTGGCCTCAACCGAATGTGGGATGACACCACTCCCAACTGGGGTGGCACGTTGGTGTTGGAGATCAAGGGTCACCCAATACCCATCGTCTACTGGAAGGACATCTATATGAATTCTAACTGTGGAAGCCCGTGGAAGCTGCGCCAATGGCACAGTATGAAGAGCAAGTGGTTCAACTGGAAGGTAAGTTTTTTTTAGGTCTCTCAATGCTGTTCGTTTGAAAGTCAACTTAACAGGTCATCATGCATTGCTACCACCAAGGAATCCACACCCAATTTTGGGATGAGTTTTCACATAATGGGGAGCAGCTTTGCATCACAAAGATCATCCAACAACTTTCAGAGCTTCGCAAGGATGAAGACCAGGCCACAGCTGAATGCGCAAGGGCAGAGTATGCCACCAACTTCCCATCTTCCTTTTCATACAAAAAGAACGGGGTTTCTCACATTAAAACTAAGCCTTCAGATATTGCGAAGACATATCATTTACTCAAAGGGATTTCTGGTCTAGAATCAGATGGTGAAGATTGAATGAAGTACATAAAGCTTTTCGTAGTTAGATCTGTAACCTCCTGCCTAATACAATGTATATAATTCTTATGCACAAGCACAAGAATGTCTGCATCGTGGGCACTTTACGTTTGGGGCTTGCCTTGGGTTGAAAAAGTCCTTGCGTGATTCTGTTGGGTTGTCATTCCACGAAATAAGATACTTAACAATTGTCATGCTGGAAAATTCAACGCTCCAGCCACCCCAGTCACAAATCGTGCGTAGAGGCCAATGACATTCTGACACCAGGTACTGACAACCACCACATTGAAACGAGTGGGTTCCGTAAGGGGATGGGTCAATCCCAATATCAAGAAGATTGTTACAAAAGAGCAGTACTTTACAGTGCCCCACCTATTCCTGCAGGAATTCAGTCATTCCACTGGAATCCTCTGAACTCATGTAAATTTAGCAGTACATGTCCTGATCAGCTAAAGTCATGTGACTTAATAACCAACTTAATACTCAGAATAAATTTTAAGTCAATAAACCAAATTATATTATATTTAAAATGACATAAAACATATTTTATTATATACTACTATATACAATCTATATTTAAGGAAGGAGAGGTACAAGGAAAGGGGGTGGGGACAAGGGGAGCAGGCTATGGAGAAGGAAAGGGGCAGGGAGAAGGAAAGGGGTAGGAAGGTGTGGAAGTGCGGAGTGGTTTACTCACGCCACTTCCCTTTTTCTTTGATTTCTTACACATTTTCATTTTTACTTTGACCTCTTCCCCTTTTTATTTTGTGTGAATTCTAGGCATGAAGAATGCACCAACGAACAAGCTCTGTATGTGTTCCGGCAACTAATCGCAACCGGAGGAAGACGTCATATTCGGCGACTTGCAGAAAATGCCTTCCTCGTATGATGTCATCGCCAGCGTAGACTTGGGTTGAGAGTTCGACTCCCCCTTTTATCGTTTGTATGGTTAGCTTGGGGTTTTGTTTCGTATGTTCAGAAATTCTTTGTTTTTGTCATTGATCTTTTTTTTAGTTTTTTTTTATTGATACGACAACTCTTTTCGAGACCAAAGCCAGATTCGAGAACTGGACGGTAGGGTCGAAGCGTCGTTCGTTACGAAGCCCGCACTGAAGGGGGCAGTCGCGCACGTAAATTGGCCTCTCGTAACGTCGACAGCTCCCCGAGCAATCCCTAGTTCAACGGTTTGGTGGAGGAATTGACAGGACGCGTCAAAAACCTATTTTTGTACGTTCAGCTTCTTTACTTCTATTTTTCATTAGAATTTTTCGAGAAAGGCAGCACGCGAGAACGTGCAGATGCCTTGTGATTCCGTGTTTTTGTATTTAAAAGGTGTCCTCCCACCTCACGAATGGCGTATCGTTTTCTCCCTCCAAAAACGTCCCTCTTTGTTTTTCCAAGAATTTAAGACTTCAAGAACGACGACTCTCAAGAACCTTACGAGATTTCAAACCGCTCTCGCTTCGTACGCACACCTGGCTCCGACACGCGCTTCAAACGCGCATATACTCCAAGAATTTCAATAGGTGCGCGTTCGCTCACACGACTGCCTACCGCTAAGTACTCGATTCGTCTTCTTGTCCTTGTTCATTCCTCCCCCTTTTTTTTTTCCTTTTGTTATTTCCTTTCTCCGTGAAGTAGACGACCGGTATTCTTGTCCCTTCTGTTGAACTTCCGTTCTTCCTCAAAGGGGTGGAGAGTTATGGAGGGGATGATGGAGAGGGGAGGGAGGGGAAGGGGTGATGGGGAGGGGAAGGAGGGGAGTGAGGGAGGGGGAGGGGTGGTGTAGTGTACATTCTTCTTGTCCTTGTTCATTCCTCCCCCTTTTTTTTTCCTGAGGGAGGGGGAGGGGTGGTGTAGTGTACATGGTTGTAGACACGTTGGCGTGAACACGTCGTCGCATCGTTGTCGTTGTCCGTAGCATTGTTCTGTGGGTGCTGGGTGATGTAGACATGTTGGCGTGGACACGTCGTCGTTGGCGTAGATGTGTTGGCATGGACACGTCGTCGTTGACGTGGACATGTCGTCCCGTCGTCATTGTCGTCCGTGGCATCATTCTGTGGGCGCTGGGTGTTGTTTTGAGGGCGCTGGGTGTCGTTTGTGGGCGCAGGGGTGTCGTTCGTGTCCGCTGCGTGTTGTTTTGTGTCCACAGGTGGTGTACGTGTCCGTTGGTTGTTGTTTTCTGTCTGTTGGGCATTTTTCGTGTCTGCGGGCGTGGTTTTGCATCCGTTGGCCGTTGTTTCATGTCCGCTGGTGGTGTCCGTGGGTGCTGGGCGTCGTTTCGTGGGCGGGGTGTCGTTTTTGTGGGTGTTGGGGTGTTTTCGTGGGCGGGGGGTGTTTTCATGGGTTCTGGCGCTCGTTGTTTCGTGATGTGGCGTCGCTGCGTTGTTGTTGAAGGGCAGTGTGGTCGATGTTGGTGGTCGTGGTGGCCATGGGTGATAGACGAGTGACGTGGGTGGTGGTGGCTATGGGTGATGGTGACGGTGTGGCATTGGCGGCGGCGACGAGCATGGTGGTGGTGGTGGAAGAAGAGAGTGACCGTGTTTGGTGAGCAGTGTTTGCCAAACAAGCATTGTGCTCGCTACGTGAGTAGCGGGTTTTACCCTACGAGCCACCAAAGCTCTTGCGTGGGTAAGTTTAGCCATGTTTGGCGCCCTCTAAGTGACTCGTATGGACTCAAAGTGTTCAAACTTCAAATTGCATTGGCTGCGAGGAGCGAACCATGCAAGCGGTTCGGCGACGAGCAGCCATGCCAGCTACTATTAAACAGATCATTTCCTTCTCCAATATAATATGCTCCTCGCAGCCATTAGACGGTCACATAAATGACCAACTGCCACAAACAATTGTGGCGGGTGAGTCAATAACGCAAATATTATTTGAATTGGTCAATACATAATCGCCGTAGCGAGCTTTGCGCCTGTAGGCGCGCTGCAGTGGTTATTTGTTATCCATTGAAAATAAATAAACTATAATACATAACAAAACAATAAAATAACCAGATTACAGTTCCTGCACATTCCAGGGAATGCTATTCCTGCCCATTCCGGGGACCATTCCAGTGTAAATTCCGGAATGAAAAAACACAGGAATGACAAATTTAGCAGGGCTTACTGCTAAATTTCATTCCACTGGAATCCACAGGAATCCACCGGAATTCCACCGGAATGACCGGAATCGTGCAGGAATAGGGGGGGCACTGATAAGACCTCCAAAAGAGCTCCAGAAACTGTTCAGAGGTCTATAGATAAAATAAAATATTAGTAACAAAGTAGGGAAGTTAAATAGCAATGAAACAGACCATTGGAGAGTCCTTGGCGGCAGGCCATTCACCTGATCCTATTTTGCGAAAGATGTAGCCCTCGATGATGGCAGTGGTATTGATCCAATCAGCGAGTGTACAGACAGGACAGAGGTGGGCATCTGCCTCATCAAGTATGTGTAGATAAAATGGCTTTATCCCTGTGAATATAATTTGTAAGGTGATCTAGGGAATATGAACAGAGAACATGTGGCCGTATTGATGTGTTTTTCAGAAGGGTAATGTTAGAATTATGAGATTGCCTCGAATTTCAATGTGGGACCTTCGTATTTTCAGGACTTCATCAATGCACAGCAAGCACAGAAAAGATATTGTATATATTGCGTGCAATGCCCGACATGTCAACCCTCCACCCCACTCATGGAGTTTGGCGGCATCTTTTCTAGAGGTGGGGCTGTATTGCTTCAAAGCCCAATTTTCCGGGAGGTGGTTAAAATCATAAAGCCTGCCCATAATATCCTGTCAGCTCATGCTTATCAGGTCATTCAATATGTGACTTTGTGCAATGACCTACTGCTGTGACAGTGCGTGCACTGGTTGCTTTGCAGCCAGCTTTAACCTGATAAAAATAAAAAATTGTGCCAAAGACAATGTAACAAACCAACCTTCCAGCGACACAGACCGACCACTCATATAATTGGCAACCTCTGGTGAGATGGATGGGTTGCCAACCATACCATCCTTGGTTCGATGCCATTCAAGTGACCCAAGGCCATACTCACATGAAAAAATTTTGGTCATGGCAGCATGCATCTTCTGTGCTTGCACATATGAATCACAGATCTCATTTGATGGCCAGGCCTTATTGTCCAAGGTGACCTCATCACACCTATGTTTTGTTAAAAAGGGTACATAGGAGCAAAAATAATAATTTACTTGTCCATAATCCATGCACTGATAAAGAATGGTGCATCTTTGGGAGGGGATTTGCAAAAAAAATCTGCCTCTTTCTGAATAAGACCTGAAGATATCAAGAAAGACGTGCATTGTATCTTCAGCCTAAATCGAAGACATGTTAATATGTGCCTCAATTTCAACAGACCACATTATCACCATTGGTATTCACCATCAGTCTTGTTGGTTACCCCTTTTGATGTGCCGAAGACGGATTTCTTCCATGTTTGCATGAATTCACAATTTCCTGGCTCCAAATCCTCATGGACAAGATCTGGTACAGTGGCTTGTTCATCCTCAAGGTCCAGTTCAATTTCTTCTTCTGTTATTCTGTCGTCATCATCACGAGAGTTGAGGGCTGAAAATTTATGAGAAAGATTGGATAGCGGGGCAATCATTGTGGGGAAGGCAAAAGGAGTCGTTGTTTCAAGGGATACTATATATACAGTGGGGGGCAGCTCCTATTTACAACTCACCCTCTGAGTCGGTGATGAACTCAATGAGGTGTCCATCATCCGAGACATCAAGGTGATACCGCCTTTCAGGGATCCTGGTGACTGTGGATGTGTTAAGGGGGTCATGCAGTGGTAGAGCAGGTTTGCTTTCATACCTGGTTCAAGGTCAGATTGAGTGAGGTCAAGTCCATCAATGACATTGTAGTGATTCCGTTGTTTGTTTGTCAATACATTGGGCTCAGGAGTGGTAAGGTCGATGGTGTCGAAATGGTCCACAGACCATCCTATTTTGTTGTGCTTTGGTCGTTTACTTGAAGATGCAGTGCCGTCGTCTTCATGAGACTTTTGTTTGAGAGGGTGAGGCATGCCCATTGACCCTGGAAGTTATTAATTACATTAATTGAGTCAAGGCTGTGGAGCGGTAATTCACCTGATGCACGAGGGGCCTTGCCACCAGTACTCATATGGGCACAGCAGGTAGCATTCTTTTTACCAGCTGAGAAAGGATAATTCCATGTGAGCACATGTTCTGAGGTTTCATGAAGAACATACTCACCTGCCACATTGAGTTCTGGGAATGTTGCATGAATCATGGCAATGGGAAGCCACACCCTCATCCTTGGGAACATGCTCAATCACCACTCATTTACTCTCCCTTCAGTTTCCCCATCATTCAACTTGCCTAATAGAGTGCCGATGATAGAATCTACAAGTGCGTCCAACACAATGAGGGTTAACCTGACCTCAGGATGGCATGGACAGTCTCGAGCTTTCAAAGGGACCCAGTGTTGAAGGACCTCACCAATGAACTGACAGGGTCTTTTGGCCAGACCAAGATCAGTCTCACGTGCAATGCAGCAAATGTTGTCGAGGGCCAAGCCAGGAAATATTGTTGTTTCAAAGTGCGAGAGAATTCTGTGAGTAATACCCCAGCAGAAATTCTCCTCGTCAAAATTTGCCAGCAAAATAGGATTGGGTCTACAGCCCAGAAGATCCGTGGGATTGGTCTTTGAGCTGAGAGGGTTTCGGTAAAGGTTGATGACCTTCAGTTAAGGGAAATTGGAAGGGATGGAATTAGAGAGAGCAGGTTGGCAGGAGGGGAGATGGCCACAGTCATTTGTTCTAAGCTCCTCACGCAACTCATTTCGCCACACCTCCAGAAAATTGTCAACAATTTTGGATTGGGACAAGCCATGCAGAAGGCAATGCCCAAGCCCTGCCCTTGCCAGTCCAGTTGCAATCCGGATGCCACACCGTTCAAGGCCATCCTAAGGCAAGCCTGAGTGTCAGGTCCCAAACATGAACTATGAATTAGAGATCTTACATTGTAGTCACCGCCAACCAGCAAAGCAATTACCAAGAAATCAGTGTTGGTGAAGCCAAGGGTGGCATGCTTTCTGATAGCTTCTGCACAGTATACAGTAACCTTCTCGTCATTGTCCTCATGAAGAAAGCTGCAGGAGGTCAGAAAGGTATTTCGACTGTGGTAACACACTCACTTTCGAAGGACAACCAAAGCACCGAGTACTATCAAGTCAGAATCTTCGCTTGCAATGGCATCAACATAACCCTCCTTGGACAGCCAAGCAAGCTCAGCATCAGCTTCACCAAGAGCCTACATGTGTCCATATGAGTAGTGCTTGGAAGTTAGGTTAATTAACTGGAAAATAACCGAGACCAGACCGGACCTAACCGCAAAAAAACCGGACCGCGGTTAGTGGTTAGTCAATTCTGGAAATGAAATAACCGGTTATTTTGCGGTTAACTAACCGTTAAAAAACCGGTTATGACCGGTTACAACCGACCCTATTATACCCCTTCAAAACGCATCTAAAAGCATGAGAAACGCTAAAAATCTGACAGAGTTATGGTCAAATCTCTAAATTATTGGCTAAAATAGTGGGCTTTCAAGAATATTATTATAAAATTGTCAATTCTTCACCGAATTTAGCGTTCTTGGGCTTGTTTTAAAGCTACGACACATGGCAATAATGTTTACTGCAAGGAATATGAGAAATATACGCCGTTTTAATCGATTTTCTATTTTTTCGGTCCTAACCGGTTAGTAACTGCAACTAACCGGTTTTCATCGGTTATCTTCGGTCCAGTTAGGTTATTTTGGGTCTGGGAACGAACCCTAACCGGTCTCGGTCTCGGTTAGAGCCCCTGGGCACCCAATAACCTAACCTAACCGGACTTTCAAACACTACATATGAGTGATAGTAGGATCGTTGCATAGAGAAAACCTACCACAGTTGAAGGAAATCCAAAGGAAAGTAGCATTTTCTGGAAATCCTGCTCAATCCAATGAGGGTTTCCTCAAACAGGCTTGCCCCATTTCACACAAGGGCACTTTGGACCATCAAACACAAAGTATGGCTGAATGGGTTTATTGAGGAGGCAGCAGCATCTCACATACAGTGTTGCCAGCTCAGGGTTTTTTGAAGCACTATGCCTGTAGAGCACACAGTATACCCAACCACTGAAGATGGTGAGCCAAATGAAAAAAACTCAATGCAGGTGCATACCTTGTGTCGATGCCCACCTGATATGCCCTTACCCCCCCAATATTGTTTACAAAGCCATCCTCAACGGCCAGCTGATGCAGAGAGATGTGCTCCCCAACTGGTGCTAGCAACTGTGATTTCCTAGTTAGCTGCCATAGTCACATCATCATCAATATACCCTTACCTTCCAGAGATCTTTGATGCCCATAGTGGGGAGATGAGGGAGTAGATCTTGAAAGCGTCCCCGTTTTTGTAGACTGAACTTGTCTAGGCTTATGTTTTGAGACAGTCATTTCATCTTGCCTGAGCAGCATCGAACAGCGGCATTGTCACACAAGAGCGCTGCTTGGCGGTTGGCAACAGACAATGCATAAAGACATGGAGACTGGTGGGTGGATCCAGGCAGCTGCTTGAAAATAATCAACCTATAATTATAGATTTCCAGGTTTCTCCAGGCTGAATCTCCAAGCCAAGTCCCAGGATTGAGTCTTTGCAGGAAACCCAGCCTTTCAAAGCCCTGGAGTGGATGAGAACACTCACAAAGGTGGGGGAAAAGGCAAAAGTGCAAACATTGTTGAATGTGTGATGCCCAGGCAGCAGAGAGGCCCCTCGGTGCTACATCACTCAGCAAGGTCTCTGCGGGAGCACAGTGCAATTGAGGAAACGCCTGGGCTAGCCACAGAGGCCACACACAGGCGATAGGACATAGGACGAATGGGGAAGACAATGGTGACTGCAAGATGAATACGTGGTGTTGAGTGAAGTGGACATGATGGCAACAGTTGTGCCTAGTGTTTAAAGGTTCAGTCCATAGGACCACAAAAAACGGTGGACCGAACTGAACCGGACCATGGTCCGGTCTTTTTTTCGGTTGCAGTTGCCCCAATTTGGGGTTGGTCCGGTTGCCGGTTGCCTCATTTCGAAAATCTTTTAAAACCATTCAAAGACCGGTTTTAATCGGTTGCAACTGGTTAAACGGTTACGTGCGTTACATAGCCTTGTAACCACGTTTATTGCCTTTTATTGGGTTTTTGTTTCATCAAAAACGGTTAAGAATTGAGAAAGATATAACCAAATCCATATTTTACCCGAGTCTCTAGGAGATGTAATTCAGTTTCAGTCATAGCTATGTCAAATCTTCATTAAATCTCTTGAAAATTGGTAGAATGACGGGTATTTATATGCTTTACTATTTTATATAACCCGTTTATTTTTCAGAGTAATAATGGTTGAGACACAAATGGTTTATATTGGTATAATAAATTATACGCAAAAAAACCGGTCTGGATCGGTCTGAACTGGTATCATGGACCGCAAAAGACCGGTCCTAGGTGGTTCGGTTCGGTTCCCTCAATATCTGGGTCGGTCCTGGACCGGTTTCGGTCCACGGTTGCGCATTTTCGGGGCAAAAAACCAGACTGAACTGAACCTTTAAACACTAGTTGTGCCATCAGAGGTGCAAGTGCTTGCTGAAAGTGAGTACCTTCCACTGTGTGGTGTGGCAAACATATATGATGAGAGTTGAAGGGCAGACATGGATGTTGCAATACCGACAATATTTGACTACAGCTTACATGAATTATTTCAACTACTGGTGGTACAGGAATAAATGGCATTCATCAATGTTCATGGGAAAGCGAGCCACATCCAGGGCCGAAGTCCACCAAATGCGATGTCCTCTTCAACCCAGTCACCTTCTAGATCTGAGGTCTTGTGTAAGTACCAAGCTTGGGGGAAATCTATCTGAGAAGGTCAGCAAAAAGTGAAGAAATAAGGAAAAAGACACAGACAAGTTGGTAGGTGAGCAAAAAGATAGTCCGGAAGGTAAAGAACCCTGGCGTTGTAGTCGCATTCACCACCTGATGAAGGGGATGCCCACGCTGCCTGTGGGAGTCTTGTAAACCTTTGGTTCATAGTCTAGTTGAGGGTGCTTGGCTTTGACTGACTCGAGTTTGATCACAACTTCTTCACCTAAAATGATGTAAGCAAGTCGACAACAATAAGAGCCTTGAGGAGACACACCAAAGGAACCAGAGCCATTTTTTCCAAGCCTATATTTGCCACCAATACGAAACTATGAGACGAGGTGTCCACCATGGGCTGATAGATCTGAACATGACGCCTGCAAGTGGGAAGAGTGAGTGAGAGACAGTGCTGATGAAACAAAAGATTAAAAAACCACAGGCTGATAGGGTGTAAGAATGGAGCTTAAAGAAGGAAAAGTGAGTGAGGGAAAGTGCTGAGTTGTGGGGCGAATGCAGGCCCTAGTTCCTCTGACAGGAGGTCATTGTTTGTGTCTGCACCAGGCAGGGAGCAGACGGGAAGGCCCGGCGATGATGGTGAGACACTCATAGCATCGTCGTCAGTGGGTAGAAGCGTGAATGACAGCAATTGAAGGGGAAAGGGGAGAGCTGAGCTCATGTCTTTGTCATCTATAGAGAGAAATGTGGTATCATGGGGAATTAGGGTGTTGAAAGTGACCTATCCATGGTGAAAGACAAGATCAGGTCAGTTTCATCAAAAAATCGGTGGAGGTGTAGTCCTGTTCAATTCCAGACTGGGATCATCCCAAATATCTGGGGGTTGCATGGGGTATGAATTGGCCGACAGGAACGGGCAGTACGAGAGCCTGCGAATTTGATGATGGTGGAGCCAGGAGTGGGGGGTGATGACATCGAACATCCAGACAAGGATGGGGTATCGCGTCAGAGACATGAATGCCTCGGAGATTCAGTGGGTGGCATGCTGTTGGTCTCTGACTGGAGAGAGAGAGGCAGATTGGGGTAAAAAAAAGGGGAGAGGCACAAGGTGAATTGGTAAGGAGATGAGGCAGGATCTGTGCCTTCGAGTGAGTCTGCGCCGGACGAGGAGGATTTGTTTGGCGATTGGATGGAACAGTGGGAGAGGGGTGTGGGCAAGTAAGAGCAACAAGCAAAACACACGTGCAAAGGGGTGAGGTCAGGTTGCTGATGAAGGGTCATGCATTGCGTGTCAGTGGACCTGAGGAAGACCTGTTGGAAGGACTGTTGTTTGACCGTTGTAGGACTGTCATTTTTGAGGTTCACAACAACTTTGCATAGTGCGGGAAAGGTTTTTCACAGAGGTTGGTTGTCCATTTGCAAGCAAAAAACAGTTCTATCTTGACAAAAAGACAGTTTTTGCTGAGACGTTGTGTCGACCTTGCTTGGCTCTGGCTAGAACCCATATAGAACCGCTGACACACAACATCAAGGGATGGTGCCAAGCCTATCTATCATTCAAGCCTGTCATTCAAAATCAGGGATTTCATAAATTCAACCAAGGAGAACGGATACATAGCATGTCAGCAGTTCTCTACATTGCACTCCATTAACCAGCTAAATCTTCTCCCCTGCAGCTGCTCCCTTCCTTCCTGCCCTTCTGCATTTGCTTCTGCTTTCGACGTCCCCTCCAGACTGTTGTCCCCATGGCTCAGATCTCAGCCACTATCAACCCTGGTGCAAGTTGCTCGGCTGCATTCGCAACCTCCATCGCATTGGCATCCAGTGCTCTGAAAACAATTCTGTAAGTTTCCATACCGCTTCTTTATTTCATGTGCGTATACACACCTGCTGTTGTTGTGAGGACCGCTGTCTGTTTCCTCTGTTTCTTCCTCGACCGTCGTCCTTACATTGGTGCATTGTTCTATTTCGGTTCCCCTCTGTCTTTCCAGAACCCTTTCTTGGTGTTGTCTAGCCCTTTGCCTGTGTCACAGATCCATCAGATCAGTCACACCGTCGAGACTGTCTATTCAGCTGGTCACAGCCTTACTTAGTGAAATTTCAGTGAACGACACTCAAACAACATTAGTAAACATCATTGAAGACACTGCTGAACTCAACCTCACCTGTTCTACAGCATACCCATGTCCAGAAACATCCCCCTGATACAACCAGCCTGGATAAAGGTCTCTATATACTAATCCAGAAGATGTCATGCCAAGTCGTGCAGACATAGTCTTAACTTACTTATCTACAACAACACACAGGCTGCTCATAAGTCTGTTTCACAAACTCAAACTTGGCTTACCATTCTACAATAGACCCTACTGTGCCATGTTATGATCTCTGCAACCTGTCCCTTCTGAACCAAACGTGTCCTGGACCCCTCCTCCAAAAGCACAGCAAACAGCAACAAGGCAAGGTGAAACAGCACAATATGTGCAGCATGACTTCACACACACAATGTTTGCAATCATGAATGACGTACCCTGAACCAACCTCAGCTGCATTCAGCTACCCCATTGACGCCAATACCGATGTGATTGCAACAGAATGCACATCTGGCATACACACCACACTGACAATATCCCTGGCAACAGCCTCACACCCCCATTGCATCCAACACTCCCTTCTGTTGGAGATCATCCAGTAGTCTAGCTGCCAGTGGTTTCTTTCAAGATATGTACATGTTCCCATTTACACATTACCTTGTTAAAGCCACTATGAGCCACTAGACAATGAATTCAGGACTACAAGTACATAAATGTTGTTTTGACAGCCTATCTTGTTCCAAAAAGAGTGTGATGTGAGGAAAACTCCAGGGGGGGTCCAGGATTTTTAATAACCATATTGGGTTGAATTTTTTTCTAAGGCCTCGATTGCTGGACTAACTAACTAAGTGTGGGAATATACTTCCAAATATGGAAATATGACATCATAATGTCCAGATCTAGCTTTCCCTCAGAATGTCAAACATATCACAACACTCATCATGCACAACTTTGTCAACAACACAATGGCTTTCAGACACAAGATTTTACATGATGGAGTCTGAGAGAGGGTGGGCAATATTGGCATGGGTCTGTGAGCCCAAGGCTGGGAATATAGTTGCTGGCTATAAGGTCTGAGGCTTGGCACAATGATAGTTTTGCAGCAGATGCAGGCAGCCCAGGGACTGTGGTTCCTCGCAGCTTATTAAATTGGGCCCAGGTTTTTGTGACAGCTTCTCTTGCCACCTCATTTTCCTTACCCTCCTTCCATACTCTACTGGGTGCCTTTTGAAGTTTGTGAGAAATAAGAACATATCATGGTTTTTGATATTGTCTGATGTCAGCTTCAGTCTATGTAATGTTTTGCCATATCTTTTCACACAATTTTATTTTTCTGTGCTCTGGAGTCTTCTCCATCAAAAAGCTTGATGATTTGGACTTATCCAGACCATTTCCAGCCTCCAGGCTGTTTGGATTGAAAAATGTGGGAGGTCAATTTTTTTTTCAACAGCCTATTGGCTGGACTAAGTAACCATCCCTATATGGCATATTCAAATCCTGGACCCCCCTTGGGAAACTCTTTGTGAGGTCATTCAACTCATTTTTTTTTCTAAGTCCTGTGTCACACTTTGCTGGTCCTGCCAAAACCATGACAGTCAGTACGGTGACTACTCTCTTTTCACTCTCCACTCACCACAACAAACAGTACACATCACCAAATAACTCTGTTAGAGTGTTACCGCACCGACTGGCTTGCGAGTCTATTCTCTGCCCAGATTTCACCTCAAACAGTGGACCTTTGGGCACTTGAGCAAATTTATTGACAGATTGTTTGACAAACAAATAATATTTGCTGCTTGTTTGAACTGGAGACAGATATTGTGAACAAATCTTTTGATTGAATTGAAATAAATGATCTGTCCTCAGTATGTACACTAACTGGGCAAAAAGATTGTCCGATCATTTTTTGGACAAAGTTGGTGCTATAACACAAGAATCAAACATTTTGAGAACTAAGCTCTAGTGTATAAAATATAGCTAAGGAGGTGTAGATTGTATATACCAAGTCTGGGGATGAACAATTGAAAACTCAGGATAAGGCAGGGAATTGACTGTGACAAGTGCCAAAAATGGGATGTAACAAAGTGGGAAATTCTGAATGACTGCAACCTACTGAAAGCAATTCACAACTTGAGGAAGAGATATTTTGAACACTGGATCTCCCTGCTATTGTTATGAGTTTCATAAAGTCTCTGGGCTAGAAAATTTTATATCCTCCTCTAAAAGGTAAATTTGAACTTATTCTCCATTTTATGTATTTTTCACTCAATATATTTGTTGGAATGAGGTAAAATGACTCCCTATTGTTGTTTGTAGTGTGTATAATACAAAAGGTAGGTAGAAATGTTAAAATGAACATTGTATGATGTCTGTAGAAGCTAATTCCCAGAGTTTTTCTGGAAGTAAACAAATATCTACAACATTGGTCCTTCTTTTCTGCAAGGAGAAAAAATGCTACCATCCTTTTGAATTGATCCATGGAGACTCAGGATGTCTTTTAAACAATGCCTGAAGTATAGCATGATAGCAAATAAATTTACACTGGGTATAACTTGAAAAGTCCCCAACAAAAGTAAATTTTGCATAGAGCAATCATCCTGGACCAATCCTTGACATTTTTCTTCGTGGATTGGGGCTGAAAATATTTCACAAGGCACTTATCATGCCTAGTAACACTATCCCAAAAAAATAAACAGAGGTCCTATTTATACAAGGATCTGAGACTCCACAGCTTTCTTGCTCTATGCAAAATGTACTTTTATTGGGGACTTTTCAAGTTATACCCAGTGTAAATTTATTTGCTATCATGCTATACTTCAGGCATTGTTTAAAAGACATCCTGAGTCTCCATGGATCAATTCAAAAGGATGGTAGCATTTTTTCTCCTTGCAGAAAAGAAGGACCAATGTTGTAGATATTTGTTTACTTCCAGAAAAACTCTGGGAATTAGCTTCTACAGACATCATACAATGTTCATTTTAACATTTCTACCTACCTTTTGTATTATACACACTACAAACAACAATAGGGAGTCATTTTACCTCATTCCAACAAATATATTGAGTGAAAAATACATAAAATGCAGAATAAGTTCAAATTTACCTTTTAGAGGAGGATATAAAATTTTCTAGCCCAGAGACTTTATGAAACTCATAACAATAGCAGGGAGATCCAGTGTTCAAAATATCTCTTCCTCAAGTTGTGAATTGCTTTCAGTAGGTTGCAGTCATTCAGAATTTCCCACTTTGTTACATCCCATTTTTGGCACTTGTCACAGTCAATTCCCTGCCTTATCCTGAGTTTTCAATTGTTCATCCCCAGACTTGGTATATACAATCTACACCTCCTTAGCTATATTTTATACACTAGAGCTTAGTTCTCAAAATGTTTGATTCTTGTGTTATAGCACCAACTTTGTCCAAAAAATGATCGGACAATCTTTTTGCCCAGTTAGTGTATCTATCAGATGCATGAACAATAAGCAAAAATGATTCATTTGTCCTAGGATTAGTCCTGCCCTTCACTCAGGTGCCTGATACATCCTTGTTTGAAATGTGTGTAGTCTATGGTTGACCCCATTGCAACCACCAGCAGTTCAACTTGATCCAGTTGGTTTCTTACTTTATTTCTCTCCCTTAAAATCCATTCTCTGCATTAAATGAGTCCCAATAAAATATTATGAATCATAAGTACAGTCATCCACCAGCCTGTGTTACACCACCACTGAATGTTACACTTTTGTTCCTTGAATAATGTTTGCAATATTCAACATACTCTCTTGAAACAAATTTTATCTGGAGCTCCTATATATGGTCTCTCCTCACATCAAGTTTTGTGTGTGCAGGATGAGTATCAAATATGTAGTGATTTGTTCAAAATGGGGTACTTAGCAGAAAACCTCCCACCACTGAATGTTACACCTGTATTTTCAGAATTACTCAACAGAAACAAACCCGAGAGCTCCGAAATTTGGAGGACACAAAGAATGTAGATCACCAAGATTGAATGTACAATTTTTAAGTGAAAATGTATCCCCATCATGTTTTAAGTGAACTTTCAATTTTTGATGTAACACTACTTAGCTGGTGGATGACTGTAGTTTTTTATCTTTTTAAATAAAAAACTACGCAGTTCATGGTGTGACCGTGCGAATACCAACGTGGCCAGTTGAAATTCGTTCTCCCGCTCTTCATCACCTTCGCTGTAACGCTATACCCACCTCCAGCACCATCGGATTCATCAGCCAACTGAAATAGCGGGCAATCCAAACCATTATGCGCCTCATAGCGCTCTCTTCTATTCTTTTATTCTTAGCACCGGCGGCGTACACACAACAGGGTAGCTTGTACCCGCCCGGCCTCCTTCCACTCATTAATCGAGCCAATGCTCTACTCTCGACGGGCCAGTTTAACGAGGCTGCCAAGATCTACTCTGAAGCTATCGGTGAGCTTCAATCCTCGTAAAACTGAGCTGAATGACTCATTTTCATGACATCGGAACAGACCAATCACCCTCAGACTACCTTTTATACTACAAACGCGCTACTGCGTATTTCTCTCTACAGCGCCATTCATCTGCGCTAGACGATTTCGAGAAGGTCCTTTCGTTGACCTCGAACACATTTGACAATGCCCACCTTATGAAGTCGCGGATATACATCCGAGATGGACATTTTTTGCTCGCTCGGGATTCGCTGACTGCGTTTCTGAAATCACCTGCGGGTAAATCGAGCACGGAGGCGGAGGAGTTGGACCGTGAGATTAGGGAGGGTGAGCGGTTGGTGGAGAAGACGGAGAAGGAGAGGAGGGCGCAGTTGTGGAATGCGTGTGTGGAGAGTGCGAGTCAGGCTTTGAGGATTGCGAGCCACTCTGTTGGGGTGAGGAATTGGAGGGCGGAGTGTGCGCTCGCCGCTGGGGACATAGATAGTGCTGTTGGTGATTTGACGTGAGTGTTTTCAGGTTCCATTTCGATTCTTCGTCCATCGCTCGGCGGCTGCGGTTTCTTTTCTCGCTGTCCCTTGTGGACGCTTTTTCGTCCGTTTTATGGTTTCACTTTCAATGGTTTCCTTTGACTCCGTTTCCCCCTCCCATTCATCCATGGGGTCACGTCGTCTTTGACGATTCGTTTTCTGGCTTCGGGCCCCAGCCACTTGACATGGTAACACATGTCTTCGCGTATCCATTCTTCTTTACCTTTTGGCCCCTCTCTACTTCCTTTCCCGTCCGCCCTCTTTGTTTCCTTTTCATGGCCGTTTGCAGCACATGCTAATGACCCTCTCCAGCCGCCTAACCCACCTCCTCCCACCATCAACCACTCTCCTAACCCACAACTTCCGCCTCTCCTACTTCCTCCTCCCGCCCTCCCCAGGGCCACTCAACACCCTCAAACAATGCCTCCACTACGACCCCGATTCGAAGCCCTGCCTCACTCTCCACCGCATGCTGAAAAAGTTCGACAAAGGCTTCATCGCTCTTGACGAGTTTCTGAACAAGGAAGACTGGCGCGGGGCCATCAAGTATCTCACCAAAGGCGGGCCGGGGAACGTTGGGGGTTTGTGGAGGCGGTACGAGGAGGCCCTAGGCGAACATATGAGCGCTGAGATGGTGTTGCCTTTGTTGCCCCCTGGTCTACATGAGGATCACGAGCAGGGGAAGCAAGGCAAGGGAAAGGGGAAGAAGATGCAGCCGATCTCGCTGCCGCTGTATACGAAGACCTCGCCGCAGAGGCAGCACCTCGTCCGATCGCTTTGTAAGTCGTATACCCACCTGGCTGGGCAGAGCCCGAGCTCGGAGGAGTATAGAGTGCAGACGGGCAAGTGGTGCGAGGAGCTTTTGACGCTTGAGGGGTGTCAGGAGGATGTTGATGGGTTGGTGGGGAGGAGCGAAGGGTTGTTGTTTAAGGAGGAGTGGGATGAGGCTGTTAGGGTTTTGGAGAATGCTTTTGAGCAGGGTGGGAGACAGGTAAGTTGGACAGTTCAAAGTAGAAGGTGGATGCTGATGCGTGATTAGGACCGCTGGGTACATGAGAAATTGCAAACTGCACAGAGGAAGGCGAAACAGGCGAAGCAGAAGGATTATTATAAGATCTTAGGTGTGCCTCGGGACATTGATCAGCGGAGTATCAAGAAAGCTTTGTACGTCTCTTCCCATCCGCCTCTTCCCATCCCTTTCTTCTTTCTTCTCAACTAACCCCTCCATACCAGCCGAAAACAAGCCAAACTCGCACACCCAGACAAAGGCGGCTCCGAAGCCAAGATGGCCGCGCTCAACGAAGCCTACGAAGTCCTCTCCAACCCGGAACTCCGTGAACGCTTTGACAGAGGCGAAGATCCGATGGACCCCATGGCCGGACAGGGGGGACATCCATACGCGCAGGGACAGCATCCGTTTGCGCAGTTCTTCCAGCAGCAACAGCAGGGGGGTGGGTTTGGACAGGGACATGGAGGACGGGGGTTCCAGTTCCATTTTAGCCATGGACATTAGTTAGATGTAGGTGCGTTGGTGTTGTATTTTTTTTTGAGAGGAAAGCGGAGGAGGGGGAGGAGGAGATAAGGAACATTTGTGATATACTAGTGCAATATATTGGCATGACATGGCATTTTGTGGTATGATAGATACAAAGCTTTCTGGCTCAATTCAGTTGGACGGGGACTGGAGATGCTCGAAAGTACAAATCCGATCATTACGGAAGTACTTGTAGAGCCTGGATTCGCGCGGAAGGACACACCAAGGACACACCGACCTGCGTGACAAATCTGTAGACGGCCTCTTCGGAGAAGCTCTTGGACAGGTTGGCTTTGTTCCTGGAAGAGTTGGATCCGACCTTTGTCACTTGTGCTGTGCACTGGAGCTTTGTAGTACTATAGCTATGCATGGGCGCCAAGTACGGCCTTAGTTGTAGATGAGGGATAAATAGTGTACGTCTTTCCATTCCCCGCTCTCTCTCTCCTCAAAGCGAATCCACACCACCAATGGCGAACACCGCACACCAAACACGTCTCAGAGCTTCCACCTTGCCTCTGACGGCTCACCCTCAGGCCCCGCGAGACATCCTTCGAGCTCAGATAGCGAGGTCTCCCCTTGCACCACTACACCCGGCTACTCCCATTTCCCCACCACCTTCCCTTGCGTCCACTTCATCATACTCGGAGAGTCCCATTTCAACACCGCGTTCGGGGGCTCTCATCTCACTGCCGCCACAGTCGGTGACTCCCACATCACCACCAAGGGTGAAGACTTCCAGTTTACCACCATCTTCAGTGTACAGCAGCAGTGGCGTAACCTCTTCCTCGCCCCAAGAGGCTTATCCTTCAATTGCGGATGTGTTGACACGTGGGGAGACGATGTCCTCCATTTCGACAATGGCGGATTCATTGCCTGACACCGATTACATAGCCCCGATGATCTCCACCCCCACACCGAGATCAAAACGCCCTCCGAAGCCGAAAGTATCCACAGTATCAGTGTTCGCTGGGGCCTCTGGGGTCACTATCACAGGTGGAAGTATCATCACCTCAGGCGGGAGTATCATTCGGGGAAACATACCTGAAATCGAGTCTCCTGAGTATAGCGAGGATGAGGAAACCGTTGAAGTGTCTAGTTTCAAAGGTGTTAATGGGATGAAGGGTACTGGAAGTGTGCGTATTGTTACCGCTGGAGGGGATGTGATTTCAGGGCGTGGTGGTGCGTCATCGCCGAAGAGGCGGGGTACTGTCAACGTTCATGCGTTCACTAAGGCTCGAGATATCCAGTTGGGGGGTGTTGAGATGCTGAATGCTAGCGAGAACGTGATACTTGGATGGTTTGTCAATCAACTGGCTCTGTTTGCCGTTTTGCCTGATAAATTATTGGCGCAGATCCCAGTGCATTCCCATTGCGCAACGCACTGAGGTATACAGAAATGAATGACGAGACGGAAACAAAAAACCTTGAGGGATGAGAGGAGAGGATGATGGTGCCAATGGAAGGGCCTCGGTTCCGAATCAATCTTTAGATTTCAGACAGTCGTGATTGTTCGACCGAAAAAAGCCAGAGAGTTCCACGGCGAGGGTTAATTGTTCGCATGAGGGTAGTCAAGCAACATGGCTACGTGGACGAAACCGTCAAGCGCGTCAAAAACCTGATAAGGACGCACTGGGTCAGAATTGGTAAAGTTAAAAGAAGAAAACCCAAAGAAAACCTGTGCAAGAAGTGTCAGTCAGAGAAAAATGATGGAAATATGGACGCTACTGGGACATGCCAATCCTGTGCACGATTTCGTCGGTTTATGACAGGGTATTGATATTGGCGCACACAGCAGTGCTATGGGAGGCGGCAAAATTAAAGTTGAGAACGATGCGCCAAATAAAGCCAAAACGGTAACGACGTGACTTTGTCACGCTCGGACTTTACAACCAACTTGAAACCACCGACAGATTGCAGTCGCGACTCGCGACTAGTCTCTCCTAGACAGACTTCGATATATATGAAGTCGTACCTTGGTTCACGATAACTCGCGACCAAACTTAACAAACGCAGTCGCCGTCAAGCTGTACAGGTGAGTGACGGCGAACTTTTTTGTTCTTCACTGCTAACAACAATACTAGTCGAAAAAGCTACCGTAGCTTGACCTTCGCGTGCCTTATGCAGAGCTAATTGTTTCGTTGCACGATCGTTGCTAGCCCTCTCAATTGTTTGCAATTATGTATAAAAACGATGCTTCCAATTTTCAGACGACACACGTCGACACCTCTCCGGCGTTTGAAACATGGACCACAATATCTTTTACCCACTGGCCCTCCAATGTAACGCAGAATCAGATCTCCTCCACGGCGAATTGATCAACCACCTATACTCTTGGTTTTCATCTTTTCTGGCACACACACACCCGTATACAGAAGGGACGTCCTCTTTTGCAGAGCTCGAGGCTCCTTTCCATCATCCGATCTCCCGAAAACCCACCTCCCAACCCATCCCCCCGCCCACTGCCTCCAATCTGGTGGATCACCCAGAAGCCCATCCATTCGAGAAGATTTCAAATGTTACTGGATTTGATCTGCAACGGTCGACCATAGTCCTCGGCCTTTACAGAGACGAGTGCATACTTGAGGATGATGACATTGCAACCCATCTTTACCAAACGGCAGCGTCCCGATTGGACTCTATCAACTGGCTGTTCCAAGCGAGACCGGAATACGCAAGTGCGGTTCGAAAAGTCCACATTCGCGATCCTCATCCCCCGGAGCATGATTCCATGTGTTTCGCAACGCAAAGGGCGTTGCCCGAACTCTTGATGAGACTTGGCAACCTCACAACGCTTCGTTTGGAGGACGTCAACTGGGACACCTTCAGCAGATGCAAGACGGGGATTTCTCAAGTCCTTTTCACAGTCGTTAGGTCCAACTCCCTTACCACTCTCTGTCTCCAACATGCCGAGATTCCCGTCACTCTGTTCGACTATTGCCGTCAACTGAAACACCTCGAACTTGACTCTGTTGACGTCTTCCTCCCTCCTGATATGTCTCCCCCCCTCCAAAATCCATACATGACTCGAGACGTAACTACTCTCGACTCCCTCATTTTCGTCAACTCCACCGAAGCGGTTGATACCATCATCGATCATTGTGGCCGCTCTCTCGACTTAGAGTGTTTAACCACCCTGGGCGTAGATTTCGGTTGCGAAGCGGGGCTAGAACTGGGTTGGCTGCTCATGAACCGCAACGCCAGTTCAATTCAACATATCATTCTCAGAAGGGAACCTACAGATCTCAATGACCAGAACAGTACGTTTTCACCCTTTCCCCTCGTTCTCGATGCTAATTTTCTCTCCCAGAAATCATCCACCATATTCCCACCGCTTTCACTCTGGAAATTCTCCCACATTTACAGACACTCGAGATCGGCGATACATACGACGCTGAGACGTCCCAAGTTCTTCTCAGGATCTACGATTTGTTGTCTCGCGTACCCGATCACAACTACATCCAGACAGTGCGCCTCGCCTTGATGGAATTACCATTCGGCAACGTCCAAGAATTTTTCAGTTGTTCGGAGCTTCCCTTGAATATGCTGGACACGCTGCTTGCAGGATCAAAGTACCCCTTCTTGCAAGACCTGGCTTTTTACGCAGCGCTAAACGACCAAGTTGATATGTCGAGTAAGGATTATGTGGCGATCGAGGAACGCCTGGCGCGATGTCTGACCGAGGTTTGGATTTCTGGGAGGAGGCCGGTAATTTCGTTTGGCACACACGAACAGGGCTATCCCGATTGGCGCTGGTAGTCATTGTAGACCCTCGTGTACATTATTTATTTGTGCGACATACGTCTTGAATTATCTGACCAGTGATATAAAAGGATTGGCGTGTACTCATAGGCTAGGGTCCGCAGTTTGGAATGGAAAGCATCTGGAGGCAACATTCTTGCTCGCTGTGGTGGACCTAGCCCTATCCGTCTACTGATCGATGATCGATCGCGATCCCAGATTTACACACGATCGGACTGCATTCACGAGAAACATAGCGCAATATCCCAAAGCGGGATAGAGCAAGTCCGATACTTTTTCTGGGCTGGAACATTGTGAGGACAGGATAATAATTACGCAGGGTAATAGTCTTTCTTGTAATCAAAATTTTCCCTTTCCACAACAAAGAAAGTCAGTCGAAAATTTTGAATATCCCCGCTCGTAAAATCCAAGGAATAGTTGAACGGATCCCCCACACCTTGCCGTTTGTGCGGCATCGTCCGAACAAAGAGTCCGTTCTCATTCTTTCCCGCCCCTTGTATCAATTCCCCATCGCGCCTGAAAACAAAGGATTCCTTTGCTTCGGCTTTCCTCTTAATTTTTCTCAAAGGTCTTACTTTTACTACCATATCACAAACTTGAAAAGGCTTTGGATATTTAAGCTTTTGTTCACCCTTTACCAGCTGACAAAAGGCAAAGCAAAGTTCTTGGCCCGGATTTTTTAAAATCCTATGCCTTTCCCAAGATGAACATTTTTAAATATAATCAGAATGCTCCTGAAAAGGAAAAGTGTCGGACTTTCTCAAGATATTCTAATTGGTAATATTGGGCAATGTTTCTCGTGATTATTTCTAGTGTGAAGCCGTCTACCAATTATGGGGAATAATGCATTTTCCTCGGCTTCAATGTCGATCTCCTCTATGCGGTTAGGAACACCCCGACTCACATCCACTGAGTGCTTCAAGTTTCCTCCCAACATCGTGGGCTTTGTTTACGCTCAAACTCTCTTCTAACCTAACGCCGTGTTGTATTTCATCACCCTGATACGAAGAGCTTCTTTCTCGCCAAAACAAACCCCTGAAATCGTCCCAGCCATTGTCAACCCTCAAGGGTTGAAGAAAGGTTCTTTCCGAGTGTAACTCTCCATACTTTGTATTATCTCCTCCCATTGGAAATATGCACATCTCTAAGGCGGGCCCCATCTACTCGTACTTCCAAACTCGAGCTCCTCAAGAAATAGTGATTGCCAGACTGAAGTCTACGTCTCATCTGTATTTTCCAAAACGATTACAGGATGGTGTTCTTGGCTTTGCAAGTTTTTTTGAGATGGCGGTGTAAGGAAGATTTGGTGGAGAACGTGGCCTCGCAGCCTCCCTCGCAACGATGATTTTTTACCCCGTAATGGGAATTCATGTGATCTATACAATGGTTGATGTATGAGCTATAACAACGAGAAAAGATAGAAAAACCAACTCTGCAGGTTGTGCTTTTTCGTGAAGTTGCTTGAACACACGCTGCAGGCAAATGGAGTACTAGTGGTGTTTGTCCTGCGCTTTGTTGAAGCGGCGATCTGTCCTGGTGACGCTACGACTGGTCGTGGTACTGGCTCTATCTCCATAGACTGCATCCTGGGTATGAAAGAGTCGAGCTGAGGAGACGACGGCCCTTTCAGTGGAGCACAACTAGATTCAGCGGTGTCGAGCCTCCCTGCAAAGTATCTATGTTGAGCTGCGCTAGGTGATTCAACGTGGAGAGTACCACCTGTTGATCGGGCTCCGGAAAGGATGAGGTTTTTGTTGTGGAGTGGACACGACGTCGACGGGGAAAGACACCAAATACATAGAACTGGGAGGAGTTCATTTCTATGAGTATCCATAACCTTCGGCTTGGGGAAAGACGCAGCTGGAAAAAAATGAAAGGCCAGTTTTTTATCGTGAGCTTTTACTTCAGGAAGAACTGCTCACATGCTCGAGCGATTTCTTGTCCCTTATCTCCGTTCCGGATGTTCTCACAACGAGATTAAGCACTACCGTACCCTGAGATGTCAGAACTCTGCACATTTCAAGGGTTGCCGGGAGCGCTCGAGTCTGAAGGTACCTAAGTGAGTGACAGTTCAAAGAAGAACGAAAAGAGAACTCACTATCATTGGGTTTCAACACCTTTCCAATGCCTATTTAGTTTGCTAGGCAAGTCGAATTTATGTAATGTGTTTCAGAGTCCAGCCTTGGAGCGAAACACCCTCACATCTTCGGATCTGCCTCTATCATTGTATTATCGTGGTGTATGAGCGAAGCGCCTCTGAATCACGGGGACCTTATTCATAATGAAGTTCGCGAAGATATGTCCTATCCGTTGGCCGCGTTTCATGTGCCATAGGGTAACCCTCGGGTGTCCAATTCGTGCAGCAGCTATGTATCGGCCTTTGCCCGTCGTGGGTCAGGTGCTGGTCTTCAAGGCGCGAGCGCGGGGCGCCCAAGAATTCCAATTCGCTTCTCCCGAATCCCAGAAATGAGGATCCAATCGCACAGATATCGATCCCAGGAATGACACCCACATTTCGTAATATTTATCTCCCAACAAATTGATCCCTAAAAAATGTAACTGGTCTCCGTTACCGTGGAATCCGAGTACACCCCCTGAAGAAAAAACCCACCTGTTTCGTATCGACCTTGAACTGTCCAGATTTAGACCACTTCCACTTTAGCACCGTCATGATTGTCGCCGCATCGTTTGGATCAAGGTTCGGCGCTAATCAACACAACGGTTCCAATCGAGCGTACAACAGGCGATTCGCCGACATAATTCGCACCGCTCATCTCCGATGTCAAAAAAACAAAAGAAAAGAAAAACAGACGTGTACCACCTGCCGCACTGCGGCATGTGGCCTAAACTCCGATTTTGGGTGTGACGGCTTGGCAGCCGTAGAGCCTTTGTCTAGTGCTCTATCCCAAGGAAAATTGTAAGCGGTGAAAGTTGTGACCTTCAGCACATTACCTCTGCGACGAGGCAAAATACGCCCTTCGTGGGAGACCGCCCGCGAGGTGACTCGTTGCTGAGTGTGTTAAAAGGGGTATCGTCCCAAAAGTTAAATTGACGTAGTTGGATAGGGTACATCGCCATCCGGGTGGCAAATGCATGCGCCTGACCTATGGGGAGAGTTATGATCAGAAAACGGAGCCAGATTTCCAGATAAAGACACGAATGCTGTAATATTCTGCATCAAGTGGTCTTCAAGCCGGACCGTAATTCTTGTAGATGAAAGGCGGAGGGTGTGTCCGAAGGTTAAATTAAAGTAGTTAGTCAGGGTACATGTCGGCGCGCCATTTGGGTGGCGAATGTACGCACCAAACCTATGGGGAGAGTACAATCAAAGACGTCTGATGTCCGGATAAAAGGACCACATTATATAGTGTAGTATTCGGCATCGAGCAGTTGTGAAGTCGGACCAGGACTCTTGCATGTTGTAGGCGTGGAGTTGTCTGATTGTTGGATATTGACTCTGGATGAAGTGGCCGAGGTAGAAGGGATATTTCTCGTTTTGCGTTTCCATGACTGATATGAGATTCGAGGAGATAAGGTTTCTAGCAAATAGTGTTGTTGGCGATAGAGTGAAAAGAAGATCAAGAGACAAGATCATATTGATCGATGATCCAACGATGATCATGATTACAGCACGGAGTCGTTGTAGCGAGTTGCACTTACATAGATAGGTAACGCGTTCATGATTCTGCAATGAGAGGTCTGTCCATTTACCAGATTGAACGAGCGTGTACTTTGGCGCAGTTTATGTCTTCCAACAAGAAACGTCCCATACTGGCTGCCATTCAAATTTCTGACTCCGTCTCGTTCTCCCCCATCAACGCCACCAAGACGCTGCTTTTCTAGACACAACAGGCAATTGTCCGCGAACAGCTTCCACGCGCCACCGCAGAAAATATTGTCCTATCTACTTATCACATCGTCGGGGCCGCTGGGATTGACTGTTCAAATGACTTTTCAGGATTTCGAGCCAATCACAAGATATGAAGGCGCTGATTGACACAATGATGGTTTCGTTGGCACACGACAGCCTCTAATCTGAACGGGGAAGGGCGTCCCTGCTGATTTTTTTTTGGGTTCTGGTGACGTGTAAGTAGTTTGCGTTGGACATTGTGCTAAATGAAGAGGGGTACAGGGAAGATGTCGTCGCACATCACTAGTAACCATTTGCTGGACGCTGGACACACGGTTACAGTTTTGGTGTAGTGGAGCCCAAGTAAGAGTTATTCTCTTGCACTTATTGGTGTTGCGGCCTTATCATGGTTCATGTAGCTTCGCACGCCGGATAACTCTGCTGAAGGGTCGTTGTGGAGCGGTCCCTCAGCTGTCCTTGTTTCTAACTTATCATGCCCACTGGGCCTTTTTCTGACCGTCGCAAGGTAATGGGCACTCCTAGAGGACCGTGGGTCGTTGCTCTCATATCTCGCAGCATCGAGGCTACCTAATTCTACGGTATGTTTCGCCCAATTCGACTTTCGATGTCACTACGTACGATGGGCCAAGTGAGGCAGAAGCTGCATGTTCGCTATCAGGGAGTATGCTTTTGCTCCCACCGGAATCTCTGATCAAGTGGCGGTCGATCTGGGAGCGGGGACGTTATGCATTTTGAAGCACCAAGCTAAATCGAATAATCGCCAACGAATTTCCGGATTTCTCTCCTGGTTACAGAGGTAAGTTCCTCTCTGGCTCGGTGATTGGCTTTTAAAATGAACTTCCTTCGTAGAGTCGCTCGAAATGACGGCCATGAGTGCACACGCCACACGGCCGTCTCGAGTGGATTCTGATGGCAAGCAGCACGTCTTCCGTACTGATGTATTCCACACATTCCCGGCGAGTAACTATTGCCCTTCCGAATCGACCCCGCTCCGCTTTTTCCAAGAACAAGGCCAACGCGTCTCGTACTTCTTGAACTCTGACACTCTATCAATATGCTCAACGACGGCAGCGAACTGTATACACAGGGGTATTTGATTCCGGTGAGCTCTCTCACAAATTATCCAAGTTGAACCTGATCTTACGATGCTAAAGGACTCCGTATCATGGGATTTACTCTACCTTTGCTGGCCTTTGGAAACTTCGCTTCTCAGTGCCGCTGATGTCGTTGACACAAACTCTGGTAGGCTTTCCTTGATCTTTTGAGGTCTAGATATCTGAATACACGAAGGTTGATGGCCATGGGACCCCATGTTGCAGAAGCTAATCTGAATGCACATCCTCCTCGCCGATCGGCAAGCTCCTTGTGGGGTAACCATCCGCCAAGCATTCTTCATTGCCCCCTGCTCGCGCACCTTCCACTAGAACTGCATCAGGCCCCTCCTCGAATCGCGCCTGTCCCCTATGCAGGACATTCGCGGATTTGGAAGAGGACATGGAGGTGGCGCATGCCGATGTGGAGATTGACGTTGAGTCGCCTGTGGGTTCGGACGAGCATGCTCATGTGGGTGATGAGGACTCATATGGGTGTGAGAGTCGTCATGGATGGGAGGACATCGATGGAAAGCCCCCAACCTAGCAAGTTGGCTACGAGGTTTGAGCTGAGCTTTTTTTCGTACTTGTGTACTGGTTAAGGGGCAGGTTGGCATCTGGACGGTGCTTCGTGAACTCCGTGTAGGTCGCCATCTCAGTCTCCTCTACGGCATTCTCACCACCTCTCAGATGGCAGCCAGGCTATCGACGTCCTTGCATGAGACGGGTAAACTAGCCAATGTCCCGAACTTCCAGGAGCGAGCCTACAGGCCACCTTTCACGCTTTTAGACAGGAGACAGGCCGGGATAACGGTTGGCGGGAGAGTAAGAGATTGTAATGCTGACTTGAACCATGCTATTGACATGAAACCCACAGGTGAAAAATGGCCGTATTCTTGCGATGCGGGTGGATTCTGGAGTCCACCAAGCGATGCGGAGCGAGCGTAACCCCGAGTTCAGAAATCATGAGGTACATGCACCTCTTTGGGAATCCGAACATCACACCATATTTCAGAGGCCATAAGTCTCAGATCTCAATGCAATGGGTTTTTATCTTGTCAAACCGGCCTTTGGGAAATATATTGTCGGCTTTCGTGCACATCACTCAAACCTGAACTGAGTGTTCAGCGGTTTTTGTATAGGCTCTCCTTCGCTCCACAGGTGCATCCAAGATCTACATATTAGGGACTCCGAAGCTTCCCACACCTGGCAGCAACTGGCAGCGGCAATGTCCAAAATCCTGTAGCCTGCACATAGGAGGCATTCAAGGGGTGGGTTCAAGGGGTGGTTAGTACGTCAACAGCCAAGATTGCCCCATCAGGTCAGGATCGAGTTGAGTTGTGAGCGTGGGGGTGAGATTATATCTTGACCAATTTGTATAGGAACGGAATTGGCGATTACTGTGACGGGGTTATTCTTCGCTGCTTGGGGCTTGGGACAAAAAAAAAGCCCGCCTTGCCTGAGCAAATTATGCAACCTTTTCCGCGCTGACCCCAAAAAAGGTTTACATGCCTCAGCATGCCATCATTTTTTTGTGTTGTTGCTGAAACAACCATGTGGTCTTTTTCGGTCGAACTTGACGTCTATGTAGCTGTTGCGGGCCTTACGGTGGTGACCTCATCGCGCCCGTCGTTTTCCCAGTCTTTTCCGCCTCTCGCCGATCCTTTGACCAATTCTTCTTCTTTCAGACGCCCATTAGGTTATTTAAAACAGCCAGGTTGCTCTCAGAAACAATACCTTGAACAACAATTGGCCTGAAGGAGATATATTGATTTGACGGACCTGGGAAGACTACCTTGACACCTGTTGTTTTATTATTTTTTGCTTAACAACCTTCAACAAAATCGGGAAAATCGAGCACATCTTTGACATTTCGAGGTGCAACTGGAGAGTCTGGCGCTTTTCACAAGATTTGGATCTCGAGGAGGGTCATAAACGCGTCGCCAGCAAGGTTCGTTAATCCCGATTCACTACAAACCGGTGCTGACTATTTGTAGTTTGAGTTTAGCGCGTAGTTAAGCGGTGCGAGAATGCGAAAAAGGCATGGTTGGAAGGGTTTTCCTCGTTGCTGTGAATGGCTTCTCCCTCAGGGTCTTGACGTTAATTTTCTCAGATACCGCAAGATTTGTTCTTCGGTCTCTGTGGAGCCCGCCCTTGCTCCTACCCTTGAAACAAGATACGGCCTTTTTCAAAAGAAAAAGAAAAGGATGACAAAAGATAAAATTGAACGCTGACCAGCCTCTATCTCCCTTGGGTAGAAATTTATCGAGATCTACAAAACGCGGCGCGTGGGCGCCAATCGTTAAGCAAACGATGTGACCGCGTCTGAGTCTGTAGAGGTGTTGGCCGACCATCCGATGTCAAACCTCTGCTCAACGCCGCGTCAAGTGTGAACCTCGCAACGATGGCCCAGGTGGTTTTGCTCTCCAGGGTTATTCCTTGTGAGGATGTAGCCCTCAGGTGTGCGTGTTTAAGCCAACTGATCCTTGCTCAGGGCATCCAATTGCTAGCCGATTTCAGATTTTGAAAAGGTGGTCCAGGATCGGCGCCGCTAGCAGGAAATCCAACTCGGGCTTGGAGGGTATATTGTTCAACAGATATGTAAAGATGTCAGACTGTCGGACAATCGATTATGGAATCTCGCATCCCAGGCTCGGCGGATGAGTGGCTATTTTTTTTCTTTCGCTGTGGTTTCATTTTTCCATTGCATCAGGCTATGGCAATAAAAAATTGATTTTTATATATAGATATGCTGTCTATGGGTGTGATAATGTTCTTTCCGTGATTGAGTGATTAATATTAAATGTAGTGAATGTTGGCTACTAATTATAGGAAGAAGTAGGAGAGTGAAAGTCACTTCTGATCGTTTGCAATCCCGAAATCAATCACAGTGAACTGGTGTATCATTCTAAATAAAGGGAAGTATGTCAGATGGGAATTGAATGCTGAGATAAATGCTACCCACTTGACGAATAAACGTGAGCATATGGCAAGTAATATATCCCTTTGCGAAGCCAGCCCCAGCATACGCAAAAAGGTATTCCCACTTCCGCTTGAACGCCGCATACTCGTGGACATCTCGAAGAGCTGGGTAGTCTTTTAAGATGAGCTCTTGCGTCAAGTTCGCTTCCAAACGCCTTCCCCATTCTCGAAGCGTGCGGGGATAGTCTGCAGAGAGGTATGTATGAGATGGGATGAAGTGGCATGTTGATTTTTTAGAAAAACTGACGAGCTGCGTGGTTCTCAACGCCCTCAAGGTTGAATCGGCCTTGTGATCCAGCTTGAGCAGCAGTGATCAAGGCTGTTGCGCTGGGCAGGCAAGAGTTAGGCCACATGTATTTGCGCATGAAATCTTCAGCTCTGTGGTAAAAATTAAGAAAAGTCAGGAAGATTTTTTGAAAAAGAACGTACTGGTAACTGGAGAACCTCGACTCTGGGAAGGTGGAGGAGGTGACGACGACCGTAGCATCATTGGATTTCAGAGCAAAGTCTACCAGCCTGAAATAAGTGTTATAGTGTTTCGCTCCCACATGCTACAATGTTTATCAGACGACTTCCCTTGTGCTTGAGAAAGATACTCACCTCAAGCATTTCGACACTGACAAAAGCGTCGAACGCCTTTTCGAATTCGGCTGGAATTTCACGGTAATCGAGAAGGTGGACTCTGATTCGGCCCTCCAAACCGGCCTCTTTGATGCGTTCTTCCGCGAGTGATTTTTGTTCTCTTGAGAGTGTCAATGTATCAACTTCGCATCCGAAAGAACGCGCAGCCTGAGTGACTAGTTAGACGGATTGGGAAAAGATTGCTAATGGTGCACATATTTCGATGGCGAGACCACCCCATCCACTGCCAAACTCAAGAATTCTGTGTCCGGTTTTCACGCGCGCTGCGCGAAGTACATGGTGGACCTTTCGTCGCTGAGCCGCTTCCAGATCCCCAAGTGTCGGTCCCATCTCGAGATCCCCCCGAACGCCGCCTTCTGCTTCGCTCCACAGAGCGCATGAGTACATCATCTCCTTGCTCAGGAATGCCTGATGACGTCGCGTCCTTTAGTTGGAGTTCAAAGGTAATGGGAAAGAGTCGACACACCTTGAACAATTCATTAGATTGATCATAGCTGGCGATAGCATTAAGACGCGCTTGAGAGCGTGTCTGGCCGAGGAAGCTGTTATAGAGCCCGCTCATCGCGGTAGATACTTTTGCAACGGTTGAAGAGAGTGTGTCGGCCATCCCGGACTCATTCTCTAGCCACAGCTATTTGAGTGATTTTAGCATCTGTTGTGACATCATAAACCGAATCCGCGTACGTGCATAGCTCCCTTGAGGCTAGAGACTTCAACATCGCCAATTAGATATGCTTCGCTGACTGTTGGTCGAATGTCCATTAATGACTTATGCATGACCGGCGGCTTGACAGAACAACTTACAACCGAGATCACCAGATCTAAAAGTACCCAACTTAGCTCGACCGAGATTTCTAAAAAGTAAAATGCTACTTACAGTAAGATCCTCAACCAGAAAGTATCATTGATGACTTTGAGATGCACATCGTTGCACCCTTTTTGGTATTTTCCGTAATAGTGTGTCCCTTCAGAATCGGAGATAGTAAGGTGCCCAATTGTGATCGCCTTGTCGAGGACCGCAAGTATCGACGTGCGTGCTAAGGTAGTGTCGTAGACGCGTTAAATTTCTTTCTTGTAAGCGACAATTTACTTACCAAAGGACACTGCCCAAGATCGGGGGCTCAATGTGTGTAGAGAAAAACGGGACGCGGCTTTAAGCACGGTTGAAGGAGTTGGGAGGTTATGGCAGGATAAAGCGATAATTGAAGGCATTGCGGTTGAGAGGCTATTTGTTGGCGAGGATTGTATGTTGAAAGAGCTGCTGAAATGGAGTGGAGAGCCTTGTCTTATATGCCGCTGGCGACGCATGTCATTGGAAGAATTTCCGTGGTTGAGAGGAACAACTTCGGGGGTAAGTCAGAGAAAGGGTGTCAACAAAGACAACATATCCGCGGGCAGTCAGATGGGCCATGGAAAACGACGTGATCAGGAGATGCAGGGATTATTGATTATCCACGGTGGGGGGGTTACATGGCTCTGGGACTTTGCTCGTTCCCTATATGGTGCGCCAAACCTCCAATTAGACAGCCCGGCGCAGTGCAGACACGGGTGGATGGCTCACCAAGGGATCCCGCCTCCAGGATGGCATAGGGCCCATCTCTGCGAGGGGACATAGTATTTGTCTCCAGGCCCAAAAATTAACAATCACCTCTCAATCTCCGACAAAGTGGGATGATTTTCTCACCTGGAAACCCAGATAACATGGCACTCTCGTAGTGAGAAATTTCGTCTCGACTAGCCGTCGCGCCAGTGGATTGATGTTGTTATGGAGTCACCTTCGCTTGAAGGTTAAGATACCCACTAAAACCTTAAAGTGATCGATGACTCCCCTCCGCATAAACACGAGTGCGAAATTTACGGTGTCATTTTGTGCCAACCTAGCCGCGGAATCAGTTGGGCCATCGTCAGCTCAGGGACCACTTCACTTGCCTTCAATAAATTATCCATGTGTCCGAGGTGGTCACCTCAGAATACGAAGAGATGACCCTGATCAACAAGTGTTCAGGGAGTAAGTCCGCCAGCTAGTGTTTAACGCTCAGTCACTTACTTCTGAAATAGAACCTGACTTCCTCGGACTTGAGACATATCGTTTCTTTGCCCGGAGTCCCTCGGGCACTCATAGGTATGCCGGTCTGAGCTTCCCAGCCACTTGATCGTCGTGGGACGCCCGTCGGTCTTCGAAGTGATCAATGGCACCACCTGCGGACTTTGCGTATATCGCCCCACACGACCCGACCCACGTAACCACCCCAGTGATCTTGACGAGGTTTTTCGCGCCCCCCTGCGACACAAAGTTTACTATTGCCGCAGCAAAAAAAAAGCGTTACTGGACTTGATCAGGTAACGCGTTGGCGTAGACATACCAACTATTTTCATCGTTAAAGCGAGACATCGCATCAAGCTCTAATGGATATTTTTGGGTCGATCAGTCCTGTGTATACAGTGAAGTTTTTCAAACTTACAGAAAAATTTCACGTAAAAAAGAAACGGCATGAGGTTAATCGGAAAACGGTGATACCATGTTATTGAGGAGGAAGGCCCTGTAGCACGTATTGCAGACTGCAACTATCAATTAGGTAAAGAAGCCACTTCCGCTCATCCCTGCACAACGGGAGGGCAAAATCCGAGAAGAAACTCGTAGGCCCCAAAGAAATTCAGTATTCTGGGGAGTTTTGGTCAGTCGCATTGGAGAGCTTGAAAATCAGAAAAGGACACAATGTTCCTACATGTGACTCACTAGCCATTTGGAAAACATTCAGCGGTCTTAACTAGGTAAGTCAAGAGAGGTTTTTGCTTGCTTCTGTAAGTTTGTTAGATCCAAACGTCAGTTTCCAAGGCAATGAAGCCCACCAATTTCTTTTACGGTTTCATCCACACTAGGATTAGGCACAAGGCTCGCAGCCGACTCTCAGTCGTGGGGTCAGACGACACATGAAGTTGAACCAGCGAGAGCAGAACCAGGTCGTGATGTCTTTGCGGGAGAGCAACGGGAGAGCCTATTGAGGAAATCAAGAATATCAACCTGAAAATGAGCAGAATGTGCCAGAGAGGGCACCGAATAAGATCAGCTCGGTTTGAGCTTGGTGGTCACAGTGTAAGTTTGTCGGCGGAATCAGTGAAGGCTGGGAGCAAGGCTCAAGCTCAGGCTGAGACGATTAACGCGGCACGTGCAGCAGGTTGCAAACAAACACGTGCACTAGTACTGTTAGCGCGCTCTCAGATGTAACAGGCCTTGTTGTCTGTTCCTTTGAATTTCGTAGAGCTTCCAAAAATTTCCTCTCAATCGAATCTTGGCAACCCTCATCTCCGCCACGAGAACAACACTCTCCTTTGGTTATGATACCTCATTTTTCCTGGCTTTCTTCGAAATTCCCTCCGGCACCCTCCTTCGCTACAGCCAGGCTCAAGTTTCTGTCGGGAATGGCATCGTCGCTGGTCCGTTTTTTCAGTGCATAATCGGGGCTTCTTCGTTTTGTCGTTCGACGCAACAATCCATCGCTGGTTAGTATGTTTCCGACCTGATGTCGTCAGTGCTTCTCAGTTTTTCGTTTTGCCTCTATTACTGTCCAATTGTGCCAGATCATAGATGTGTACAGGCCCATTCTCCATTTCTGCCAAGTCATGAGGTTGCAGCAGGAAATCTACCCGCATATAGCCACCATGGCGTAAGTTTTTCGGCTATCGGTCCTCACTGGCTGCGCTTATTTTTTCACCCAGTTCACCCATCTCTCTCTGTCCAAGCAGCTTACGCTTCAAACGCTCATCGAACGCGTAAGAGGTATGTAGCTCGGCTATCTTGAATGCGAACGTATGGCGAGCTTTCCAAAATTCACCGAGCTGCGTAACCCCCAGGGAAAGGTCCCCTGACGTCTGACGATCCTGGACTAGGAATCTAAATGAAGAGTTGTATACTCCGAGATTGTTACCATGAGAGCTGAGTGATACAGTTCGTTTTGCAGGTCTTTCTTCCGGCTTATCCGCTTCTCCGTTTCCTGACAAGTTCGTCTACGCAGTGTCTTTGGAAGTACAAACCGCGATGAACTGAATGACGTTTCACCATGGTATCATGGATGGACCCCATTTCTTAGATCTAACTCGAATCTTTGCCCCCGTGTAGTGGAGTTTGTTTTTCCAGAAGATAAACGTCAGATGCATCACCCACAGGACTTTCACCTGTTTTTCCTGTGTGGAGTGGTCGCACACCGCAAGGCACACTCTGACGATCATGATGATGGAGGACAGGCTCAAAAGCTGCGTGGCTGTGCCTTTCGGTAGCTATATCCGACATACACGGATTTTTGTTCTCATGATCTCGGTGGCAGTCATCTGCCGATATTTTCCGTCCCCTCCTCTTTTCCTGTCTGCCCTACTCAGCGCGAGAAGTTGACGAAAAGTCCGTCGCCGATTGTAACAAAGTAGTCATACAACACAGCCTTGCGTCTTATCATTTGACAAGACTTACGAGAGCGCCGCCGTCAGCGCCTAAGAAGTACTTGGTATCCGAAGCACTGGTATGAACGGTTCCTGTCGTTCAAAATGCTCTTAAAGTCCGTCCAAGCTTGTTAGGTAAATCCCTCTTGTCCCCCCACCTCATCCTACGCCAACGCCCACGATGTCGTCCTCTGCCCTCCCAGAATCCCATCCAGCGGTGCACGAACACAAGGGCAAGACCTGCCCCGTTACAGGACAAACACACGATTTCTGTGCCGCCCAACCAGAAGATAGCCGCTCCCCTTGTCCGGCGCTCAACACCATGGCCAATCATGGTTACATGTACGTGGATTCGGGCCCCTAACCCATCTTCGTCACAACCTCAACGTTCGTAGTTCCCGTAACGGCAAAAACATCAGCGCCTCGGAAATCGTCACCGGGTTGAAAGCATGCTACGGGCTCTCAACGCCCTTAGCGCTCTTCCTTTCCCATGTTGGATTTCTCGTCCTGCGGAAGACTTTCCGCCGAGTTTCGTTATTTGAAATCGGGAAACACGGCCAAGTCGAGCACAACGCGAGTCTGGTGCATCACGATACTCCCGCCGGTGAAGTGTACGCCCCGATAGAGATCGACGCAGGATTAGTGGACAAGTTAATCGATGACGTCGAAGGGGGCGAGAAGATGAACGCAGTAGATGTTGCGAGAGCACGGATACGAAGGGAGAAGCAAAGCCCAGTGTTGGACGGGGTGCATGCTGAGATTGCGAGGGGGGAGATGGCAATTATACTAGGAGTGTGGGAGGAGGGGGCGGGGACGGATAAACTAGGGATTCCGGCTGCTTGGATGCGAAGGTGGATCCAAGAAGAGAAGTTGCCCGACGGGTGGAGGCCTACGCGGACGCAGGGGTTGTTGGACACGGTGAAGAGGTCCAAGGCAATCCGCACGGCGATGGAGGACTTCAGGAAGGCCGAGGCCGAAGCGGCTAAAGAGAATTAAAAGGTGGAAAGTTGAAGCTCTAATTCCTCGTTTTGACTGTCCATGGCCTCGTGGCTCATCTTGAGCGATTCTCTCGCTTCTTTCTTTCAGGCTGCTTTCGCTGTGGACAGCATTTACCTATACCCTCACTTCTTTTCTGAGGTTACTTCTAGGAAATTTTAGGACGTTTACGATGAAGTGTCCGTATTTACTTACAACGTACATGTACGTACATTCTATGCAAATCTACCATACTACGTTTTCTTACCATTGAATAATTACTATCGCCAAACCCCGTGCTCCTACATAGCCATAGCAATAATTTGAGGTCCAAGAGCCGAAGTGCCATGATGTAAATGCAACCTCAAGATGAAAGGTTTGGTTCAAACATAGTATTTGCATGTGTTTGCCAATACCTTCTCCTGCTCTGTAACTTCTTGCACCGACGCAACACCGTTCCAGCTTCCAGACTCGAACCAACGTGAGTCAGAACACCGCATTTATTTGAATTTTTGGAAATTTTTTTCAAATCCCTGCACGCAACACGCTGTCGAATCCCACACGGGGAGACGGCTAGAGACCAACTAGAGACGGCCTCCGAGAATAATCCTATCAAGGGCTCCAACGGGGCTCGCATTGCAGATCACACGCAATCCCTATTTGTATCAGGTCATTTCTATTAAGGTCAATTGGTAACTGCCAATCTGCAGAGTTGATCAGCAGCTCTTTTTATCCGTGATCGTCGAGATTTGCCTCCGATTCCCTTGGCATTTTCAAATGCGTGAAGTCGCGATCACATCAAAACGTAGTGTTTGCAGATCAACAGTCTGATCATGATATTCTCCTCGATAGTGCATGCGGTGGCAGGCAGTTTCATATTGGGATGCTTACCCGCCTGGCCAGGACGTCGTGGAGATTGCTCAAAGCGTCTTCTCCTTTAAATAAACGTCCGATCCCCAGGCATGGAAGGAAACACGAACCTGCTCCAACTTCGGCCCGCTCACATAGCGCTCATGATCAATACGCATCCAATGTAAAACGGCCCGTAATTGGGCCTTTTCAAGAGAGAATTAAGTTTTAAGGGGAAGGATTTCCGCAGCCAAACCGGAAGGGGAAGATCAGTTGATCTGCAGGTGGTGCGTGCAGGGCTGAGCGCCTCTTAGTTATCGGTACAAGTTGGAGAAATTGGGCTAAATCAGAGGAAGTCGTCTCATGATTCATGAGAAAAGGTAACTGAGATAGATATTCAGCTGGAGCACGCGCAACGAATTCTCAAGATGTACCGCCCCTCTAGTCAGAGGCTTCTCATTTCCCCTCGAGGGGTGATATTCACAAAGATGCCGCGGAGAAACTGCGCCCCATGCCCACAGTTAAGTACCCCGTTGCATGCGTGCCGTCGAAGCAATCTCACGGTAACTCAAATACATTGTATTGGAGCGAAGGAGGTGCTCCAAGTTCCTACCGAGGATAACAATCTTGGCCAAATTCACACACGAAAGGCAAATACGGATAATCCGAAGGTAACGACCTTGTGGAGACCTCCACTGTGCGCAGCTCAAATGATGCAATGGCGGATCATGGCCGTGTAATTTGACCTTCTGTGCTCCTTGCGGAGCCGACCTAAAAACCAGCAAAGGGCTATCAAACGAGAAAAAAATGACACAAGACCGAAACGTTATTGAATGGGGACAAGATGGCTACAAGAAAGCTGGTACATAGACAATTGTGGGTCAGGAATATGGCGAATAAATAATATGATGAAGGCCAGTGTAGACAAAAATACTACCAAGCGTCAGACATGCGGTCGGATCTGCTTACGCGCTCAGATGATATCCGAGAAGTATGGAAGGCTGGTCTGAGCGCCGTGGAGACCTTTTGATCAGCGACAGAACGTAAATATGGCGCTGATGGTGTGTAAAGCTGTTCTCTTGATGGAGGAGGTGACGGCGAAAGCGATGGCGAAGCAGATGGAGAGTGACAAATTGATCCAGGAGTCGAAGATTGACGGTACCCTTGTGGGTAGGGACGATGTCTGGGTGAGCCAACGGGGTGATGAGGAGTATCAAATATTCCATTTGATGAGGCTGTAACCCGGTTCATGTGAGTGAAAGATTGTGGTGGTGGGTAGGAAGCGGCCTTGTGATCGGCCTGAGACTCGTAGCCGAGTAATTCGTCTTCTTCTTCACCCTTTGAGTATGAATCAGCCTCCATAGAGTCGGAGTCACACTCGTCAGAGTCCTCGCTCATGCAGAACGTGGAGATTGGTGGTGAGGGCATATACGATCCAGCGGCCTGTAACCGGGAAATATTGGAGGATGGTTGGGCGCTCGGAAATACATGAGTTTGCGGAGTGGCGACATTCCTGCGCCTTCGACGACTATCATTAGACTGAGCGCGAGAGAACCCAGGAGTGGTGTGATTACGGTAGTGTCTTCTCATGTTTGAATTTACATTGAACTCCCGACCGCAACTTGGCCACGGGCATCTGAACGCTGCACAGGTGAGGAAAAGGGCTGTCAGTGATCGTCACGACCCAGGGGAATACTCATTAATACTTACGAGTAGCGCCTGTATGAGTATTCACGTGGATTCGCAAACTACTCGGTCGATTAAATCGTTTGGAGCAAGTTGGACAGACGTGTTTTTTGCCATTATTTTCTTCCTCGTTTCCTTCCTCGTCGCTAGGATTAGGGGAAGGTTCCTGTAGGGGATGATCGGCCTTGACGGACCCCGACCCTGCAGCGGGGAACGAAATTATAGCAGGGTAAGCTCGCCGCTCCTCCTTGATGTCGATGGTCAGTATCCCTGAGCCAGAATTGGGTAAAATCCTAGAATGAGAAGGCGAGACATCGGGGGAGGGTAGAGAAGCCGAGGGAACTGAAACTCGAAATGCGGGGGACGATCCGCTAGCAACGCCGACCGAGGCGTTTGTACTGGACCCATTCGCACCGCGGTTAGGCAGTGTTGCACTTGATGTAAGATGCTGTAACGACTTGCGAGTAGGATCGGACCTTAATACGTTGTATGAATAAATTCTCGAACCGGACTGAGTAGTGGAGTCGCGAGAATGGACCTCGAGGTCGTGGTCATCGTGGAAGCCTTGATGTGAGCCTGTGGTAGTTGGTCGACCTCTATACGCCGTTTCGGGGGAACCGGGGGACGTATAATGGTGACCATGATCGGCGCCTGGGGAATGCTGTTGGAAAGTAGGGTGTCGGACATTCGATAGCCTTTCAGCGTAAGGACGAAAATCGGACTTGAACTAAATAAAATGAACAAAGCAATACAATGAAGAGGAGGTGGCAGCATACAACGGAATTTCTACGATGGCTATGAACAGCGTCGTCTCGAGTTTTCATGAGATGTTCTACGGTTACGGTAGATGGCGATAACTTAGTTAAGAGCACAACGACGAATCAATTTCGTACCTGGAAACATCTCATGGATGCTGGGGAGAGAGATGCCACTCGATGATTTTTGGTGCTGGGAGGACTTCATTGGAGGACAGGTAGTGCGGGATAAGTAGTGTTTGGGTGTCTGTGTAGTTGAGGAGGGGGAGGAGCGCCGATGCCGAAAGGAGTGGGTGGTGGTGTACTATGAGGTTTATATAGCGTGTAGAAGATGTTAGTGTGATCGGATGCAATTTGAGAGGCCGGACGCCGAAAAGGGATATGTATCAGGAAAAATTGACGTTTTTCAAACCCGAGGCGAGTAAACAAACGCTTTGAGAAATGGTGTAGAAATCAAAAAGGTGAGGAAGTACAACCCCGAGGTGATAGTACTGCACGTTGAGCATAAGTTGGCGAAGAGGACCAGAAGAATGAAAAAGGCACCTTCTCTGTGCGGTTGAGAATGCCTAATAGAATGGTAGAAAGAGGAAAGAGGACTATCAGGGAGTTGCAGAGCCTTTTAGGGATTGACGATGTCGGCTAGAGCGCCGCTGAAACAAGCGAGGATTGGCATCTGGATATTCGGCGCTGATAAAATCTTGACGAAGATAGTTCATTTGGCAATACCGATCTGCCGCGTAACGATGTCAGGTTGATGAGCGTATTAGGCATTTCATTCATGCCCTTCCTGCCCCCATCCACGTGCAAATCCGAGGACCTGCTTTTCATCAACTGCCCATTACGCATTGCGTGTATCAGAAACTCGGACGAACTGGTGCAGCATCATGTGTCCGAAATCTGCGCAATAGTGACCCTTGACTTCAGATTGAAGCTGACCCTCCAAATGCAGGTTTGCGAAGCGGCGACGAGTATCCGGGAATCTCCCACCACTCCTCCATCCTTTCCGGCCCCAAATTTGTAACAAGTTTGGGCTACAATCCAGACAGAAAGATGGAGGTGTCATGCCGATCATGGATCATTCTCGCACATCCCATGACACAGCTATGGTTGTCATGTGTATCACTGTGTATTCCCTATAAATGATCGTTATCTTGGCTATAGCGTTTATTGAGCACGCACAGCTACAGGAGTGTCAAGAGACGCTGCTCAGGCCCCAAGGGAGTCGTTTAGGTTTCGGCGTGCCCTGCCGATCTGCGGTAAAATGAATTCCAAATCCGTCTCCGCGATAGTCCGCAAACCCCACGGGCCACGGGCTGTGTGACTGGGTTGAAGATCTGCACAACCGTCCAATTACAACACTGCTTCTTAAACCGAAACCCAATCCTACCCTGGCGCCTACACATCCAGTGAACAGCCAGAACCTTCGACTTGCATGCCCACCCCGAGATGCCTTGACATTGACTGATGTCAACTCCTTCAAAACCCATCTATAATGAACAAACCCTATGGCAACGTTTTATTGGAATCGGGAGGAAGCTCAAAGGTGATGATCGCGGCGACTCGTTTGTTTGCCGTAATTGACCAGATTACGCAGGTGCCGATCATGTCGCCTGCTGGGGAAAGCCGGCATTCAAAACGCGTGGATCATCTACTCAATACAGAAGTTCCAAATGATAAGCACAATGTGGATGCCGCGCGTTGATGACCATGGGATTAGACCCCTTGAGCCACTGTACACCCAAAGGCCGGGAACGCACTAAATTAGCCCCCCAGAGCCTTTCACGGAAAGTTTCTCCGCCACCATGGGGGCTATGGAATTTGAAAACGGTAAATTCAATGACTAAAAGAGCTAAGCGACACGAGGAGGCTCCTCACCTGCGCTATCTGTGATTGTTGACTCTAACATCGTCCCTAAGAGTCATTAATTGAGGTCAGTTGAGCTTGGTATGGGGGCATGTTTGCGAAGGTACGTTTTCTCAGCCTCATCATAGGACAGCGAGGCCGCCTTGTGTACGAAAAAATGTGTTCCAAAAAGTCAGTCTTGGAGCTAAATAAACCTTTACCTTCTCTTACCCGTCCATTTTTTGTCCGTGACCTTCGTCTTTTTCAGTAAAATGGCCGATATACCCTTGGACTGCGCGGACTCAATGAAGCAACCACAGACAGGTCATTTGATAAAACACTATCTGTGGCGCCTTAGCTCCGATGAGCTCAAGCTTTGGGCAGAACATAAGCTCCGAGAAGCATGCCTTCCCATAAACTCCACCTTTCTTTTCAATCGCCAATGCGAACGTTGGCGTCGAGTTCGAATCAATTCCCCGATACCGGAAAATTCGGTCTTTCCAACAAGTCCGTAGTGCCTGGCGGCAAATCGAGGTGTTAGTGAACTGTTAATTGACATCAACTACGCTGCATCCATGGGGCGCATGGGACGTCATACGATCAGCAGTTTAGACCTAATCAAGGTGGAGTAGATGTCGCACTGGCCCCAAGAAGTGGTCCTGATATTTTTGCAATTGCACCGCACTGAGCCAAGGTAGTCAAACAAAACGCAAGTTGGCCCACATATGAGGTGTCGTCTTGTAATTTACGAGGCCCTGATTCACAACAAAGCGGACCGTAAAAGGTATTGAATCCTAATGGAGATTGAGAGCGATCATTGAGAAGGGAGGAAGCAGCGCGGAGCGGCGTGCAGGAAATTTGCCGGCATTTTCAAAGACCACGTAGGAACGAACGGCGGACATGGAAGATTCCCCAGCTATCGCGCAGCCGGTTACTATCCGATCCAAACACGAAGGTGGCACGAGGCTGAGGATAATTAGTCGAAATAAATCGAATACAAGTGAAAAAATCCATCAATCTGCAAAACTGCTGTTGGCTGTTTGTCCATCTGGTTGTTGAACTTCACGGTGCGCCGCAGTTGGGCGAAAGTTCTAAGGAGAACCTGATCGTTGTCCTACACGACACCCAAGAATTTAGGAATAGGATCCGGCGTGAATACCTACGGGCGCTTTGTGGTCTCAGCCTTATCGCTCGTTCCCAAACGCACCCATCCTAAGAAGAACGGCGATCACCTAAAATTCATGATCATTCCCCAGATTTTTATGACAATGTATTCCGAATCTACCTCAATTTGCTGTGCAATTGTCATTCGGATGTAATAATAAGCTATCAATGAAAGCCGCAAAGGATTCAAAGACCTCGTCGGGGGGGACAACGCCGGGCTTCTCCTCATCCCCAGGGCGATATTTTCCCGTTTTCACTACAAAGACATTCAGTTCACTCATCTTTAATCCCATTATTTGGCTTTACGCACCAAGAATCCTCCATAAACCCAGTTCTATTGCACCCTCACCTAGGTCAGCCTCGACGTCATCCCCGATGATGGCAATCTTCCCACTACGGTCTTCAGGCAACTCTGAAGGCAGAAAATTACTGATCACAGCCTCAAAGAAGGCCTTCGTTGGCTTTCCCACTACAAACGCTTTACGGCCCGAAGCATTCTCAAGGGCTGTTACGAAGGGTCCCGGACCTAGAGATAGACCCGGTGGGAATTGAGTTTGGATATATTTCGCCTTGTGAGTTGCTATGAGAGGAAGGTCGAAGCCAGACTTCAGGGAAGAGGGTGACATTGCGCGTTGCGTCTCACCCACCAGAATTCGAAATGCTGCATTGAGGTGGCTGTAGTCAAACACTGATGGGGCGAGTCCGATCACCACAGAATCATATTCCGATTCAATGCGATCTGTGATATCGCTGCCTGGTGACACCTCTTCGCGAGCTGAATCCGATAATAGCAGGTAAGGGCTGTAGTGATAGATCAGGATTTTTGAAAGAATGATGACACAGCTAACACACCGCTGTAGGCCCATGTTCTTGATAAACTGCTTCACGGCGCCGATACTTGTCCACACTTCCTTTCGTTTACCCTCTTCATCTGGAGCTATCTCAAATCCCATATGTTTCAGTCGAGATATGAGACTAGCGGTGGATTCTTTGCTAGTATTGCTGCACAATCGGAAGGGAACATTTGATGAGCGAAGTAGATCAAAGGCCTCCACAGCACGAGGTGTCGGGTTCGAGCCGACGTGTAGATTTCCTGATACATCAACAAGCAAAGCCCGAATAAAAGGTCTAGTTGGAGTAGTTGACATGGTCGTCGTTGTGATGATGTTGAGCGGACTGCTGTTTGTCTCCAAAGACCAACCCAAATATTGCCCAAACAACACCACAGCTTGGAGAAGAAATCTTCGCTTGAATCTTCGTGATTGTTCAAACTCATGAAGCCTGTTAGACGGTATCCCTCCTAAAAGATTCAAGCGTTCATTGAGGATTTTTATTATTTTTCTCTTTTCTTGTAGGAGCCTAGGAGCTCAGTTTCATGCGGATAAAAATTGGATAAAAAGGAGTAGCGAGTTAATTCCGCTCACTCCTTTCCGGAGCTTACCTTGCCTCCCCATTTAAACTCGCATCCTCTTTGAATTTAGCGTCTATGGACTCTGGAATTGAGCGCTCGCAATCCCCACAGCTTTTGCCACCAGCAAAGGTCCGATCCCGCTTTTCCTACTTATAAATATCAACTAAAGATCATATACAGGAGTCATTAACGCCGGACATTATATCCGAAAAACGTAGCATCAAAGAGTCCCAGCCCCCTCCTCAGAAGGAGATGGTCGTCGAGAAAGGGGAACCGGAACGCAAAAAACATCACTTTCGACGACGACGGATTGCGCGAGTGGAGTTTTGGCCTCTTCTCCTGTTGCGGGCAGCCGCACCTTTGTGCGTCTCGTCTTGAAGTTATCTTTGTCTCACTCATTTTGTTAGGTTGCGTCGCATCGTTTTGCCCATGCGTAATTCAAGCACAAAATGAGCGACGTCTCGACTATCTTGCGAGGCACGGAACCCCAGACCCACAACGCCGAACTTTTTGCGCTGGAGAGACTCTCACGTATGATGTCATTGACCTCATCACAAATATAGGATGGGCGTTGCAGGTGCGATTTAGATTTCCTGCTTTACGCACGTCTTGACGCCCTGTCGTTACTCAGGTCGCTACTCGGGCTGGCGTTCGACAGCGATACCAGATTCACGGGACACATACGAGCGACTGCTACACACCGTACTGCTGTCGGGCCTGTGACCTTGTCCAAGTGAGCAGGGAGTTAGAGCTGGAAGAGAACAGTCTACTTTTCTAGCTTCGCATCCTATGGATTACCTATATGTAATGTGTTGTGGACATTTGTTTCTCTGCTGCTTGGCATGAGATGCCTTGAAGGCGAGCTCTGGATTATTCCAAAGTAACAAAAAGTGGATTCACATAAATTGCAAGTTTAATTTGAGTTTAATGGAAAGTTGAAACACAACCCTGCCCGAGCATGTGATGCGCCCAGATTGAGTCTAGACCGTAGTAGACGTCGCGATACGGATCGATCATTGTTCCCTTACGAAAGTTCTTGGCGTCTCGAGTCATGGAACTTTTCTCTTCAAAACCATGCATTTTTGGGACTGAACCCAGACGGCCAGCTTCACCAGTCAATCACCAGTCTTACCGGGGTGCGTTTTTAACAAAGCAATGTCAATTGCAGGATATCATATTTGATGCGTCTTCTTCGGGCGTAGAGTATGAAGTTACATCAAGGGTTTTGATTTCGCAGACGCCATGTGGATAGATGCCGGAATACATAAAGACAATACCATGGCAGTGACCTCTGCTTTGCCCCAACCAATCCCCAACTTGAACTCTTCCCACTGAGATTATCACGAAATGGCCTCGGGTAAAGGAAATGACTCAACAATCCCTGTCGTTCCGGTGCGGCTACCATACATACCTATCTGTGAAGCTACTCTAATGACTGGCAAAGCCAACGACCGTTTCAGAGAAGTCCACCCCACAGGGCCCTCAGACCATCCAGCCGGGACCTACCGCGAACATGAGCGTTTCTGGGGGAGGAACCAGGAATGCTTTGAATCTCCCCCTTGACGCTGAAGGCAAGCGGGATTGGAGTCATGGTATATGTGATTGCTTTGGGGACATCAATACTTGTGCGTCTACGTCCGTTGGTCGATCCTTGAGAAACAGATTTAAATATCATGGGGTTCGACATAGGTTGTCTCGCTTGGTGGTGCCCGTGCCTCGCCCATGCGCGGAATAAGCGCCGGTTGGACCATCTCGAAGCTCACGGCACCCCAGACCCAGAACGCGGAGTTCGATGCTCCTCTGATGGTTGGATCTATGCTTGTATTGATTTTAGTTGCAACATGGGTTGGGCACTACAGGTAACATTTATATTTCGCAAGCCCCTTCGACATCTGAATTGTCTTAGGTCGCGACTCGCGGGAATATTCGTCAACGTTACGGTATTCGAGGCAGTTCCGCTGAAGACTTTTGTACCGCTTATTGTTGCCAGCCTTGCGATTTAGTCCAAGGAAGCCGTGAGCTGCAGTTAGAAGAAGAAAGCCTGGAGCCCACTGGCAGAGTGTGAGCTACCTGACACTCGGTTCGTTACACTGTCGCTCGATATCTCTCTATTTTGGATTGTAGTCGTGTCAATATACCATATGCTTAAAGCCTGAGAATACCCATTGTTTCTAGAGTGGCGTAAAAAACTCAGCGAGGACGCATCAGCTTTACCACATTCAAATGTGATATTGGATGAGCTGGCAATTGGCTGGCAAGGGAATCTCCTTCGACCTGAATTGGTAAGCCAAGGTTAAGTCGGGAAGCCAAGGTCTACATTCCAGTGGATTGCGATACTGAGGACCACGGTCTCATGACCATTCGGTAGTACGCTCACGTAGTTTTCTATTTCAGCAGTATCGTCGAGTCCCCAGTGTCAATACTAATTACATATTTACAAACTCAACTTCCTGTCTTTCCTTCTTTATTACCAACCGCCAGGCATATAATCCGTTCCAAGTTCGGTTTCTTTCGTATCTCGCGCTGTCTTGCCTAAAGAAACTCAAATTAATACAGATGAAAGCACCTTTTCAAAACGAATTACCTTCAAACAGCGGAGCAGGTCCAAGAGCTCCGACGTAGTCTATATTCCCTGCAACATTTGTGTATTCTCCGCCGGTGAACACAGAGCCTTTGATCCCTGTGAACATGTGCGCGTGGATGTGCCCCTTCTGGACTCGAGATGACCTCGCAGCGACACCATCCTGACCAGCAAAAAGGGACCTGACAGCCCCACCGACATTTTCATGTTTAGTGCTCCCCTCCAATGTCAGATTGCTCGCATTTTCGAGATAGTCCACTTCTATCTCGTCTTCATCCGACCCTTCTACCATGGCGTCACGAAAATTGACGCCGTCGGCCTTTGCTCCGTTGCGAACCAAACTACCGCCAACGTTCATGAAGGTGCCTCCGGTGAAATGCACTCCCTGCGCTCCTGCCATCATAGAGGCCTTAATCTTTCGACCTTTCTTCGGGGGAGCAGGAGGGGAGGTTGTGGTGTCTGTAGAGATGCGCTGATGAGATAAATGGCGGGGAACAGGTTCAAAAGAACAAACTTGGTGTGACGGCGGCTGGTGGTGGGGGTTCCAGGACCATAGTGGTTGATCCTTGGTTGCGGGACCTTCTCTGCATCTCTGCGTCGGCCAGGACTTTGTTCATTGTGCTGATGGGGAATTCAGGGATCGTCACTCGACTTATCAATGGTCAACGAGCGCCCAACATCCAATCAAGTCTGCCTTCATCAGTCACGAGTCTTAAAGTTGACAGGGCGGTCCAACAACTTTGACCTATGCTTTTGACAACTTTGACCCATGATTGTGGCTAATTATTGCAGCCGAGAATCATGCCCCTTGCTCGCAACTGAAGAGGCGCTCGAGAGAGGTGTGGTAAGCGACCGGTTGCTGAATGCACCTTGAAGGCAATGAAGGGTGTTCTAATTTTTTTGAGACGCCAATCGTCTGTTTTTCGACGGCCAAAAAAAAAGTTGGATAAAATCCTATGGATTTTAAGGGGTGAAGAGTCGGTGAGATTCAGCACTCGGTAGGTCGTGGTAAGTCGCGGTGTTCCCATTCAGGTTTCGGTCCGCGATTTATTTTTGGAGTTCTTCGAAGTAGAAAGTATCAGGAATAAAAAGGCCGACCTTTGTAGCTCCATGAAGGTCAACGGTGGTATGTCTGTGGTTCGGTCACTACTTGTATCCGATACTCATCGGCCCGAAGTCATAACGTGACTGATGTCACAGGACGTTACTGCAATATCACGTGCTTCCTTTGATCTTTTCTTTTTTCTCTTTTCTTCTTTGTTTTCTTCCTTAAATTCTCACTAGTTCGAGTCAAGTTCAAGTCTTGCCTTCCCAAACTGAGATACTAACGCAGCGGGCGCTTATGCAAGTCTGTCCCTTCACCCAGCCAAAGGAAAAGGGTCAACACTCAAAGCAGTTTCGTAACGATGTCTACTGCCCTTTTCAACATACACTCAGACATTGACTGGTACGTTCCTTATGTCTAGACCCCTTAAACAACCCCTTATCGTTTTCTTCCTATTCCGTAGTGTCGATCATTCCGACTATGAATGATTGCGGATTTCAGTCTTCAGCGGCGTCAACGTAGCTTTCCCGGCTCCATTCGTACGACTATTTCATTTTGTTTTTCTCCCCTTCCTTCTGCCCCATCCCGTATCCCTTCTTTGATGACACAAAATTCACTGTACAACGAACATCTCGCATCATGTATCGAGACGTTGTGAGTTATACTGCTACAACGGTATCTGAACCCTTAAACGACTACCTTTTGCCCCAGATCTTTTCACACGTATTTTGTGATGTTTCAAGGCGCTGACTCAAATCTTTCAGTGTAGGTTAGTCTGCTGAGGGGCTTCTGAATTCCAGATGTTGAACCCTCAAATGTTAGTCGTCATCGTCGGCAAATCGATTTCTCATCGTATGTTAGCTACCTTCATGTCCTATGAATGCCGTAGCGGTACCAGAATCAACGCACCTGTATTGGAACCCACTTTTACATCCGGACGAGGTATGTCGCCTCCTTCCTTTCCCCCGCCCTAACCCCACCCTTTGACGATATATGAGCAATTGAGTCAACTATTTCGCGGATGGCGCGAATTTCTCCATTTTATCTTTGTCATGAATGATCAAATTCATCCTTTTCAAAGCACTAATTATTACTTGAGGCAGGGCAATGTCGTTGTTGTGCTGTCTCCGTCTCCGGATGGTTGAACTCTCGTCGTGGGTCGCTGTCCACTGGTTTCTACAAGAGGTGAGCTGTTGTCGCTGTCGGCTCTCCATCGCCAGCTACCGCCTTTGCTCTCATGACTCCCTTCCTCGTCCTTCTTTTCTTTGTCCTATACTCACGGTAAAATGTAACGTTTTATTGGTGATGGTGGGCGCATGCACGTTGCTCGATTGCCGCATGATCTCGTCGCCAACAACAAGCTTATCGAGGATCGTATTGAGGCAATTTTGAGAGGGAAGGAGGATTCAAAGATCGATGACGGTTGGCGGGCCCGAAGTTAATAGTGCTTGGTAGATTCCTATCTATTCAGTCCTTACCAATTACTCACTCGCCGACTCGCAGTTCTCATGTTCGATCTCCCCCATATACATATAATGCATATTTTCTCCACAAAACAGCACCTTCAGATAAACGGCGATGAGGCAACAGAGAACGGAAAGAAAAGTGAAACGGCGACGCACTCGAGTGATTCATCTAGCTCAAGACATCGCCTTGTCGTGATGCAATCTTGAATCCTTTGCAACTAGCGGGCGTCGAGAGGGACAAAAAAGGCAAATCTAACCTGTGTTTCTCAGAATGCAGTTGGACTCGTGACAGATCTAGACCACCTCACGCCATGTGGATAGAACACAGATGCCGATATCACAGCCCACTTGTGCTTCCTCTTCCCGCCAAGCAAGTTGTTGCGAGATGACGTTGACCTCGGGTAAAGAGAATGACTCGACGACGCCCTTCATTTCGGTGCGCCTTCCAGGCGGACGTATCTATGAACCTACAGCTAATGAACACTAGCGAAGCCAACAATCGTTTCAGGGAAGTCCACTCCGCAGACCACCCAACCAGGGCCCATCGCGAACATGAGCGTATCTGGGGGAGGTAACAGGAATGCCTTGAATCTCCCCCTCGACGCAGAAGGAAAACGGGATTGGAGTTATGGCTTGTGCGAGTGTTTTGGGGACATGGATACCTGTACGTATTTCATGCTTCGAACCTAAAATAAAAATATTCAACGCATCCTCGGGTTCAACACACTTGGTGGTGCCCGTGCCTTGCCCATGCAAGGAATAAAGGTCGACTGGATTATCTCGAGGCTCACGGCACACCAGACCCCCAACGCGGGAACCGATGCACCTCTGATGGCTTTTTCTATACTTGCATCGACTTTACTTGTAACATGGGTTGGGTATTCCAGGTAACGTATTTCTTCCGGGTCGCTCCCTTCAAATGAGTGTCTTGATTATGTCAGATTGCAACTCGCGCAAGGATGCCAGTGCGTCAATGTTACAGTATTCGAGGTAGTTCCTCCGAAGACTTTTGGACTGCTTTCTTTTGTCATTCTTGCGATTTGGTTCAAGGAAGCCGTGAGTTGCAGGTAGAAGAAGATAGTCGGAGCCCAGAGCATGAAAGAAGAGTGGGAGAGAGTGGAAGAGCTAGGAGGGAGATTCAGGTAACGACATTGCGATTGATCATGGTCAACGGACTTGGGTTTGTTGGACTTCTGGAATCTGGATGTAGAGAGTGCTGGTAGTTGCATTGATTGGGCTCAGTCTTCAAAGCTGAGAATGTACAATTGTATTTTTTGTCGTCCATGGATTACTATAGTCCTTGCTACAAGATACGACAAGATACGACAAAAATGCGTCAAGATACCTCTGCAGGTACCATTCAAAAATTAGTTCCTACAAGTCAACGACTCACGCGCAGTTCTTGTCTTCGACATCCCAAAATCCGAATATGCCGTATTTTCCCTACCGAAAAAAAGGCGTTCTCATAAATATCAAAAGGAAAAGAGGAACGGAAACGCACCCAATTAGCGCAAGACATTGCACCGTCAAAATGCAATCCATTGAAATCATAGGGTGTTGTGGTGCACATGGCAGTCCATTCGTCGGCGGCATCGTGGTTTTTTAGATTGGCCTCGATGTGCTGTTGGAATTATTTTGTTGAATTATTCATTGTGGGTAAAATGAGTAGAAGGTACGTACGCGGAGTCCCGATCCTGGCGCCGTGCATCCCTAATAGGTTCAATATCAATCATGTCGGCACTTACATAAAAGGTTGACGTTGACTGACCTTATCCTTGTAGTCACCCCAATAAGTACGACAGGCGCCTTCGTCGAAATCAACCATCCAAATTCCCCACATCCCATTGAACATACCCTACAACCAAACAATCAGAGATTTCAAATTCAACGCAAACTGACAACATACCATATTGTCACATCGGCTCGGCTTCATCATCCGCCCATGAATCTCAATCTCCATCTCGTGACACGCTTTGAGCTGATTATAGCCCGAATTAACAGGGCCCAACTTGGCACGATACTCCCTAGTTCCATATTTCGTGCAATGCGGCGCCCTTTCAAGCTTCAACCAATGTATCCCCGCCCTCCGTTTCTCCTCCTCCTCCTTCTCCTTCTCCCTGGCCCTTCGGCGTTCCTCTAACGCCTCCTTCCTCTCCCCAAGACGCACCTCCTCCCACGCCTGGCGCTCCGAGTCCCATCGAGAGTGTTCCTCTGCCATATGTTGGCGTACACTAACCCTGAGAAAAGAATGTCCGATCGTTTTTTTGATGAAGTCTGGCCTATAACGTGAAAACCACACAACGCATTAATTGGATCTCAAGAGTATAAGAAAGGTTAAGTGGTATATAACATGTCTCCAAAGTTTTGCGATACAGAAATGCAAATACGAATTATGCAATAGCAATCAATGTGGCAAGGCCCAAAATAGGAAACCAGAAAAAACCGAAATGCCAGATTAAACCTGGAGAACGAGAGAAATTTGAACTTGTGTATCTAACTATCTAGTACCTCGTGTTCCCCCCATTAGCCTGGTAAACTGCAAGAACTCGTTGGGGTAAAGATTGGTATAACTTCGTGATAAAGCTGACATCAATCTGGAACCACTCCTCCTGAAGAGCCACCCACAAATCTTCTTCCGACTGCGGCAGTGGCTTATGTGCTCGTATTCGACGTTCGAGGTGGTCCCAAAGGTTCTCAATGATACTGATGTCAGGACTGTTTGGTGGCCATGGAAGGAGATCTATGTTGTTTTTTTGAAACCAAGCCTGTACGATCTTCGCTGTATGCTTTGGATTGTTGTCTTGCTGGAAGTAGAATTGACGTGGCTCCATAGAAAGCTCACAGTAGGTACCTAGGACATCGTCCTCAAGGATTTCATGATATAACTCTTTGTTGAGGTTCCCTTCAATCCGTATGATCCACCCAACACCTTGTGCCGTGATCATTCCCCACACCGTAACCTTCCCACCACCGTGCTTGACCTTCTTCTTCGTGAACCGTGGATCCAAGCGCTCTCCTGGTCTCCTCCAGCACCACTCTATACCATCTGACCCAAACAAGTGGAATATGGACTCGTCTGAGAAGTTTACAGCCATCCAATTAGCCACAGTCCATTCCAGTTGTTCCTCGGCCCAGTTCTTTCGGACGTGTAGGTTCTTGTGAGAGATGAATGGAACTGTGCGTCGAATATGAGGTTCAAGACCTTCTCCTCTAAGTGCATGCTTCATTGTATCCACACAAACATCCGGGAAGTACTTGCGCTGCAGGTCAGAAGCATCATGGGCAGTCTGATTTGACAGGTGTCGGCAGGCTACACGTAAATCACGGGGCGTGAGCTTCCGAGGACGACCAGTTGAGTGTCCAACATCGTAGTAATTCTCCTTTTCTGCGTATCTCTTGACGATCCGGAGGATTTGGCGGTCAGAAAGATCGTGGCGACCAGTCAAAGCGTCGCGAATTTCGTTGTGGGTGTATCCCGCCGCCCACATTGTACAAATCTTTGCACGTTTGGTGGGGGTTGTAATTGGAGCCATAGGAGGTATATGACCATACGCAATGTGGTTTGGGAGTGTGGTTTTTGGTTGAAGTCGAGATCGACAGCAAGTTGCTTGACGCGACGCGTTTATATCCCACGGTCACGGCATCGACTGGCCTACACCCACCATGTGTGTCACAACGACAGCTGCTTAGTTCAATCTTTTTTGCAGGATGTGCAGAGTAAACATAAAGGTCCACTCTGCCTATGAAATATTGTTCAAAGGATTAAAGAGTTTGAAGATAAAACCCATTTTTCATTTAAAAAGTGATCGGACATTCTTTTCTCAGGGTTAGTGTAGGTCGCTGTGCTGGTTAACTTCAATCTCCCATTTAGCGCGGATGCGGTCCCGCACGATGGGGTCGAGGTGGTCAGTAGATACAGAGTATGTGATGGTGGATCCGAGGAGGAGGCCAATGATGAAAAGAGCTAGAGCCGCAAAGATGAGTGTTATTTTGCTTTCGCTGAGCAGCGCTGGCTTAGGGGACCAGGAACGACGGCGAGGGCCTGTGCAGGTGTTAGAGATCAAGAGATAATGCATTGTTCTGATGGGGATCTTACTTGATGCTGATCGTTGTCGCAGTAATGGTTCGCGTTCGGCTGAACGAGCTCTGTTGGAGAAGTTACCCCCTCGTCCGAAGTTTGAGCTGACTTGATGGCAAGAGGAGTTCGAGTTCGGACCTTGGGACTCGATCCTGCCGTCCACAGTACTCTGGTATGAGGGAGGCTGCATTGAGGACCTTTAGGAGAGCGCCGTAAGAATCGAATGCATGATCAAGCTGAACTTGAACATACCTAGACGACTGCATGCCTGTAGCTTGGGGTTGGGTTGGTCGTGGAAGAGTCAGAGTAGTACAAGCGCCCATTCCAACAGGCTTTCCTACGGCATTATGTAACAGGCTGCTTCACAACTTCCTCAAGGCATCGACGGATTCAGCAGCAGTTCATGCGTAGTTTCTTTGAAACCAACGATGCCTATCATCGCGCCTTCAGACGCGCACGCGTCCACTTGCATGGGTTCGTGTTCGCCATTCACTGGAACAACGCTCAGAAACGAATGGCTGGCCCGGCGAGTCGGACGAGTGAATGTATTTGAACCGTTTCGGCCCGGAACACTCTCAGTGCCAAATAAACAACAACAAGCTTTTCTTGTCGACTTCTTCCGCCATGTATCCTCGGACCTCATGGACGGGAGGCTGACATGTTCGATGGTTCAACGCTACGCACGAGGACTTCTAAATTTAACTCGAGCTAGTGATAAAATGCTGGTTTTTTTCTGTCAGCCACAAGGTCCATCCTACATAAACTTCATCTTCTCGTCGCCTCCTCATTCCCTCGTCTTCATTCACAACCACTCACTTCAGGCACAAACTTACCACACTCTTTACCACACAAACCATGCGCTTATATAGCCTCCTCCCCCTTCTCCTCATCCCCTCTCTTCCCCTCCCATTCACCATCGCCCACCCATCCCCGATCAAGCGCTTGAACTCCAACAACTCTGCAGACGCCGACTCTCAAGTTCTAAATTTCCTACTAACCCTCGAACACCTCGAACGCGCTTTCTACTTGGCGGCGCCGCAGAAATACTCTGCGCAGGGCTTCGTCACGGCTGGGTACACAATCTCGGACTATGGTCGCTTTAGACAGATGGGCGTGCACGAAGCGAGTCATGTGGAGTTTTTGGAGAGTTCGTTGGCTGCGGCGAGGATGGATAGGGTTCAACCTTGTGTTTACTCTTTGTACGTTTTTTTTTCCCTTTCCTTAATTTTTTTTTCGCGTCATTTGTCTTTCGAGATGTGGCTGACACATTTTTTGCCCTCGTAGCCCGGACAACGACCCCAAATTATTTGTCGCTGCCAGCCTGATGCTCGAGAACGTCGTCGCGTCGGCGTACAACGCTGCCCTCGCTTATATAAAAGACAAGGTTCGTCACGCATATCCGTACATTTCGACGCTCAGACAAATTATAACCTCTCATTTTATATAGGCATATCTAGCAGCAGCAGCCTCTATCTTCGGCGTCGAATCGCGGCACGCGAGCTTCGTAAGTGGCGTGCCTCTGGCCTCAAACCCGTGGAACACAGCATACGAAGTTAGCTTTTTCCCTCCTCTTCCTTTCCCTCCTTTACTCACCCCCCACCCACACAGACCCCTCTCTCAATGAACCAAATACTCACCCTCATATCCCTCTACACACAACAATGTCCCGCCTCCAACGCCGCCCTCCTCCCCGCCTCTCTTCAAGCCTTCCCACAACTAACCATCGACACGCACCCAACGCCATCCCAATCCATCAACCTCACATTCGCGCCACCCGCAGAACCGCTTAGCGAAGCAGAATCATTATTCGTCGCGTGGATATCTGGGATGGGGGTCGTTGTTACTCAGGTTGAGGGAGAGGGACAGCTGACGACGCAGGTGCCTGCTGATATGGCGGATAGAGGGGCGGTGTATGTGTTGGTCGTACGGGGCTCGAAGGATATGAGTAATTTAAGGATGGATGATGCGAGTACTGTAGCGGGGCCTGCGTTTGTTGTGTTTCCTTTTGGGGGTGATGCGTAGGTGTTATTTGGATTGGGACTTTGATGTATTTTTGTATACGCGTGCCATAGAGGAATTGAAGTACCTTCGAATTCAAATCACCCACTCCTTGACCTTTTTTCTTTCACGCAGCCGAGAGTTATACTTTTCAAGAATGTATGGTATATGAATACAATAATAGCTACGTGCATAAATTAGTTACCAAAGCGACGGTTTTCAAAGCAAGTTGCAAAGCGAGAGATCATATCTAAGCTCACAATCAATTATCCGGATTTACTGCCACCCGACTCCGGCTTCGTCGATGTAGAGATTTCTTGATACAATTCCGAGTCCGTCATAACATCCGTAAATGTGATGATCGTCCGAGACTGAGTGGATTTAGGCTCCGCCGCGCTCGGGCTGGAGTGTTCTGTATCATCCGGCCGAGAAGAAGACTCTTCGACGTCAGAGGAGTCCTCAGCCTCCGTTGATTGTCCTTCGGGACGCGGACGTCCAAATCGCTTACGCCACGCCTTGTACAACAAAGTCGTCGTGACGAGGAAATTGCATACTATCAAGGAAACCGCCATCTGCACGACATAAGCAACTCGAATCTGATGATGTTAGAAAGCCTCACCTCTAATTGGGAAATCATGGGGGGGATTAGAGCAGCGCTAGGTTTTGACATGAGTCCTGGGTCGAACGAAACTATGCAACAGGCGATAAATAGGAGGAGCATCAGGATGCTCCCCGAAAACGCAACTCGGATAACGCGTTTCGAGCGTGAGGGCAAATTGACACGCCATAGAATGACCAAAGGGGTGGCAGTGAGCACGATGTCCGAAAGAATTTGGACTGTATGTGCAATAATCATTCACGTCAGCTCGATCATGGCCAAAGTGGGTAGTGAAATCGAACATACGTATTATCGACACGACACCCCCAACAAAAACTTTTTTTGGCCCTTTTCCGCAGTACTTAGCGGTGACCTTCCACCATGGCACACCGCCCCCTTGACAGGTCACGTTCAGCACAGTTACTGTGGTGATGAGATTGAGTATGAATATTATGGTGAGTGCCGCCGAAATGCGTCGAGCGCGGTGGCCATTGGGGAATATACGCGCGATGGAAAGGGCGAGGCTGACACGTGTTAACCTATAATGGGAGTAAAATGGACCCGATTTTTCAAAGAGGGACAACTTACCACACCGTTGAGAATTGGAAGAGGGAGGTAAAGAAAAAGTTGAGTAATAATCGACCGTCTTGGTAGAGCTTATCGACTGGCGAGAGGAGACGAAGCCTGGGGTCACGAGCGTCCAAGGATTTCGACGCCAACATGTTTCCTCGACCTGACCCAGATTGGAATAAGATGACAATGTGCGCAACTGCGAGTACTGGGTGAGGGTGGAAGACAAGAAGTTGTTTGTGCATGTTTCTTCTGACCCCAATATCAGGGAGGTTGGCTGCATGGGAGTCGCCATGCGGTCGGAAAAAAGTCGAACCAAGCGAAAATTGAAGCATAAGTTCAACTTTTTTCAACTTTTTTACAATGTCCAATCATAGTTTCGCCTCCCCGCAGGGAGCTCATTTCAATTAAAAATGTCTGGCCATTGCAAGTTTCATGCAACGGCCAGGCGTAGTTTGGCGTGACGTATTGTACTGGCTACCGACGTGAAGGGGTACTATTTACAACAAAGAAAAGCGTGGGCTTGCAAGCATATAGTCGCGTTGACGCAAAGAGAATATCTACAGAACAACATCAGAAAACAATTGAAAGAAGGAAAGGTACACGAAAAACTCACAGAATACATGGCAATGCACAAAAGGATGGCCATGTCGGGGTCCACCTGTTTGAGGACTGCAGAGGGTTTCCCACGGTGAAAAGGCATATTCGTCGAATAATCTATTCAAGACGCGAGATGAATGAGTTGTTGAACGTGGATATATAAAACCACGTACATTGTTTGCGATCACGGGATGAAAACCAAACTGGGATGCAGGGATAATAAACTGGCAGCATTGCAGTCTTTCTCCGCAGACGCAAATCTATACGTGGAGGACGGTTGCAGTGTAAGAACGGTTGGCAGATGTTTAAAAATCGAATATGTGCCGTGCAACACAACCACATGCAGAAAGAAGAAGGGGGTGACCGGGTGAATGTATGAGAGGGAAAGAATGAAGGAAAGTGATTCAGTGTATCGGTAGGGATGTGTAAGTGTCGAGCGGCGTGGGGGTGATTGGCGGAACTCTCGAAAAATCGAATTTGAACCATGGGGTGGATCGACGCAAAGAGAGCGACAAGGAGCACTATGTGCTGCCACGAAATCGATGAGGTATATGGGTAGGGATGTGTAGATATTGAGCGGCATGGGGGTGATCACTGGTACTTGACAAATCGAGTTTGAACCGTGGTGTGGAAGTGACGGAAGGAAAACAACAAGCAGCACTATGTGCTGCCACGTAGTGATGGCCGGACTTGGAAAAATCATTCCAAGAATGAAATTCGATTGGGTGTATGGCCCAGTAGGGGGTAGGGATGTGTAGATATTGAGTGGTGTGAGGGTGATCGCCGGAACTTGAAAAATCGAATTTGACTGTGGGGTGGAAGTGACGTGAAGGAAACAACAAGCAGCACTATGTGCTGCCACGTAATGATGACCGGACTTGTAACAATCAAAGAATGATTGCAAGCGTGAACCTTGAAGGCGATATGAGAAAATAAGAACAAAGAACGGTTGTAAGGACAAGCTTACAATGTATAGGAATGTGGGTAGGGTGAGGGTGATTGCCGGAATCCGAAAGATCGAGTTTGAGCCATGGGTTGGAGTGACACAAAGAAAATGACAAGCAGCACTATGTGCTGCCACGTAGCGATGGCCGGACTTCAAAAAATCAAAAAATAATTGCAAGAGTGGATTCTGAAGGTGATATGAGAAAAGCAGAACAAAGGGTGGGTGTAGGAACAAGATTACCATGTCTAGGAAAGTGGGTACGGCAAGGGCAATGGCCGGAGCTCAAAAAATCGAATTTGAATAGCAAGGGGAAGTGTTGTAAAAAGAAAATGTGTAGCATCACGAAGCGATGGCCAGATGTCGAAATATCAAATTAGAATGGTGTCTGGAAGACATAGCGGCAGAACCGCCTTTTCCGGAAAGCGATATGTTGTGTTGCGCCAATCCAGAGGTAGGGTTGGAGGAACAGGTGGCATACCGCGTGATAGCAATCCGCGGACGTCGAAAAATCAAATCAAAATGTCACACTGTGTGATATAGCAATGTGTGATTCACACATTGCTCGCTCCCGAAAAATCAAATAACAGATTGACAAAAAGCTTGCAACACAAGATAAACAGGGGTTTAGGACAGTGAGAACACACATAAAACTTACATGAGAAGACTTCCTCATGACAGCAATCCCCGGAACCCCAAAAATCGAATTAAAATTGCGCCCATCGCCAAAGTTCATCACTTCGAGTTCTGTGGATGCAATACATTGCTATGAGACTTCATTAGCAAATGGAAGTGAAGGATCACAGACCGAATTGATTTGCATGGCTTAGGCATGCATAACGGCGGAGACGACAAGTGCAGAGGTGGTGGAGGAAAGCAAAACTGTTAGCCCAAAATGAAATTGTTAGTCAACATGGATAAGAAGTTAGAACAAACAAAAATCTACTCACAAAGATGTACCTGGTGAGAGGCGGGCAGCGTAGAGGCATAATGGCGCCAAGGGGAAGGGTGAGCATTCACATATTTCCGAATCTACTTATACCTCTGGGTGCCAAGGAAAATCAACAAAGTTTAGTGTGAGTAAGTATTGTCGGAAGTATCCAGCCGACAAACAATGCGCGGGGACCTTGCAATTTTGGCTTGCCAACATTCCAGGAATAGAGTGATCGGGAGAATATTCTAGGAACCTGCACCTTGAATCAAGAATCCGGAGCTATCAAAGTTTGCGTGTTTGATTTTTTGCAGCTCAGCTTTTCCCCCCATTCCTCCTCCCCCTCACCACTCAAATTCTTGCCCTCACTAACTCTGCTTACCAGCTTCATTTTTTCCTGGATACAAATTTTTCTCCCTGGACTTGTATTAAGTAAATCCCATATGACTGGATAGCTAGTCACGATGCTCACATTGGCACCATGTCTTTTCCAGCTACTCTTTGGCTACTCTGAAAATGCACACGGTTCGTATTTAAAAATCTTCTACCACAAATAACATACTTACTGTAACTTCTACTCTCCAGGTCTAGCTGCTTTGCAAATCTAGTGGGGTTCTTGATGTCAAGAACGATCTAGGCAATTGGTATGTAATCAATCTGCAGGAAAGTAGATTATGATATGCACCTTGTTTTTAGGTTGACGGTGCACATCTTGCAAATGCCTTCTTTCAACTCGACGCAGGTGATTGGGATGCAGACGAGGACGCTTGTACGAGTGGGAACTTGAGGATACCACGTCACTGTTTCCGCAGTCCCCTCGTCGTCACTGATTGTGCGCTCTTGGAACTTTTTTAGAACAGCCCCATACAACCAGCCCTTCACGTCGCAGTGTTAGTCGGGTATATTATTCGACTACACGTGTCTTGAAGTCTGGGCATTTTGCGTAGCGCAAGATTGGAGCGGGGATGTACACTACAAACACGGATTTTCTCGCATTTTGTTCCCCTTACTTTCCCTTTGTACTACTTCTGTATCCTTATGTTTTACATAGTCATTCGCAACATAAATCACTCAAGAGTCTAGGAGGACGATCATCCAAACAGTTCCAAAAAGATTGAAAGTGAATAGTATACACAACTTCCTCCTTTCCCGATTCTTCATCGCGCTTGGAAAGCATCCGTAAAATGAGCATTTCTATGCATCAGGTTCTTTTTCGGAACCCTGTAAGCCCTGTACCTGAATTTCTAACGCTTTCGCCAGCGGAAGTTGTAAACTGGGCGTGCTGTGCCCATCATCCCCCGCATTCCATACAATTCTCTACCTTCCCCATTCGTAGTGTACAATTTCTACCATTTGCAACTCATATGCATATTCCTAAATGTATTTGACTTACCATAGCAATGAACGAGTGTGTGGACGTACAGGTATCCATTGTGAGGAGGATGATCTCCTCCTCCCCCGATTCTGATTTCTTCATTACGCTTGAAAGACATCCTCAAAACGAGAAATTGTATGCATCAGGGTCTTCCTCAGAAGCCCGCCAACCCTGTGCCTGGACGTCCAGAACTTTTGCCAGTGGAAGATGCGAGCGCGGCATCGCCGCGCCCATACAAGTCTCTTGCATTTTATATGATTATCGACCTTCCTTCATTCGTAGTGTACAATTTCTATCAAGCTACGGCTCATGAATGTGTATCTACAATTTCCTGAACTTGTGTCAATAAAAGATACTAGCGTGCAGCGCACAACGTACCAGTATTCCGAACTGCCATCTAAGTTCCTCCATTCGTAACGCATCATTTTCGTCCAAGGGTAACTCACATATCCATTTATAAATCTATTCAACACTTCTCAACAATAAACAAGCACAGTCGAGCACGCGAGAACGTACATGGAATGATAACTTCCTCCCCCTTCCCCAATTCCGTATCCATCGCGCTTGAAACGAATTGGCGAAACTGACACTTTTACACGTCAGGGTCTTCTTTAGAACACTGCCATTTGCGTGCCTGGATACCTTAGCGAAAGATTACGGCGGGCGCGTATTTCATACCATTTCTTACATTCCCAATTCGCCGTATGCCAGATGTGTGCAATGACATCTTTATGTACCTTTTCCTAATTCATAAATAGTATCAGTGATTTGAGACGTTAACAGAGCACAGTGGACGTACCTTCCGAGCAATAAGTGAGGATATGGTTCTCCTCCCCCGATTCTTCATCGCGCTCGAACCACACACACGGAAATTCCATCTTGACGTGTCAGGGTTCTATTCGGGTAGTATCCCCGGTGTCCCTGCATCTGTGATATCAGAACTTCCTGTGTAAGAAGTTTGTGAGCGGGTGTGTGTGCTCACCTGCAGATTCAGCACTGGTTTATAATATCCTTTCGCATTTCTGTAAAAAAGGAAGTATTGAGAGTCTCTTATTCATGTTGTAGAGTTATGGTACACTCACTTGCGTCAGAAGTACCAAAGCATGTAAGTTCATTCGGGTGTAGATGGCCGCCGAACGTCTCCTCCATCTCCTCTCCCGATTCCGAATTGAAAAATGGTGTTCTGAACATTCAACTGTCAGAAAAATATTCATCAAGGGTCTGATGAATGTACGTACTTTGATTTGGAAGGACTTGACTGGTATTTTCTTGTAGCGTTCTGCGGCTTTCGTGAACGGGAGCCATTCCTGCATAATGAAGATATCTGCGGGTGTACATTAGTCGGTACTTCTTTCACAAATGGATTGAACGTACTTCGAGTGATACCTAATGAAAAAGTGCACCAAACGAGGCCGGAGTGAGTTAGGTAGTCAATTAAATGGATAGATACGAAACTTACGCAAAGGTCGTATCCTCCGTCCCCGGTTCCTTGGATCCGAACCCTGCAGACCCTGCTTCCACAACATTTCTACGTCACGTCAGTCACAACTCGGCTAGTTACCGCCAAGCGAGAAGACCTATAAAGACGGGGCGGTCAGTCCAATATTTCTCATCAGTGCCCACTCACATTCTCTCTCCTCCTCCCCTCTTCTCCTTTCGTCATCAACGTCCGCTCCCCTCTCCTTGTCGGCCTCGTCATTGTCGTCTTCGTTCACCGGTAAGTCTGCTCGTCATCCGTCGTCGCTGATGTTGATGTCGCTTATCGAATTTTCAGGACCTTCCGTCGACGTCAAACGTAACGGAACGCTAGAGGCGAACCAGGTACGTCAACGTCAGTTTCTTCATGAACGACATTGTCTTACCTTTTGCTTGTATTCTTTTTTCGCAGGTTGTTTGTGACGGCGCTAGCGACAACGGTAAGTTTTCGTTAACATGAGTCCTGCACTTGGTCCGTACTTACCACTCGTGCCCCTCAGGTTTCCATCTTCACTTTTTTCCGCCCAGTTTGCATGCAACGTGGACCATCGGTTCGTGACGGATAGCTTGGAGTGGCGGAATACGCGTTGCGAGGTGTGAACGTCGTGTATATGTTGGTTCTGCAAAGGTACGTCAGTTTCGTCCACTTCACCTCGAGTACACAATATGTGCTCACCTGGAAACCTGTACGCAGGCTTATCCGTCGCGTCTCCCGCGTATGACCGCCCCCAGCAGTCGATGAGACTCTAAAAATGGTTCGTTAACGTCTTTCCGCGTTTGAACCACCCACTTACTATTCTCTTGTAGCGTCGACATCGTTTACAATGGCATAGTAACCTACAAAGCGTAATGATTCGTTCAGGAATCCCGATAGAAGACAACTGACCTAAGTTGTGGCTGAAGTTGGATGATGCGCGTTGTGGCTGTGGGAAACGGTGAGCACAACATCAAAGTGTAACGTGTGACAATAGTGGCTTACCCTTCACCACCATCTAGCCGCCGCCAACATCGTCGCCCATTCAACTGGGATTGCCGAACACGAACCTCTCAGCGGCGTATGATGGATGCGACGTCTGCTTCAGAGTCTAGAACGTAGGCTGGTAAGTCGTTGACGATGGATTGAGAGGTTTCGCGAACACTTACCTTGATTTCGCACCATTAGACGTCGACAACCCCACACGTCTCGAACGACTCAATCGCCGAGGGAACATCGCTGAATACGCGGTATAGAGAGGGAGCAGAAAGGTGTGGAAGTGATGGTATGTCTATTCTCTCTACCCTTTTTGTCCCGAACGTCATGTATTGTCTAGGCCATCCCCGCTACTGAGTACCCATGAATCCGACGACCCAAGTCCGCCTGGATCCAAGTGTTCCTATGCCTATGTGAGTAACGACGCATCTCCCTACTGAATGTTGACGCTTACATGTTTGTAACTAGTCGACTACAACACAGTAAGACAGCGAGCGCAACATCGAGACGAAAACTGTTTGCGTACACCATTTGCGATGGATGGGATGGGGGATAGGTTCTGTGAACGTGAGAAGTGCGTTTGTTGGACGTGGAGATGATGTTTCGAGAGGGTGTGAGCGACCACGCCCCTGCGTAAACGACGACGCGTGCCTAGAACCATGTTCACCATTGAAGACAACGCGAAATTCGGAAGCTGGTCGTTTGAGGTGCATCTGGGGGATCAGAAACGAGCGTGACGAGTGGGACGAATCGTCTCAAGGAGACGATTCGGAAGAATAAGGGCTCACGGGTGCTACCATGGTAAGTCCCTTCCTCGCGTTTTGTGTCGTCCTCCCCGCCCATACCCAACCTCGTCCAGGTTGGAACGAACGTATCCGCGCCCCATCCCAACTCCAACCTTCTCGATTCTACCGACGTCGTTAAGGGGGAACTGAAGATATTGCGCCAGCAAAGCGGGAAGCTCGCAACGGGCCTAGGCGACCCAGGTTTCTGCGTAAACGACGACGTTCACCGTATAAGGCGACAGGAAATTCGGAGGCTGGTCATTTGAGGAGTCGAAGGAGGGGTTTAAGGAAGCAAAAGTGCATCTGGGGGATCAGGAATGAGCGTGACGAGTGGAAGGAATCGTCTCCTTGAGACGATTCGGAAGAACAAGGGCTCACAGGTGCTACCAGGGTGAGTCACTTCCTCGCGTGCTTGTGTCTCATCCCCGCTCATGCTTAACCTCGCTCAGGTTGGAATAACAGTGTCCGCGCCCCATCCCAACCCCAACCGTCTCGAATCTACCGACGTCGTTAAGGGGGAATTGAAGACCCCCCCTGTTGCGTGGTGAGTTCGAACAGCGTCTAGGCAACCAACACCCATGACCCATGTTCACGATTGAAGGCGAGGCGAGGTTCGCCATTTGAGGCGTTGAAGGAGGAGTTGACGGAAGGGAAGATACATCCGGGGGGATTGGAAAACGAGCGTGGTAAAGGGGAGGGACGGTATATATATACAAGTTGTGTTATATGCGAGCATGATTTGTGCTCGAAGGGAGTGGTTGTGAATGCTTGTTTATCCGCATGAAACTGAGCTCCGAGGTCGACTCCTGCAAGAAAAGAGAAAAATAAACAACAAGCTTTTCTTGTCGACTTCTTCCGCCATGTATCCTGATTCCTCGGACCTCATGGACGGGAGGCTGACATGTTCGATGGTTCAACGCTACGCACGAGGACTTCTAAATTTAACTTGAGCTAGCGATAAAATGCTGGTTTTTTTCTGTCAGCCACAAGGTCCATCCTACATAAATTTCATCTTCTCGTCGCCTCCTCATTCCCTCGTCTTTATTCACAACCACTCACTTCAAGCACAAACTTACCACACTCTTTACCACGCACACCATGCGCTTCCATAGCATCCTCCCCCTTTTCCTCCTCCCCACTCTTCCTCTCCGATTCACCATCGCCCACCCATCCCCGGTCAAGCGCTTGAACCCCAACAACTCTGCAAACGCCGACTCTCAAGTTCTAAATTTCCTACTAACCCTCGAACATCTCGAACGCGCTTTCTACTTGGCGGCGCCGCAGAAATACTCTGCGCAGGGCTTCGTCACGGCGGGGTACACAATCTCGGACTATGGTCGCTTTAGACAGATGGGCGTGCATGAGGCGAGTCATGTGGAGTTTTTGGAGAGTTCGTTGGCTGCGGCGAGGATGGATAGGGTTCAACCTTGTGTTTACTCTTTGTACGTTTTTTTCCCCTTTCCTTAATTTTTTTTTCGCGTCATTTGTGTTTCGAGATGTGGCTGACACTTTTTTTTGCACTCGTAGCCTGGACAACGACCCCAAATTATTTGTCGCTGCCAGCCTGATGCTCGAGAACGTCGTCGCGTCGGCGTACAACGCTGCCCTCGCTTATATAAAGGACAAGGTTCGTCGCTCAGATCCGTACATTTCGACGCTCTAATTATCACCCTCATTTTATATAGGCATATTTAGCAGCAACAGCCTCTATATTTGGCGTCGAATCGCGGCACGCGAGTTTCGTAAGCGCGGTGCCTCTGGCCTCGAACCCGTGGAACACAGCATACGAGGTAAGCTTTTTCCTTCCTTCCCTTTCCTCCTTTACTCACCCCCCACCCATACAGACGCCTCTCTCAATGAACCAAATACTCACCCTCATATCCCCCTACACACAACAATGTCCAGCCTCCAACGCCGCCCTCCTCCCCGCCTCTCTTCAAGCCTTCCCACAGCTAACCATCGACACGCACCCAACGCCATCCCAATCCATCAACCTCACATTCGCACCACCCGCAAAGCCGCTTAGCGAAGCAGAATCATTATTCGTGGCGTGGATATCTGGGATGGGGGTCGTTGTTACTCAGGTTGAGGGAGAGGGACAGCTGACGACGCAGGTGCCGGCTGATATGGCGGATAGAGGGGCGGTGTATGTGTTGGTCGTACGGGGCTCGAAGGATATGAGTAATTTAAGGATGGATGATGCGAGTACTGAAGCGGGGCCTGCGTTTGTTGTGTTTCCTTTTGGGGGTGATGCGTAGGTGTTATTTGGATTGGGACTTTGATGTATTTTTGTATACGCGTGTAGAGGAATTGAAGTACCTTTGAATTCAAATCACCCACTCCTTGACCTTTTTTCTTTCATGCAGCCGAGAGTTATACTTTTCAAGAATGTATGGTATATGAATACAATAATAGCTACGTGCATAAATTAGTTATCAAAGCGACGGTTTTCAAAGCAAGTTGCAAAGCGAGAGATCATATCTAAGCTCACAATCAATTATCCGGATTTACTGCCACCCGACTCCGGCTTCGTCGATGTAGAGATTTCTTGATACAATTCCGAGTCCGTCATAACATCCGTAAATGTGATGATCGTCCGAGACTGAGTGGATTTAGGCTCCGCCGCGCTCGGGCTGGAGTGTTCTGTATCATCCGGCCGAGAAGAAGACTCTTCGACGTCAGAGGAGTCCTCGGCCTCCGTTGATTGTCCTTCGGGACGCGGACGTCCAAATCGCTTACGCCACGCCTTGTACAACAAAGTCGTCGTGACAAGGAAATTGCATACTATCAAGGAAACCGCCATCTGCACGACATAAGCAACTCGAATCTGATGATGTTAGAAAGGCTCACCTCTAATTGGGAAATCATGGGGGGGATTAGAGCAGCGCTAGGTTTTGACATGAGTCCTGGGTCGAACGAAACTATGCAACAGGCGATAAATAGGAGGAGCATCAGGATGCTTCCCGAAAACGCAACTCGGATAACACGTTTCGAGCGTGAGGGCAGATTGACACGCCATAGAATGACCAAAGGGGTGGCAGTGAGCACGATGTCCGAAAGAATTTGGACTGTATGTGCAATAATCATTCACGTCAGCTCGATCATGGCCAAAGTGGGTAGTGAAATCGAACATACGTATTATCGACACGACACCCCCAACAAAAACTTTTTTTGGCCCTTTTCCGCAGTACTTAGCGGTGACCTTCCACCATGGCACACCGCCCCCTTGACAGGTCACGTTCAGCACAGTTACTGTGATGATGAGGTTGAGTATGAATATTATGGTGAGTGCCGCCGAAATGCGTCGAGCGCGGTGGCCATTGGGGAATATACGCGCGATGGAAAGGGCGAGGCTGACACGTGTTAACCTATAATGGGAGTAAAATGGACCCGATTTTTCAAAGAGGGACAACTTACCACACCGTTGAGAATTGGAAGAGGGAGGTAAAGAAAAAGTTGAGTAATAATCGACCGTCTTGGTAGAGCTTATCGACTGGCGAGAGGAGACGAAGCCTGGGGTCACGAGCGTCCAAGAATCTTGGAGTGGGACTCACAATGGTGCGAATACCCATACCAAAAGTTAATGAATCCCAGTGCATCTAACATGAACACCACAACTACGACATGGTCGTCCCACCACATACGCGAGGTCTTGAACCGGTGATAGACACGGAAGATGGTCACTGAGAGTGCAGTAATTTGAAAGATGGAGATGACAGCTGACGAAAAGATTCTTTAGTATAAGTGGCGTCAGCGTGCAATGGGCAAAAAACTCACCTATCCATGATTTTGAGGGGAGCGTGAATGTCGGGACGGCGGTGGACATTGTCAGACGGAAAGGCAAGTGGGCGTATCTGCCTTGGCTTGACTTGGACCATCAAACCTGCTTAAGTATAAGCACGTCAACGTCTCATGATTGCCCTCTTCAGTATAAGTAAGGACAACGGAGTTTGCCTTTCAAATTGAATAAGGTCAGGGTCCAGAAGTAAAATCTAGGGGTCAGAGCATCTTAGCATGCTGGAGCAATCGGTGTTGCAAGGACATTGGAAAAAAAAAAACTTACCGTTCACTCCACGTATTCAGGTTATATCTCAGGTCTAGAGGAAAAGAAATTACATACCTAGCACATGAGAGAAGAAGTAAACCAAGAGCAACGGTACCGATATCAAATGTCGGAGAATGCCGATGAGGTCCCGAATGAAAGATCAACCGAAGGCACCAATGGTAATTCTGTCCGAATGGGGACTCGGGAGGCTAAAACAGCAACATTCCATGGGCAGGAAAGGCCGCTGAAGTTGCTGACTTTGCTCACTGAAGACTCACTGTATATAACAATGTAAAAATGTGCACAAATCCTTTCTGGATATCCGGGAAGTAAATCTTGGGAGCTGCCGTCGGGAACAAGTCGGAAAATACCTTTGAACATGTGGTTTTGAATTCGCAATTGGTTGCCGTGCAGAAGGTTATGTCGATCTTTATAGGCTTTGATAACGCTTTAGTCAGTTCGCCGGGCTGAAACGCATCTGAAGACTTACCTAATGTTTCGGAATGTCGGGATTCCCTCCCCGGCCTGATTTTGTATGCATATTGTTGAAGACCAAGTTTTGAATTGGGTTAAAGGGTCTCTCCAAATGGAGAATCTCGCACACGCGGTTGGGAGAGTGCGACCGTCGCAATGTGGACATGTTTGTATGAGGTGAATTTGCTTGCAATTCGGATTGAGATCATATTTCGACGGCAACCTGACTCCTGAGAACTCATCATAATTGAGTATATTTTTGACTTCTTGCCCGTTCAAGCTTTCAAGAGTTATGACGTGCGGCAGAGTCAAAATAGATACGAAACAAGACGTTGACAGATCACCGAAGGGTGGTATCAACGCAATGCTGTGTCGATGTGCGCAGTGCTGTTTTTCAATGTACGTCGAAATTCTGAATTCCGCAGGGTTGGGACTGGGAGATGCATTTGTGTTTGAATGGCGCAAACGGGAATGCAGGGTGGTGTCTTGATGGTGAAGGTGAAAGAGGCTTTGCTGTGCAGGGGAAAAACATCCGGGCCGGTTGGCGCCGCAAAATCCAACAAGTTTTTTACCTCATCCCGCCTTCTAAGCACTTTGATTCTTCGGCATTGGCGTCCTTGGCTTCACCTTCACGACTTCCCATCCAAGAAGTTTTCCCAGAATTTCTGAGTGATGATGCAATTCATTATTCAAGTCCATGCTTATTGTCCTTTATCAACTGTGATGCATTGATGTCCAACGTTCTGATGACTTGTTTTTTCAAAGGAACAGTTTCTGAATGGAGACGATCCCTGGTATAAAGCTAAGTTGACATTCACGTCGAACAAAACAAAAAGTACAAAAAAGTACTAACGATTGCAGAACCATCCTTGTCCTGAGCAGAGGAACAGCCGAAAGGAATTACTTACGCGTCTTACGCCAGAAAGAACACCAGAACCAACCCGACCACTATGCAACCCCCAACCCACACCCTACTTCATCCCACCCAACCTACTCCCCCCGCTCTTCGTCATAGGCGCACTTGACTCAAACTCACTAGAGCTTGACGTGATACTTGAACTTGAAACGACACTGGTAGTATGCCCGCCTCGCCTCAAATTATCAGGAAGCGCTTTCACCGCCGCCCAAGCTGTACCACTGCCCGAGGCCGCGTCGTACCCCATCCAGCTGATCACGCCCGAGGAGGAGAGCTGGACGAGAGCGGATGTGGATGCGGCGTATGTCGCTGAGGAGTCTTTGATCGTTGGGCCCGTGAAGGTTTGTGTTGTGTTGATCTGTCCGCAATTATGTTGTGAGACCTGCCACTTCCCAGGGTTTTTGCTGATGCTAACTTGGTATCGTTCTCCCTCGCCGCCCACCCCAACCTTGCCATCTACGCCATTCAATCAGATCAGCATCGACCTCTCCTCACTAGGTCCTATTGGCGTCCAGAGCCTTCATTCACCGACGAAAGATGACCAAGATTTTCATAGTACAGTTACTTGGGCAGGGCAAAGCTACACGAATGGCATGGCGAACAGCACGATCATTGTCGAGAAGCCACTTAGCGATAAAGTCGTCGCAATAGGATCGTATGAGGGGGTGTTGGTGTTTCTTGGTGGATCCGTGAACGGGACTGTCAACGCGAGAACTCAGGCTGTTGGTAACTCTTCATCTTCTTCGTCTACCTCCGCAAAGAGCAATGGTATTCGTGTCGGAGGCGGTCGTGGTACGCAATCTTGTCTTGGTGTACCTTGTTGGGTCTTGCGTTGTGTGTGCTTTGAGTGTTGTCGTTGATTTATTTCGTTCAGTAATTCGTGTATGTCGAGCTTGTAAAAAAAGGCATTGATGACTCCGTTCAATCTATTACTTGTAGTGTCTTGTTCTGAAAAAATAAGATGAATCCGGCGTATATAAAGAAGATAGCGTGCAGGTTCCGTCTACGCCCCCTTCGCCCCCGCCCCTGCCCCCTTCGCCTTTTCCCCCTTAGCTTTCGCTGGAGCCTTTGCTGGAGCCTTTGCTGTAGCCTTTGCTGTAGCCTTCGCCTTAGCCTTTGCTGGAGCCTTCGCCTTAGCCTTTGCTGGAGCCTTCGCCTTAGCCTTTGCTGGAGCCTTCGCCTTAGCCTTCGCCTTCGCCTTCACCTTTGCCTTTGCCTTTGCCTTTGCCTTTGCCTTTGCCTTCCCGCTCTTCACCTCCTCCACCCCCGTGTCCCCCTTGACCGGCGCCGCCGCCTTTCTTGCAGATGTTGAGGTTGCGCTGGGCTTGGTAACCCCAATCTCCCACTGAAGAGAACACCCTGACAATTCTATCAATCAATGGAATATCGGAGGCCAGTTAACTAAACACGTACCGTAAGCATCAGAATGTCGTACAATTTGTTTCGCGAGGAGTGTCCTGACATTGCTGTACGTAGTAGGTTCGAGGTCGGTTAAAGGAACGGTGTATGGCTTAAGATTGATGAATCCCGATTTGAACTGATACCACCAAGCAGGTTGTTTCGGCGGGCTATGGCGCTGGTTGTTCGAGACGAAGTGAAGCCAAGCCTCACCCTCCTTGCGGTCTATGTGGGAGATCACCGCCTTATGCGGCCCAACGTGTGGTGACTACTCAAAATAATCAGTGGTTCCGAGATGAATTAATATCATGGAGAAACCATACCAGTCGCTTCTCCCGTTCTGTTGCGGTTGTCGCGTCGGCAAACCAAAAGCGAACAACATCCCCGACCTGGTGTGACACCTTGGGAGGCTTGCTCATTATCGAGCAGAGGGAGAGACGCATGGCAGAGAAATTGAACATGTTTGCATGGATGAGATAGATGGTGAAGTTTAAAGTCTGAAGTAGAGGAGCGAGGTGAAGGGGGGTTTATATACATAACGTCGAAGGGGTGTCAGCCTCCCAGCGGCTGACAATACATTTTCCGTCAGCCATCCACACTAGAAAAACGAGATGTAAACGACACGAATTCAGCAGAGTGCAGTTGAAGGTATACTTACTACATCTCAGCCTGTATAGCCGAGGCACAAATTGAAAACGAATTAGCAAAATTCATAGATTATGAGCAAAACACTGGCGTAAAAGTATAAAGAGCAAAATGACGTGCGGAGATAGGACGCGACGCGAGCCGAACATCAATCTACCTCCTTGCCCCATCCTGACTTGAACTCACACAAAGTCATTAGTTCTGAGGAACGGCACAGGCATTGATTCATCAGTCAAGTCGGGGTCTAGGGGATAGGTAATTAAACAAAGATAAGAAGAGGAGGGGCCCTGCCAGATATTCCGTCGCGCCTGTTGGGAGAATCACCTTGGGCGGACTCAGTGGCGCCAAGGACTGGGAGGCTATTAGTAAAAGGCAGAGAAAGAGGGGGAGGCTGACTCGAGTCGATTGCAGACTTTGTGCTTCGTTTGGCAGGCGGGGCAGCGCTGGGTTGGGCATCATGAGGAAGCGTTTCGGCGAGGTGGTCTAAGAAATTTTCAGCTGGGAGGATGAAGGGGATGGATGATGGTAACCCTTGATATCGTTCGTCACACTACTCGGGTCCTTAACAGCTTGGGAGACAGTGCCTACGACATCATCAGTAAACAGTGGAGATCGGTGGGGAGAGGACAAACTGACTCTTGACATCGTCCAACTTGATAAGGGGAGAGCCTGCGGAGTAAGTCTGGAACGTGAGAAGGGGAAAAAGAAAAATGGAGGAAGCTGACCAGGGATTGCATGATTATATAGGATTCTGAGGGGCCTTTAGGTTGTTAGAAAATGGTAGAGTAGGAGGAAGGGTAGAAGCAGCTGACTAGCGTCGTCCCGGCTAAATAGTTTGGCGCCTAGCAAGTTGTTAGTCAAAAGCAAGGGAGGCGGAAGCGTGGTGAAGTAGGAAGGAAACTGACTGGAAGTGTCGTCCTGATGGTTGGAGAATGGCGTGTGCGGTATCGTGACCCAAGGCAGTCTTGATGGGACGTGGGAGGTCTTTAGTCAATGGTTGAGGGGAAGAGGTTGGACAGGCTGACCTATGACGTCCTTCGAGACCTAAAGCTTGAGCTTGATACTTGAAGGCCTGAAACGGTGTTATTGAAAGGCAGGGCGAGTTGAAGATTGAGGCTGACCACCGCCCTTGAATGGATGTGCAAGGGGGAGTGGAAGAGGGAGGCTAGCAAGAGGAGGGAGAAAGGTGTGGCAAAGTGCGTGGTTGAGTGTCGTTATAGTTGAAAGCAATGGATAGCAGTAGTGAACACGGAGTGGAATGAGGGAAGTGGTTGACGACGCTGATGTGCTCCATAGCTGGCCGGTTTCGTGTCAGAACCTCTATCGTCGATGTTTGGCAAGAGGATTTGAATCAGACATCACGTGATCGATGTCCATGAGTAAATTTAAAATTACTCACACTGCTATTGATGGGGAGCGGCAACCGTGCCAATAAAATGATGCTGTTTGGTTCTGTTTGTCTCATGCCAAATAGTCGAATTCAGTGGTTGACGACTGTTATTTCACTTTAATCGATACATAGGGACCAATTTACAAGTCTATATTGTTTGTGGTGATATATAATATACTATTATGATTGAATTTGGTAGCCAAGTTCTATATCTGTGTCACTATACATGTCAGATGCATTTTGCTCTGGAATGTAGCCTTCCTATTCACTCCCCACATTGAGTTGAGCTTCAAGCTCCTGCTGGTTTGAGCTTTAGACATTCATATTGTGTTCCGGTTTGGTTCTGGTCTGTTTTCCAAGTTGTCAGAGTGAATGTTGCGAAGGTTTGTCATTGACTGGGAAGTTTGCAACGTCGATCATGACTTCCAGCCCAGTTTCCAAGCCTCTTTGCCCATGATATAAGATACTTGTGGTTTACAAGTCAATATATGCAGAGGTAGCGACGATAACGCGTTGCTGACACTGATAGTTGCGCTTTGGTCGCGCTTCAGTTACTTTCTTTATTGCAACACGTGATCATCAACGTGTCTTACCATGCCATTCCCGCGTCGTGGATTGCTACCTCATCTGTAGAGGTATTCTTTCAAATTTTGGCAGGCACAAACTTCTGGAGTGTAGGATGGATTTGTTCGGGACAGAATTTTATAAAGGGGTTTGGAAGGCTTGAATTAAGATATTAACTAACGGAATATTTGTATTTTTGAGCTAAATTGTATACGAGCACCTTTACTTATGCTCCACCTACAGATATCCACACTTAAATTGGCAATCTACTGTTGTGTCAAAGTAAATACGAGCAGTTGAGACGATCAACCATTTTTTGATCAGGTCTTTGGTGATGGGAAAATACGGCGGAGTTGAAAATTTGGCAGTGGGTTGCTGCTCCCCACTATTGACGTCGGTGAAGATGAGCAAACAAAGCGGCGGCTCTGGCCCACTACATTTGTGCAACACACTCGGTGCAATCGTCAACACTTTTAAGGGGGGAACACTGTGAATGTGTCGAGCTGTGGCCTGAGCCAGCCTGAATGTTCAGGCTGAATGTCGACAAGCCACGTCTGTCGGGACGAGGACGTCCAAACCGCTTGCACCACGCTTTGTACAAGTTCAACAAAATTATCGTGATGAGAAAATTGCATACTATCAAGGAAACTGCCATCTGCACGACATGAGCAACTCGAAGTCTCGAATCTGGAAATGGTGGTGATTAGAGCAGTGCCAGGTTAGCTTGTGTCCACGTCTGAACCAAACTACGTAACAGGCACTGTATGTACAATAATCATTCACGTCAGCTCAATTATGGCAAAAGTGGGTAGCATACTACTGTACTAATATGACTATACTTAGGGCGTGACGCATGACGTATTTCCATCTCTAAGAGGATTTTGCCAAATGGTAACAACCTCATCGATCATCTTTTGCAAATTACTTCCACCACTTCCGCCTCCTTTGGCCTACAGCCAAAAGACTCTACCCTGCTTCCCCGGACCCCAACCTTCCCAAACTACCGGACCTCCGCAATCCTTCGATAAACAATGATGTTTTCCAGTCAAACGTCATCACTGAGCACAAAGGATGTGACCAGCTAATAATTAATAAACCCCTATCGTTCTGACCGTTCGATTTAAATTCATATAATTGAAAGATGCAATCCTCCCTTAACGGATTCCAATCTCATTATATTCATCATTCTTTGACCTCGCTTGCGTTTATCCACTCTCCTCGTGACCGCTGCATCTGCCAGCCCATCCATATATCCTCGCTCGACTCCCTCGACCCATGCCTCATCTCCTTCTCAATCGAAACAGCATTCAATAAGCAATTCCTTGGGAACAAGTCAAACCCAAATGCACTTACCCTCCAGCTCATCTCCAATATCGTCAATAAAACTGGTTCTGTCGCTCTCCGGTGAGTCATCCTTTGAATTTTACAACCGACCGTAGCTCTGACCTACTACCCTTCTTCGCTGGTGAATGTATAGCCCTGGGGGAGCTTCAGTGTAAGTTTTAACGTGTCTCTTCCTTGCCAAACCTGAGTCCCAATCCATACCAGGGATTTCTCAATATTCAATCCTACTCTCACAGGAAGTCAGATTCTTGACCTTTCTCCCGCAGGGAGTGTCTATTGCACAACCTATGGTCCTTCCTTCGTCAACACCATCAACCTCATGCCTCCTTCGACGAAGGTAATTTTGGACCTAAACTTGCTCAATAATTTGTACGAAATTGCCTAAAACCAAGCTGCTGCGGCAGTCCAGTACCTAGGGAGTCAGTTGGACGCTCTGGAGAGTATGTGACTATGGCTTGGTTTGTTATCTTCCGCTCACCCCTGTGAACTGTACAGTCGGAAACGAGCCTGACCTGTATGTTCCCGATAGCCATAATGAACGCGTCAGATTGGGATCCTGAAATTTACACCCAGACTTGGGTTGTAAGTTGCCATTGTTTCGATTCTTGTGATTCCTATGGTGACGGGAATGTGTAGAATTGGTCCGCGAACATCACTATAGGGCTTAACCTTCCCAAGAATTTCTTTCAACCCAGGGGATTCAGTACGTTTCCCTGTATCGATTTTACCTCGGGCAGTACATTTACCTGGTGACTTACTGCACGACCCCACTGTTGTGAATTTCACAACTGTGAAGATAATCGCTGACGGTATCAACAACACATCGACTGTCAAGACTTACTCACAACATGTAAGCAGCACGTTCCCTTATTTATTGAGTCATACTTACTCCATCGCCATTTAGATGTTTAGGTTCGACACTTGCACCCCAGCATGGTCACATACGATAATCTCGTCAATCACCAAAATATCACGAGTCAGTCCATTCTCCCATCATCCGACACTTGAACATTTGCCTTGTTTAGCCTTCATCAACCTTTACCTACCTCAAATCGCCGCAGCCCAGAACGCTGGGTCCAACCTGGTAGTCGGTATGTTGTGATGGCAGAATATGACCTCTGAAAGTGAGTTAAATAATGATAGGCGAATTCAACTCTGTTGGCTGCTTTGGAAAACAACCAATAACTTTGGTCAGGTGTTGTGGTATGTGATGTCATTCATATCCGGTCTTTGCAACTTAACGACTCTCAACTTTAGGTCCGCGGACTCCTTCTTGTACTCAGCGTCGGTAAATATCACTCGGATGTACACACACCAAGGCAACCTTCCTCTCGCTTGAATGATTGCCTTGGGCTGACTCGTTTCTCATAGGAGCTACCCTTCTCAGCCAGTTCTCTGTCCACCTCAACACCCCAGGTTTCAGCTGGTACCCCATTTCTTTTCCAGACATCATACTGCAGCTGACGGATCTCCAGGTACAACTTCGTCTATCCCTCCAATTCCGCTCGGAACGGCCCCCGGCCACCCGGGCCACTCCATCCTACCCTGGCCTTCTCCTCATGGCTGAAGCCATGGGTACCTCCACCAACACCACCAGGATCACCTCGTTCCCCCTCGCTTCCCACCCCAGCCTTGCCCTCTACGCCATCTGGGATACTTCTGTCCGCATTGATGCCCCCGCCCGCATTGCTGTCCTCAATTTGAGCCCCGAATCAGATCTCAGTATCGACCTCTCCTCCTTAGGTCTTACCGGCATGAAGAGACTTCATTCCCCGACGAACGATAACCAAGATTCTAACACTGTCATTTGGGCGGGGCAAGGCTACACGAATGGCACGGCGAATGGCAAGGTCGTCGTCGAGAAGCCGCTTAGCGATGGAAGCGTCGCGATAGGATCATATGAGGAGGTGTTGGTGTTTCTTGGTGGATCTGTCAACGGGACCGTCAATGCGACACCTATTGGTAACTCTTCGTCTTCTACGTCTACCTCAGTGAAGAGCATTGGTACTCGGTTCGGAGGGCGGTCGTGGTACGCGATCACGTCTTGGTGTTCCTTGTTGGGTTTTGCGTTGTTTGTGCTTTGGGGGTGTTGATTTATTTATTCGTGAATGTCGAGCTTGTGAAGAAAAGGCATTCAATTTATTCGGAGTATCACTCCTAGAGTCTTGCTCTCTCTTGCTGCGTAGACAGGTGACCATCAATCATCCCTGATCTTCGAGGCTCTCTCGATAAACCCCACCTCAACAAAGGAATCATGGGGGGGGGAGGCCCAGGAGGGGCATGTGCTCACAGATCGACGGATGTGTTACCCGAGCCGGTACATTTTCCCCTTTTTTTTCTTTATTAACATCTGGTTATCGTACAAATTTGAACTAGTGTTCCAAAGAAAAACACGCAACAAGAGTTGCCCGAGAATTAGCAAAAGCACATCCACCCTGATGCAGATGATATCGTCAGTTCAAGAAATCATGAGTTGAGGTTAACAAACCGGAGATGACAACTGTGCAAAAAGGGTTCGTTTTTAACAAGTGGATTGCGGGTGATTGGGTATATCTTACGGGCTTCCAGCCGAGTCTATTGCCATGTAGCATGGGCATTCTTAAAATGTTGTCAAAGGATTATATTTCGAATGGAGCCATGTGTAAGGTCTGTGTCCTTACTACTCCACCCATCTGAAAAATCTCCCCAACAGTTCGATCGTGCCACGCGGGATCAGGGCTCTTCCTGGCTCTTCCAATCTACTGCAAACTTCAACAAAGTCATGAAATACTAGGGTTGATGGACCACTCCTGAGCCTGGGAGTATAACACACCTGGCGGGCATCCAGGGAGTAGTTTAGGAGTAGTTTGATTTGTTTCGAAAAACCTGGAGCAGGCTGAGGTAACGCAGAAATCTTGGGCTGTGATGTGCTGGCAGTCTTCTCCGATTGGTATACAATCGCTATCGGTTCATCTTCCTTAATTCCGGGATAACGAGCAGAAGAAAGTGGTAAAGCATCAGCATCATTCATAATAGTCTCCCCGAGGCCCGCAATCATCCTCCGAGAATATTTGAACAGCTTGGTTCCGAGAAGCCTCTCAGGCTGCCCTTAAAGGAGGCAGGACCTTAAAGAAGAAACAATGTGAGGTGGACTCGGAGGGATGGAGAGAGTATCGAGGCGACCCAAAGAGAGGTCGACCTTATTGAAGGATGTTTTCGAAGCAACTTTCACCATCTTGATCATTGATGTGATGATAGACTAAAGGTCGACGATGGATAACACCAATATTTGTTAAATAAATAGGAAGGCGCACTGTAGCGTGGTTCATCACTTCATTCAGGTAGTGTTCTCGGGTCCAGCGTACTCGCCACCGTTGAACATTTCTCAACTGCCGACACCTCAATCATCAGGGCCATTGGATCAGTTTCAGATGAATGTAGTTGTCGGGGAACCTCCGGAGTAACTGTTGAGAGTGTATATAGCGCAGTGGTAGTAGGGGATAAAGATAATTAAAAATGTCAAGGGCAGCTTTGTCGCCCTTATATACTACAAAATGTAATTACTAGAATATACTACGAACTACTAGATATATTCCTCGGGCTTAGTAATCAATCTGGATTTATCTACAAAATCCTCGAGGTATGTGGAATACTTGACCATATTCCAGGGTATTATTCCAACAGTAACATTGAATTATCAGAACTCACAGGGCCATAAAGATGCCCCACAAAATATATTGTATGAAAGTACTGTGATATCCACATCAACGAAGAGTCGAGCAGATTGCGATCTTTCTGAAGGTATGTTGATTCTCAAGCTCTGGTGTCATGTCTGGAACAGTCAACAGTTTTTCAAATTTTTCAAAAAATCCCCATCTGAGAAGTGGTGTACTTTACACTGACTACACATGTAAGATGGCAGATCAAGAGCAAGAGTTGTTTGATTTTGACAGATTTATTTTCAATTTTGGATATATCTACTGTAACACAGCTCAGATCTTGTTATAAGCACAATCCTTTTTAAGGCTGAGGTCAAGACCATGTTGGGATATATAAACAACATATCTGTAGCTCATGTATCAGCATTTTATGGGGTGTAACACTTTATTTTTACCTATTAATTCCTTTTTTTTTTGTTGCCTGTGGCATGGCAACATGCCATTAAGAAGGAGAAGTGCTAGAGTGCTTCCACACACTCTAAAGCATTCTATTAGCATTGAACATATTTTAATGACCAGTAGAACTGATTTGTATGCTCAAAAAACCACAATTTTCTTTCCTACGGCTCAGAAATGCATTCCGGGTCCCAGTTATTGTATACAACAGTTTACGACATGTAGATTGAGTTACTAGAATATTTTTCTGGCCTGCGGCGCATAGCATGATGAGAAAAGCAAAGAGAAAAGGTGACCTGCCTATTTGGGCGTTAATCCCAATTGGGTGTTAATATTTCTCAGGCTCCAAAATGGGTGTTAACTACATTACAGTGAATTCAGACATTTTTGCTACCAAATTTTAATGACCACATGAGTAGAAGTAAGCATAGAACACATCTATTTTTTTTCTCAGCCTGCGGCGCAAACTGTAGCTTTGTGGATGAGTGGAACGGTCGTGTGTCCAAGGCTGCCTGCCTGTTTGGGTGTTAACTTTGATGGCAATCCCAATCGGTAGACTCGAACCCAGTCTCCGATGGTAGTAATTCGCTATGTTTGATTTGAGTAAGAGAACGTAGTGTTGAATTCGAAAAAATGGGGAAGTTCTGTATTTGGAATGTGTGAGCGGGTAATTACTACCATGGAGACTGGTAGGACTTCATCACGACCAAGGAGAGAACTTTTTCAAACCCCGACATCACCTGTAAAAGGAAAGAAATCCGCACGTGCGCATGCACGCGCACCCATTAACGGCGAACGCGTTCGCGTCGCGTACACGCCGGATGCTAGTATATTGACCACAAACATATAAAATGAGCTTAAGAAGTCCTCAAATGGTTCAGGCATAGGATAATTTAATTTATGTACAACGGTACACCTCCGTCATTTGTATATCTTCAGTATTATTCATCACCTGAGACCCCAATTCAATCGGTGACTCCTAATCCCTCTCCCTATCTATTCACGCCTCAACATGGTTTCCCTCTCGAAGGTTCGTTCCTACAAACCAGAAGAAATAGATATTGGGAAGCTGGTGGAGAATGCAAACCAGATTTTCCACAAGCAACCATTTGAATGGCAACTTGATGTTCCACGCGCGGTTCTATGTGGGGAACTCGACCCCGAAAAGGGGGATGAGGGTGGCTGTCGTCCCGTTGTCAAAATGTGCCTTCGAATCATGACGTTGTTCCGTCACATTGAAGGCGATGTTCAGATTATCCCAGATAATCATCACAGCCTGGGTATGTGAAACGGTGTGCATTTCCTCAAGACGCTCTGCCCCGAGCTGCTTGAGTTTAGCAACAGCCTGCGTATAGGAAAGGGTGAGACCGGCGTGGTTGAGAACGTCGAAAAGTGACCGTGACGCGCCGCATGCGAGAAAATACATGCACGTCGTCGTTTGGAACTCGGACGCGTGGTCATTGCGTGACTTGACGAGCATGCAAATTGTAGTTGCCACTATCTACAATCATAAGTTAATAAGAGTTCATACAAATTGACCTTTTAGCGAGAACTCACCAGGTTGCGGTCCTTATGTACTGAAGTGGACTCGTGTGATCCACTGACCCGCTGTAAAAGGTCGTATAGTGTCGGGGCAAGAACCTGTGTTTGTGCAAGAACCCGCTGCAGTGAGAACCTCGCGAGAATGTCCGTAATCGGAGCACCCTGGCCAGGTTGGAACTCCCTAACGAGGACCTTCCACTCGGATTCGATACGTTCAGCGGTAGTACTCAGGGCCCAATCGATGGCCATATCTGGATGGCATGCGTGAATAGAGTCGAGGAGTTCGGATCCGTGAGACTTGAGCGGAAAGGACGGGGTCTCTGGTATGGAAGAGGGTGCGTAGGTAGTCATGCAAGGATTTGAAACCTGCACCTCGGATACTCTGCCAAACCACTCTCAGCTGCTCAACATCAAGCTCCTCCTTCTTCCTAGCCACCAACTCTTCCTTCTCCCTCGCTTGCGTTAGCCGTTGGGCTTCGCGATCTCGTTGAATGTTCTGTATTTCTTGAGAGGTAAACTGGCGGGCGTTCTTGGCAGAAAGACGCGGTTTTTTGGGTGCGAAGCCATCGACAAATGTAAAGGAACGGTTCTGTGGAGTAGCTGGTAGGTTCTCGTCGTGAGCGCGCTTGCTTCCGCTCATAGAAATCGAGGTGGAGAGGTGCTCAACGGACGCGCCTCGATCATCAACGAAAGCACGTGTCGTAAATTTCCTCTTTGAGGTGATGTCGGAGCTTGAAAAAGTTCTCTGTCACGTACTGATAAAGTCCTTCCAGACGTTATGGTATATAATTACACCCCAATAGTGTACATATCCATAACGGCTGGTATCGAGACTACCCAATCGGGTGTTAAATTTTGATTGTTCCCAAACGGGTGTTAAATAACGCCTAATCGGGTGTTATTTTGTTCCAGACATGGCTCCAGAGCCCACACTCAAACGGGGGCGATGATTTATATCATTACAAATCGATTATCATTTGTAATACTAAGTAAGGTCTGTATAAGACTAGGTGATGATGTCATTGCTCCAAAAACTCGTGTGCGTTGTTTGCCAATTGTTTACCCACCACCTGAAACCTTCCCTTCATCAACGTATAACATGAGCTTGGGTCGACCTTTTTCCCATTTCCGAAGAAACATCTGCTCTTCATCAATTCTCAAAGCGAGAAGGTCCATGAAACCCACTCCTTTGCCCTTCCCTCATAACACCTTCAGAGGAGAGGATACAGATTTGGAGGCGGGCACACTCCACTTCGATGTGGAGCGGTCTTCTTTCGCAGATAACGATCTTCCTCGGCGCCTGCGTTTGGCCTCCGATGTTAATGTTAAATCCTTGATTTTGTCTTCCAAACTGTTCAATTTCGTTGCTGCGGATTGGGATGAACTACCGACGGAGTTGCAGAACGCCTTACAGCATGTCATCCGCCACCCTACCTTGGAAAAGCTCGCCATCTCAAATTTCAAGAACTTACCAGTCTCTTTACTAAGTGCCGCCAGCTTCTCAACGCTATCCATACACCACGCCAAATTCCGTAGAAGCAAGTTCCGCGAGCGCAAAAACACTCCCTCTGATATCGTAACTTGCATCAAGTCCTTCGACTTTCGCCTTACCCCTCTTTCCAGCATTCGGGCCCTCGTACGCGACAGAATCTCCACGGATTCCCTCGCCATAGACTTTTCAAGTCTACATTCACTCACTGGCATGAAACTGCACCTTGCGGATGAGATTGCCGCATTCAAAGAAGTGGTGAAGGTCTCACCAAACTTGAAAATTCTTCATTGTGAAGGTAAATTCTAATCTATCATGGAAGTCATTCTCAACCTGATGTTTATTCCAGTCAAAGGAGAGGTCCCCTCGTCTTTGGCGGCGTGCCGCTCATTGAAAACCTTGGTATTACTCTTCCACATTGAGGACGAATTACAGGATCCACTGCTTAGTCTTCCAGATGTGCTATCCGAGATGTCGGGAGACAACGTACTTGTTGAAGAACTATTAATGAACGTTCACGTCCTGGACCATCGATCTTGCCGAACCGATGCGATGTGGTGGAGACTTGATGATATCCTATCACAGTCCGCCTTTCATTCCCTTCGCCGTGTATCCCTCAAAATCATTGTTTGGGTTGACGATGATTTAGGTTTCTCCGCTGAGGAACTTGAGGAAAAACGTCAGCGGGAGGCATTGAAAGAGGAGCTAGAGAAAATTGGACCTTCACAATTCACCTGGCTTTCGAGTAATGTGAAGTTTGAATTCTCTGTGTCAGCAGTTACATATCTCCAGAGCGAGACCGACCCAGAAATACGAAGATACTTGCAGTCAGATATTTTGTGAAATGCAATACATGCTCGCAATATTTATCACGATGTCGTATTTTCGAAGCATAGATCCGAAGAAATCATGCAACACACACAGACGAGGATCACGACCCATAGGCTAAGCAGCGACACACCAGGGAATCCTGTGTTGAAGTCTTTTCTCGGACGCTGAGCGACGGCACCAATGAATACCTTAAATCAGCACTGATTGCAAGCTTGCGCCCGAACGATTGGAAAAAAATACCAGTTCGCCCATTTCGAGTCCAAGGAAAGACAATGGAAAGCATTTATTCAAACCCACGCTCGCCCGACAAGTTGGAAACGTCAATGGAAAAAAATGAGTTAGTCTCAAAAGACCTTGTTGCATTCGTGGTTCTCTCTGATAAAAAATTCTGCCTTGCGGTTCTTCAAACAACTGGGTTTCATTTCAAGAACGAGAAGACTTTGAAAATGAGTATGGACCTGGACAATATTACTAACGGACGAGGTGATTATCAGGTCAATGGACAGATCATTGAACTCTCACCTGCCCCATGTGGGAGCGGTTGGTGGGATTGGACCAAACACTATGTCCACCTCGATGTTAGCTTACGCATGGCACGGTTGACGCACAAACATTTTGTTATCGAAGTACCCGCTTCTTTGGTTTTCCCCGTCGCTGCGGTGCCTGCCCGAACGAGTATGCCGTCACTAGATGACACTCAGGCTGACCTGGACGTAGATTCGACGTGGAGGCAACGTGGAGGATAAAGCAAGCTGACCTGGATAGCGTCTTGAAAACAGCATGGAACTCATTAAACGGAGAGGGTGAGGACATTTTGGGCAACTTACCACTTATTCGCAAGATAATCAATCCACATGTGATTCCCTATCGAGATCAGTCAGGTGCGTTTATATTTCACGGAGATCTTAGGATATTTTGATGCTAAATACTGAGCAGGAAAGCCTTCGTTTGTTGTCGAAAACCTGCTGGCTCACCTCCAGGTCCACGAAAAGAAGTCTGGCGCAACCGACGTCAATTGTGAGCTTTGTGGAGAGAAAACGACGATTAGCAAAATGCGTGTTCACGTCGGAAAGCACATACTATACAGTATGCGGCGGCGACCAGATGTTGAATTGAAATCGGTTGGCACATTTCAACCCGCAACTTAAAGAACTAGGCTGAACTAAAAAAAAAATACAGATGGGCGCTTCACCTTGTGGGTTTTGCGGTCTTGACTCGGGTTGTCAAACACAACTCACCTTCAAGAAAAATGGCGTGGCCGTGATTAAATCAACTTGCCCATTTCACTACGAAAAGATGCAGTACAAGGCTGCTCTCGAACCCACAAAAGCCAGCCCATGCACGAATATTCCCATTCATTGCCGGTTGTGTGCTCCTCTTAAAGTCTCAGGTTAATTGCGGACGATCTGGAAGTACAACACAATTTACCATCTGCTCAGCGAGCACTCACAAGACATGAATGTCCAAGAATCTCAGGCCTTACCAAAAATCCCCGGTCAGATGGTCGTTGATATGTTTGTATCGTCGGTGGAAGAGGCTTTGATGTGAAGATTCCACCAGCGGCGACAAAAGCATACAGAGAAGAATATGGCCTTCAAAACAGCGACGGGGTAGAAGAATTGAAAGAGGATATAAAGAGAGAAAGGGCTTCAACGATAACGGTTGTTGAGCCTTCAGGAAAGAGGAGACGACAATAGATTAAATGTATCTACGTTGAACTCATCGATAAGATTGGTGTGACCGAATGTGACTGGTATGACAGTCCGCACGGGATTCTCACGACCTCATGGGGGGGGTTGATATGAGCGGATGCTCGGTTGGTCGCCCCGTGACGATACCATCTCGACGATGTCATTGCGTAGAGCCACATCGGATATTTATTTATTATGGACTATGTAAAGTGCTTTTCTCAGAACGGTAAGCATGGTGGTATACTGCGGCATTGGAAGCGTAATATTCGGGTCTTCACTTCATTAGCACTGGCAGATTTATCATCATGGTTGTGACGAATTACTCAAAAACCGCGACGATTGAAGAACAAAAGAGAAAAAAACGAAGCTTACATCGGACTTTTTGAAGAAGCTCGCTGTACGGACGAGCATCGTTGGAAACCTAGTTCCGGCGTACAATTGAGGATCTGGTCGCATGAACGCGTCTGTTCGCTTTTTTATCAGAGGTGTTTGACGACGAAAAAAGAAAAAGAGAAGAGGTAGTAGGGCAACGTACAGTCACACATGACGAAGATCTTGGCTTCACCAGCTGAAATCCCAGGAACACCCAAAATGTGGATATGGTTCTGCGCGAGGGCCATAACGATCTGGTACGAGTCCATAGATTGCCCAGAATTAAAGTCGGGTGTTTGAACGTCGATCCAAGGGATGGCTTTGGGTGAGGCGGATTTGAGGAGAGCCATGTCGAGGGCGAAAAAGCTCCTTGTTGGAATAGGCATCTAGGAATGACGTTCGTTTAAAATTATGGAGACATAAAAAACTTGTTCTCACAAAAGACATTAGTGTCGTGATCGAGGATGGCACCTACGTTGGTGGGGTCAAATTGAGGGTTACCTCCAGAAACGCGCTTTGTCGTCGTGTTTTGAGCAGACCAGGATTTTGCGGTGGCGTCGTAGATGTAAATGGTGAAGGGGTTCTTAGAATCGCCGTTGATAACATATATGGCGTTTGTATACTGCCCTTCAAAGTCACTACGGGCGCATCTCCGATAGACTGTCAGCGAAATACATACCTGAGAAAGAAAACATTGGACGCTCACTTGATCAAACGGACTAGAGAGGTGGTCAGCCGCAAAGGACAAACGAAGGAGCAAGAAATTCAAAACCAGAGACCCACGGCCGACCATTCGTCGTGATGTCCTTCGCACTCCCCGACGTCCCCCAAGACTCCTGTCTTCCGGCGTTGTAATCTCTCCCGCGGAAACCAAAGGCGAACAAGTTCCAGTAGATGTCGAAAGCGATACATTGGGGACCGGCGTCTGACGCGATTAACAGGCTGGTCGCGAGGACGGTGAGGGTAACGGAGAGCCAATGGATTGTAGAAAAAAGAGTGTCGAGTAAGGAGCGACTGTGTGATATTGACGATAGAGTGCCTACGCACTGATTGTGTGTGTTAGAGTAGTGGGGGAGCGAGATAAAAATGAGAAGACAAGAAGCGTTAACCTCCCTCCAGAAACATTGTTGATCGGCCTAGAATAGAATTAGCGCGCTCGAAAGATGATATGCAAACGACACACCGTGATGGTAACCAAGCAAGCATGGATTGGACGGAGTGGAGAGAAAGGCATGATCACTCGACATCTTAGCCCGCATGTTTGGAGTGGAATCGAGGCATAAATGCAAATCGAATAAAGAATTTCATAAATTATAAGCGAAGGATTGGCGTAAAGGGTATTAAAAGCAAAAAAGACGTGCGCGAACCAAACATCAAAACTCTACCTCCCCGCCCCATCCAGACCTGATCCAACACAAAGGTCAGTAGTTCTAAGCGGGCACGATTGAATTTTTGACATCTTTCACTTTCTGGAGATATTCGTCAGGGAAGTCGGAGTCTAGGGGATAATTGAATAAAAATAGCAGAGGAAGAAAAGCAAAAATTCCTACCAGATGTTCCGTCTCGCCTGTTGGGAGAATCGCCTTGGTCGGGGCGAGCGCCGCCAACGACTAGGAGGCTCTTAGTTAGTAAAAGACAGAGAAAGAAGAGGGATAGGGAGGGCTGACTTTGATGGAGTAGAGACTTTATGTTTCTCTTGCTGGCAGGCGGGGCAGCGCTGGGTTTGGGTTCATGAGGAATCGCATCGGAAACGTGTTCTACGAAAAAATTTCAGTTGAAATTGCCGAGGAGGATGAAGGCGGATGGAAGATGCTGACCCTTTATGACGTTCGGCGCGTTAGTTGGGTCCTTAGTAACCTGGGAGACAGCGTCTACAGTGTCGTCAGTAGACAGTGGAGATGGGGCGGAGGATAAACTGACCTTTGATATCCTCGGGCTTGATGGGAGCGTCTTTAGGTAGTGGGACTGGAAGGTCATCAGTTTACGAGGGGTAGAAAAATGGGGGAAGCTGACCAGGGGTGTCGTCTCGCACGATGTTCTGAAGGGCCCTGGGTGTGTGCGCTGGGAAGTTGTTAGTCAAAGATACGGAAAGAGAAGAGGGTGTGCTGACAAGTAGCTTCGTCCGCCGCGTCATGCAACCCCTTACTGATGCTGGCTTCTAACGAGGTCGTTAGAAAACGGTAGAGCAGGAGGAAGGGTAGGAGCAGCTACCAGCGTCGTCCCGGCCAAATAGTTCATCGCCTAGAAAGTTGTTAGTCAAAAGCAAGAGGGAGGCGAGATGGTGAAGCGAAAAGAGACTGACTGGAAGTGTCGCCCCGTTGGTTGGGGGGTACAGCGATGGGTGCGTGACTAGCGATATCGGTGACGACATCTAGGAGGTTGTTAGTCAATCGTCAAGGAGGGACAGGTATAGGAAGCTGACTTGTGACGTCTTCTACGTTTGGGGAGGGAGGACTATCACGTCCGTCGAGGCCTAAAAAGTTGTTATTAGAAGGCAGGGTAAGATAAAGATTGAGAATGACCATTGTCGTTGAATGGATGGGCAAGGGCGAGTGGAAGAGAGATGGCTAGCAAGAGGAGGGAGGAAAGTGTGGCAAAGTGCATGGTTGAGCGTCGTTCAAGTAGAAAGTGGTGGATAGAGGTAATGAACGTGGAGTGGAATGAGGGAATTGAACGAAGACGAGGGGTTTAAATAGGGATGGGAGGTGGCTGGCATGGTGGTCGTTCCGCTCCATACATCGCCGGTTTAGCGTCGAGATCTTGATAATGTCAGCCTCCCGTAGACGTATCGCCAATTATTCGCGTTGGAACCTGGAAAACAAGTCAGCCTCTCCGTTCAACATCGACGATCACTTGATGTGCGGAAAATTGACGATTGTTTGTTGGTTGTTTGGCAACAGGATTTTGGGCAAAGTCCCATCAAACAAAAAAAAGAAAGCCGTACAGTACCACTCTGAGGCAGTCGCCTATTGAAACAGTTGAGGGAAACATACTGTGCCCTACCAGCACCTCGGCGCACCCGTCATGGTGCGTTGCTCCTCGTCTTGTCCTCGTCTCTACCAGAACTCACCAAATGCAGGGCGACACCGACGACGCTCCTTGGACAATCCACAAATTGAAGTGGGTGTACTATAATATTCCTTAGGTATTCATATTTATGCAGAATGCCATCTTTCCGAAGTCAGATTCTCTCAACACAACTCCAACAAAAAACTCACTGACTGAGACAGGACTCCGCTTGAAAATGAAACTCGGGATGCGTTGCTTACGTTTCCTTCCTTCTTTGGTTGACACAGGCTTACCACCGCCTGAAACCTTCCCGAACAACGTACAACATGAACGCGTGTCGACCTTTTTTCCGTCTTCAAAGAAACGTCTGCTCTTCATCGATTCGATTCAAAGCAAGAAGATCCAAGAAAACCACTACTCTGCCTATCTCTCATGAAACATTCAGAGGAGAGGAAACAGATTTGGAGGCGGGCACATTCCACTACAGTGTGGAGCAGTCTTCTTTCACGGATAACGACCTTCCTCGACGCCTGCGTCTGGCCTCCAACGTTAACGTTAAATCCTTGATATTGGGTTCGAGTCTGTACAATTTCGCTGCTGAGGATTGGGACGAACTACCAACGGAGTTGCAGGCCGCCTTACAGCACGTCATCCGCCTCCCTACCTTGGAACATCTCGACATTCGAAATTTCAAGAACGTACCACCCTCTTTATTAAGCGCTGCTACCTTCTCAAGTTTATTCATAAAGCATACCAAATTCCGCAAAAGCAAGCCCCACGAGCGCAAAAGTACCCCCCCTGATACCGTAACCCGCTTAAAGTCATTCAGCTATAACAACATCTCACCTTCCAGCATCCGGGCCCTCGTACGCGGCAGAATATTTACGGATTCATTTGCCATAGACTTTTCAAGTCTACAGTCACTCAGCGTAAGCCTGCACGATGCGGATGAGGTTGCCGCATCCAAAGAGGTGATGAATGTCTCACCTAACTTAAATTACCTTCTTTGCTCAGGTAAGTTCTATTCTACCACCAAAGTCATTCTTGACTGAATGTTCAATCCAGTCGGCCCAAAAAATTCCCTAGGAGAGGTCTCCTCGTCTTTGGCATCGTGTCGCTCATTGAAAACATTAGTACTTTTCTTCGAAGTCGGGGATGAACTACAGGATCCACTGCTAGGTCTGCCAGACGCACTATCCGAGATGTCGGGAGACAACGTACTTGAAGAACTGCTAATAAACGCCCATGTCCAGAGCATCAACTCTTGCCGAACCGATGCAATGTGGGGGAGACTGGATGATGTCCTATCGCGGTCTGCCTTTCATACTCTTCGCCGTGTATCCCTCAAAATTATCCTTTGGATCAACGATATATGTTTCTTCGACGACGAACTTGAGGAACGTCGAGTAGGGGAACGCCACCGGAAGGTGTTGAAGGGGGAACTGGAGAAAATCAGAGCTTCACAATTCTCCTGGCTTTCGAATGCACGTAACGTGAAGTTTGAATTCGCTGTGAGAATAATTTCGCATGGTCAAAGGGATGTCGATCCAGAAATTCAACGATACTTGCAATCGGATGTTTTGTGAAATACAGTAGAATTGCAATCTGTATTCTGAATATTACAATGTCGAAGCGTAGACCTGAAGGTATCATGCCTGTCAAATGTGTGGAACACGGAATCGTAGGCCGACAGCTCACCTCAATATCACCGTTGCTTGGCCAGCCTACCCACCATTAAACAAAACTTCGCTTCTTCTCCATTTTGATCATCACAGGCCGTAACCGGTGTTTTACTGCAGTACGTGATCATGGTTAGCTCCTATCCTCCTTCGATTTTGATTGATAACCTCTCACAACAATATTACCTTCAAGCGGAAACCGAGTGGTTATGGCGCGCAGGGTCTTCGGAGCCATTTACCAATGGAGGAACAGAATGAGGAGGCGGCAAACCGACCGTGGACGTCGCTCCACTTGGCGGTGGTGAGCTGGTGGCGGGTGGACAATCGGGATGTGAGTAATCGTTGATACACATTGCACGGGGATGACCGTGAAAGTGCGAAACACGCAAACAAGGATCAAGCGCGTCGGGAAAACCCTAAACACCTAAACACTCACTCACACACACACACTATCACAATCTCAGTGCACGAGTTCGAGGGCCTTTGGTATTGAGAAATACCACTTTTGTCTTCTTAGGTTAAGTCTCAAGAGATTTCGTTCAAAATGGGTTTTTATTATAAAGTGTGGTTTAGAATAATTCAATAGAACAAAGTATGTCTTTTCTGGGAACTTGGTCTCTTAACAAGGGGGTGCCAGCATTGAAAAAAAAGACCCGGGGTCGATTTTTTTTTTAAGGTGACCTTGAGGTGGACTAACTAACTAACGTAATCAGGAACATGTCTATATATAGTAATATGACATCATTTGTGAGTGCTCTCCCCACGTTTTGCACAAGTTGTGCAGGCACCATTCCGGGGTGCTTGCACATGTTCCACACTTTTAGATGGAACTAGGCATATAACGTGAGTTGGAAAATCACTCAGTTCTCATAATACAATGTACTTACCCAGTGTTTCTTGCACACCTTGTTTGCATATGAGAATTTGATGAGGATACATGGCTACCACAATCTGGACAGATTGCGAAGCCCTCCACATCAAGAACAGCTGGCTCTGTCTCAATGGTGTGATACATAGAATGAAACCAATGTTAGACATACTGTAGATTTTAGGATATTGTTGGTCAACAGTAATTCAAGTAATGTCAAAAAAATGCCCAAATATGGCAGGAATTGATGAATATCTTATATCATGGTGCTTGATGGCCTCTATTGGAGCTGTATTCCTCCCAGTACATTCTGTAGTTACTATATTATGCTGCAAAGTACTCAACTTAATGATTGAAGGCCCTCTGCCCAAGGTGTCCTTTTTTTTTTTTTCACAGCCTGTGGCTGGACTAACTAACTGGGTCCCGGTACGGGATTCCCGGGCCGGCACCCCCTTGTCTCTTAAATGCAAAGTTCTTTGATCACAGTTTCTCTTATTAACACAAAACACAACTTCAATTGACTTTTATGACTCCTGTGAGTTTTTATTATGTCACTACGCTCCAAAACTAAGGGTATGAGTACGCTGTCTTGTCTAAATGACACTGTGTTCTTAAAACCTCTTATTCAAAAGTCTCCAAGTAAGTTGACTCCCAAGCATGCTGGCTTCGTTCACACTGTACTTATCTGACCACGAAGAAATCTCCTTTAATTGATTACAACTGTCCACCTCCTAAGTTCCTACTTGGAGTGCAACTAGCTGGTCAATGGGGGGGGCGATTGCTTGCCTTTTGACCTGCCAGCATGCTCCTTATATACTCCAGGAACCCCTATCTATGTTTTACATGTGTTTTAATGCAGGATACTTCGGTCCGAATTACAAATATGAATTTTAAAGAACGTGTGGTATATTTTGTAGTCTATCTCTGTGAACACTACAGATTTTGCATCTTTCATTTTCAAACGCATCAGTGTTTGATGTGTATGCAGAGTTAGCCGATGTAGCTATTCTTAGCCTGGCATGATCTCGCGTGTTTCTTTCTATGGCCCGGTTTACCGGTTTGACAGATGACATCACAAAATGATTAATGTTTCCTGATGTGTTGATGCGCATGTGTACGTATTTACCAATACTATGTTTGTTCAGGTGTTTGAAACTTTTTCATCGCTGCGTGATTTCTGCCTCACCACTTCATTGAATTCTTTAAATTTTTAACAAGCCAATAATCTTTTTTCTCTTCTATATGAATATCTACTTTTTTTTGGTATAAATGTGTTGTGTTCGCTGTCAGAGGCGTTCTGGTGCTCAGGGTTCAGATATATCAGGAGATTGAAACTCATGTCACACTAGGTAACAACGAATTCCTGCTACATCAGTAGTGGGTCTTCTGTAGCAGCGTCGATTGGCCAAAAAATCACGTGCCAAAATTTCCCATCACATTTTCATCCACTCGACGTGAAAGCCTATGGAAAGGTCATGTTTTCTTCCTGTTACAGTGTTAGAAAGACATGTTTTCTGGCCTCTCACGTTTTCTACATAACCTCTTCGCGGTCGTCGAACAAAAGGTCACGTATCGTCTCTACATCGTGTTGACTACAAGACTGATTTCATGCACAAGACTCGTTGGAAGGATGGATTTGATTTCCAAACGGCGCCAGAAACGAGTTTAAGGCTTGCATTTTTGGAGAAATTCAACGCGCCACAGTTGGGACTAAACACAGCGCTTGCGGCTCGCATTTTATTGGTGAAGGAACTGTAAGCAGTTGAATATTGTTGTCTACAAATCTGACTAAAATTGTCAACAGCTGAACTATATTACTGATGACACCAAAGTCAAGAATCTGTTCATGACCGGAATCCCCATGCTGTGCTCGGTTGAACTCCGAGACCGGTACAACAACCAATTCGTTGCAATCAATGAGATCGTGGAGGCTGATAGAGTCAATGATGAGGCTGCACACAAAGTACGTACCTTTCGCTACTTCCGATCCTGATTGCATGCTGAATCTAAATGCCAGATGTACACTAACAAAGAAGCCATAATTCACTCAAACACCGATTATTTTTTCGCAGTCACATCGCTCCCAAAATACATCATGTGTAGTCTTGAGTTCTATCTTATCAACAATTCACCTGGAACCCAGGTGCCTCGCGTTGCTCCGGAACGCATCCCCACACTTAAACATTTAATGAAGTGTTCACGAGATGTCACTTCCCTGACAGACCTTGCTCCCATTGGGGAAGACACTGATCGCACTACAGGGCCAAATTCCGGTGATCATAAGGAAATCAAAGTGGGCGATAGTACGTACAACTCGAACGTTCTCATCGACTATGGCTGTCTGCTGTTTTGACACATCCACAGCCAGTTGGTCCAGCATGATATTTCTACCCTCAATAGGTGCATCATTCCCCCATGGGAAGAATACGATGCACTAAAAGAAGGCACTTTGGTCATCATCACGATATCGATACACACGTTTATTATGCCGATCAAAGACAACCAAGGCAACTTTACAGGTCAGGAAAGAAGGGTATGTGATTGTTACAATGATGACGACATTTAACAAAGTGTAAGATAGGTTTACCAGCTAAATGCGCATCACATCCTCATAGTCGATGAGTCTGATGCGGAAGCTGAACCTCACTATAAGCCCTACCCAAATGAAGAAGCTGTAGCCATTACCACTGTGACACCTGTCGAAACTGCAGCAGATCAAGCACTTGCCACGTTCAAGGTCAAAAAAGCTCGACTTGCATCCCCCCAACGTGAACCAGACGCAGACAAAGAAAAACCAGGGTCCCCCCTAAAACCATCGGTTAACTCGAGCAAAACGCCTGCTAAATCAAATGAAGGCCCGAAACAAACCAAGAAAGCTGCAGCTGGAAAAAACCCTGTTCAGTGTCTGTCCACCAAAGGCAAAGAGAAGGCTAATTCAACCGCTTCTTCAAATTCCACGTCCAAAACGGCCAAAACAGACTCTCTTGCCGACGAGGACCAAATAATGGCAGAAGTGGATGACACTTAAGTGTAACATAGACATAAGTGGATCCTATTTAGGTATTTGAAGGGGACTTTGTTACTTGTACCAATGAGCGAAAAATCATTTTCTATCGAAGTAGCAGGCCTTGCGGCTTGCCGCCCTATGTCGTTATTTGGCTGATGGATGATGTGCAAATGTCATGCAAATGTCACGTTTTTCGAGCTGTTTTGCGAGCAAAATTTGGTATTTTGCCCTTCCTCCCAAGAGCACTTCATCTCCCCCTCTAGAAATTTGTAGGTAGACTTTCAAATACAATTTAAATGTACTTGGAAAGTTTCAGAATAAACAGTCTAGCCGATCCAAAGGGATCTGAGAAAACATTCCAATACTTTTGTTTGGTTGGTGTAATGAAAAGCACAAAGTCATGCCTCCAGAGCACAAATCTTCAAATCTCCCTCTGAAATTTTGGAATAGTAAATCTCATGCATAAATACATCTTCCCTGAAATTTACAAGATCCTAAGGTAAGCGGAAGGCAAGATAATGTGCAGTTTCAAACTCCTGATGGGTTTCAAACACCTGAACAAACATAGTAGTCTTCGGTCTCCCATCATTTCTGAGTTTTTAATTAAAATGCCTTGTCTTGGCTCGTCTTTTCATTACAGAGGTCGGGAGACACTCCGAAGGTGTTTTCAAATGTCTTTTTCTTAATTGTCAGGGGGTTCTTATTATATTTCATATAATAGAATGTGTCTTTCTCTTATGTTTGTACTTGTGACATTCAGACACATCAGTCTTTGATGCGTACACGGGAACTGCTGTACATGACTTTCTGAATGGCCGTGAGCCACGCTAAGTCTTTGTACATTTACTACCTAGGTGTAGTTTAGTCTTTCAATGTTTCAGACATGCTGTTTAGGCATCTATATCATCTTTTCTGTATTTCTTGTATAAGCACGAGTTTCCACAATAAATCCATTATGTGTTTCTAAACCCTTTGGTAGTAATGCAATTCTTCTCCCTGTGTTGGGTGTTTACTCTAGAACCTCTTCATGCTCTATTTCATGGTAGGTGAATCTTAGATAGGATCCAAGTATAATGTCACGACATGTACTGCTGCCAGTTCCAAAGCCTTTGTCCTATTTTCAGATTCCACGCATTTGCATTTTTAGTCAACTGTGCCAGGTATGCGCATTGACTCTTTGTATCATTGCAATTGTATGTAGTGTATTTATTAGAGATGACCTTTATCGGTAAAATTGTTAAAATCAAATTTTATACAGGTGAAATGGTTTCATCTGTATCAGCGTGACAAACCAAACTGCTAGGGTATTTGAACCCATGAATGGTTGGTTCCCTCTGACAAAGAGTTATGGGGAGCGAAAGAAAGAGGCTAGCTGGAGGAAGAGAGTGCAGCGAAGTGCATAATTCAAGCATAATTCTGCTTTGGAGTCGGGCTGGCGTTGACATGTCAATTGAGTGCGGAGGGATCGGGTTGAGTATCAGTCTCCGGTATATGAAGCAATGATATATGGAAAAACTTCTGTCGGAAATGGAGAGATACACGTCCGGTACAACCATTGTAGAATTTAGAAGTCAATACATGTCGAAGTTGAGGAACATCAGCGTCCAGTCCATGAAAAAATGCGCTTTCTGAGAGAGTTCTATAGGAACTAGATGCGGGGCCTGTCCACATCAATCACCGTAGTGTGCATCACGTTGCAATCTGAAAATCTCCAATGTATGGATTGACGACCTCAGTGAATTGTTGTTGAAATCGAAGGTGCCACTCGTATTCCTTCGTCAGGGGTCTCCTCACCTAAATTAAACATCATTGAACATGACACGAAGAATGTAAAGTCAGAGGGCGACATACCGCTGGACGAAGTGCTTGTAGGATAATAAGTCACACTTGACGCATTTGTAAACACTCCCCCTCCGAAGGTAGAGTTCGTGAGTCCATCAAACAGAGTCGTGTGCATGTTCTGCCCTTTCTTTGGTCGCTGTCCATGCATCAACTGCGTCCCAATATTGTCTATCTTGACCGTGGCGCCAGGAGTAACGGTCAGATTATCCACTTTGTGGAATGCGCTCGTTATGATAGAGTCGTTTTCTATGGCGGTTGTTCTGCACATTTAATCCCCGCACGCAACTTTCCGAGCGCGCACGCAACTTTCGACCAGCGCGCAACTTTTGGATGCTAAATTCGGTTGTTTGGTCTAGCATTTCTCATGCAACGTCACCCAAGCAATCCTCAACATCGTCCCTCGTTGAACACGGCAAGCTCACATAATGTACATCTATTTATTGCCTAAATCTTCTTTTCTCTGTTTCAATTTTAAAATAGTACGTAGAGTATCATTGCAGAATCTATTGTATCAAATACTTTGCATTGAAACTAAGGTACGAGCTCATTGTGCTTGACAGCGAGCGGCATATGTCCGTCAACGTGTGACAGTGTAGAAGGTTGACGTTGCAACATGAGAAGCGATCAGGCGGAGTCTCAATATCCTTCTAAGGTAAATTCCATCATCAGGATCGGAATTATCGGCTTGATCATTGCCAACTACCAAATCCGGTACTGGTTCTCACCATATCCCCCGAGCCACTGTTACTCTCAAGCATTTTGTTATTTATGCTGTAATTTAGTGTGTCATGTATGTTATTTGATAGAAAGGTAGTATAATAGTATAGCAATGAGAATATAGGGGCAGTTTACATGGGAGATGGTGCATGGAGAGGGGTGGAGGAGCATACTACTCATCAGTTACATCACCAGTCTTGCCAATAACCTTCATTACTACGTATAACAACTGATTCACATGCTACAGGATACCCTTTGGTCAATTTGAAGCAAGCAGATGGCCTGGGGATGACTATAAGAATTAATATGAAGGAGATGAATAGGAATCAGTGAAAAGTGCGAAATTGTGACCTGGTCATTTTAGATAAAAATTATATGAAGTGGTAGAAGGTAGGGCTGGGGTAGCTAGAGGGTGGTTCAAAAGGAATTACATGGAAGAGTTGATGCCTTTACATAGTCGGAAGTTGCGCTGTGCGGTCAAATTTAGCATCCGAAAGTTGCGCGCTGGTCGAAAGTTGCGTGCGCGCTCGGAAAGTTGCGTGCGGGGATTAAATGTGCAGAACAACCGCCATAGTTTTCGTCTACGTCAACTGGTGTGTCAGGTTGGGAAGTCGCGGCGACGGTCGAGGCCATTGGACGTAGTATGGTCCCACCGACGTTGGTGAAGGTACCTCCGGAGAGAGTAATTCCAGAAGCGTTTGACATCATGTCGGTCCTCATTGTGCGGCCTTTCGGTGCGCTGGCTTGGGGAATGGAAGATGATTCTACGAGGGGGTTAAAATCATCGACATGACGGATGAGGAACGGGGAGAATTTACCTTGGGTAATGGAAGAAGCAGGAGAAATTGGATTTGCAGCTACCTGCTCTCGTCTTTCCAGGTCTGCCAAGGTTCGGATGTTGCTCATGTTTTATGGGGTGAGCTTTTTCTTTTCGGATTGTATACTGCACCGTGAGGGGGGATTCGCACGCGTTCTTTGTGCAGTTTCGAGAGGTGCGCACGGTGCGAGGTACCTCGAAGAGCCCAACACTACAACCCTTCCAACTCAGCCACGCCAGTGCCTCAACCCTAGTTGAAAACGCCGTTTTCGTTGCTCAGCGACCCATTGACATGCCAAAGGAATACAATAACTTGCATCAACTATCGGCATCAGGCAAGGGGCAGACTTTGTCATGGAAACGAAAACAACGAGGGATGGAAAGGGCGCACGGCGTCCACCATTAGTTATCTTTCTTGGACAGCTTTGTTCCTTTGGGGACAGGTCACCGGTCACTGGGCAGTGGGTAAGTAGTTGAGAACAAGAAACGTTGTTTGCATTTGGTTTGCATCATAATTTAAATGAAAGTCAACACAGGCCAATGCATCACGTGATGGCTAAAAGCCGTCAGATCAACGCATGTTGAATGTGTCTAGGAGAGACTATGTTGAATCCTTCCTATCCGAAGTCCTTTACGTTTTCACATTACAGGAGCATGTATCAACTGTTTTTTTGTCTTCGACAAAGCAGATGGTTTCTCAGGGAAGAAAACTCACGCCAATCACTATTCATGCCCATCCCTTTGGAAAGTTACGAAGAACGGGGCGCAGGTTCGGGAGTCAGAATATTCCAGTTCCGTTTGAGGCGGTCCACGTCAGGGAAAAAAGTCTGTGATTGTAACGTGATTTTGTTTGATTATGAAGGTGGGCAGTCGGAAGTCAGTAGAGCAAGGTGACAAAGATATTTCAAAGAATTTTCGTATCACTGTTCGCTTCAACAAAATATTCTACACTCGTCAATGAATTCAGTGAAATTTCCGTGATCCTCCAGAAGCTGAAAACGCCGTTTCCCTACGAATTGGTTGGTTACCCGTCAAGGCGCCTTCGAATACAATACCTCTCCATGTTTCTTAAATTGACTGACCACATACTGACCACCCGGCTCACTAACGACCCACTTGATAAATGCAGAGGCGATATCCTTATCGTTTACACTTGCGTTGCTTCCCAAAAGCACATGAGCTGGGTTTAGCAAGGGGTCTTTAGCGTCGTCCGTGCCAGCTTTGAATATCTTCAGTTGGGAAGTCACCGATCGTGGCGAGGAAAGCCAGGTGCCCCGGTCGGTAAGTGTGTATTCGGATAGAAGAGAGGCCGCTTCGAGAGCTTCGAGAGGGAAGCGAGGGTATTGGTGGTACCACTTTGAATACACTAGGGCCCATGGGACCTGTATATTCCCTATAATGAGAGGGGGGAGCGTTGAAAACGAAGAACACGACGCGCCTGTCCGATGGTAATGAACAATTGACTTTCTTTGATGTTGGTCGCGCTTTTGTCGTATCTGGAGAGGAAGCGCGTGGGCGGTCGAACCTCTGGGTCGGGTGGTACCTAGAAATCCTGTTGATTCACGCTGGTTGTCCGTGTAATATTTTCGCACTAACCGCGATATCTGTATTCCCTTGGGAGACAATTTTGTTGAACATCACTAAAATATCGTCTTTCTCGTTGAGTTTGGCTGGATTGGAATTCGGCCCCACAAGAATGAAGTGGTCCTGGTTTTGTAAGGATCAAACTGTTGACAAGAGCTCGTGAAATTCCTTAGGACTTACGCGAAAGCCGTATACTAGAGCCACTGCAGCGCCGCTGTCCTTCGATTGTTTTTCTGCAGCTTCGTTGTAAGTAACAGCGACATCTACAGAACCAGCCGCGAGGAGTCCGAGACTCTCAGTCGTATCACCCAAATACCATGCGACCTGATACAAAAGATTATTTATTATGTCACCCCTAGCAGAAAAGCGGGTACTCACCAAGAAAGGCTGAACATGGCGCTCATTCACCATATACTTGATGAACGCATCCGCCCATGCTCCAATCAATCCGGATTGTCCAGCTCCCCCATTCGCGATGCGTAGCCTTACGTCCTTTGCATTCGTATAGCCGCCGTTGTAGGTCGCGTGAGGAGCAATAGAAACACCAGCGATGGAAGTTCCAGACGATGCGTACAGGCCATCCGGAACTTGAGCTGCATGTGGGGTGGAAGAACCACAGTGATGAATTTTTGGGGTGCTGTACACGAGAGTGAGTTAAGGAACACTGGCCACGAGGAATAAGCGCACTGGCAGTGGTGATGATGATCGCTCGAGTATCCGTGATGATGGGACATGATGAACTCCTATTTCTGAGTGATACGAGAAGAGAGAAAGGGGGGAATTGACATTCACTTATTTTATGCATAGTTTTGGCGCTATGATGTCCATCGATTGTGACGACGATCAGATTGGGTGTGAAGAGGTGGATTTTGCGCGGCGTACCAAAAATAAACGTATAGGTCACAAGGAGGCATGAAATGTGGCTCAAATGGTGCTTGGACCAGTGCTCGCTGTGAACCCCTGCATGAAAATTCAACTCCTTTGGGCAGAGAAGAGGGTTTACTATTTGAGTACATACCAAGTACATACATCACTGAACTCCAAAAGCCACTTCACCTTGAAACCTTTTCATAAAAGCGAATGCTACAATCACATCATAGTCCGAAACGTCGAGGAGAACAGCGAGGAGAACGCGGCTCGAGAGAAAGTTCAAAGACAGTTCAAAGTTCCGAACGGATTGTTCCGGCCGATGCCGTAGTATTTGTCACCACACCCGAACGGCCCTTCATACCATCATTCTAGCTTGATTCTAGCCCCCGTCGAGACTTCTCCTTCTGTAAGATCTACTTCGTCGCCGTTATGCCTTCGATACCCGCCTACACTGTATTATTTCTTTCTTTCTTCATCTTACCCTCCATCGCCTTCCCGCGTCTACCTCGTCAACTCGACACCAATTTCGAAGGTCACAATTCCGAGTCGCCGCCTACAACTTCAGCGTTGGGGTCAATATTACCAGAGCCGCCAAAGCCGAAGTGTGCGTACTCCTGTCCACAGCGGGACGGCGCAAACCGCGTGCTCATTGCGAAAGTGAATGCGTTGGGGTACGAGCAAGGATACTCCATATTTGAATGCGTGTACGTTCTCCCTCTTTTCCGGTTTTCGACAAGCGGTTGAACAAACTATTGGCAGATACGCACCTCCGGAAGCATACGACGACGCACGCACATGCTCGTACCATAAAGTATGATCTCCTCACTTTTTTTTGTTGCTGGAATCGATTCTATTTGCGATACAGACATCAGGCAAACAAGCGCTCTCGTCCAAAGCTATATCCTGCCCCGCCCAAGCGCCCTCCTGCGAAACCCCTTCCTCTAGCTTTTCATACACCTCCTCTGTGTCAAACCCACCCACCCAGTACCATAAAATGCCTGCCAAGCCGCTTTTCTCAAAACAAGATGACATAATTCCCGAGATACCTACATGGGTGGAGACAGGGAGGTATATGTTATGGGTGAAGGAACATTCTGGGCAATGAGTACTACGCAGCGCAATGGGTGTGAACGCCGGAGGATGGAAGGGTGAATTAGTCGCGTCTATTGATACCACACCACAAAAACTTTGAATTTGTTCGGACCTTGACTGTAAGCTTCCAGATCTCAAATTCAATACTATACACTCATTATTCTCTACATTATTCATGAACGACTTTGCGTTCGTTTATACTTTTTGGTAGTTTCCTTCCTCGTATTACAATTCAACTCACTCCGATTTCATGACGCCAGGTCCTTGATTACTGTGAAAGGGGATATAATTATACGGCCCACCTCCGCGACGCTTGTATTTAAAACGCCTTTCGGTACGCTCCCGTTCAGCTATTGTATAATGATCTGTGCGACTATAGTGACTCAACGCTGATTGTACGGCCATACAGGTCATTTAGGCGTATGCCTGTAGGCTGTATGGCCGCCTTTCATAAATGTCGGATCTATTCGCTTCCTGCGGCATCAGCTCCCACAACGAAGCCTTGCATGTCCTATGAATAAGTACATTCAATTCGTTCCGTTCCTTCCTTTCTTCCATGAACGATGAGGCACTCTCTCACCGGTACCTTCGTTGCCCTCGTACTTTTTCCTCTATGCTGCCTCGCCCATCCTCAAGAGTCACCGCCGCCCGTCGTCACTACGACGACCTGCAGCTATTCCTGTCCTCCCAACGATTATTCTGGGTTTCGGCTCATCTCTAAGGTGGATGCTATCGGATACGATTCTGCGTATTCGATTTTCGAATGCGTGTACGTACTTTTTCGGTTTTTTTTTGTAGATGTCAACAGGCTTATTTGCTTTGAATTCTCGCAGATATCGCGATGAGGTAGTAGGAGGGGTCAAGAAAGCGCAGACTTGTTCTTATCACAAGGTCAGCCTCCCACATACGTTTCAATAATCGAAACGGGGATGATGGGATTTTGCAGAACTCAGGATTGAGAGCGCTTTCCTCTCAAGCGATCCCTTCCTGCCCCACTCAAGCTCTCCCATGCATGGCGGGTTCGCAGCCAGTTTTCTCCAACATGGATGGTAAAACACCGGAGACACCTCCTTGGGTCGAGAGTGGGAGGTTTCTTCTTTGGAAGAAGGAGAACCCCAGTCGTGATTGAGCTGCGTTCAGGTAAATTATCGGTTGATTGCTCAGCGACAAAAAGACGGAGCGGACGCCCTGTCCCCTCTTTGTGGTTACGGCGGACCTCGATAGAGTTAACTTTTTCTTCCAGTTTCTTCATTCCTTTCTATAGGACTTTGTTGGGACTTCGAAACGCTCATGTCGCACGCCGACTAGCCCAATTCACCGATTTTATGGACTTTAATTCACCTGGCGAGTTACAATAACAATGGATATATAGCAATCTCCCCCAGTTTTCTGACAAATTAATATTTCTATCTCACACACTCAACACACACTTTGAAGGCAGTTGGCATCATTTGTTTTCTAGAACCTTGTCTGCGTCTGGCTAGCGTTTTTTGGAGAGGCGCTTTAGGTACCGACCGGGTCGCAGCTGACACTTGAATTTGTATACATGCTTCGAGGATGACTCTGGTTGTCACAGACGTATTACTTTAAGTTCTTATGAACTATGCTATAGTAGATGTCGGGTATGGTGTAACGGTTAACATTGCCGCCTCTCAGATAACTTCGTACGCGGCAGCTCGGGGTTCGATTCCCCGTACCCGAAAGTTTTTGAAATAAACACTGACTAGTACTTACTGACTCTTTTCCAGGTCGCTCGCAATCACTCCCCATTTTACATACTTATCATGCTTGTCTCCCTCGAGGACAACACGCACCCCTTAGATGACGTCAGGTGTTTGTTTGGTCAGATTATGAACGCGGCAGTTTTTGACAGTTGACACTCAACACGAACTTCAACTTCGTCCCACAACTCAGACTTTTTTAATCAATGGATCCTTCGCTGTACAACAAGCCATATGACGACTCTGACTTGCGCCTTTGCCTTTTGCTAAGAGCTCTCATTTTCAATTTCAACGTGTGGAAAAGCCAACTGACGGAGCCATTGTCCTGGTAACAACCCTGAATTCTTTTTCGGTTCATATACTCTTGGCTCCTAGCTGTTCTCGAGAGCCGAATTGGATGGACAGTCTCCGACGCCACATTTTTTCCACAAATAAAAGCTCGTTCCGACGTTTACCGCGATCGCCGTCTCCTCCTTCACTTGGTTCTATCATGCTGCCAGCTCTCTCCCTATTGTTGTTCGTTGCCGCTAACGCTTGCCTGGTGAGCGCTCAAGCAACGTACAATGGTGGATATACAGACGCGAAGCAAGTACGTCTCCGAATTGGAAATGGGGGTGCTGGACAGTCTGGCCTGATCGGCGCCTGGGCGAATGCGTTCATCCAATATATGGTGCAGAAGAACGGAACTCAGCCTTTCTTGGTGAGTGCGGGTGTGCTCGCTTGTCTACGAAGTGATTGAATGTAGTGTATTCCGTAGGTCGACTGGGTGTTGGGCGACACCACCCAGAGTCTTAACTTTCTGGCGGGGGGTTCGATAGATGTCGCGGTGACATACAACGACGCGGCGGAGACGCAGGCGTTAAGTAGCGGTGTTGCCGTGAATAGGGTCTATGGGTTCCGCGTCCGTCTTTGATGAAAATCTCTCTCAGCGTCTGTGAACTGACTTGCGAATACTCAAACAGGACCATTTTTTGCTAGTCGGACCTCAGTCCAACCCAGCACAGCTTAATCAGACGGACGACATTCTAGTGATGTTCAATAAGATCGTTTCGACTGGAAATGCCGACGTGGCGGTAGGATCTATCACTTCCCTGTCAATTATCACTGAACGATACTTGTCAGACACCACCTGACCTGAGCGTTCGACCGCCAACTCGTTTCTTATCCCGATTTGACAAAAGCGCAACCAACATCAAGGAGAGTCAGTTGTTCATTACAATTGGTCAAGTAAGTTATCATCCTTATAAACATCCGATAGACCTTACAGACTTGTTTTAGGTACCATGGGCTTTTGCCTATTCAACATGGTATCACCAATATCCTCGCTTCCCTCTGCAAGCTATCCAAGGGGCATCGCTCTTGTCTGAATATACCCTCACAGATCGTGGAACCTGGCTCTCATCTCCTGACTCGGTCACGTCTGCTCTAACGATCTTCAAAGCTGGCTTGGATGATGCCAGTGACCTTCTCCTGAATCCGGCGCATGTATTATTAGGCAAGAATACAACTGATCCAACTATTGCCAGGGCATTCCTTTCCTGGGTGGTTGACAGTGCAGGAGGCCAGCAGGTCATTGCTAATTTCCAGAAGAATGGCCAGGTACTTTACTCTAAAGTGCCGTAATGATTTTGAATGCCTGCACATTAGTTCTATCTTAGTTCTACATGCCCCTTTGACTTGATCAGACTCTGTTGAGCATTACTGGATTTTGCAACCTCATACATCCATTCATAGCTTGCCTACATATGTCATAGTACTTTCTGAGTCACAGTCCATACCACCACAATCTATCACTTCATCCCTATCCCTTGCCGTGTGATGGGGACAGTTATCCAGTGAGGAGCATATTTATAACAAACATTTTCAGCATAAAAAAATGGGTAGTTACATTTACGTTCCGTATAAGTCAACAGTAGATCATGCATTCATCACACTGATGTGACCATGCACCTGGAACATGAATGCATGAATGACGACACATTTTTCTTATCAAGTCTGATGAAGTTCACAAGAAATTTACACACTTTAAGCCCCACTTAACCAAGCCCTGTTCCAAAATCTGTAAAATACCTTGAGAAGTACTTGTACAATTTATTACCTAGTTTATTTCTATGTACTCAATCTTGGGCTCCACCTCATAGCAACCAATATCCCTACCAATTAATTACTTATGTCCATGACCTAGTACTCACTCTCTCCTGATGGTTCTGCCATTTTTTGACAATGTCTCACTGGATGCAAGCCACAATCACAAAATCTTTATTCAAAAAATAAGAAAGGAACAGCCAAAATACTCTAAATTCAGTGCTAAACCATAGCTATTGGTCAAAATTTCCAATACAAGTACAATATAATTCAGAATGTGCTATCCCCTTCATCATACAGATTGTGATCAAGATGAACAATCACAGAATTTGCCTGTAACCAATTCTGGTCCCAGCTGGAATAATCCAAGGGATTAGAATTTGAAAGCCAGATGGCAGGCCCACCCCAAACCACTCTTCTTTTCTTGCAATATTTTTCATTGAGGGTGAACTCTCTTTGTGCCCCCAGCCAACACTTGTATTGAGGAAATGAGGCTGGGTCTATGTCATCCAGCACAATGTAGGAAGCCTTATTTTCATCAAACTCAGATCCATTCATCTGGAAATTGTGGTAAGAATGAGGACCTGAAATAATGAGTTTAATTGGGCAGATGAGGATAAAATGAACTTACCAAGGGATCTGGCCCATTCAGTCTTCCCAGTCCGACTTGGACCCCAAATAATCAAAGCCTTGGGCCTCTCATGTTTTTTCATCTCATAGTTGACCCAATCAGTGACCACCTGAGGCAGATGTGGAAAATGAGAATAGTTTGAGATATATCTGGGCTGGACTTTCTCATAACGATGAGCCATGTAGATGCGAAGATTAGAAAAGTTGTTTGCATAGGCCTTGGGATCAAGTGCAGTGCACCTCATTGTGAAGTCCCCTGCTGTTTCTGCATCAAGAATGTATGCCCAGCCAGCTCTAGATGAAGTCAAGCCCTGTGCAACCACATCAACAGGACCTGACCATGGGCCAAATCTCTCAGAAAGTGGGTCCTTGTGGATATAATCCCAAGCCCGCTCAACATCACCTTGACGAGAAAGTCTGTGTTTTATTTGAGTAAGACAATCTGAAAATTTTACAAAGAATACATACAGTCGGATGTTGGGGTGTAAGTGAAGGACATCAAAAATCCTTGATGCAGATCTGAAGCGGACATTGGGACTCTTTTCAAAAATGCAAATGATGTGCCAATGGAAGTGTCCATCTCTATGCATCTCCACCACTCCTGCCCACTGCACAGGTGGATGAAGTAGAGATTCGAACATCATTTCAGCCTCAGAGACATCCACATCTCCAACCTCAAGTCCAAAGTTAGTTTATTCTCTGTACATTGAATACAGCATGATTCTTACCTGAGAGTAAGTCAGTAAATACCTTGTTGCTTTGAGGCGAAAATTCAGTCCTGGTTCGGGTGTGAATGGTTTACCAGGGGGGCTCATAGCTGGAGCAGACAAGGCTGGGATAGATCTTTGTCTGATGGGGGGTGGAGTAGATTGCATAGATCTTTGTCTGATGGAGGATGGAGTAGATCGCCATCTGAAGGTTGTTGAAGGCTGAGAAGGAGTTCCCAGAGGTTGACTTTGAGGAGTAGAGTGATCAGGAAGTGGAAGTCTGAAGCGACCATAAGACATGTTGGCTGAGGAGATGATGAGAAGTACCCAAGCAATACTGCCCTTTTTATACTGTTCTTTGGAGCATCTTTTTTTTCATGGATAAAGATAGCAACAAAACTTGATCTACTTTATCAGAGAGGAGAGTTGAAATAATATGGAGATCCATAAGTTCCTACATAATCCAAGTGGAAAGTCAAAATTCTGAACAATTCCAATGAAAGGCAACGGGCAGGAGACTCAGTCATTTTGTTTTCCAACTCTATTGGAATGGTCAGAATGCGGGAGCCTCATGGAACGAACGGTTCCTAACGGCATCCGTCGGAGCGTGTGATTTAAAAATAGTGCGAGGAGGAGGAATCGAACGCTCCGTTCGCAACCAATCACATACATATCTACCATGACCACAAGCCTTAAGTCCAACCAGCGGAGGTGAGCAAGAACTTGGTCAACCTTTCATTTTCAAAAAAAAAAAACATCGGAACAAGGCACCACCTCGCCATCAGCGACGTGACACCCAACCGACACCGACTGACGACGACGAACGGCGACAGACGACAACAATTGTCGTTTCCGTGACAAAAAGGTGGTAAGCTCCCCCCCGGCTCCCCCACTGTCTTTACTCACTCACCCCACGACCGTCAACTAGTGCACGTTGGGTCGCCCACGCAAACAACCCGGAAGCAACACGACGCAACGCCCACCGCCACGTAGCCCTCCCGATGGGAAGCGCAAAAGCGGGAATGGGGACGGTAACCCAACCACGCCCCGGTGTCACTCCTGGGGAGCGGCGAGACGATCCGCGGGTGACGCGTCGGTTGCCAACAGCCAGGTCCCCTCATCTCGAACGACGAGGTACCACAACGACGATGCGACACGACGACGACACGACACGATGACGACGCAACACGCGATGACGACGCAACACGATGACACAAACCCCCACAACACGCGACGAAGACGAGCCAGACGAGGCGAGACGACGACGATAGCGAAAATTGGTTAGGCCCATTGTTACACGTATTTTAGTTCATGTACTTATAGTTAGATAGTTTGTATCGTATTAGGTTTACAGTTTAATTATCTCTTTCACCCAAATCTAAATGGCCGTTTGGTATTGGACGCTACTCATGAGTTATCCAAGAATGCACTTGGAACTCATGGGGCAGGGTAAAGTGATACGGGTAGATATCATTTACGTCATGCCAACACAAATTTGATGATGAGCTAATCTTGCTTTGTCCTCACCGTCGCCTTCAATGATTTTCTTGGCGGCACGCCTTATCTCTTCATCCTGAACAGCTGCAACAAACACCTTGAGCTGCCCCTCCAAACCAGACTCGAGCTCACTAGCCATGTCCTTCGTTGGTATGTGCTGGAACACTGAACTTTGAGTAGGCCCAGATCTTCTTTAGCAGAGGAAACGTCGGAAGCGAGGCAACCCAGCAACGACGACGCTGGAAGGAAGAAGAAAACGGCAAAGAGAAAGAAGGTTAACCATGCATGTTTATACTGTCGCCGTAGCCATATGACGTGTGACGATGGGAGACCATGTCAACGCTGGTGAGTCCTCTAAAGTCAGGATTCAAAATCTGACGTCAACAGCATCAAGCGCGAGATCGGCCACTTGTGCCACGATGAACACCGATCGCGACCTCCTGAGGCGCAACCCGCGACGACAGCAGCCTCTTCAAGCCAGGTGCGGACGTCCATGCCAGGTACCCACAGTTCACGTTTCCCCAAGGCTAGCATTGACAGCTACTCCAGTTACAGCGTATCAAGGCCCCCTACCACAAGCTACTTCGGCTTGGCCAATGGTCTTCCCCCAATCTTACCAGCCTCAGAACTTTGGCAACGAGTTTTCCGTCCTAACGCACGTTCCCGCTCTTTTTGTTCCAAATCTTTCTTCACATCTCCACAGAGACTTTTTAGAAACACTCGACGACGGATTCTTTTTCACTCCCCCAACAACCGTTGCACCCGCCCTCATTTCGAATCCTTTCCCGACTCCGACGGAGGCAGCAGCAGCTGCTCCCATAACGACCGAAGTCACTGCCGCCGAGCCGCCACCCGTCCTTTTACCCGCTGACAAGACGGAAAAATTCCTTCTCACAGCTGCCGATCAGGAATCGGGGTCCCGCGATGAACGGTTAAACCGCGTTATCAGGAGCAAGTACGAAGCGGGGTTACTGAAGCCGTACAACTACGTCAAGGGATACGCAAGATTGTCGCGCTGGATGGAGAACAACGTATCTCAGGAATCGAAGCAGGCGATTTTGCAACCGTTATCGATTCTGCGGCCAAAGTTTCGGGTGAGCACATCTGCGTCCTTGAGCTATTCTGGGCTGATGGGTATAGGCTGTGGCGCAATCTTTGAGAGACCTCGACCTGGTATTCATTGAGGAAGCGTTTGAACGCATGCTTCTCGACTACGATAGGGTGTTCCTTGCCATGGGGATTCCGGCCTGTCTGTGGAGAAGAACGGGGGAGATTTACAAAGGGAACAGAGCGTTTACTGAGCTCATAGGTTTGGATGGGCACTTGATGCGTGATGTACGTTCACTATCTGTCTACCCCCATCCATGACTTACTCGCACTCTAGGGAAGGCTATGCATTTACCAACTTATGGCCGAGGAGTCGGCAGTAAATTACTGGGAGGTCAGTCATTTCGCTCATTGTAATTCGAACATTTCCTCAACCACTACAGAAATACGGTCACGTCGCATTCGACTCGAGTCAAAAAGCCGTTTTGACGTCGTGCGTACTGCGACACAAGCCACGGCTCCAGCTTGGCTCGTCAGCGGCGTCGAAGAAAGACAAATCGCTGGTGAAGGAAGAGAACGAGATCGGTACTCAGACTGAGGAAGGGTTTATCAACTGTTGCTTTTCGTTCACCATTCGTAGTTTGTGTGACCCCAATATCAGGGAAGTTGGCTGTATGGGAGTGGCCATGCTGTCGGAAAAAAGTCAAACCAAGCGAAAATTGAAGCATAAGTTCAACTTTTTTGAGATTTTTTACAATGTCCGATCATAGTTTCACCTCCCCGCAGGGAGCTTATTTCAATTAAAAATGTCTGGCCATTGCAATTTTCATGCAACGGCCACACGTGGTTCGGCGTTCCGTATTTTACTGACTACCGACGTGAATGGGTACTATTTACTCTAAGAAAAGGCCTAGACGAAGACAATTCAAGGTCAGTAATACACTAAGATACTTACAGGAAGATGTCAGAAAACTCTTAAAACAAGTCAAAGAACTCACAGAGCACACGGTGACGTGTTCGATAGCCATCGCCTTATTGGAGATACCAGTGTTGGGGTGGGCCTGAAGAGTGTTTCCCACGGCAAAAAGGCGCATAAAACGAATTATCTATTCAGACGGCGAAGGTGTCCCACGGTGAAAAAGCACATTTATGCACCCAAAGAATTTATTCAGACGGCAAATGAATGAGTTGTGACTGAACATGAATAAACTTACGTTGTTTTCGATCATGACAGCAACTATGCTTCTTGTAGTCCTTCCCTGAAAAAGCGAATCTAGAAAGATTATAGATTATTAGTCAAAAATTGAAGAAAAAGGAAAGCATTATACTTATGTGGAAGACGATAGCGGCTTGAGAGCGATTGCCGGACGTTTGTAAAACGAGTTGGCGCCACGCGACACAGGAAAAAAGAAGGTGGTGACCAGGGGGGTGTATGAGAGGGAAAGAACGAAGGAAATAGATTGGATGTATGGGTAGAGATGTGTAGGTGTCAAGCATCACAGGGCGATCACCGGAACTCAACCGTGAGGTGCAGTGATGCAAAAAAAAAATGACAAGCAGCACTATGTGCTGCCACGGAATCGATTGGGTGTATGGGTAGGGGTGTGTAGAAATTAAGCAGCATGAGGGCGATCACCGGAACTCGGAAAATTGAGTTTGAATTGTGGGGTTGGATTGACGCAAAGCAAAAGACAAGCAGCACTACGTGCTACCACATAGTGATGCCTAGACTTGGAAAAATCACAAAATCATTCTAAGAGAAAGGTGATATGAGAAAAGGCGAACAAAGGATGGGTGTAGGAACAAACTTACAATGTTTAGGAAGGTGGGTAACGGGAGGGTGATTACCGGATGGTGAAAAATCGAATTTGAACCATGGGGTGGAGTGACACAAAGAAAATGACAAGCAGCACTATGTCTGCCACGAAATCGAGGGTAAGGATGTATAGATATTGAGCAGTTGATCGCTGGAACTCGAAAAATAGAGTTTAAACCACGGGTTTGGATTGACACAAAGAAAAAGACAAGCAGCATTATGTGCTGCCACGGTAGCGATGGCCAAGAATGAAGTAAACCGATCAGGTGTATGGGTAGGGTTGTGTAGAAACCCAGCAGTGTGAGGGTGATTGCCGGAACTCGAAAAATCGAGTTTGGACTGTGGGGTTGGAGTGTCAGAAAGAAAAAGACAAGCAGCACTACGTGCTGCCATGTAGCGATGGCTGGACTTGGACAAATCAAAAAATTATTCCAGAGAGTGAATCTCAAAGGTGATATGAGAAAGGTGAACAAAGGATGGGTGTAGGAACAAGCTTACAATGTTTAGGAAGGTGGGTAATGGGAGGGTGATTACTGGAAGGCGAAAAATTGAATTTGAACCATGGGGAGGAGTGACACAAAGAAACGCTGTGCCGGGCCAACCCAGAGGTAAGGTTAGAGGAACAGGTGGCATGCCGCATGATAGCAATTTGCAGACATTGAAAAATCAAATTAGAATATCATGCATTGCTTGCTTCCGAAAAATCAAAGAAAAGCTCAACAAAAAGCCTTCAACAAAGATAAATGGGGGTTCAGGAAGTGAGAACACACATAAAACTTACATGAGAAAACATCCTCATGACAGCGATCCCCAGAATGCCAAAAATTAAATTGGAACCGCAGAGCAAATGTCATCAACGACAACAGCCTCTGACTGGATGGTGACAATGAGTAAAAGTGTAACAGCAAATGGCCAAGCAACTTACCTGACAATGAAGATGAGAGCCGGGCAACGTAGGGGCATAATGGCGGCAAGGAGAAGGGTAAGCACTCACATATTTCCAAATCTACTTATACCTCTGGGTGCCAAGGAAAATCAACAAAGTTTAGTGTGAGTAAGTATTGTCGGAAGTATCCAGCCGACAAACAATGCGCAGGGACCTTGCAATTTTGGCTTGCCAACATTCCAGGAATAGAGTGATCAGGAGAATATTCTAGGAACATGCACCTCGAATCAAGAATCCGGAGCTATCAAACAAAGTTTATGTTTGTGTGGTTGGATTTTTTGCAGCTAAGCTTTCCCCCCATTCCTCCTCCCCTTGCCCCCACCAACCCTGCTTACGCTCCAGCCTCAATTTTTCTGGGATATAAATCTTTCTCCCTGGACCCGTGGTAAGTAAATCCCATATGACTGGATAGCTAGTCACGATGCTTGCATTGGCACCATGTTTTTTCCAGCTACTCCTTGGCTACTCTGAAAATGCACGCAGTTCGTATTCAAATCTTCTACCACAAATAACATACTTAGTATATCTCTTCTTATGAGCACAGATGTTGAAAGACCTGTGCGACTCCTTTAGGCGATACACCATCTCACATGGAGGAGGAAGTTGCATCCCCAAAGGGTTCTTTGGCTGCAACTTTTGAGAGTTCCGTCCAGTCTCCCAATTCCACAGATCTTACACACCGTGAACCACTTCCCATGAGCATGGATGCTCAAAGCTCTGTGGCGATTTCTTTAGGCGATATACCATCTATCCCCACTCACACGGAAGGGGACATTTTATCCCCAGCAGGTTCTATGGTTGCCATCCACTCTCCCATGAGCATGGATGCTAAAAGCCCTGTGGTGGTTCCTTCACTCCCTTCCGCCCCTCTCAACCCCAGTTGTAATGCGACTTCAGACAAGAGTCTTATCCCTCAACCCCATGGTAGTCCTGACTCTGTTTATGGATTGCCTCCCACCAATGATGCAGTGCCGATCTATCCGGTGCTCTCTCTACATGTGTGCCCCCTGCAAGATCACTCCTCGATACAGCTGCACACACTTTCCCTCAAACCCAAACTCTTACAACCTCCGACGCCAAAGGCCATGACATCGACGTGAACATGCATCCAGTGGAGACTGGGCTCCCCATGAGCGTTGATCTGAAGCAGTCATTCAATGAGCTTGTTGAATCAGCAGAGCGGAATCTTACCTCTCAGCCTGGCAGGGTCTTCCAGAGGCATCAATCCGTCCTTCATGGGTATGAATCTACCTTGGCCACACACAAGGCTAATCTGGAACATTATGAGGTGTACTTCACTGGTGTTGCAAAGGGCGAAGGAGTCCCACAACACTATGAGCAGTGGTTCGTCAACAAGTTCCTCGAGATCACAGCCGATGCGAATAACACAGCACGTACCGCCATTGAGAAAGGAGAGAAACTGCTACATGGCTATAAAGCCCGCATGGATGCTGGGCTATGCTCATTGACACTGGTTGAAGTGCTCCACATTTGCCGGAATCATATGATGGTGCGAGGTTCTGAGATGTCGGATGTTGCGAAGTGGAAGACACTCCTGCACTATACAGAGGATGAGCTCATAAAAACTGATGCGGAGGCAGTCACAACGTTTCAGAGCAGTCGGAAGTGGCAGGATGATGAAGACTTTGAGGATGGTGAAGATGTAAAGCCAAAGATAGAGGTGGGGTTCTCCGATAAGAAGACGCCCGCGCCAGAGAAGTTTCGAGAAGACTGGTTGGACATGAATGAGACACAACAAGAGGAAATGCAAGGTATGAGAATACATACCTTTGACGTTTGCCTACTGACCATTGATTGTTAGTTGCTTGCAAGAAGGCAATCAACCTTTTTCTCCTGAAGGGGGAACAGATCGATTCGACTATGAGACGGATGATACGTGAGATTCCAGAACTAGCACCTGAAGCTGGAACTACCTCTCGTTCCCTCAGCCAGCACATTCTTGAGTGTGACTTCATTATTTGTCGTCACCATGGGCGGTATCGGATGAAACACGACTTCGCTAAGGTTGATGGTCCATTTCAAATCGAAGGCGTTGGCTACAATAAGAATTACAAGGGGAGGGTGAAAACAGGGGACTCGGAGGAGGGGCACATCGACTGTGGATGCAGTGAGGACTTGGCACTGTTCGAGCTGTTCTGGTGGAAAACGTGGTCGATCGGATCATCACACTGAAACCTCATGACGTTCCGTGAGAATTTGAAGACTGACACCATCCCCCCATGCCTTCGTGCATTTTTTGCTGCAGCATATCAGGAGGTCAGCTCACTGAGCCTTGATGACCTGTTTGCTGTCTGGTGGGGTGAAGACGGCTACAAGAATCGCCTACATATGCTGCAGGTCATGCAGAAGGTGAAGATGCTACGGTCTCAGGGTATTGAGATACCAGGTTTTCAGTCACCCTCAGAATGTTCAGGCACATCTGAATAGATTAAGGTAGTCAGTACAATAATTTTAATGATGCATTAACCAGATTGACGATTTGCGAACAAATGATCAACAACTCCATGAGTGTTTGATAATTTGGCTGTCATGAACGCCAGAACCATGCCAAAACCATGCCAAATAGTCTAAAATTTCCATGCCACATGTTGCAGCACATTCTTATGTTTTAACCATTTTGGTATAGATGTACCATGGCCTACAAATTCTCTTTTTCTGTGCAGATGTACCACAATCATAAACTCTAAATATTTTGGTACATGCTCTTCAAATTTTGAGAACTGTAAATGATTTTGTCTGTACAGGTGTACCACATTTTTGAAAAGTTGAATATTCTGGTACGGATGTACCATAAACTTCAATTTTCTTCCCCTTGGTACAGACACACCATAATCAAGAATTGTGCATGTTTTGGTATGAATGTACTGTAAGTGCATGGTACATCTGTACTACAAAATATCTGATTATGGTATGTATGTACTCCAAAAGCCAAAATTGAAGAGCATGGTACATCTGTACTCCAAATGCTAAAATAAAAGGGCATGGTACATCTGTACTACAATATCCAAAATATCTGATTGTGGTGCATGTGTACTCCAAAAACTAAAATTGAAGGGCATGGTACATCTGTACCAAAATATTCAAAATATCTGATTATGGTACACTTGTACTATAATAGCCAAAATGAAAGGGCATGGTACATTTGTACTACAATATCCAAAATATCTGATTGTGGTGCATGTGTACTACAAAAACTAAAAGTGAAGTGTATGGTACATCTGTACCAAAATATTCAAAATATCTGATTATGGTACACTTGTACTATAAAAGCCAAAATGAAAGGGCATGGTACATTTGTACTACAATATCCAAAATATCTGATTGTGGTGCATGTGTACTCCAAAAACTAAAATTGAAGGGCATGGTACATCTGTACCAAAATATTCAAAATATCTGATTATGGTACACTTGTACTATAAAAGCCAAAATGAAAGGGCATGGTACATTTGTACTACAATATCCAAAATACCTGATTATGGTACATATGTACTACAAGAACTAAAATTGAAGGGCGTGGTACATTTGTACTACAAAAACTAAAAGTGAAGTGTGTGGTACATCTGTACCAAAATATCCAAAATATCTGATTATGGTACATATGTACTCCAAAAGCCAATATCCAAAATTGAAGGGCATGGTGCATCTGTACTACAAGATCTAAAATATCTGATTATGGTACACTTGTACTCCAAAAGCCAAAATGAAAGGGCATGGTACATCTGTACCAAAATTCCGAAATAATTATTATAGTCCATATGTACTCCAAAAACCAAGATTGAAGGGCATGGTACATTTGTACCAAATATTTCAAGTTCTTGATTATGGTACATCTATCTGCGAGATATATTCACTGTACACTTGTACAATCTTCAATACTTCTCAAATTGAAGTATCATTGCCACCTCTGAACCCTGATACCCACAGACAAATAACACCATCAACGCAGAACAGGATATCACTTATTACGATATTCTACATGCAACCTACCCCCGAACTTGAGGATACCACATCACTGTGTCCGCAGTCTCCTCGTCGTTGCACTTGTAGCTTTCTCAAGACAGCCCCTTACAACGAGCCATTCATGTCGCGGTGTTGGTCGGAGACATTATCCGAGTAGTACACGTGTCTTGAGGTCTGAGAATTTTGCGTAGCGCAAGATTGGAGCGGGGATGTACACTACAAACACGGATTTTCTGGCATTTTGTCCCCCTCCTTTCCCGTTGAACTACTTGCGTACCTTTATGTTTTACATAGTCATTCGCAATATAAATTACTCAACAGTCTAGGATGACGGTCGTACAAACGGCTCTGAAAAGGATTGAAAGAGAATAGACACGGCTTCCCTGTTTCCCGATTCTTCAACGCGCTTGGAACACATCCATAAAATAAATCTTTTTATGCATCAGGTTCTTTTTCGGAACCCTGTAAACCCTGTACCTGAATTTCCAGTGCTTTCGCGAGCGGAAGGTGTAAACTGGGCGCGCTGTGCCCATCATCCCCTGCATTCTATACAATCCTCTACTTTTTCTATTCGAAGTCTATAATTTCTATTATGTTCAACTCATATGTATATTACTATATGTATTTGACATATTCTACCAATGAACGAGTGCGCAGGCGTACAGATATTCATTACAAGGAGGATGATCTCCTGATCCCCTGATTCTGATTTCTTCATTACGAAACCCCGCCAACCCTGTGCCTGAACTTCCAGGACTTTTGCCAGCGGAAGATGCTAGCGCGGAATTGCCGTGGCCATTCAACTCCCTTGCATTTTATATGATTATCGACAATCCTCTATTCGTAGTGTACAATTTTTATTGAGCTACAGGTCATAAATGTATACCTACATATCAAAAGGCTTCATGACAACATAGAAGCCCAGTGGAGTGAGAACATTCAAAGTGAGGAGAATGACCTCCTCCTCCCCCGAATCTCATTTCCCCATCTTGCTTGAAACGACTTCGCACAGCTGACAGTTCTACGTGGCAGGGCCCTCTTCGAGGCCCTGCCAATCTGTACCTGAACTCCAGAATTTTTGTCAGTGGAAGATATGAGCGCGCAGCATACCAGTATTCCAAACCGCTCTCTGACTTCCTCCATTCGTAACACACCATTTTCGCCCAAGTGTAACTCGGATATATAGTTCTAAATCTATCCAATACTTCTCAACAAATGGTAGCACAGTCGAGCACACGAAAACGTACATAAAACTATAACTTCCTCCTCCTCTCCCAATTCCAGATCCCTGACCTGATTTTGTTGGACGCCAAGTTTTGAATTGGGTTAAAGGGTCTCTCCAAATGGAGACTCTCGCACACGCGGTTGGGAGGGTGCGACCGTCGCAATGTGGACGCCATGTTTGTGTGAGCTGAATTTCCTTGCAATTCGGATTGAGATCATATTTCGACGGCAATCTGACTCCTGAGAACTCATCATAATCAAGTATATTTTTGACTTCTTGCCAGTTCAAGAGTTATGACGTGCGGCAGAGTCAAAATGCCTGCGATAGATACGAAACAAGACGTTGACAGATCACCAAAGGGTGGTATCAACGCTTGATCAACGCAATGCTGTGTCGATGTGCGCAGTGCTGTTTTTCAATGTACGTCGAAATTCTGAACTCCGCAGGATTGGGACTGGGAGATGCATTTGTGTTTGAATGGCGCAAACGGGAATGAAGGGTGGTGTCTTGATGGTGAAGGTGGAAGAAGCTTTGCTGTGCAGGGCAAAAAAATCGGGCCGATGGGCGCCGCAAAATCCAACAAGTTTCTTACCTCATCCCACCTTCTAAGCACTTTGATTCTTCGGCATTGGCGTCCTCAGCTTCACCTTTCCGACTTCCCATCCAAGAACTTTGCCTAGAATTTCTGAGTGGTGATGCAATTCATTATTCAAGTCCATGCTTATTTGAATCCTTTATCAACTGTGATGCATGTGATGTCCAACCTTGACCTTTTTTCCAAAAGAAGGGTTTCTAAATGGGGACGATGCGTGGTCTCAAGCTAAGTTGACATTTACGTCGAATAAAACAAAAGATACTAAGGATTTAGACTCGAACCAGTCTCTAAGGGGTTCAATTCACTATGTTGAGTACTAGGGGAGGGACGGAGAGGACTTTGATGGACGAGTCCGGATTTGATCAGAGTAGGGCGGGTAATTGAACCCATAGAGACTGGTAGGGATTAACCGTAAGGTAACCGACAAGTTTTATAACTCCGATTATCGAGTATAAAAGGAAATTAAGGCGCACGTGTATTCGTTGATGGCCAAGACGCGTCGCGTAGATTTTGCAGAATACTATTCCTTGACACCATGAGCCCTCAAAAACGCGCGCGATCTGACGAAAACTCGCCCCCCACGCCTGTCGCTACACCTCGGAGGTCACAGCGGAGAGATACACCCACCCCCACGCCCAGGAACTCGCACGGCTTTCAGATCATTGATGGTCTCACACCTGTCCCAAACCTGAAGCGGCGTCGCGTTTTTACTGCCGAGGAGCTTGTCAATCACAAAGTTGAGCGGACTAGGGCTCAGAGGGAACATGCTGAAAGGCAGAAGGAGCAGGAGGTAGAACAAGTGAGAAGGGAGGAGCAGCAGAAAGTTGCCGCTCTTGATCGAGCGATGAAGGGGATCAAGGCAGCTGGCTTTTCAACATTCTTTGACTTTCTTCAAGCATCCCTGACCACATCCGATCCTAATCGGTCATCACAGGTCACACGTACACTTGCTGGAGCACACGGCACGACAATTTTGAATCTCATACAAAAACGACAACCTGACATCTGCGTGGATTGGTCAATCAGCAATACCCGCACACTTATAGCTGCTGAATCGAAGAAGCTTGCTCACTATTTCCAGCCTGAAAGGAGCATGCCTGTTGCAGAAATCCTCTCCCAGTTCTCACTTGAGCGGATACTTTTAGATGCCTCGGTAATTGCACCATCGACTTGTGACCTTCTGCGGCATATAGGATATCCTTCGAACTCATCCATGACTTCATACAAAAATCGTGAATTGGTAACGTTTACTTTTGTCCTTCCTTGTTTGAATTTGAATGATGAACATGTCATTAGATCTTCGCCACAACATTATGCATGCTTGCCAAATCGCAAAATGAGCATGCGACGGAGTACCAGACGACGATGTGCATGTATTTTCTTGCATGTGGCACGTCTCGTTCTCTCTTTGACGTTCTCAACCATGCTGGGATTACCCTTTCATATACTCAGGCTGTTTCAAAGCTCAGGAAACTCGGTGCAGAGCAACTTGTTAGCATGCTTGCTCTGGTTCGCACACAGCCATGCATGATAATATGGGATAACCTCAACATCGCTTTCAAAGTGGGTGAGCAGCGCCACGATTCTATGGATCACTTCGATAATGGAACCACGGCAACCCTTGTTCCTCTTTTTGGGGTGGAGCCTGGGGGGCTTCCACTTGATATTAAACCACCACGCTCCTGCCGCAAACCTCTTTTAACCTTTGGACCAGAGGATCTTCTTCCCACACGTGAAGAGGTGGAACGTGTTCAAGCTGGGCAGCTGTGGCACATTGAAGATATTTTATATGACGCTTTTCCTCTGCTCCGCAAGCGACTCAACACGGATATTAGACCTGCACCCAACATCCTTCAAATCCCACTCCACAAAACTGAACAGTACCCTCTTCCTGCAATGCATATTGATGAATCAAGCCTCAACGGAACACTTTCAGTCCTTGACACTATTATCCGTGGCTCGCTGAAGCTCACGGAGGACGATATAAAATGGCATGGTATATTTATTTGTGCTGGTGACCAGCTATCTATTTCACTGTTGGACAAGGTATTTTTTCTTCTAGATCCATTGAAGAAGGTGCTCTAATTTGGTTTTAGGCGTCCTCGGGCCGTCGTGATGATACTGATCTTATGGATAATGTGGGGCGCTATACCCAATCTCAAGATGGAATTCTTCACATGAAAATGGCAGGCGATCGTATGGTTACTAATGAGTACTGGGGCAAACCGAACAGTAAATCTCCATGGTCATTGTGGAAAGTAAACACCCTTCTAGGATGCAAGGCCATGGTAGCTGGTTGGAAAGCGAAGTCATTGCCCCCATTCCGACCATCATGGGAACTAATTCTTACTATGGCACTACCCGCAAATATTCTTGACGGCTTTCGTATCTATTGCCCAAAGGACTCACTTGAGGATTGGGTAAATGACATTCGTACAGTTGACGAAGTTCACCATGTTGCCCAAAAGGTGCTTGTTGAACTTTGTTCTGCGCGGCGAGTTCAACATCTGCGTCGTGCAACCCCCATCAAACGTGACCTCCCTCTCGAAAACATTTGTCTGTTCAATCGGGATGCCCTATATCTCCGTCAACTCAAGTATGCGGTCAAACGAGGAGATGTTGGTGCAGTTCTTGACATCACTACTCACTGGATGCTAATGTTTCGGGGGACGGGTAAAATGCCAAAGTACGCAGATGCACTTTTTCACCTTATTATGGATTTAAAGATGATGGATCCTCGACTTCGGTGAGTGATTCCTCCTATTTAAAGATTAACCCACTGAAGATATCTTGATAGAAATGCATGGCTAATGAATTGGTTGGCAAATCTCACTGGAAAAGCAAATGGGTTCAAAGAAATGGATCTCCTCCAAGAACATCAAAACTTTTGGGCAAAGGTACTGACCTTCTCTTCTGTCGCAAATGCACTCTCATATATTGTATAGATTATTTACAATGCAAAAGGATCCAATCGAAGCTGGGCTTGGCTGGCAATGATTTCTGTCTCGATCTTCGCATTACGCGACGTGATTCGCAAGGTCCAGTCCGAGTATCAAACACCTTTCAACAGCATCTCCCATACCAGTCCATCCGCTGAAACCGATATCAAGACCCTACGCAATTACCTTGAACAACAAAAATTGCAAACATACTTCCCTGGACGTGAAAATAATCAGCATGCCACGGAAGCCCGCGACCTTATGGCTGTTGGTGCTGAGTATGCGAACAAGCCTGGCGCATTCAAGAATTTTACCTATATGAAGTACAAGATGACTAACAATGGGTTGTCGGAAGGGGCCCCGGCTGCAGAGGATATTGGAGAGGATGATGCAATGCTGGTTGACGAAGAGGAAGTGGCTGACTTTGATTTAGGCTCCAATCCGGCACTGGAAGTGGACGACTTGGTACTTGATGACGATGAATACCCACTTGGAACCGATATCAATGACTATATTGCGCGGACATGAGAAATTATCGAGGAGCTTTCTCACTTTCAGTAATAGTACCTTGTCTTGTAGTTATTCATAATTAGCGGGTGTAAGAACGGTAAAAGGAAACTGTAATTGAGCATTGTACTCCCTCTCCTGGCCTTGCTCTTCATCATAATATGCTGGCGTAAAATTAGTGAACGGCAATTGCAATGAAGCACTGTACCGCTCCCTCTCCTGCTCTTCCTTGAGACCGTCGAGCTTTTCATAAATTGATGAGAGAGCTCCGAGTAGAAGAACTCCCCATTTATTCGCTTGGCCAGTCATTGTGTCGTGACCCATAGCCCAATGAACTTGCCTTCGTAACTCTGCGTAAGTGTTTAATCGCTCACCACATGTTGCCAACTTCTCGATGATGTCGTTTCCCAATAGCATGCGCCCGGACATTGTAGTCCCAGCACCATAATATTCCTCAACCAAATCATCGTCCGCCCAATCCATTAACCTCTCACGGATGATATTTTCCTTGTCTTCTCCGATGGTCTTCTTCTTACCGCGCTTGAGGCCTGGTGGTTTCACAACGTCCACATCTTCAATGGGAAATAATCGTGGTTCACAATTGTCGCAGCAACGTGTTCCCGTAATGCGTTGGTACATGGTGTTGGTGGGATATGTAAGTTGCACTTTGTAGAGTTAGTTCTGTGAGTCTTCGCTTTAAAATCCCACTTACTTTTTTTTTCGTTCTCGAAAAATGAGTCCCACACGAGCCGACGACAGGACTCAGTGCAGACAAACCTCGACAGTGCATTCGCCTCGTAAACGTCTGTGTCCGTTGACGCTCTGCCCTTTTTTTTCTTTGTTTGGCTTAACGCCGCACTCGCTGCCGCATTATCTCCCTCACCCTCTGACGCCGATTCATCAATGGCAATTCGGACACCTTCAGCTGTGACCTGTTCCTCCATGTTCTGAACCTCAGCCACAAGATCTTCTTCGTTAAGGTTTGTCGCCTCTGATTGTTGCCCAGACAAAGCGACGGTTTCACTAACTTCATGTGCAGTGACGCCATCCTTCAATACGCTTGGAGATACAATCAATATACCTTCTCCGAGCTTGTTTAGATCTCGCCCTGCTCGCCCCGCACGTTGAACAAGAGCACAAAACGACGGTGGAAGGCCCCACAAAACAACGCGCTCGATATTACGCATGTCACATCCCTGGAAATTTAGAAAGCAATTTCCAAAATTATCAAAGGGAAACGTACCATGCCGACGGCATCAGTGCAAAACAAGATGCGTATCTCTCCCTTCTCGAGTAGCGACTCCAACTCACGCTTTCGTTTTTCGCCCACATAGGCGTGATAGAAAGCGATACAAGCTGGATCAATACCCTGCTCGATAGCCCAGTCCCTGGCACGATCCGCGGCGTCTTCGGCGGTTGTTCTCTGATTGCAATACACGAGGGTTATCGGAATGTCCTCGGGTTTCTTGGCGGTTGGTGGAATCAAAAAGCGTATGTCGCCCTTTGTTTCTTCAGAATGCTTCATCTTCCGGACTGATAATGCCACGTTAGGCCGTGCGTTGGTCAATTGCACCATCTTGGTATCGCTTCCAAGCTGCAATTTATGCCGTACGTCATTGAGAACATGACGGGGAAGCGTTGCTGATGCCACGACGAATGGAACATTTTTAGGAAACCGACCACGAAGCACACCAAGGCCAGCATAGTCTGGACGAAAGCTCCCGCCCCACAAACTTATACAGTGTGCTTCATCGACGCAGACAGCGCGAAGTGCGCTCGAAAACTGGTCCTTCGACAAAACGGCAGTCCGAAAGTCTGCGGAAGTCACGATCTCAGGTGAAACGATGACCTGCCGGAATTTCCGAGCAGCGATATCCTTTCCAAAGTAAGTCACTTTGTTTTTGAATGAAAATACGACACTTACTGCATATAATTTATCAGAACCCATGCGAGATAATGTCTCCTTGCATACGGCAACTGTAGCAATGCCCGCCTTGTCTGCCTAGATATTTTAGAAGATCACAGCAAAATGTGAGCACCAGTACGGTGACCTATAGATCTCTTGACACTTACCTGATTTATCATCAGTGCAGTGAGAGGCGAAATGGTGAGGACAATACTATCCTCATCAAGCAGCAATGGCAAGGAAAAGCATAACGTTTTCCCACTTCCAGTCCCCACGTCGACGACGACATCCTGCCCACACAATATCGCTTTGGACGCATCTAATTGCCATGAAAATGGCTTTTTATGCCAAATTTCATACGCCCTTGCAGCAAGTCGGTTTCGGTCCACTTCTTCTGGTTTGTATTTTCGAACTTTCGAAACGGGGGGCATGGTGAGTGCTCAGTTTGGTGGTAAAACGTACACCAGCGTCATCCCCGAACCCCAGACATGTCTCGGGTGAACGCGTATTGAATAAATAAAATACATGTAAATTTCTAAAGTTATCGAGATGTATCTAAGTTCGTTCCTGTAAGTTTTGAGTATCGAAGGACTCGTGAACGCATTGCGAGCACTTGAATTGAGGATGTGTTAAGGAGAGTTTCCTCATTGAGACGATAATCGGAGTCCGAAATTTTGTCGGTTGCATCACGATCAATCCCTTCCAGACGTTATGGTGAGTAATACGATCCCAATAACGGCTGGTGTCGAGACTACTAAGGATTGCAGAACTATCCTTATACTGAGCAGAGGAATAACCAAAAGGAATCACGTGTCTTACCCCAGAAAGAACGCCAGAACCAACCCGACCACTATGCAACCCCAACCCACACCTGACTTCATCCCACCCAACCTACTCCCCCCGTTCTTCGTCATAGGCGCACTTGACTTAAACTCACTAGAGCTTGACGTGATACCTGTACTTGGAACGCCACTGGTAGAATGCCCACCTCGCCTCAAATTCTCAGGAACCGCTTTCACCGTCGCCCATGCCGTATCGAGGCCGCGTCGTACCCCATCCAGCTGATCACGCCCGAGGAGGAGAGCTGAACGAGCGCGGATGTGGATGCAGCGTATGTCGCTGAGGAGTCTTTGATCGTTGGGCCCGTGAAGGTTTGTGTTGTGTTGGTCTGTCCACAATTATGTTGTGAGACGGGCTGATATGTGAGAGAGAAATTAGAAGGACTTACGTGGACGTCGATGATGTAGGTAGCCGAGCCGTCGTCTGGGATGAATGCGAATTTCGTTTGTACCTACGATGGATTATTTAAAAATCGCGACACTCAAAGGCGATGCTTACGTCTGTCTCTTTGAAGAAGCTCGCCGTACGGTCATGCATCGTTGGGAACCTAGATCCGGTGTACATTTGAGGATCCGGTTGCATGAACGCATCTGTTTGTTTTTTTATCAGAGGTGTTCGACGACGAAAAAGAAAGGTAGTAGGGCAGCGACGCAACACACGTTGTATGACAAAGATCTTGGCTTCACCAGCTGGAATCCCAGGAACACCCAAAAAGTGGATGTGGTTCTGCGCAAGGGCCATAACTGGCTGGTACGAGTCTTCCTGAAGGACAGCTCCATGCTTATTGTAGTCCTTTATCAACTGTTATGCTCGTTGATGTTGAATGTTCTGATGACCTTTGTCCGAATAGGGACGATCCGTGGTCTAAAGCTAAGTTGGCATCCACCGAAAATACTAAGGATGGCAAAGCCATACGGAGCACGGAATCTCTTCAATGTTGTCCTGAGGGGAGGAACAAGCAAAAGGAAGCATGGTTCACGCCAGTAGAAATGCCAGAACCAACCCGACCACCATCCAAATTCCCTGACCCACATTCCACTTCATTCCACCCGACCTACTCCCCCCGCTCTTCGTCATAGGCGCACTTGTCTTGGACTCAGAGCTTGACGTGACACTCGTACTTGCAACGGCACTGTTAGAATGCCTGCCTCACCTCAAAATCTCAGGAAACACGTTCACCGTCGCCCAAGCTGTACCACTGCCCGAGGCCGCATGGTACCCCATGCAGCTGATCACGCCTGAGGAGGAGAGCTCAACGAGCGCGGATGTGGATGCGGCGTATGTCGCTGAGGAGTTCCGTAGATTGCCCAGAATTAAAGTTGGGTTTTATTTGATTGTTCATCAGCCTAGGATATAATTAGCGCACTAGAAAAACCATATGCAAACGACACACCACGACGAAGACCAAGCATAACGTCATGAATTCGACGGAGTGCAGCGGGAGGCATACTTACTCAACGTCCTAGCCCGTATGTTCGAAGTTGAACTGAAGCACAAAATCAAATCGCATGAAGAATTTCATAAATTATAAGCGAAAGACTGGCGTAAAGGGTATAGAGAGTAAGAGTAAAAAAGACGTGCGCAAACCAAACATCAAACTCTACCTCCCCGCCCCATCCTGACCTGATCCCACACAAAGGTCATTACTTCGGAGGGGAAAGGACTGAATCCTTCACTTTTTGGAGATATTCGTCAGGGAAGTCGGAGTCTAGGGGATAATTGAACAAAGATAGCGAAGGAAGGAGAGCAAAAATCCTACCAGGTGTTCCGGCTCGCCTGTCCGGAGAATTGCCCTGGGCGGGTTGAGCGTCGTTGAAGACTAAGAGGTTATTAGTGAGAGGAAGAGGAAGAGAGGGGGGGCTGACTTTGATGGATTATATCCTTGAAGATTCGCTTGGTGGGAGGCGGGGCAGCGCTGGGTTTGGCATCATGAGGAAGCGCATCGGAGGGGTGGTCTACAAAAAAATTTAATTGGGATTGCGGAGGGAATGGATGATGCTGACCCTTGATGACGTTCAGCGCGTTAGTCGGGTCCTTAGCGACCTGGGAGACAGTGTCTACGATGTCGTCAGTAGGCAGTGGAGATGGGGCGGAGGATAGACTGACTTTTGATATCGTCCGGCTTGATTGATGGAGCGTCTTTGGGAAGTGGGTCTGAAAGGTAGTCAGTTTAAGAGGGGGGAGAAAAATGGGGGAAGCTGACCAGGGGTGTCGTCTCGAACGATGTTCTGAAGGGCCCTGGGTGTGTGCGCTGGGAGGTTGTTAGTCAAAGGTACGGAAAGAGAGGGTGTGCTGACAAATAGCTTCTTCCGCCGGTTCAAAATCGGCAGGGCATGAGGAAGGGTGTCTCGACACCAGCCGTTATTGGGATCGTATTACTCACTCTATGGGTTCAATTACCTGCCTTATCCTGACCCAATCCGGACTCATCCATTAAACTCCCCTCCGTCCACTCCCTAGTATTTAACATAGTGAATTGAACCCGTTAGAGATTGGTTCGAGTCTAGAGGAAGGGTAGGGCGTCGTCCCGACTAAATAGTTCGTCGGCTAGAAGATTGTTAGCCAAAAGCAAAAAGGGAGGTGAGGAGGGAGGCGAGGTGGAGAAGCGGGAAGGAGACTGACTGGAAGTGTAGCCCTGTTGGTTGGAGCACCGGCGGCGGGTGTGGAATCGTGACAATCGATGTTGTTGACAAAGTGATTTGGAAGTGCTGGAAATTGACGGTTGTTTGGCAAGAGGCTTTGTCCACCTTACTTCACCACATCACCCTTACAACAAGTTACAACGACGCCTTTCGGTACACCCCGAAGAAAGACGGAAACCCTCCCAAGGCCACTTCTTATGCCACGCAAGCATCCTCCGATCCACCACTTCATCTCGGTACACTCACTCCCTCACGCTTCTGATCCCTTCTTACCGCAACAGAGCGTCGACGTCTACATCAGTAGAACTTCAAACTTCAGGTGACCGAGCTATACGGCCTCCTCAAAGCCATCTTCCTTTACAGAATACCAGATCAAAAATCCCTGGGGCTACTCCAATTCGTCGGCCACTTTGCCATAGTTCAGATCCCATAATATCCAACTGCGAGCCTTGCGGTGAAAGATCTACGACTCGTTGCTGGGCTTTCCCTCGTATGTGTTCCATTTTTTAAATCTACCATTACTCGTTACTTCTTTCTTGGGAAAGGGACATGGTTCCGTATCTCCAGCGGTGAGACAGATGCCGGCTCCTTTGACATTTATACTACCTTTCAGTCACGTCTCCCGCCCTTCTCACTTCCTTCATCCCGTCTCATTCTCTAATCACGTTGCACACAGAACATCGCGATAACCCTTGGCGCAAACATCTTCCCCAATCTCAAAAACCTACGCGTCTTTAAAATAGTCTTGGGAGCCAACAAAAATTAATACGCATAAGGGTCAATCGACTACGACATATACGATTGACGCCGCAGCGAAAAGGACCACTGCGACGCCATTTGATGAAGGGGAGTGCATGTGTAAGAAGGTTAAAAGGGGATGTGGAAGTTTATCAGAATAAATAAGGTGTGTTTAGAACAAATGCTATGCTGAAAATAAGAAACCGATTGTCAAATTTCTATAAACGGGTCCAGTTATTTCAAAATTTTCGCTTTTACTTCGTCGTCGCCTTTGCCTTCGTCGCCTCCTTTGCCGCCTTTGCCTTCGTCGCCTCCTTTGCCGCCTTTGCCTTCGTCGCCTCCTTTGCCGCCTTTGCCTTCGTCGTCGCCTCCGCCTTCACCTTCGCTGCTTTCGCCTTTTCCACGGTCTTCGCTCGCTTCGCCTTCTTCTCTCGCTTCACGTTTGCCGCCTCCATCTTTTTCACCGCCTTCACCTTCTTAGGTTCCTTCGCTGTCGTCTTCGCCGGCGTCGTCGTCGTCGCAATCCGAGTTGATGTCGTTGACTCAATTTCTTTCGGCTCGATCTTGCCGATTTTCCAACCATACAAACTGCCTAACAATCCTGAGCGTCAATGTGATGTTAGAGGAAGGTCAAACAAAAACGCACCGTACGCGTCGGAGTCTCTGATTAATTGGGCCGTCGAGAATTTCCCCACATTTCTGAAAGGCAGGCTAAGGCGTTCGAAGGGAACGATGTGCGGCCGAAGGCTGAGAGCGCCAAAGGCGAAGTGGTACCATCTCGCGGGTTGTTGCCATGGTGGGTTCGCTGGATGGTTGCGGGAGACACAGTGTAACCAGACCATACGTGCATTGTGGTCAACGTGCGATATTACTGAAGCGTGCTTCCCAACGAACCGGGACTAAAAATAATTAGTGGGTGTAAGCTAGAATTATATCATGGAAAAACATACCGTGGCTTGCTGTCGTTTTGAGGCACCTTTTATGTGTTTGAGCCAATATTCGACAACGTCTCCTTTCTTGGGTGTTGGCGCGCCCTTATCGACCTTTGTGAAAGATGTGCTCATCAATTGACGGCGGAGGGAGAGCAGAAACGAAGAGAAATTGAACATATGGAGTGTGTGGTTGTGACTTGTGTGGTATGGTGGGTGTGAGCGACGGGGTTATAAAGTTCTGGAGTAGAGAGGCGAGGAAGGGGGGAGGGGGTTTATATGGGATTGAGGGGGGTAAATGTCAGCCTCCCATCGGCGATCTGTTTCCGGAGGCTGACATTTGCCCCAGTCAACCGCAGAAAAGTCCCCCTCTTCAGTCCCTCAAAAGTATTTTATCTTCATGTTTTCGCTCATTCTGTAGTGTGGACGTTACAACCTCGACAGAGCCACATCAAATATTTATTTACTATGGACTATGTAAAGTGCGTTTCTCAGAACGGTAAGCATGGTGTTATACTGTGGCATTGGAAGCATAATATTCGGGTCTTCACTTCATTAGCACTGGCAGATTTATCATCATGGTTGTGACGGATCATTTAAAAATCGTGACGACTGAAGAACAAAAGAAAAAAAACGAAGCTTACGTCTGAAGCCTCTTTGAAGAAGGTCGCCGTACCGCCGTGCATCGTTGGGAATTTGGTTCCGGTGTACAATTGACGGTCCAGTTGCATGAACGCATCTGTTTGTTTTTATCAGATGTGTTCAACGTAGAAAAAGAAAAAGAGAAGAGGTAGTAGGCAACGTACAGTGTATGACGAAGATCTTGGCTTCACCAGCTGGAATCCCAGGAACACCCAAAAAGTAGATATGGTTCTGCGCGAGGGCCATAACGGGCTGGTACGAGTCCGTGGATTTCCCGGATGTAAAGTTGGGTGTTTGAACGTCAATCCAAGGAATGGCTTCGGGCGAGGCGGATTTCAGGAGAGCCATGTCGAGCCGGAAGAGTTCCTTGTTGGAATAGGCGTCTAGAGATGATATACATTTAGAATTAGGCAGAAATAAAAAGACTTGTACTTACAAAAGACGTTGGTGTCGTGATCGAGGATGGCACCTACGTTGGTGGGATCGAACGGAGGGCCACCTCCAAATGCGCGCTTTGTCGTCGTAGTTTGGGCAGACCAGGATTTTGTGGTGGCGTCGTAGATGTAACTAGTCAAAGGGTTCTTAGAGTCGGCGTTAATAACATAAATGGCGTTTGTATACTGCCCTTCAAAGTCACTACGGGTGCACCTCTGATAGATCGTAAGCGAATACATACCTGAGAAAGGAAACAATGGACGTTCACTTGATCAAACGGACTCGAGAGGTGGTCAGCCGCAAAGGACAAACGAAGGAGCAAGAAATTCAAAAGACCAACTCACGGCCGACCACTCGTCGTGATGTCCCCCAAGACTCCTGCCTTCCGGCGTTGTAATCTCTCCCGCGAAAACCAAAGGCGAACAAGTTCCAGTGTGTCAAGTCGGTGTCGAAAGCAATACATTGGGTTGGGCCGGTGGCTGACGCGATTACGAGGCTGGTGGCGAGGACGGTGAGAGTAACAGAGAGCCAACGCATTTTAGAAAGAGTGTCGAGTACGGAGCGACTGTTTGATATCGAGGATAGAGTGGGGAATATTGAACAAAGACAGCAGAGGAGGAAGAGGAGAGGCCTTACAAGATGTTCTGTCTCGCCTGTTGGGAGAATCGCCTTGGGCGTGCTGAGCGGCGCCAAAGACTAGGAGGCTATTAGTAAAAGGCAGAGAAAGAAGAGGAAGAGGGGGGTGGCTGACTTTCACTGAATAGAGGCTTTGTGTTTCGCTTGGTGGCAGGCAGGGCAGCGCTGGGTTTGGCATCGTGAGGAAGCACATCGGAGAGGTGGTCTACGAAAAGTTTCAGTTGGGTTTGCAGGGAAGGGATGGATGATGCTGACCCGATGACGTTCGGCGCGTTAGTTGGGTCCTTAGCAACCTGGGAGACAGCATCTACAGTGTCGTCAGTAGACAGTGAAGATGGGGCGGAGGATAAACTGACTTTTGATATCGTCCGGCTTGATGGATGGAGCGTCTTTGGGAAGTGGGTCTGAAAGGTAGTCAGTTTAAGAGCGTGCTGGAAATTGACAGTTGTTTGGCAAGAGGATGAAAACCTAGCACCCCGCCTTTCGGTACAAAGATGGATGGCGCAAATTCGTATCTCCAACATGTCCACACTCGCGATCCGCACATGCGGTCGTTGCTTCTCCCGCGGGAGAGTTGTTCCTCTTTAGAGGAGAGTACAGCTCCATGCGCCAGAACAGGTTCCATTTGGGTTCCATCTCTACCGCAACTTTCGGGTGTTCGACACTGGCATTGGTTCGACATTCAGACGCACTCGTGGAACCGGATTGATACAAAGGTTCACCCAAGCGCGAGATGGTGCCATCAGATGGCGCTTCGGAAGGGTTTTGTCATTTTCTTTGAGGGTTTGATGATCCAGGGGTTACCAGTGTGCTTTCATGCTTTTCTTACGTGTATATCTCCTGAAATTCGACCCAGCTATGCACCTCAATGACCTATGGGTTTTCAATACGCAGGAGTAGGGCTGCCCACCGCTGCCGAATTTACGATCGTGGCAGGAGTACAAATGGCGTCAACTTGAATTCAAGGAAACAGAATTGAAACCATCGTTCGTCTCTCCGACACCCACTATATTCACGCGTGACTCTCTTATAGCGCGTGAAGTGGATTCTCCTTCCTCCCCTGCACCGACGGCATCATCCTCCATGGTGACTGCCCTTCCTGTCTTTCATTTACTCTTGACTGAACGTCAATTTCACCGTACAGAATACTAGGAAGGCAAACACCCCGTCGGCGCGATGCTTGAGGATACTTGGATTCTCAAGTAAACCACTCCCCAACCCCCTCCCTACGCTTCGACTTACCCCGACGTTATAGGTTCAAGAAGAGTAGGTAAGTCAGGACTAGCTGATCATCCACTCATGAGGAAGTCAATGGCGTTAGGACGCAACAATAACCCTCGTGCATACAGTGAGGCGACGCGTAAGATTGCATGGGGCGGACGGGATGAAGTAGGATGAGGGGTTCTCCAGCGTCATGTGAGTCTATCCCGTAGACCCTCGTGATGTTGCAGAAGTTGATGCCAAGTGAACGTGCAGCGGGCGCAGAGGTGAGTACCTTGACTGGTTCGTGCCAAGAGGTCTAGGATATGGAGGAATGTGCGAGGCAATTGAGTATGAGGGCCATGGGTGCTTTCGCATGGTGCAAGTCGTTTACCGCACATTCCGATGCGTTGGGATGCGACATATTCAGGTGAAGTTTTGCTTAATGGTCGGTAGACTGGCCAAGCAATGGTATATTGAGGTGAGATGTCCGCCAACGATTCCGTGTTCCACAATTTTGACAAGCATGATACACGCTTCGACTTTGTAATATTGAGAATATGTATTGCGAGCGTCGCAAATGACCCCTCTACTGTATTTCACAAAACATCTGATTGCAAGTATCGTTGAATTTCTGGATCGACATCCCTCTGCCCATGCGAAATTATTCTCACAGAGAATTCAAACTTCACGTTACGTGCATTCGAGAGCCAGGAAAATTGTGAAGCTCCTATTTTCTCTAATTCCCCCTTCAACACGTTCCGGTGGCGTTCCCCTACTCGACGTTCCTCAAGTTCGTCGTTGGTGAAACATATATCGTTAACCCAAAGAATAATTTTGAGGGATACACGGCGTAGAGCATGAAAAGCAGACCGCGAAAGGACATCATCGAGTCTCCCCCATATTGCATCGGTTCGGCAAGAGTTGACGCTCTGGACATGGGCGTTTATTAGCAGTTCTTCAAGTACGTTGTCACCCGACATCGCGGATAGCGCGTCTGGCAGACCTAGCAGTGGATCCTGTAGTTCATCCCCGACTTCGAAGAGAAGTACTAAGGTTTTCAATGAGTGACACGCCGCCAAAGACGAGGAGACCTCTCCTAGGGAAATTTTTGGACCGACTGGAATAAACATTCAGTCGAGAATGACTTCGATGATAGATTAGAATTTACTTTCGCAATGAAGAATTTTTAAGTTTGGTGAGACCTTCATCACCTCTTTGAATGCGGCAACCTCATCCGCATGGCACAGGCTGATGCCAGTGAGTAAATGTAGACTTGAAAAGTCTATGGAGAGGGAATCCGTGGATATTCTGTCGCGTACGAGGGCCCGAATGCTGGAAAGTGGGGTGAGGCCAAAGTCAAAGGACTTTATGCGGGTTACGATATTAGAGGGAGTATTTTTGCACTCGCGGAAATTGCTTCTTCGGAATTCGGCGTGGTGTATGGATAGCGTTGAGAAGCTAGCGGCACTTAGTAAAGAGACTGGTAAGTTCTTGAAATTCAAAATGCTGAGCTCTTCCATGGTAGGGTGGCGGATGACATGCTGCAAGGCGGCCTGCAACTCTGTTGGTAGTTCATCCCAATCCGCAGCAACGAAATTGAACAGTTTGGGAGACAAAATCAAGGATTTAACGTTAACATCGGAGGCCAAACGCAGGCGCCGAGGAAGGTCGTTATCCGTGAAAGAAGACCGCTCCACATCGAAGTGGAATGTGCCCGCCTCCAAATCTGTGTCTTCTCCTCTGAATGTTTCATAAGGGAACTTGGGCAACATGGTGGTTTTCCTGGACCTTCTCGCTTTGAGAATTGATGAAGAGCAGACATTTCTTCGAAGAAGGACAAAGGATCGACATACGCTCATGTTGTACGTTGGTGAAGGATGCGAAAAGGTTTCAGGTGGGAGAATAAGAGGTTGATAAGAGGACTGGATGACGATGTGGATACACTGAGTCTGAAAAATATATCATGTAATCATCACCTGATCGCTTCTGAGAGACAAGATTTAGAATGCCCGAGGTCTTTACACTGCCACTGCTTTTCCGAGCGGACTCCGGTCGGACTCCGTCGGACTGAGGGTATCCAGAACAGATTTTTTTTTGCTTTGCAACCCCAGCAATTTTCCGCCCATTTTCCATTGCTTGTCCGGGCATTTCTGGTCGGACCTCTCAGTCCAACGGACTTTTCCGTTGGACAACCGATGGACTATCAGCAAACCAGCAGTCACAGTCCACTTGAAATGACCGGCAAGCACCAACGGAAGTCCGATGGATTGACTTTCATTATTAAAAATAGTGTAATTATCCAGAGTCGAACGTATCACGTGTATAGACGAGGGAGCGTTCTTCCAACTGAACGAATAGACCGTTAAAGATGGGCAAACCGACCTCACCTAGTCCTGCTGTGCGTTGGTCACACCCAAATCGAACGTCGGAAAATGCCGACGCTTGATTTGGGTACCATCAACAATACTGTGATGTGAGGGGTTTGAAGGATGGGTTTGGGGAACAGAAGGTCTGCGTCACGAGTGGGGGTGGTCGATTCGGAAGGCGTTTGAAGGGTATGAAGAGTGGAAGCGGATAGAGGGGTTGGGAGCGACGAGACGATCCGCGGGTGACACGTCGGGACGGGTCGACGATGCAACACGACGGAGCCACAGATGACATTGATCCCCTCATGTACTTATAGTTTGTATCGTATTAGATTTACAGTTTAATTATCTCTTTCACCCAAATCTAAATTTCATGAGTTATCCAAGAATGCACTTGGAACGCGTAGATATCATTTACGTCATGCCAACACAAATTTCATGATGACCTAATCTTGCTTTGTCCTCACCGTCACCTTCATGGCGGCACGCCTTATCTCTTCATCCTGAACAGCTGCAACAAACACCTTGAGCTGCCCCTCCAAACCAGACTCGAGCTCACTAGCCATGTCCTTCGTTGGTATGTGCTGGAACACTGAACTTTGAGTAGGCCCAGATCTTCTTTAGCAGAGGAAACGTCGGAAGCGAGGCAGCCCAGCAACGACGACGCTGGAAGGAAGAAGAAAACGGCAAAGAGAAAGAAGGTTAACCATGCATGTTTGTACTGTCGCCGTAGCCATATGACGTGTGACGATGGGAGACCATGTCAACGCTGGTGAGTCCTCTAAAGTCAGGATTCAAAATCTGACGTCAACAGCATCAAGCGCGAGATCGGCCACTTGTGCCACGATGAACACCGATCGCGACCTCCTGAGGCGCAACCCGCGACGACAGCAGCCTCTTCAAGCCAGGTGCGGACGTCCATGCCAGGTACCCACAGTTCACGTTTCCCCAAGGCTAGCATTGACAGCTACTCCAGTTACAGCGTATCAAGGCCCCCTACCACAAGCTACTTCGGCTTGGCCAATGGTCTTCCCCCAATCTTACCAGCCTCAAAACTTTGGCAACGAGTTTTCTGTCCTAACGCACGTTCCCGCTCTTTTTGTTCCAAATCTTTCTTCACATCTCCACAGAGACTTTTTAGAAACACTCGACGACGGATTCTTTTTCACTCCCCCAACAACCGTTGCACCCGCCCTCATTTCAAATCCTTTCCCGACCCCGACGGAGGCAGCATCATCTGCTCCCATAACGACCGAAGTCACTGCCGCCGAGCCGCCACCCGTCCTTTTACCCGCTGACAAGACGGAAAAATTCCTTCTCACAGCTGCCGATCAGGAATCGGGGTCCCGCGATGAACGGTTAAACCGCGTTATCAGGAGCAAGTACGAAGCGGGGTTACTGAAGCCGTACAACTACGTCAAGGGTTACGCAAGATTGTCGCGCTGGATGGAGAACAACGTATCTCAGGAATCGAAGCAGGCGATTTTGCAGCCGTTATCGATTCTGCGGCCAAAGTTTCGGGTGAGCACATCTGCGTCCTTGAGCTATTCTGGGCTGATGGGTATAGGCTGTGGCGCAATCTTTGAGAGACCTCGACCTGGTATTCATTGAGGAAGCGTTTGAACGCATGCTTCTCGACTACGATCGGGTGTTCCTGGCCATGGGGATCCCGGCCTGTCTGTGGAGAAGAACGGGGGAGATATACAAAGGGAATAGAGCCTTTACTGAGCTCATAGGTTTGGATGGGCACTTGATGCGTGATGTCCGTTTACTTCACGTCTACCCACATCCATGACTTACTCGCACTCTAGGGAAGGCTATGCATTTACCAACTTATGGCCGAGGAGTCGGCAGTAAATTACTGGGAGGTCAGTGATTTCGCTCATTGTAATTCGAACATTTCCTCAACCACTACAGAAATACGGTCACGTCGCATTCGACTCGAGTCAAAAAGCCGTTTTAACGTCGTGCGTACTGCGACACAAGCCACGGCTCCAGCTTGGCTCGTCAGCGGCGTCGAAGAAAGAGAACGAGATCGGTACTCAGACTGAGGAAGGGTTTATCAACTGTTGCTTTTCGTTCACCATTCGTCGTGACGATTGGGGAATTCCGAGTATGATTGTGGGCAATTTTATCAGGTCGTGAACAAAGAGTGAAGTATAGTTGTATGTAATATATCTCTCTCAGATTTTTTTGAGGTCGTCATCTCATGAACACCCCGCCAGCGCCAAGACCTTCTGTGACGTCACGTCTTTTTTTAGCCACATCCCTCTGAACCAAGTCTCGTCTACCAAGGTTTCACAACTCTCGTATTTAGAGGTATGGCCTCCCTTTGGACGACAAACCTACCTGTCTCATACTCATGTCGGTGATCTGGCTCTCAGTTTTATTGATATCCACCTTGGCTTTATTCTTTGGCCTCTTCTTTGGGCTAAACTACCCGGGTACGCATCTGATCCGCTGAATCTGATGCACCTGCTTAACGATTCACATCCAGAAATACTAGACCATGAATGGCCAGCGACAACATGCACCCTCGTGAACGCCAAAATCCCATCCCGCTACTGCTGTGAGGCATCACAGTGCAACCAGCTATGCATCAACGCGGAATCTGGACTGCCGAAATGCGATTCGATCATATCCCGACTCAATGAAAACTACGATCCACTTGCCTGCGCTGCTGATAGTGGACAGTGTCCGCCGACGGGGAGTACATGCGATGGAGGGTAAGTGTGCGCTTAAGACACGAAGCATGATCACCGTTCAAAATTGGCGCAGGGTAGATAATTGCAACAGCTGTTGCTCAATATGTGAAGCCTGCACGACTACGTGAGTATTCATGACCGTTTCAACCATACCACCTTCTTACTGATTCAAAAAGGTGTTCTGGAGATCCGCAGACATGTACATCGTCATGTACGACCTACCCGTACGCTCGCTATAATCTTCTCCTTCCAAACGCTAAAACATAACATGCATATTGTTTATAGATGCGCCTGTCAGTGGGGTTGCGACAACTCATATCACAGTAACTGCATTATATCATGCCCAAACTGCTACTCTGTCGTGCTTGCCTACGCTTATCGAACAAAGAGCGGTAGCCTCGAGATCGTAACACAATCCAAAGATTTCAAGCAAAATAAAAATAAAGCAGGAACGTTCCTCAACGACCATCAGTTGAATGCTACGTCTCCCTGCCGCTATAATCCCCACGATTTATCTCAGGCGCGTTTCACACTGGTGTCAGACTCGGACTCACTGCTGACGCTTTTTCATTCAGATTGACTTCGACATATCGTATACGGGATGGAAATGGGCTATCACCTCCGTTTTCGGAATCATCCCTCTGGCCGTCGTTTTGCTCGTTTGTATTTTCTGTTACATTCGCTACAGGAAAAATCGCCCCAGTCGGCGGGAGGTACTTCACATGGAACCTCTGCCGGCCACTTCGGTTCAGCACAAAAATGACGGCCGTATTGGAGTATGAGGAAGGACGTCACTTCCCCTCACTGGAGAAGAGTATAGCTTATCTCCTACCATCTTCATACGCCCCCATTCTTAGTTAAAGGGGCAATTCCCGCAATCACAAAGAGGTTCATTCGCCCTGTACCATCTGTTCATTTAGGTTGACGCGCTGCAAGATAAGTATTGTTCGAAGGTGGGTAGGATAATGAAGTCCATTGCGCTGGAATTTTGGACGCAGTGTGGTTGTTCAGAGACGACCACACGACCCAGTTGCCGTCGTACACCAACGCACTGGGAACACTACTGAACTTCAATCAACTGCTTAAATAAACAAAACAAAGGAAGGTGCGAAGTCACAGGGCGAATGGTCCATGATGTATTTCGACGAAAGATTCTACTTTCCATAAGGGAAGATCTGCTCACAATCCGACCCGTTGAGTGGGCCGTAGAAATTGTTGAGATTCCTCTTCAAGGCATCGAGCAAAACGCCTTTGGGATTGGGGTAGAGTGACTTTACGGTCTGGTTGACGAAGTTGATGTAAAGCAAGCAGAAATGGTCGAAATCCGCAGATGTAGGGTCGAGGACATAGTTCCCAACTCCCTCGTTCTTTCCCGGCGCAATAGGGTGGGCACTAGCAATAGCGCTAATCCCATCACCAATTTCGTTGAGGCCGATAGACTGATTGGGCCGGAAGAAGTCTTTGGGCATTTGGCTATTCTGGAAGAACCCACGCGCGTTCGGTAGGCTAAGCCGTCCGTCTGATACGCGGCCGTCGACGAAGAATACCAGGGGAAACACGGACTCGGCATACGCCGTGAAGTAACGGGGGGAGATGAGAGAAAAGTTTGGGTTCGTCGCAATAGATTCTTGAATGCGCTGCCATCTAAACTCGGCTGCTACGCTCAAATTGTAGTATCCCCCGCCGAATTTGTTGCTGAAGGCAGAAAACTGTGAGGAGAAATTAATCTTTCACTGACTGCAAGCGTAGAAATATCTCACTTCATCAAACTGTGTTTCGTTAAAGCTGTGGTTATCTCCGAAAAATGCGTCTCCTAAGGGCTCGGTTCAATTGTCATCTAATTATCGGGGCGATGATCATACCTCGAGTCATACTTGCATCACCTTCAATCAAATAGATGTCAGAAGGTCTCCAGAGTCGACAAATCGTGATTACATACCTTCAAATACGGCGTGCGTATTGAGACCACCGACAATGGCAGGCGCGGGCGGGTCAGGGCCTGTTTGAGGCGTCTTTCCACCGATGCTAAGCAAGTCCGTGACCTGATTGCCGTCAACGAGATGCGCAGCGTATGTGACGAAGACCGCCAAATCATTTCCCATATTGAATCCTAAGCAACAATCAATATCAATTGTCAGCAATTAGTCGAACAGCAGACCTTCCTGCACCGCGTTGACAATTTGCGCCGGAGTAGCGATGCCGTTTCGAGGAAGCCACTGCACGAATAAAACAGTTACAATTAACTCCGATGAAACGTAACCATAAATGTCCGAACTCACCCCATGGGAGGCCAGTGTGTTTAACCCAGGGCAAGGACCTCGAATATCGCCATATCCGAGAGGCTTCCAGGGGTGGTTCTTGTCGTTGACCAATTTTGTTGAAGTATTCTTCAGTGGTCCAGGAGGAGGGCCAGCGTTACGAGCTTCTAGCAAGGGAATAATACGGTCTAATTCCGCCTCTGAAAGCCCAGCAAGGGAGCCGTATGATGGGAATGCTAGTACAGTGGTGGAAGATAATGCCAGGGCAATAGCTGCGAGGAAAGTAAGGCGAGCCATTATGCACGACTGAATTGTTGGAATTCGACGCCTACACACACCTATCTTATACTCGTGACAATGATCTCAGAATGCTGTGAATGACCAGGGGCAGCTGGGCTAAGGTCACATCGACTTTAAAAGGCGATGCGGTGCTTTCAGCTTCCGCAGTGGCAGGAAACTTGCCAGCCCGTCAATGACTCGATCCGTAGTTTTTTCATAGCGTCGACGACTTACAAGCGAAGTTAACACGCAGGAGATATAAAATGCAGTTGACCTTTCGGGTCATAATTTTTAAAACCCGAGGGTGAACCGTGAGCTTGTACCAGGTTTGCACTATATAACGTCCAAGGTTAGTCCGCTTATAGTCCGTTCTATTTATAAACCTCACCTCCAGATCACCTGTAAATGGGCGAGACACGTTCTTGGGTATGGTATGAAGCTGAAGCCTGACCGACGCAGCAAATTACTCAGCAATGAAAGGAGATATCTTCGAATAGATATCCTAACCGGACACAGCGGAGATTTCTGTAGATCAGAAGGCCAGTCGATCAAAAAACTTTGTCTCAAAATAAAGCCACCAGGTGCGCAATGCAAGGTCAAAACATAAGCGCCAAGGCCAAACATACCGATAGTAGGGTGATGCTGTCAGCATAGTTACCGCGCCCACTTCGCTTTGTAGTAGCTGCGCCGCAGTGGGGTCATAGTATCTAACAGATAATGGTAAGATATCAGAATGGACTTGGTGTGGAGGGCCCCTGACACTGACCAGATGAAACGTTTCAGTAAGCACGTATGGCACTGTAGCAATCACGGGGTATATGTAAGTCACCATGATCAAGGAAGAAGGAAGGTCTTAGGTCAGAGCATCTAACATCGCACCCCTTGATGCGGTAACCGTGGCTAGCGGGGCTGAATGTGGAAATGCGAAGCGGAGAAGCAGAGTTGCGACGAGCCCTCCTGAGCCTCCTCACAGTAATGAATACCGATGTCGACGGGGAATGCTTACGACTTGTTTATGAACAACCAAACCGTTGATCACGCTTGTTCAACTAGAGTCCGACGGTTGCGTCCTGTGGATTAGGGTCATCAGTCAACGTTTTGACACCCGCATGATGTACATAAATCGATACCTACCTCCTGAGGAGAAATGTAGGGCTAGACTGTCACCATGAAGCAATCCAAACTCCGCCGAAGTTGGATCCGGAAAAGGCCGACGAGTTCAAGCCTTTTGGAAAGCGAGAATAGACATCAAGTAACAGAGCAGAGGACGAGTACAATTCCAAAAAAACTAAAAATACATGCAAGGAGAAAGATCCTCGGGCCTCAGGAGTCATGGAGGATTCTTGAGATGCGCCTCAAAAAAAGGTGATGACAGTTCAAGACGGCAGAATGTCGTAACATGTTTTATCCTCAAATTCCCATATACCGTAAACCCCTGGCTTGCCCTGATTGAAGAGATCGTAAGGACAACTTATCTCCCGACGTGCAGCTATACTGACCGAGTTTGTGCAAGCAAGGGGAAAGTTGGACTTCTCAAAGTCAGCAGGCGTCGTGGCGCACATGATTTGCCAGTCGTCTCCCTCTCTCAAATTTTCGAGACGAGATTCGAAGCGCTATCGCAAGGATTGATTGATATGTCGCCAGTCAAAAACACGATGAAAAGCGCACCCTGGTATCCATTGTCGATCCGTGGTCCACGCATCCCTAGTTATCCAAATTCATTTATCAGCAGGATGAGATGGAGATAAAGAAAAAAAGAGTACCCTATCCTCAAAATCGCCCCACCACGTTCTACAATCCGATTCGGCAAAGTCAATGACCCAGTGCCCCCATACGCCTCCCCATGAGCCCTAGATGGCTGTGAGTACGGGGAAATGGCCGCGACGTGCAAGACTTACCAAATCCTGACAGAAATCTGGGAACAAAGCGGCCTCGTGAATTCCCACAGGGGTTTCCCTGCACGTTTTCAAGGCGTCGGCACCTGAGGGAGTATTAACGAGTTTGGCTGTGTATTCCCGCGTGGCATATCGTAAACAGTGTTCGCCGCCTTTGAGGCCTTCCCATGACGGGTTAGCGGGTCCGCCATCTGTACAAATTTCCGAATCCTGCTGGGCCATCACCATCTGAGTCAAAGTCCACCACCACCCGCCCCGCTGTAGTTTATCGTCTTCAGAAAGTAAGTCACAGAAACGGGTCCGCTGGCCAGCCAATTTCCGCGATATGGAGAAGGATTTCTCCCGTGCGAATGAACGGTCGTGATAGAAGAGAGGGTAAGTTGAGAGCACAAGCGAAAAGAGCCAAAACCCGACAACGGCTAGGAGCCCGAGACGTGATACTATTCGGCTTCGTTCCATGGGGGAGAGACGCTAGACCCTCCAAGGTCTGAATCCACATTTAAGAACCTGGGTAAAGACCATCGTCGGAGATAACACGAGGATGATAGGAGTGCGCTTGCCCGCGGCATTTGAACGACATTGGTGATCTCGAAGGTCGAGACCCCTTATCTTCGAATTGGCTGATCCTATTCGAAGAAAATAAGTACCAGATGACCAGTTATGCTCTGAACTGACGAGGATGATGACTCAAACAAACGTGAATGCCAAGATCTCAGAATGAGTGATTGGAGGCTGTATGCAAGAAAAAAGCTGATCAGCCTAGTTCGACGGTGTGCCAGGAACACATCTGCGTTGCGGGCGCCTAGGTAGTGTGCAATAATATTCCGTCCACAGGGGATGTAGTTGGAACTTTGCAAGAAGCGTTGAGTCGAGGATGGAACCAGGCTTGGCTGCCTAAATGAATGAAAAGACACGTGGCATCTGAGGCAAAGTAACGCACCTCAATATACTTCTTTATATCGGCCACCAAACCGCTGCAACAGGAGCTTAAAACTTGCAGTGAGAGACCACCTGTGTAGCAATATGACCTGTTTAAAGGCTTGAAGCGCACAGCTTGAGTTGGTGGCTCAAGGTTGGGAAACTTGTCGAAGCGGAGGTACGCCGGAGAAGATGATCAAGGGGGGCACAGCAGATCACCATTGGGTTTGGTACCGTGTCTTCCAAACGCTTCTCTCTCATGATGAACGGATGGACATCAGACACGAGGAAGCTGTTTCGAATTCCGAAGAAAGTCCGTGAGAACTTAGACTGATCAGATCATCCAATCAGGATTCAGCGGTCTCGGAGTCTCGGACTTTCCTCTCCACATATGGTATTCGTTGCAGACCATCTCGCCAGCCATTGACACAAGTACCATCAAAGGAACCGTCAGGACTTTTACTGTTTTTCTCTTTAATCCACTTTTTATATTAAGTCATTGCTAAACTGTTTCCTTCCACAACAATTTCACAGCACAACTCATCTCGGATTCAGTACCTTGAGTTTTCTTTCACGCGGAAATTTCTTGGCGTGATGAGTATCACTAATATGGTGGAGATTCCTACCAGAACCACATTGAACGGAACATCCGTATTCTCGCGGTGTGGGGTATATAAAGATAGTATAAAATGGGGAAATGCCGTTCCATCATCCAAGGGAAATCCAAGTCAATTTTTAACGCACCTAATTTCGTGAGTGGTCCCAGTTGACAATCTCCCATTCCATGAGACTAATAGGCCCTGACTAAGAGTGACATGAAATTTATAAATTTAACATTAGCCGCCCTTTTCACCCTCACAAACAATGCCCAGGCGTGGTCTGGCTATTGCTACGACTGCTCGACCAAGCTTCCACTCAGTGACTTCACTTACAGTTGCTGCGCATGGAAGATCGGGACCGATGAAGTATATCATTGCTGGGACTTCCCAGCAAGTAAAAAGGATACGTTTTCTGGTTGCTGTAAGAAATATGGAAAGTGCGCCGTTTTGTACTGATCATGGACATGGTGGCGGGTTGGGGCGGAAGGAGGTTAGATATCGAAGAGCAGAGTGTCGAGTTTCGGAGTTGCCTCAGTATAACAGACTAACAGTATTATGACCCACTTGTATACGAAGAGTACATTCCAAAAACGGAAAAGAGCCGATGCCGATCGCAAGACTGCCAAGAGGGTTTTGCCAAACAGCAACAACCTTATCTTTTGCAAATTGTGCACTCCAGGACCACGAGAGTCCGTCCACTTCCGCCTCCTTTGGCTACAGCCAAAAGACTTTACCCTTCTTCCCCGGACCCCAACCTTCCCCAATCACCACGAGATTCAGAATGAGACGCGCTCCATAGTAGACCCGAGGAAAATTATTTTCCAGCGGCTAGGTCGGACCGTAAAGTTTTGTATGCTCAACAAGTAGGTTTGAACTTCCTCCAGGCCTCCGCAATCCTTCAATAATCATTGGCGTTTCTCAGTCAAATCTCAGGCCTCATCACTCAGCGCAAAGAATGTGACCGGCTAAATCGTCCCGACCGTTCGACTTAAATTCATATAATTGAAAGATGCAATCCTCCACTTAACGGACCCAACTCTCCATTTTTCATCATGCTTCGAACTCATTAGGGGGAGTCAGAGTGGCCGGTTCAGGGCGATTCAGCAACGATTCTAGATTGGGTTCAAAGTTGGTTCAAAGACGATTCCGAAAAATTCTTTTTGTCTGAATCGTCGTTGAACCGGGTCTAACTCTGACCCCCCCGGTTCAGCTTGAGGGTAAAATCTCCATTTCAGCTCGGTTCTGACCACCTCTAGAATCCAAATACATGTTCCACACTCACAATTGTGCACGACGTCAACAACGTATGCACCTGAGCAGCCAAAGTATGCAGTGTAGACGATGGCTTTGGACAGTATTTTTGTGAGGACGTTGTAGGCGGTTATTGCAATGATACCGAGCACAGGGAGAAAATTTACGGCTGAAAACATATTTTCAAGGAGATAAATAGATAGATATATTCTGGATCCATCCTAATGAGGAACAACCGAAGTAAATAAATATTTACAATCTAATGGATTAGGGTGTTATGGTACGAAGGAGGTAGAACCGAAACTTGAACCGACGGTGAAGCGCCTCGAGAGGCGCTTCACCGTCGGTTCAGGTTCAGCGACGATTCAGCGTGTTCCCACGGTTCAGACGAGAAATCAACACCTTTGAACCGTTTCCGAACCGTTCGTTGAATCGTCGCTGAACCGCTCACTCTGACTCCCCCTATTTGTGTTTAATCACTCTTCTCGTGGCAACTGCATCTGCGAGCCCATCCATATATCCTCGCTCGACTCCCTCACCCATCAACCTCGGTATCCCTTCAGCTCTTCCCGCTAACGCATCACAAGCCCTCGACCCATGCCTCATCTCCTTCTCAATCGAAACAGCGTTCATTAACCAATTCCTTGGGAACAAGTCGAATCCGAATGCACTTACCCTCCAGCTCATCTCCAATATCGTCAATAGAACCGGTTCTGTCGCTCTCCGGTGAGTCATCTCTCCAATTTTAAAACCCACCGTAGCTCTGATATACTGCCCTTCTTTGCTGGCGAATGTATAGCCCTGGGGGAGCTTCGGTGTAAGTTTTAACGTGTCTCTTTCTTGCCAAATCTGAGGCCCAATCCATACTAGGGATTCCTCAATATTCGATCCTACTCTCACGGGAAGTCAGATTCTTGGCCTTTCTCTCGCAGGGGGTGTCTATCGCACAACCTATGGTCCTTCCTTCTTCGACACCATCAACCTCATGCCTCCTTCGACGAAGGTAATTTTGGACCTAAACTTGCTCAACAATTCGTACGAAGTTGCCTATAACCAAGCGGCTGCGGCAGTCCAGTACCTAGGAAGTAGATTGGACGCTCTGGAGAGTGAGTAACTATGGCTTCGTCCCTTATCTTCAGCTCAATTTTGTAAATTTTACAGTTGGGAACGAGCCTGACCTGTATGTGCCCGATGGCCATAAGAGCGCGTCTGATTGGGATCCTGAAATTTACACACAGACATGGGTTGTAAGTTTCCATCGTTTCGATTCTTGTGATTCTTATGGTGACCGAAATCTGTAGAATTGGTCCGCGAACATCACTATGGGGCTCAACCTTCCCAAGAATTTCTTCCAACCCGGGGGATTCAGTACGTTTCCCCGTATCGATTCCACCTCAGGCCGTGTATTTATTTGGTGATTTAGTGCACGACCCCACTGTTGTGAATTTCACAACTACGAATATAATCGCCGATGGTATCAACAACGCATCGACTGTCAAGACTTACTCGCAACATGTAAGCAGCACGTTCCTGTATTTATTGAATTGTACTTACTCCGTCGCCATTTAGATGTACAGGTTCGACACTTGCACCCCAGCCACAGATGCCATGGTCACGTACGATAATCTCGTCAATCACCAAAATATCACGAGTCAGTCCATTCTTCTAGCCCCCGATACTTGGACATTGACCATTCTTCGCCTCTTTTAGCCTTCATCAACCTTTACTTACCTCAAATCGCTGCAGCCCAGAACGCTGGGTCTAACCTGGTAGTCGGTAAGTTGTGATGGCAGAATATGATTTTGAAAGCGAATTAAGGAATGATAGGCGAATTCAACTCTGTTGGCTGCTCCGGAAAACAAAATATCACCAATACTTTCGGTCAGGCGTTGTGGTATGCGATGCCATATATATCGGGTCTTTGCAACTTAACGACTTTCAACTTAAGGCTCGCGGACTCCATCTTGTACTCGGCGTCGGTAAATATCACTCGGATGTACACACACCAAGGTAAACTTTTCATCGGGTGGATGATTGCCTTAGGCTGACAGGTTTCTCGCAGGAGCTACCCTCCTCGGCCAGTCTTCCATCCAACTCAACACCCCAGGTTTCAGCTGGTACTCCAGTTCTCCCTGAACATCTTACTACAGCTAACGATTATCCAGGTACAACTTCGTCTACCCCTCCAATTCCGCTCGTAACGGCCCCGCCCGGGCCACTCCATCCTACCCTGGCCTTCTCCTCGTGGCTGAAGCGATGGGTACCTCCGCCAACACCACCAGGATCACCTCGTTCCCCCTCGCCGCCCACCCCAACCTTGCCATCTACGCCATCTGGGATACGTCTGTCCGCGTTAACGCCCCCGCCCGCATTGCTGTCCTCAATTTGAGCCCCGAATCAGATCTCAGCATCGACCTCTCCTCGCTAGGTCCTACCGGCGTGAAGAGACTTCATTCCCCGACGAAAGATAACCAAGATTCCAACACTGTCACTTGGGCGGGGCAAAGCTACACGAACGGCACGGCGAATGGCACGATCGTTGTCGAGAAGCCGCTTAGCGATGGAAGCGTCGCGATAGGATCGTATGAGGGGGTGTTGGTGTTTCTTGGTGGATCCGTGAACGGGACCGTCAACGCGACACCTATTGGTAACTCTTCGTCTTCTACGTCTACATCCGCGAAGAGCAGTGGTACTCGGTTCGGAAGGCGGTCGTGGTACGCGATCTCGTCTTGGTGTTCCTTGTTGGGTCTTGCGTTGTTTGTTCTTTGAGGGTCGTCGTTGATTTATTATGTTCATTTATTCGTGTATGTCGAGCTAGTAAAGAAAAGGCTTTCAATCTATTCCGAGTATTATTCGTGGAGTCTTGCTCTCTCTTGCTGCGTAGACAGGCGATCATCGATCATCCCTGGAGTCTTCGAGGCTCTCTCGATAAACACTACCTCAAGAAAGGAATCATAGGGGGATGGGGTCGTGTGCTCACAGATCGACGGATGTGTTACCCGAGCTGGTACATTTTCCCCTTTTTTTCTTTATCAACGTCTGGTTATCGTACAAATTTGAAGTAGTGCTCTAAAGAAAAACGCGCAATATGAGTTGCCCGAGAATCAGCAAAAGCACATCCACCCTGATGCAGATGATATCATGAGTTCAAGAAATTTGAGTTGAGGTCAACTAACCGGAGATGACAACTGTGTGAAAAGGGTTCGTTATTAACAAATGGATTGGGGTGATTGGGTATATCTTACGGGCTTGTTTTCCAGCCGAGTTTTTTGCCATGTAGCATGGGCGTTCTAAACTATTGTCAAAGGGATATATCCTCAAAGTCAAAGACACACGTACCTTGGACTGATGGAGCCATGTGTAAGGTCTGTGTCCTTACTACTCCATTCGTCTGAAAAATCTCCCCAACAGTTAGATCGTGCCACGCGGGATCAGGACTCTTCCAATCTACTGTAAAGACATGGAATATTAGGGTTGAGCGTTGATGGACCACTGCCGATCCTAGGAGTATAACCCACCGCATCCAGGGAGTAGTTTGATTTGTTTCGAAAAACCTGGAGGAGGCTGAGGTAACGCAGAAATCTTGGGCTGTGATGTGCTGGCACTCTTCTCCCCTTGGTATACAACTGCTATCGGTTCATCTTCCTTGATTCCGGGATAATCAGCAGAAGATAGTGGTAAAGCATCAGCATCGTTCATAATAGTCTCCCCGCAATCATCCTCGAATATTTGAACAACTTGGTTCGAAGCCTCTTCCGCTTGAAGGAGGCGGGACCTTAAAGAAGAAACGTTGTGAGGCGGAGGGATGGAGAGAGTATCGAGGCGACCCAAAGAAAGGTCGACCTTATTGAAGGATGTTTTCGAAGCGACGTCACCATCTTGATCATAGACGCGATAATAGACTAAAGGTCGACGATGGATAACGTCAATATTTGTTAAATAAATGGAAAGGCGCACCGTAGCGTGGTTCATCACTCCATTCAGGTAGTGTTTTCGGGTCCAGCGTACTCGCCGCCGTTGAACGTTTTTCAACTGCCGACATCTCAATCATCAGGGCCATTGGATCAGTTTCAGATGATCCCGGACCACGGTCTCCTCGCAGCCTCGAGAGATGAGTGGAGTGTTCCAAGGGGACCTTCTCCGAGAGCGACGAGTACAATTTGTACGAGATGTCACTTCCAGAAGGTTCAAATCCTTCAATCCGGCAGATGTGCCTCTTCAGCGAAGCGACGGTGCGCGGAGGTGCGATGGATCTGGATAGAATGCAGCTGATGAAACGATCGCTAGAGTAAAGGGGATTGTTTGTTATCAGCGCGCCGTTGTTGGTGTACTAGAGCCTATAATATACTACATGCTGGAATCAGGACCCCGAAGGAAGTGAATATAAAATCCAAAAGATTCGTACTGTAATCGTGTGGAGCTTTTCCTCGCCCGGGTTGCCTAGCCGTCTGCGCCTTGCGAGATGTCGTCAGGTCAGAGAGCATCGTCAAACAACAGGTCACAGTACACTGATGGGCTCGTCCCCTCTGCCGTCTGACGAGGCTGATAAAGCTGTACCAACAACCATTGCTTGATTGAACTTAAACGATGTAGTGTGGGGTTGACAAGGTTAGAACTTAGATGTCGTTGTTCGAGGTGTCCGCAAGAGGCCATCACGTAACAGCAAGGGGTGAGAGAGTTGAGAATCTTTTGTCCAGGCACTGCCTCATTCGCTTGCTCATTCGGGCTCTCGCCTCTTGATGTATTCGGGTAGCATGAATAAAGGGTTTCTCTGGACTGGTCGCTCTGCGTAGCTAAGCAAGAATGCACCAATACTAAGTAGTAAGACCCATTCTTCGATGCTCTTCACGCAAATGATTGCACTGGTGACGTCGTAAACGAGGTTTGAATGAACAAAATTACTACAACGTTGACGAAAGAGCAGAGATTCAAGGCATTGAAGGTAGTTAGCTTTGTAAGATGCGTATAGGCGATTCTGGATACTCAGTACTCAGTGCTCGCACAGTGAAAACTCAGACGCAACGAAAGCCTCCCCATGCTTGATCATGAGGTGCTTTCTCTCATCCATCAGCTCGAGCCTGATCTCTTTCGCGTCCTCCAAAGTAATTGGGAAATCTTCGACGTTCCCAAAAACATGGTCCTGAAGTTCCACGGGGAGCTCCCCCAAACCCTTCCCTTTCTTATTCACGCCACTAGATGGCGCTGCCTGCTGCTGATTGATCAACGTTGCTTCTCTCCACCAATCCATCCGTTGGACAGGGACATTGGCTGTGCTAATCACGCGAATGTTTGGGTCAACGAGGAAAAGTGCTAAAATTTTTCTGTGACCGGGTTTCGTTGGGTCCGCAAGCTCGAATGGTTGTACTTGGTGCTGGAGGATATTAGGGAAGGTAAGAAGGCGTCCTTGGCGCGTCTCGACGCTTCCTACGTCTTGAACAGCTGCTTCCTCCTGTTCAATGCCAAAGACGACAGGAAGCCAATCGTGGTGGTCTTGCTCGTAGTTAATATCTACCGCAAATTCGTCTGAGGTTTGCTGACGGAAAGCAAGAGAGGAGGGCGTGATGTTCGACGTGGAATAATAGTACAGTGCTGTGGCGCAGATATGTTCGTTCTAGAATGATACAGATCTGATTATCACGAGAGAAATATGAGAGATGTGAGACCACGTACCAGCTGGCCTTCCACATGCCACGTCCCACCCTCGTATTTCGGCTTTTCTGGAGTTAACTCAATGTTCGCGAGTTTGACGATGATCTGTAGCCCCCTGCTTGCGTACATCTCTCTTAGATTGAGAGGTTCGGACTCTGGCGGCGCTTGGAAATTCTCCTCTGCGTCGGGGAGTACCACTTTTCTGACCGACTTATACCATTCCTCTCTCCGCTCCGCATACTCATCCTCATCTTCGTCCTCCCCCTGTTGCGGACCGTCTGTCTCGGGGCCGTTCTCCGGATCTGGGTCGTAAACTACATCCGTGTACTCGATGCGTGGTGTATGGGAAAAGTCAGGAATGAGAGGTGCCAGAGTGAGTTCCCATAGGGGAATTGCTGCGGTGATGACTTGTTCAACGATGCCGTACAATTTTTGGTCTCTCACGGGATGGAGGTTGTTGATATACGTCGTAATTCTGATTTTAGCATCAGTTTATGACGACCAAAAAAGAGAGCAAAACATGGGACGAACCTCGCATTTTCCTCCTTGATATCGACCTGGCATGGCAACCACTGGAAATTTTGACTGTAAGGATTTTTCACCTTAATGTCGTTGTCGTAGCCAGCATCCTCCGCAATTTGAGTCTCCGACTCCTTTGGCTGAGGTATCACCTCGCCTTCCCCGCACCTCGAAATACAATCTTCCAAAGTGGTTGTCTGCCCCGCCTCAAGAATTTTCGAGCGTCCGTAAACCAATGGAAATAAACTGGGGTGCACCAAATCTAAGACTTTCTCCTCCGATCCTGGGTGCCAATCCTTAAGGCGGTCTGGTATATCCTCCAAGGGCTTAACCGCCTCGACGAGTGCAAGTCGAACTGACTCCGGAACAGCGGTGTCTGACTTGATGACGTCGCCGTTATATACGCGGATACCGCCGTTAGGAGAATTATGGAACAGTATGGCTTTGTGCTTGAGTTCTTCGATGCACCAATTTGCCATGGCTTCCGTGACGTCCTTATTTTTGTCGCCAAGGATTTCAGCCTTCCATTTTGAGGCGATTTTTTTGTCTTGGATCTGTTTCGTAATAAGTAAAGTACGGGAACATCAATGGTATGTGAATGGTACCTTGACGTGCCAGTCCGGTTTATCCGTCACAGCGTTCATGATTTGTAGCATCGTGAATTCACGTAGGGTGGTGAGTGGAAGCCTATGGGGTGTGTAGCGTGAATGACGCCGGGAAAAGCGCTATGCTCACTGAGTCGCACCGGCTCCTAGATCGTGGTAACACAAAGCACTTGGAAAATGTTGCGCGATGTATTGGGGCTGGCCCTTCTTGGGCACATAGTTGAGCGGCAACCCAAAGCCTGGGAGGCCCATGTCCATTTGAGCCTTCTTCGTTGCTGATCTAGTCTTCTTGGGTGCCATAAGTTAGTCCTACCAGTGGCCGTAGACCCAATCTAGACTTGGGTTGGATGAGAGCTTGGAGGGAATGGAAATCGAAAGATGCGCCGTTATAACGTGGATGATCAATGATCGATGACACATGTGCACGTAAAGATCTGTAAATATTCAAATATTCAATATTCAATCCCAGTGAAAATGAAGGAAAACCGAACCGAACCACGCTGAGCTAATTATAAACAACCAAACGTCATCGATCTAAATCGAGCTGGACCCTTTGAGTTCTCAACACAATCAAACGAAATCCATCCCTACTGAATGCCTCTGCAACTGCAGTCTAACCTCCTGCTGCGTCGGTTATCGAGAACCGACTCCCCAACCCCACGTCGAAACAGTGCACGTTTCTGGACTCCTTCTCTCTCGCAGCCCCCCCTCTTGCCCTCACGCTACCACCATGCTCTGACCCCGCAATGTCTTCACTCGGCCCCTCTAGTCCCCTCTGTTCAACTGGCTCTCGCAGCGCTCTGGACCTCACGACTATCGTTAGGCCACCCTAGTTCAGAGGCAGAAAAACGGAGCGCGTCAGTGCCGGTTTTTTTGGCGGAGTAACTGTGCTGTGAGGTATGTGAGTCCTCCATTTACCTCCGTGAACAACTCAAACTGAGTATATGCGTTTCCGCTTAATTACAGATGTGCCTCAACCTTATTGGTTCTCATCTGCCGCCAAGGCTTGCCTCGATTCGCGTTTCCTTGGCGCGCCGGCGCATACATACATCACAATTCTCGGAGTCGTCGTTTGGGGCGTTTAACTGGATGTCGTGCGCAACAATCCTCCTCCCCGGAAGCGGCATTGGCCCACTCGTCGCTGCATATAGCACTAACGAATGCACCTCTCTCTGGCTTGGATCGTCGCTCCAACTGGGTGAGTATCAATAACCTGCTCGATTATTTCATACACTGACTATATGCGTCGAAATCTCACCCGAGGGCCTCGCCTCGCACCGCCTGCAGTCGATGTGGGGACAAATGAATGTGCAGGAGATGACTGGTGCTATGCAATCGGAAAAAGGTGATACCGTTACTCAGGTGTATATGTATCTTTCTCATGGGACGTCTTCTCCCACTTTTTCTCACATACCTCACTAGGAATCCTGTGACAAAGGCACAAACCCCGACTAATTTCATCAGTGGTCAGTTCCTTGTAAGTTATATGGTTTATCAACAAATGTGCGAAGCGGCATTGGGGAACGGTCTCTAAAATTGGTATGTCTATCAAATTGCTGCGAGCTTACCCGAATTCTGTTTTCAGCGCTCGGCCTGGTTGTTTCGAGAAAATTACAAAGTCTGACGCAACAAAGTCTCGCTATTTCGTTCCACTTGTCATTTTTACTAATCCTTGCTCTCAAAAATTCTTTACCTCGAAGGTAGCGATTCGATGGCTGTAGGAGCTGACAAACTAACCGCTTTTTTACGAATTAACTGCTTGCACATTGTGCGCTTTGAGGTAAGTCGTCGCCCATTCTCCCAATGCGTCAATTTCTGAGCCATTGCAGATCCCGGCTTCACAAATTTACGCACTCAAATGATCCCAACGGCGTGCTCCGGTGAGATGCTTTCTCGATCAGTTTTGTCTCTTCTGATATAGTGGCCAAGATATATTTCGTTTAGTTACTTTGCTTGCGTTTTTCGCATTCGGTAGAATTGCCCGGCCTCTGAGTTTTGCGCCCTTCTGGTTTTCCGGTACCTACAACATCGAGCAAGCTGTACTACAGTGATTTGTGTTTTTTTGCTCTTTACTTATTTTATGAATTAGGCATAGTGATTCATTCGCTCAGAACTGTTTCGATGAAACTTTGCTGGTGAGCTGTACCTTGTCATTTTTAGTCTTTTCTTGACTTAGCGCAGGTACCAAAGGCTTGAAGCGGTTTTTTTCTACGTCGATTTTGCTCGATTCCGCTCGATATCCGGGCGCACTGGATTTCTGTCTGGATCGATGTGCTTCGATTGCCCTGTCCACCTGCGATTTGCTCTGGTTAGATTTCGGTTAGATTAGATTAGATTGATATATGGATTTCCTTAGATAGCTCTAGCTATGGCTGGGTTTGAAATCTAGCCAGACTCGTAAAAGTCTCTATCGTCGAGCCGAATCTAATTGTTTAGATTTGGCTCAACCTGGTTCGGCCCCCTTAGCCCAATATTCATATTCAGGGTTCAGTGTCATGGACTAGTCATAACTACCGTCTTTGACGGAGATCCATTTCATCGACTCTTCGATGAAGATGACCCTGCGCAAACCTTTTCCTAGCATCTCACCCATCCTTCGGAAAACGCTAGAAGAGTGCACGGATTTAAAGGTGCAAGCCTACAAGTCGAACGAATCAAATGGGTTTTGACTTGCAGCCGAGTCAGCAAAGTCGCGTGTAGGATGTGGGAAAATGCGTGACCGGCGGAACAGGCGGTCCGAGAAGGTGATGTACTATATCTGGTCAGGATATGCGGATACTTGACTTTTTCATTGATGTAGCTTCAAGATCATATTGTTCGGCCTTAAAATTTTACAATAGTCTAGCCAATGCAATTTAACATGCTGCCCAAAATTTTGATAATTTTTGGAAGATGTGTTGTAGCCTCGGAGTGTTGCCGTCGTGAGGAGGCAAGTGAACAAGATATGCAAAGGCATGTCACAGTAATTCACTGAGGAGGGCAATTGTCACGTATTTCTTTCTCAAAATCGATTTTGACGACTTCCGCTTGTCCTGCCTTGCTGAAAATTTGAGGATGTGCTCAGTATTGGTATTAGATAGCGTTTGTAGAAAGAAACTGGGAGTAAGCCTCACACAGAATGTGTTCCTGGCAGTCAAAGCTTCATACACCTATCTAAAATCTCGCTCTTTGGCTTCTCACACTTCGTGAATCCCGTCAAAAATCTGCAAGCAGTATTTAATACACTAGCTCAACATGTGTGAATTTTCTTGAAAGAGCAGGAGTAAGGGAAGGACACGAAAAGTGAAATCCGCATATCTTGATACTACGCATATCCTGACCAGATATAGTATTGTTGGCATTGTTGGCAATCCTCAGGCCTTGTTCTGCCACCTTTGTCTGTTGTGGAAAATCGACTCAGACCAGACGTTCAGCTATCAGAATTTAAAAGTTCCAAAAGTATGTGATGTTGATGTGATGTTTTTCGACAGTTTTGATAACATAAAACTTAAATATCGTCCAAGCCAAAGCAAACAAAAGCTTTCAACCCATCACGGCCTTCACGCAGGCCAATGGCTTCGGACACCGATATCCCAGGAATCGACCAGCCCCTCTCCTACGAACCAGAACGTAGTAGACTCCTTCCAAACCTCCTGCTCGATGACGACAGAGATTCTGATCGCAGCATCTTGAACGAGGAACCGTCAACGAACCAATTACCGCTCACCACGCTTCGCGAATTCACGATGTTGCACATCATGAACGCCGTTACCGATAAGCCAGATTGGAACACCAAGGTTCGCGTCATTTCAATTTCGTGCAGCCATGAATTGTGTATCAGTGTGTCTGTCAGATTTTTGATGACGCGATAAGGTTGAGATGGAAGGCTGAGGCGTTAGCTACGCCGGGGAGAGATGTCACTGAGAGCATGGCTGAATGGTGTATGGAGGAATTGAAGTACAAGGCTACGCGCTTTGGCGGGATGCCAGGTGGCGCGATCAAGGTGTTCAACGGCGACGTGGTCAAATCGGACACCGCCGTTCCGCACTCAGTTAAAGCTAAGCTGCAAGCTGCTGTGAAGCCTCTTGAAGATGTCCCTTCATGGGAGAAGGACTGGCATCCCGGATCGGACGAGAAAGTCCTCGATTTGGTTCACCCGAGTTTATTTCCTGTCGTTTATGGGCGGACGAGGGCTCTCGGGAAGGGAAAGGGGTTCGCGACGTTGGAGAGCTGCATCGCAAGGTGCGGCGAGGGCGATGTGTTGGAAGAGCAAGACGTTTCGGACTTGGATGATAGGTACAGCACGGAATACCAGTGGTTACCTTGCGAAGTGGGCATTTCCCGAGGCGACGGGCGAGCCAGGTAAGATCCTGTTAAGAGGATTGCATCCTCTGACAATACTTTAACAGAATCACAAGCTACATTAACAACCTACACCCAGCGAAGCATAGGCACCTCTATAGCATTATCGAAGAAATTATCACTGCCTCGATTCCCCTTTGGAACATCACCCTCGCCCCCCTCGCCCACCTCTGGTACGACAAACACCAGCCTCAATACATCGACCGCTACGATCCAATTCCACGAGACGGACGTGATGTTATCTTCCGCATTCCTTACTACGAGGTGGAATACGATCCCGACCCAGAAAACGCCCCAGAAACAGAAGGTCCACAACGTCTCGAAGGCGAGGATGATCCATCCTACTGGGATAGGAGGCAACAATGGATCGAAACAACGAGAAAGGTCGTGTTGCCAGAGCCCAAGGACTTTTGGCCGCTTGAGGAGCCCCCTCTTTTTAACTTGAGGAAGAAATTTTCGAAGCGCGGCTTGCAGGTGATTGTCAAGCTGGCGAATATCGAACTAATGCCGGAGAAACCTTTATATAGTGGAGGAACGTGGCATGTTGAAGGTCAACTCGTGGGTTTCTTATCGTTTATTTTTCACGGTGTTCAATGTTTTCAGAACGAACATATTTGTGCCACAGCGCTCTATTACTACTCTTCAGCCAATATTACCCCCTCGTCTCTTGCATTCCGGCAACACACCGGTGGTTTCACACATGGTCGGATTGTCTCTCGCCAACACCAACACGACTGGCTCCCTGAGGTATTCGGGTGCAGCCAGGATGGATCAACATTTCAAAATGTCGGAGGTGTCGATACGCGCGAAGGCCGCCTGTTGACATTCCCCAATATCCTGCAGCACCAGGTTCAGCCGTTTGAGCTCGTGGATCGGACAAAACCAGGGCACAGAAAGCTTCTGGCGCTTTTCTTGGTGGATCCGAATATCAAGATTATCAGTTCTGCGAATGTGCCGTGTCAGAGGAAGGATTGGTGGCGGGAGGAGATTGGGCCTGGGTTTGGGGCGTTACTTCCGAGGGAAGTGAGGGATATTGTGTTTGAGGGAGTGGATGAGTTCCCGATTGGTTTGGAAGAGGCGAAGGAAATGAGGCTTGAGCTTATGGAAGAGAGGAAAGCTTTTGCTTTGGATTTGGTTGCGGGGCTCGAGGAAGAGAGATTTTCCCTTTGTGAGCATTGACTTTCGGGGCACTACTTTTGTGAATGGGTTCAATGGGAATATACCGCTCGCTCACAAGACGTGTCCGTTGCTGTGATTTCTAGCCTTGTCATGCTTCTCCGTACTCGACGAAGCATACGCTTTTTATTAACCATACTTTCAGATTCTATCTGGATCGGTCTTCAAACGAAGACCCTCCTCGACGCCAACATGTTTCCTCGACCTGACCCAGATTGGAATAAGATGACAATGTTTCAGGCCGCGTCCGAAATGCTACTCTGGAACGTCTGGAGATAGCTCGATTTGAAAAATCTCCCCCTTCTGCATTAAGCGCGTCCTGCATCTCGGAGCTATGCATAAGTTGCGAAAGCAATTCTGCGATTCTGCCCGGGCATCGTGGCTCGCTTGAGGCCCTTACGACATCCCTCTTTCCGGGATTCAAGCTCAAGTTTCAAGCTTCAAGTCCTCACATGTGCCAAAACATCCGGTGGTTGCCCCAGACTTTTCAAGTCTCACTCACCATCGATAGATGCACAATGCGTGTTGCAAGCACAGTACCAGATGTGATGACGTCTGGCCCACATGGTGATTGATCGGCGGAACAGGCGGTCCGAGAAGCCGATGTATTGTTGATCATAATTCATTGATCAGGCGTTGCTTTGCCACCGCTTTGTCTTGTGGCAAATCGACTCAGGACCAGCTCACTGAGCTCAGACCCCAATGCGCAATTGTCCACTCAATTAAGGTGAAAGCAAAGCAACAGGTCAATGCGCACAAAACGCCATGCCATTGCAAGGCAACTGGCCACGCACGTCCTCGTGGTGTGGCCACATCCGTCAACGTATAAAAGCACTTTCAGAACTCCAATCTGCCCTTGCCACCCCACGATTGCGCATCTAAAAGTCTCCACATTATCTCCAAACTCCTCATCATGCCCAAGACAAGACATACCAAGCCGCTTCCCAGGCCCAATACCAGGCAGCAAAGTTACTCCTGCGCACGCGCTGAGGATTCGTCCAAGCGTCGGCTTCTCCCTCACAAGGTTCTTGCTAGGATTTTCACGCTAGCCGATTGTTCTTCGGCCATCCTTCCTCCAGCACCATGGGACATACGACTAATCCTCTCCCTCGTCTGCTCCGAATGGAAAGCCCTCGTCTTCTCGACCGAAACTCTCTGGAACAAAGTCATTTTTGCACCCCAACTCGCCAATTCTCGGAACCTCCCCCGCATCAAAGTCTTAATCGACACTTGGCTGTCTCGGAGCGGGAACACACCAATACGCCTCGATGCGCTCGCGGACCCCATGACTGGACTATTCCGCTCAGAACCCCTCAATCCCGAGTTTTTTGGCCAGATATTCGTGCCTTTGCTAGCGAGGGCAAGCATTGTCCTGTGCCGTCTCGATATATCTACTCTCCCGTCGTTCCTGAACCTCCCTCCAGGTACCTTGTCCCCCAAGCTGGAGAGCATAAGAATCATTACGACAGGGAATCCCATGCATGGAGCCGAAAACGTGCCTATCACGATCTTCGAAGGCTCATCAATCCCAAAACTCAGATCCGTCGAGTTTTCTCTCAAGAATCGGAACCCACTGGATACCTTCCTTCCCTGGGGCCAACTGACAAACCTGATGTTGAGCGAACCGATCTCTTCTACGACGTGCATGACACTACTGCACAAGACTTCATCTTCCCTCGAAACCTGCTCCCTGAAAATCGAGTTCTCCGTGCCCACTTCCGTTTCTCGACTCACGGATCCGTTGTATAAAGTCAGGATGCCGAAATTGCGGTACATAAGCTTCTCGCTAGTGAACCCGCAAAACGACCCGCGGATGTTCTTCCTCCTCAAAATTCCCGCCTTGACAGTCGCATCCATCACATTGCACGACAAGCAGGGGTGGTCGTTCGCACCCTTCACTTTCCTCTTCAAACACTCGAAAAAATTACAACATCTTCAACTTAGAAATCCTCCGTACAGCTATTTCCTTCGAAAGCTATACCCAGACATCGACAATCTCCTCGCCGCCGTTCCAAGCATCCAGAAACTCAGTCTACCTCTCGCGATAATCCTGGCAAACTCAACACTCTCCAAAATCGGGGAAGGCGAGCTCCTGCCACGATTGACCGAAGTGGATCTAGATATGCAACCCGACTTGCCGCGCTTTATTCGGCTGCTCGCGCGGAGGAATGTATTGTCCGACGAGGCGTGGGCGCGTCCTGGGTCATCAAAGTGCAGGAAATGGCCTTTGTCGCCAGTGGTGAAGGTGTCGGCTGGAGCGCCGTGTGAGAAATGCCCTGTCGATTGGAAGACAGCGGAGTGGCTGATAGCTCGCGGTGTTGTGCTCGTGCCTCGAAAATCGAAGCAATTGCCCCCTTGGCATACGCATCCAGAGAAGTGACGGTGGATACTCGACTCGGACCCCTTTATTTTATTTGATGACACTTGTAACTCTATAAATTCATTGACACGCTAGATACCCTGTTTTCATTTTTATATATAAGCCTTCCGTTTGGATTGATAACCTCTCAGGACGATACTACATTGCAAGCAGGTGTTCAACAATATGGACAAGTATCCAGACGATAATTTTGAGGGATACACGGTGAAGGGAATGAAAGGCGGACCGCGATAGGACATCATCAAGTCTCCCCCACATCGCATCGGTTCGGCAAGAGCTGTAGCACTGGACATAGACATGAATCAACAGTTTCTCAAGTACGTTGTCTCCCGATATGTCAGGTAGCACATCTGGAAGACCAAGCAGTGGATCCTGTAATTCGTCCCCAATTGCGAGGAGAGGTACTAAGGTTTTCAATGAGCGACACGCCGCCAAAGACAAGGGGACCTTTCTGTCGACTGAAATAAACATTCAGTTGAGAATGACTTCGATGATTGAGTAGAATTTACCTTCGCATTGAAGATATTTTAAGTTTGGAGAGACTTTCATCTCCTCTTTGCATGCGGCAACCTCGTCGGCATGGCACAGGCCGATGCTAGTGAGTGAATGTAGACTTGAAAAGTCTATGGCGAGGGAATTCGTTGATGTTCTATCGCGTACGAGGGCTCGAATGCTAGAAAGTGGGGTGAGGCCAAAGCCGAAGGACTTTATGCGGGTTATGATATTAGAGGGAGTATTTTTTCGCTCGTGGAACTTGCTTCTACGGAATTTGGCTTGGCGTAGTGATAGCGTTGAGAACCTAGCGGCACTTAAACAAGTGGCTGGTAAGTTCTTGAATTTTAAAATGGTGAGCTCTCCCAAGGTAGGGAGGCGGATGACATGCTGTAAGGCAGCCTGCAACTCCGTTGGTAGTTCATCCCAATCCGCAGCAACGAAATTGAACAGTTTGGAAGACAAAATCAAGGATTTAACGTTGACAGTGGAGGCCAGACGCAGGCGCCGAGGAAAGTCGCTATCCGTGAAAGAAGACCGCTCCACATCGAAGTGCAATGTGCCCGCCTCCAAATCTGTAGTCACTCCTCTCCTCTGAATGTGTTATGAGGGAAAAGCAAAGGAGTGGGTTTTGTGGACCTTCTCGCTTTGAGAATCGATGAAGAGCAGATGTTTTTTCGGAAATGGGAAAAAGGTAGCTCATCTTATATGTTGGTGAAGGATGGGAATTGGATGGGAAGGTTTCAGGTGGTTACGGTGATGGCAATGACATAATCAAGCTCGTTTGAGTTCGACTCACGTTCGACTCGTGTGGAAAGATCGCGACAAGCATGATACCTTCAGATCTATGCTTCGAAAATTCGACATTGTAATGAATATTGCGAGCATGTATTGCATTTCACAAAATATCCGACTGCAGGTATCTTTGAATTTCTGGGTCGGTCTCGCTCTGAAGATGTGTAACTGCTCTCACAGAGAATTCAAACCTCACATGACTTGAAAGCCAAGTGAACTGTGAAGCTCTGATTTTCTCTAGCTCCTCTTTCAATGCCTCCCGACGGCGTTTTTCCTCAAGTTCCTCAGCGGAGAGACCTAAATCATCGTCAACCCAAACAATGATTTTGAGGGATACACGGCGAAGGGAATGAAAGGCGGACTGCGATAGGATATCATCAAGTCTCCCCCACATCGCATCGGTTCGGCAAGAGTGATGGTCCGGGACGTGAACGTTAATTAACAGTTCTTCAAGTACGTTGTCTCCCGACATCTCGGATAGCACATCTGGAAGACCAAGCAATGGATCCTGTAATTCGTCCCTAATTCCGAAGAGAAGTACCAAGGTTTTCAATGAGCGACACGCCGCCAAAGACGAGGGGACCTCTATTTTGACTGGAATAAACATTCAGTTGAGAATGACTTCGATGACATTAGAGTTTACCTTCGCAATGAAGAATTGATAAGTTTGGTGAGACCTTCATCACCTCTTCGAATGCGGCAACCTCATCCGCATTGTGCACAGTGAGTGAATGTAGACTTGATAAGTCTATGGAGAGGGAATCCGTGGGTATTCTGTCGCGTACGAGGGCCCGAATGCTGGAGAGTGGGGTGAGGCCAAAGTTGAAGGACTTTAAGCGGGTTACAATATTAGATGGAGTATTTTTGCGGTCGCGGAACTTGCTTCGACGAAATTTGGCGTGGTGTATGGATAGTGTTGAGAAGCTAGCGGCACTAAGTAAAGAGACTGGTAAGTTCTTGACATTCAAAATGGTGAGCTCTTCCAAGGTAGGGAGGCGAACGACATACTGTAAGGCGGCCTGCAAATCCGCTGGTAATTCATCCCAATCCGCAGCGACGAAATTGAACAGATTGGAACCCAATATCAAGGATTTAACGTTAACATCGGAGGTCAGACGCAGGCGCCGAGGAAGGTCGTTATCCGTGAAAGAAGACCGCTCCACATCGAAGTGGAATGTGCCCGCCTCCAAATCTGTATCCTCTCCTCTGAATGTGTTATGAGGGAAGGGCAAAGGAGTGGGTTTCGTGGACCTTCTCGCTTTCAGAATCGATGAAGAGCAGATGGTTCTTCGGAAATGGGAAATAGGTCGACCCAAACTCATCGATGAAGGGAAGGTTTCACTGGGTGGTTGTGTCAGGTGGTAGGAGGGAAACGCACACAAGTTTCATTTTGCGGAATGACATAATCAAACCCGTCTTTTTTGATGTACCGACTTTGCATTCTGCATTGACGGCGCATTACAGCTCTTTTCATATAGGTTGGCATTCAAGTACATACTCACACGTTTTGAATGATTAAATTTGGTCAATTTGGTCCCGCTTTCTGCGTCCACGCGGAGCCCCCATTCACGACTGTGGATTTTTTGACGGTAGATAGAGCTAGCTGTAGACCAAAGCGTGTAAAACGGGTCAATAATGATGAACATTAAAATCCAGTCTATCATACATGCCCCAGGTCTTCACTATCGTACACCCCGTTCCCTTCTTTTTGCTTTAATCATCCCCTTCCGAGTCCTCCCTACCCACAGCCCTCTCAACCCACGCATCCCCTTCAAACCTCCTCATCCAAGCACTCCCCCTCTTAAACTGCACATATCGCAACTTTCGACAATACCGATTCCAACCCAACAGATAGCCCTCAAAATCCGTATCATCGAACAGCGTCAGAGTTGGGGTTGCGCTCGTCTTCGCTGCCGCTGCGGTGTCATTCGAAGAAGGTCCCGAGGAGGAGACGTGGTTGTTGGGCCACGCTGGGATGTGAGTGATGTTGGCGTGATGGATGTTGTTCCACGTCACGCCCATACCTACTGCACCTGCGTTGACGTTCGTGTGAGCGGCAGTGGGATGAGCAGCGACAGGCCCGTTGCCGTCGTCGTCGTCCGAGTCGTAGTCTTGATGATGATGCGTATTGTACTGTATATACCTGTTGACCCGTCCTTCCCGTGTGAGCGCGACGCATGAGCTTTCTTGTACGATTTTCAAGACACGCAGGTTTTTGAGATCGGGGAGGATGTTTGCGCCGAGAGTTATTGCGAAGTTCTGTGTGTGAGAGGTGTGTGATTAGCGTTTGGCATAGAGGAGGTGAAGACAGAAAGCAAGAAAACAAAGACGTCGTCTCACCACTCCATCGCCCATCCGCAGGACAAGAATCGACTCGGCCCCCCCTCCCAAAGGAAGAAAAATCACCCATGGACAAATGGGAGAGAGTAGCCTGTCCCCTCAATAAGTGGAATCATCTTTTCCGACGTGGGCTACCCTCAAAAGCCGGAAAATCACCACCGCAGCGGAAATCGGAAACACGAGTCTGAAACCCCAAACACCAAACCACAGAATGATTTCTGGGATACGGTCGTCCCGTTCCTTCACAGGGGGAGTATCCTTTCGACACAGATTCAGAGAAACTTCTTTCCACCTCGAGAGACCTGATGTTTCCGAATAGACAGTATTGTCTTTCCACCTGGGACATCGTCTTCAAGCATGAGCGACGTAATCTTCCACGCGGGACATCATCTTTCCGCAGGAGAGGCTCCCCCCCACGTGTTTCCACTGCGAAAAAGGATCCCAACCTGCATCGTCTCCACACTGAAGAAGAGAGACGTTCTTCGACATTGAGGAGACACCCTTTCGAACTGGGTGAAGACTCCCGCGAGAGGGAACAGGGAAGACAGGCCCACCCTCTGAACACGCCGCGACGAGAACGCGGGGAAAAGAACCAACGCGCTGGGGACGAGAAAAGAGAAAACCGAAAAAAGAGACTCACCTCGTCAACACCCCCAACCCCAAACTCAACCCTAACCTCCTCTACACACTCCCTAAACAAACCGCGGATAGCATAAAGCACCTCGACATCCCACACATGCATCTTGACGCTCAACACGTTTATGTGGCTGCTGCTGAGTCTTTCCAAGCCTGATATGAGTGATTTGGTGTTTAGTGAGTCTGTTAGCGTAAGATGCGAGATTTGATTTGTGTGTGGGGAGGAAGAGGAGAGGAGTCGTAGAACGGCTACGGGTCCTTGATACTTCCATACATTCCTTATCCCCACCGTGGTAGTGGTAGTGGTAGTAGTATCCGCACGATCCCTGATCTCGGTATCGTGCACCCTCAAGGAGACTTTTAGCTCTGGGTTGGTACATAGCGCCAAAAATGCGGAAATGGCGAGTTCGCCGTCGTGTGTTAGTTTAATAACCGTTAGTGAGATCGATTGGATGCTTGGTAACCCCGTTGTTTTGAAGAGCGCGAATGGATTGGCAGAGGGAGGGGGAGAGGGAGAGGTGAGGTCGCGTAGGCAGAGGAGGAAGGATACGCCGCATGTTAATGTGAGCGAGGTGAGTGAGGAGGAACTGATGATGTTGAATGGATGTAACGGCGCCAAGGGGCCCGTGGATAAGTCCCTGAACGTCCCGAGTGCGAGTTCTTTGATGGATAGATTCGAAAAATCGAAATCGTCGATGTATTCGTAGGGATCGGAGGAATCCGCGTTGTCGGGGGGAAGCATGGGAAGGGAGGAGTCGGACCATATGCCTGTGTGCGAGTAGGTGCAGTGTGTTATGGATAGGGTATGTAGGGAGAGGGATGCGAGGATTGGGTAGAGGACGGGTGTAATCAAAGTGTTTTTTAGAATGAGGGAGTGGAGGCGAATGAAGGAGAGGACTTGGTGGTGAATCGTGTTGTATAGCGATGCGTTGATAAGCGGCTACGCAATATCAGTACATGAAAACATTTGAGAAACAAGAAACATACACGAGAAGGAGTGGCAACCCACGTCGACCCACTCTTCGTCGTCTTATCCTCAAACGGCAGCTTGATCGTTAGACTCCGCGGGATACCACACCACTGCTTCCAATCGCCCCTCCAATCCTCCACGTTCCTCAATGCGGCTTGGACGTTGGTCCATCTAATGTCACGTAGCAGACAACGGTGGGTGAGATGGTGGAAGGCGCTGCATGTTTGTGCTAGGGAGGAGAGGGAGGATGGGGTTAGGTGTTCGAAGATGCAGAGCCAGACGTCTGCGGGGATCGTGCTTATGTCGAGTGTCTTTGTGTCTTGCAACATGTTGGTATGTGACAACAAGTGTAAATGCGCGGCGATGACTTGGCGGATCTTATCTGATCTTACGAGATTACGTGCCCGTGTGAAAATTTATTCTGGGGACGCCGACCACTCAATGTGCCCGGTACTACTTGGGTACTACCGGTGTGGAAGAACGAATGTTCAACACAAGGAGACGGAAATCGATCGCCTACCTCGAAATTAGGTCGAACAAAGGGAAAGACGAATTTAGACCATGAAGTAAGGGACAAGAGGGACTTAGCGCGGATAGAATGTGTGAGCTAGCGCTCTACTTGTGTCGTTGGTAAACTTTGTGTTTGAGTATATGCGCCTTTTCAGGGCCTTGCGTGCATGAAAATCTTCCCAAACGAAAGCAGAAGTCGACAATTCAGGAGGAGGAAGAGTGTTGAAGGTAAAATGACTTAAAATCTCAAGAGTCTTGGTGAGAGCGAAGTCTGGAGGGGGAGGGAAAGAATGCTCCATTCGCGAGGTGGGAGGACACCTTATATACTGTATAAAAATGTAAGAATCACAAGCCAACGCACGTACTCTCATGCAGCCTGACCAAAACTTTGGGGAAAAGCATAAAAATATAAAAAGAAGAAGTTGAATTCCTCACGGAAAGGTATAAAAATAAAGATGACATCACTCACGCGATCCCCTTGCAAAGAATGGCTCAGGGAATGCACAACGTCGGGAGAGGTCTATTTGCGTGCGCTACGCCCACCCTCAGTGCAGACATCCCAAACGTTGATGCAAGATGCTCGACCCTACCGTCCAACTACCGTCTAGCCGTCCGAAAGAACTCCGAGCTGGTGAGTTTTGCCGTAGGTAATGAAACAAAGAAAAAGCAATAAAAATGAAAATAGAATAGAATAAAAGCGTACTCAACAAGTCCTTGTCCAATGCCTTCAAAAATAGAGCGGCGGCGAAGCGGCAGAGTATGATGTCATCAGGCCCTGTTTTGGGGCTTTGCTGCGACCATTTGTCGCATCTTATCTGATCTTACGAGATGTGTGCCTGAGCGTGACAAAATTCGACGCCAACCACGACGACGACGAGCGTACTTTTTTGCGTGGTGCACGACGAAGGGGCAGGAAACCAACAACTTGGGAATGCCACGAGTTCCCAACTATCTCAGAGTTGGTTCAGAAAGAAGTGTGCCATCACTTCTTTCATCGGTGCTTCATGAACGGCTCAACAGAGAAAAGAACGCCCATTTTCCCAGTTCGTCTTCCCGCTTTCCCATCTTCATGCACTGTTGACTCCGTATCGATGTTTGTTTCTTGTGGCTCAGAATCTTGCAGAAATATATCGCGCATAGCACGACGTGGTACATAGGGCCACAGAAACTCCGTGATTGATGGCGACATATCTAGTCACGTTTACGTCTCAACTTGATCATCTGGACATTGGACGACCTCCACGTGCAAGCGTCAAACTGGGAGTCCTTATTTTAGTACAACGGCCCCCGGGCATGAGGTACGCACGTTCTTATTAGTTATGACGGGAAACGGGAGATAACGCGAAAGAGTTTCAGCGTTAGGTGATTGTACTCACCGGATGGCGGTGTACGTATTAAACGGGATGGCGGTGAACGTGTAAACTTTAGCGAGCATCAAAATTTTCTGCAGATCCCGCGTTCATCACGGAACCGGAACCGGACCCTCCAACGTGAATTTTTGGCGTCAGTCTCTGGTCCTTTTCTAAAATTTGGAATGCACTGTTCGAGACTTGGATGCAATAGCCGAAATTTCATTTCAATCAGGTTGACATAATACTACTTTCAAGAAGTTTACCAGGAGGACGTTTGCAAATCGGAATTCAGGGCCCGCGCTTCTACACAAACGCGATGTTTCGCGCGTCAATTGACGATGCACCGCCGATGCTCCAGACCGTTTGAATGACGGAAGGCTTATGTTAGCCTTTGCAAGCGTCAACCTTGGGAATGTTGTGTCTTTATTACCGGTCTCTGCCATTGCCGACAACAGCTTGTGCGCTTCATGAAAACAGCTTCGTGATTGAAGCGCTCGGGGTTGTAGAAGAAGTTGAAGCGCTGCAACCTTTGGTAGGATAGGGCCAGTATCGGACTCGTCGGACTCTGCAAACCACCGAATGTTCCAAAGCATCCAAAACTCAACCTTTTCGTATATAACCAGGCTCACCGTCGCAGGACCACCAACACACAACCCATTCCGCAATGGCACCCACAACACAACAACAACTCCACATCCCCGATCTCCTATCCATCCTTAACATCCAAAGCGACACCAACCCATACGAGGATGTCGTCCGACCAGAAACAGAAAAATGGGTGTCCAGCTACGGAATTTTCACCGGCACCAGCTGGGACAAGTTCCTTGCATCAGACGTTCCACGTTTCTCATCGCGCACATTCTCCTACGCCGATCGCGACAAGTTGAGGGATTGTACCGATTTTTGTCTTTTGATGTTTGCATTGGACGATATAACGGACGACGAAGACCAGAAGGAGGGGACGCTTACTGGCCAGGCGTGTATTCGCACTATGCAGAGTGATGGACCGCTGCTCTCTTCTTCGCCTGGTGAAAGGATGATTAAAGAGTACGTTGCCTTCTTAAACTCTCCTCCAAAAAATTAATTAAAATCTGATGTCGACTCCAGCTACCGAGCTCGATTCTTTAAATCGACGGGACCAGTCCTTCAAAGGAGGCTTTTGAAGGACTGGGAGGCGACTTTCAACGCCTTCCCCAAGGAGCTAGAAGTTCGTGAATCGAAAGAAGTGTTGTCGATTGAAGAGTATACCTTGATCCGTCGGGACAATTGTGCGCTGCGCATGGGATTCACACACATCGAGTACGCCCTCGGGATCGAGCTTCCCGACGAGGTATACCAAAATCCAGTCTTCAACGAGATGTATTTGGCAGCGTTGGACATGGCCTGGTTGTTGAACGTAAGTAACTCTTCCTTTTTCTTCTGAAGTAAAATAGTAAGTAATGTCTGTTTTGTTAGGACGTGTACTCCTACGGCAAGGAACACGCAAAAGGACAAGCAACGTGGAATTATCTCACCTGCGTTATGCACGAAAAGTCCATCGATCTTCAAACTGCAGCAGATTACAGCGGCATTAAATTTCGCGAACTTTACGATCGCTTCATAGACGGGAAGTCACGCTTGCCATCATGGGGAAAGCCATTAGATTCCGACGTTGCGGTATTTTTAGAGGGATTAGGTATTTGGCTGGCTGGAACTTTACGATGGTGCTTTGAGATGCCGAGATATTTCGGCCCTCGTTATGAGGATGTTAGATTTACGTACCTTGTTGACCTTGGGGTTTTTGAAGGCTGACGACACCTTTATTACGAACGTAGAACGCATTCCTGGTAGCATATGATTCTGAATAGTACTTTAGGTGTATCCGCTTTTGCGTAGAATTTTGAGTCACATGTCGGATCTTATCTGATCTTACGTCCATTTCAATTTTTGCGTGAGGAATGTCGAAGCGGCAGGAAACCGGAGAATTTAAGAATGTATCGAGGCGGAAAGGGAGGGAAAGGCAAGCCTGCCATGTTCGCGTTGGCTGAGTTTGTCGATCACGTGATGTGTAAATCAAGTTCGATGTTCGTGCTGTCTCTACCACCTTGTAATCGCCTGGTAACCTGGGGTACAAACCCACAGGACAGACCCTTCAAAGATAATAACAAGCAATGAGCGCCATGCGCCCGCAAATGCTATCTTCACCTCTTGTTGTCTTGCCGTTTCCGTGACGAATCTATCTCTTGTTTTCAATACAGACGCCAAACGGTTCTTGTAAGCTATTGTACTCCTCTAGCAACGGAAACGGCGTTTTCAACCAGGATCGACATGGCACAGAAAGGTCGCGGGTTCTCCAAGCTACCTCGCACGACAATGCGTGCGAATCCTCCCCCCCGGCGTAGTATTTAATCTCCAAGGACGATATTTACCTTCCCCATCAAACATGAGCACCAAGACCGCCACCAAGACCACCACCACCACCACCGTCGTCCTAACCGACGACGTAAAGGAATTGAGGAAACAGAGGTACGAAGCTGCAAAAGCCGTTTCTGCCCCGACTTCTGCAGTTACACAAGGTTTATATCCCCTTCATACCCCAATCCGTCACGCCCGTTTAATAATGTGATGTCTTCATAGCTTCCTCTGCACCACCCCCAGCCAGCACTTCAGCAGCCCGCGTTATAAGATCTGACATGCTATCAAACGCGTCTGGAATCACACTCACCGGGGGAACCTTCAACAACGTCGGCGGAACCATATATCGCGAGATGCCAAAAAACGTCGCAGCGCCTATGCCCAACGCACCGCATGACGGGCAGGGGGAGGAAAACGACCATATTATAGCGACCGCGTTCAACAATCTTAGCAAGTTGACGGTCACTGAAGGAGCAGATGTGGTGGTGGACAACTTTGGAGAAGAGTTGTTGCCTGGACAGAAGCCTACTAGCAAGAAAGGGGGAAGCATACATTCAACTATGTTTGAGGGACTTAAGGATTCTGTCATCGGAGGGGGAACCTTTACGTGTGGGGGAAGAGTACAGTATCTCACTCCGTCTAGTGGTGAGTCGTTCTTCGGGTTTACATCTTTCGTATCACGTTTAATTATGTTTGGTGTAGGAGTAAAAACTCCAGGCGAGGGAATCTGACGGTATAAGAATGCGAGAGGTGTCCTTAGATTAGCCCCAATTATAATCCCCAGTTCCATTGAATGTAAATTGTAATTGGAGCATGGCATGTGGTTATGCAAGGCGGTAGGGCCATACTTTAGAAAATGTTATGCACATACATCGATATCTTTTTCAGAAATAACTTTGAAATGATGGATGCAGGCTCAGCTGGAGGACAGGAGGCTGGAGATCAGCGGAAGCCAATGTACAGTGCACAGCATGACTATTATGACATGATGGGTCCATTTTCTTTGACATACAACATATACCGGCCCCCTTCAACCCACGAAGGCGTCTGGGGTTTCCCATCATTTGGTTTTGAGAATAACGGCTCAGTTGAATGAGACAATGTTGTTTTGGCATCGTCAGGGGTTGGGCTTGATGATGAACAAGGGGTAGCATGAGCGGGACACGGAATGGCTCTGGAGGGTAGCGCCGGTTCTCCCGTTGTCTAAATGGAAACCTTGTAAAAAAAAGGAAATGGGGGAGTAAATTAGAGCGGATTGCACCTTATAGTACCAACAAGTTTTTGACTCATCAAATGCATTTGGTGCCGCGTATCTAACAAAGTTGGCACCATCAGCCACTTGGAACTGGAGTGAGAGATACTGGCACGTACATGCATTCAAATACCGAATATACCCCATTGTACCCCACGCCATCCATCTTCAAAATTAGACCGTGTCCTTCATTGTCCTGCAGTGGGCAAGAAAAAGCGCATGTAAGCGCTTTTGACCCATCCTCAGTTGATGGAGTTGTGGGGTTGGTGTCGATCTGGGGTTGCGGGAGAGCAAGAGCGGAGAGGAGGAAGAGGAATGAGAAGAGGAGGTAGTTGAACGCCGCATACATGATGGTCAGGACAGGGGCCAAATATGGGCGACCGTTTTTCGACCAGACGTTTTGCTTATCACAACATCAGTTTTGATTGGTGTTGTCATGATTGGTGACCGGCCGGTGACCAATTTGTGCCTGCATCGGAAACGTGTCGTCATATGCATGGTGCAGGTGCTGGAATTTGGACAGGTCTGCATGATGGATATTTCGCTGGGCAAGTACCCTTGTGTAACACTTGAAAAATGAGTTGATCTGGTAAATGGATTAACGCTTACAAAAGAGACTGGTGGACAACAGCGCCAAAACGTGAGGTCAGCTGACAAAGGCGTGGTAGGGCGTGGTAGTACTGGTACGTATCAGTGTCACAACCCTATCACCACCGCCTCACTGTATTGGACTAGCACTCGAATTGTGATGGTATAGAATGAGACGCGCAACTCACGAGGCTCGAAATCACAGCAACGGACATGTTTTGTGAGCAAGCAGTATATTGAACTATATCCCCAATCACGAAAGTACATACTATGCCCTACCAGTACCTCGGCACCCCCTCTCAGTCGGCACATTTTTTAGTTCGAACCCTTCCGCCAAACCTCTTGCCACAAAATTTTAGAGAGGGCCTCCTGGGCCTAATCCAACCTAATTCCGCTTTTCTCCGTCCAGAAAAACGATGAATTGACGAAGTTCTGTTATTTCGGCAGTCACAATCTGTCACGTTTTTCCGCCAAAAAATGTGACGTTTTGTGACTGCTGACTGTGCGGGGGTGCCGAGGTCCTGGTAGGGCATAGTAGTGCCCAGAAAGTCAATGCTCACAAAGGGAGAATATTTCTTCCTCGAGCTCCTCAACCAAATCCAATGCAAAAGCTTTCCTCTCTTCTATAAGCTCAAGCCTCATTTCCTTCGCCTCTTCCAAGCCAATCCATCAGCAAAACCTGATTTTCCCACGTAGACAGGCATAGTGCTTCCGCTAATATCATAGTTTCCCATAGTTACACGCCAAGTTTGGCTAGATGCCCTAGCGCTCCACAGCGCTCCACAGCACTGTGTGGGTGTAAGCTTGTGCTATACAGCACTACAGAGACTTGTGCCGTTACTATAGGGTGCTATAGAGGGGCCTCCACTTTCTACCCAGCCCTTATAGGGAGTCAAACTACAAGTATACTAGATTTCAGTAGAAAACACATTCCCTATTGTATATGAATAATTTTTGACCAAAATACGCCTGGAATAAGAAGAAAGTACAACACTTTCCAGAGATTGATTGACCTACAAAGATTGCAACAAGAAAGAATATGAAGTATCTTTTGCAAAACATATTCGTCTTTTGTGATTTTTTTTGCGTTGGAAAGTGGTGTTCAAGCCGATTCCAACGCGTCTACTTACGTAGTATTTAGTTCAAAACTCAAATGGCTTTGGACCAATTACTGGTGAAGAATCTGCCTAAAAACGGTAAATGTTATCGGAGGTCGCCTTAAACGTCGAAATATTAGGGGCTCTCAGACCCGTTTTAAAGCTCTAATTTGTGCGTTTCTAACAAGTCCAAAATCGCATGAAACGGAGCAGAACTCATGATGATAATATATATTTCAGATGTCTAATACAGGCCAAATAGTTTATGCTACAGTTTGTGAGGTACTCCAAATTTTTCTACGCCGTAAATTGGATTGCATTCGCGTGAATGAAGCGATTAAAATAAGCCTACATAGAGGCCAAACGGTGTAATACTCGTGAAGTTATAGCTATGAGCTACCCTAGAAAGTGTAAGTGTGAATTGATGGAAGTCGGTACGGTTGCAGGAAGTCACGTGCCGTGCTCAACTCACATTTTCGAACTTAGACAACTTCAATTGTTACTACTACTACCAAAAAACAGGAAATTTCGGGAAATCATGGAAATAGCCAGGAAATTTCTGGTAACAACTGCAAATTTCTTGGAAGGCTCGGAAATTGTTCAATAATTTTCCAATATGAATTTTATATTTGCCTGATTACATGGTGCCATCTACAATTGTGAATGCCCACCTCGAATGCCATGCTTTCTGTGAAAGACAGTGACAGGCAACAAACAACTTGAAGTCGCGAGACAATTCGTTCAAGTCCGTTGAAACTCCGACATCATGTGATTATGTTGAACTTTGAATTTCCCAACACGGAAATTCATTGTTCTTCCTTCCCACCACAATGTTCAACTTGTCCTTGACAAACGGTGTCCTCCCTCGTCGAGTTACAGCGTCCTCCCTCCCTCGTTGACGAACCGCGTCCCTCGACGAACGGTGTCCTCCCTCGTCCATGAACGGCGTCCTCCCTCCCTTGAAGAACGGCATCCTCCCTCTCTTGAAGAACGGCTTCCTCCCCCCCTTGAAGAATGGCTCTCTGCCTCCCTTGAAGAACAGCTCGCTCCCGTGAAGAATGGCTTCCTCCCTTAAAGAAAAGATCCCTCCCTCATCGATGAACGGCTCCCTCGTCGACAAACGACTCCTCCCTCAACGAATGGCTCCCTCTCTCGGCAAACGGCTCCCTCTCTCGGCAAACGGCTCCCTCCCTTGACGAAAGGCTCCCTCTTGACAAACGGCCCCCCTCCCTCGACAAACGGCTCCCCCGATGAACAGTGTCCTCCCTTGACGAACTGCTCCCTCACTCGTCGACGAACGGCATCCTCCCTCCCTTCTTGATGGACGGCGTTTCTCCCTCGATGAATGGTGTCCTCCCTCCCTCGTTGACAAACGGCGTCCTCCCTCTCTCGTTGATAAATGGTGTTCCCCCTGCCTTGAAGAACGGTGTCGTCCCTCGCTTGTCGACGAACGGTGTCCTCCCTACCTCATTGATGAACGGCTCCCTCCCTTGAAGAATGGCGTCCTCCCTCCTTTGAAGAATGGCTCCGTCCCTCGACGAACAACCGTCCTCCCTTCCTTGTTGGCGAATGGCATCCTCTTAGTATCTTTAATACTTGATACTCTGATTCCATAAATTTGATATACTGCAGTCATTACTATGTAGAATATTAGGATATCTTGTATAATGTAGTAGTGCAGACAATAAACTTATTTTTTCGTAACACCAGTTCTGTGTAAAAATCATGCAATATGGTATTAAAATGAGCAGAATGTATGCCCCCCCTCTAGGAATCTGCAGACCCCAGGGGTTGCTACTGAGGGCTGCAGATCTGCTCCGTAATTCTAGGGAGCACTATGAAGTGGCTATGTGTTTCTATGAATGGCTGCAGATCTGCTCTGAGATTCTAGGGAGTGCTGTGTAGTGGCTGTGCGTTTCTATGTAGAGCTGCATAGAACGCGCAGGTGACTGTAAAGGTGATACCCCTTTCTATGGTGCTATGGCACTACACAGCCCTGCCACGTGCTGCCTAGCTCACCCAGGTTTTGCTGATGTCGGGAACTCATCCACTCCCTCAAACACAATATCCCCCACTTCCCTCGGAAGTAACGCCCCAAACCCAGACCCAATCTCCTCCCGCCACCAATCCTTCCTCTGACACGGCACATTCGCGGAACTGATGATCTTGATATTCGGATCCACCAAGAATAGCGCCAGAATCTTTCTGTGCCCTGGTTTTGTCCGATCCACGAGCTCAAACGGCTGAACCTGGTGCTGCAGGATATTGGGAAACGTCAACAGGCGGCCTTCGCGCGTATCGACACCCCCGACATTTTGAAACATTGATCCGCACTGGTGGCACCCGAATACCTCGAAGAGCCAGTCGTGTTGATGTTGGCGGGAGGCAATCCGGCCATATATTAAACCATTGGTGTGTTGCCGAAATGCGAGAGACGAGGGGGGGATGTTGGTTGAAGAGTAGTAATAGAGTGCTGTGGCGCAAATATGTTCGTTCTGAAAACGTTGAACACCGTAAAAAATCAACGATACGGGGACACGCATGAGTTGACCTTCAACATGCCATTTCCCGCCACTACACTCAGGCTTTTCCGGCGTTAGTTCGATATTCGCCAACTTCACAATTATCTACAAGCCGCTCTTGGCAAATTCCTTCCTCAAATCAAAAAGCGGGGGCTCCTCAAGTGGCCGAAAGTTCTTGGGCTCTGGCAACACGACCTTTCTCGTTGTTTGGATCCAGCGTTGCCTCCTATCCCAGTAGGATTGCGACCAGGGATCATCCTCGCCTTCGAGACGTTGTGGGCCTTCTGTTTCTGGGGCGTTTCCTGGGTCGGGATCATACACCACCTCGTAATAAGGAATGCGGAAGATAACATCACGTCCGTCTGGTGGGATGGGATCGTAGTCGTCGATGTTTTGAGGCTGGTGTTCGTCATACCAGAGGTAGGGGAGGGGGGCGAGGGCGATGTTCCAAAGGGGAATTGAGGCAGTGATGATTTCTTCGATAATGGGATAGAGGTGTTTATCCTTCCCTGGGTGTAGGTTGTTAATGTAGCTTGTGATTCTGTAGAAGTATTGTCAGAGGATGCAATTTTCTCAACAAGATCATACCTGGATCGCCCGTCGTCTCCGGAAATGTCCACTTCGCAAGGTAACCACTGGTAATCCAGGCTGTACCTATCACCCGAAAGCTCTTGCTCTTCCAATACATCGCCCTCGCCGCACCTTGCGATGCAGTTCTCCAACATCGCGAACCCCTTTCCATTCCCAAGAGCCCTCGTCCGCCCATAAACAACAGGAAATAAACGCGGGTGAACCAAGTTGAGGACTTTCTCGTCCGATCCAGGATGCCAGTCCTTCTCCCATGAAGGAACATCTTCAAGAGGCCTCACAGCAACTTGCAGCTTAGCTTTGATTGAGTGCGGAACGGCGGTGTCCGATTTGACCACGTCGCCATTGTACACCTTGATCGCGCCACCTGGCATCCCCCCAAAGCGCGTAGCCTTGTACTTCAATTCTTCCATACACCATTCAGCCATCCTCTCAGTGACATCCCTCCCCGGCGCAGCTAACGCCTCAGCCTTCCATCTCGACCTTATCGCGTCATCAAAGATCTGACAGTGACACACTGATACACAATTCATGGTTGCACGAAATTGAAATGACGCGAACCTTGGTGTTCCAATCTGGCTTGTCGGTAACGGCGTTCATGATGTGCAACATCGTGAATTCGCGAAGCGTTGTGAGTGGTAATTGGTTGTGTGACGGTTCGTCGCTCAAGTCATCTGAGTCATCATCGAGAAAGAAGTTTGGAAGGAGTTTCCTACGTTCTGGCTCGTAGGAGAGGGGCTGGTCGATTCCTGGGATATCGGTGTCGAAGCCATTGGCCTGTGTGAAGGTTGGTTTGGCTTTGCCAAAACTGTAGGGCATCGTCTTTTGAACAACTTTCGAACTAAGATATTGTTTTTCCAGTCGGGTATGGTGTAACGGTTAACAATGTTGGTGTTGCACAATCCTTGGTAAGTGTGATGACCAGTGACATGCCGTGACATAGCGTCACAGGGCCAATTTCTTGAGACATGGACTTTGTACCTTCCACAACACCAATCCAATATATTTTTTGCAGTGGGTTTGAGGGAATGATGTGATTGAATCCACTGAGAGAGTTTTCCATGTAGAAATTGTATTTATTGCTCCAAAAATGCGAAATCAGCTTGTTTTCCCTGCCAAATTTGGCACTCTGGAGAGATTGGACTATAACTTTCCAACCACAACACGTATGAACATGGTTTGTAGGAGGATATTACTTAGAATTTGAATTTCAATCGATCTACGGATCCAGAATTTTTATTTGTGGCCCCTATGTCGAGATCACCCCTAAGAATGAGCACTTTAACATAGTTATGGGGTAGTAATTAAAATTATGGACCCGTAGGATTGAAGCCACATACTAATCGGTTATTTAGTCTCTGCAAATCTAAGCCAAAATCCTATCCATTGTAACGCTGATAGCTCGAGTAGGCAACATTGGGCTAATAGGTGCTGTATAGCCACCAAAATCAGACACATTGTAGATTTTTATACAATTGAATAGAGACTATCTATACAATTCTGGCGCATTTTTTTCTTGTAAATCGGTGGAGATTTGACTGAGCTACATCATTTACAACTTTGAGCTTGTCGGAGAAGCATCACCAGTCTGCCAAATTGGGAAGGTGCCTGTTTGGCC